ATTTTAAAAGTCGTCTTCTTATTTCAGAATGTTCAAGTTATCACTGTAGATACTTTTGTAATGTTTAAAAATTTGAATAATTCAATCTCCGGATATGTAAGTATTGATGATCATCATGAATTAATTAAGCAATTAAGTAAAATAAACCAGTAATCTATAATCTGTAAATAATCTGTAAATTTAATCTTATTGATCATAAACTAAACCTACATTAATGATCTGATCATGACATATTATTCCAATAATTTTTTAATGTGATCATGAACAATCTTACAAAAATCTGATCGTGAATTAATATTCCAATAAACTGATGATAATTTAATCATAGAATAAACTGTTCATGAATAAATCTTTAAACAAACTTATCATAAACGAATCAGAGTGTAAACTGATCAAGAATCAATTTAATAATAATTAAATTATAGCACCAATCTGTAATACAAAAATATCAGAAGTCAATTTAAGATAATTTTGATTTTAAATGCCTCCTTTGCCTTGACAAACAATCTTTAAAATCTTTTGATAAACTGTTCATGATTTCTTTTCAAATTTGATTACACAAATCTGTTATTAAACACATTAATCCTAATACCATAATTGCCTTGAAAAAGAAAATTCAAGAAAGTTTAACTTATCTGCCCTATATATATGTTGGTGTAAATTTGTGAGCACAATTCCTTTATTAATGCATTGTCTTGTGGTTAAATATTTAATTTCGTAATTAGAAAATAAATTTTCAATATTTATCAAATCTTCAAAGAACTAATTTAATGTAAACATTCTAAATGGATCGCATTTCTAATCCCTCCATTGTTATAAATCTCCCAGACTTTCCATATTCGTACTTGTAGCAAAGCGACTCCTTAAAGGATATTTCTTTATTTTCTTTGCTAATGTTTTTATCTATGATTGGATAACAAAGGAATTGAGTAATTGACACGAACTCTGATATTCTAATTCCTATATCTTTGGATTCTAATGTCGTAGACCTTTGACATTTCAAACTATACTACTTCTGTTAAACCAAATAATATAAGTTTGAAATATCAAAGGTTTACGACATTGGGTTCCAAAGATATAGGGATTAGAAAATCAGAGTTCGTGGCAATGACTTGATTCCTTTAATGAAAAACAAAAAGCAACTGAATGTTGTGAACAAAGTTATAGAACCACTTCTACTCTGAATTTACTCATTAGACATGGTTCAACTCTTTTAGCTGTGGCCGAATAACAAAGGCAGCCGATCTAATGTAAACAAAAATGAGTTAGTATACCGTGAATCTTCATCTAATGCCAGAAATACCAGATGTTTGTTTATCATTTGTGTTATTGTTTACAATCTTTATTATTGTTGTTACGCAAAAACTAGTTCTCCAGCAGTCCAAAAACGTCACAGCAAAGTGTACGGAAACCCTATCGCCCCCTCCTTCTATTCAATATCTCCTTAGGGTTAACCACAATGGATGAGATTTCAGAGACGACTGTACGGAATTTGTGCTGTATGTTCTATAATAATCGTGATTCATTGCAACTTTTCTTTTTCGTTGCAAAATCATTAAACAAGCCATTAAAACACTACGTTCATGGCAGAAGACAAACTTTGGATCGTCGTATTTGAAAAGTTTAAAGTCTCGTGTTTACAGTTTCATTCTTTGTGGGTAACTCTGTCAATTTTTATATTTCAATAATATATTGAGTTTAATTTTTAACTAAATATCACAAAGCTCAGCTCTGTAAACACCTCTTTTTCACGTACAATCCCTTTAAATACGGAAGCTAGGTGAAACACTTCCATGTCTTTCCTTTACTTGTAAGTTACTGAACAAAAGAATATATATATTTGTTTATTAAATATTAAATATTGAATATTGAATATCGAATATTGAATGTTGAATATTGAATATTGAATGTTGAATATTGAATATTGAATATTGAATATTGAATATTGAATATTGAATATTGAATATTGAATGTTGAATATTCAATATTGAATGTTGAATATTGAATATTGAATGTTGAATATTGAATATTGAGTGTTGAGTAAAAGGTCGCATCTGTATAAAAATACAGATGTTCCTAAGGTCTTAGGTCTGAAAATAGATTTCAAATCAGAAGATTGTCAGTTGGTTGGAAGAAGACAAGTTTAGGATTTTAAGTAATCTTTCTGTTCAACCCTGTCTCGTTTCCTGGCACCCTGCATTCTTAAGTCAATTATATTTAAAGAGATTATTGCTAAATTACTATTAATTTAAAGAAGTAACAGATCTAAATGTCATTGGACCTGCAAAAAGAATTTAAAAATGTGAACAAAGACCAGTTTCTTACTCAACTATTTTAATCAATTTAATTAATTTATCCCTAATTGAGTTTTAGGATCTTTTCTTATTTTGTCCACCATTCTTAGATCAATGGCTGAAATGCTATTGAAATGAATTGAACTTTGCCATCTTTATATTTCCAGACCTAATACACATAAATCTGTAAATTAACAAATCGTCATTCTCTTATTTTTTTCCATTAAATGCTTGTTTTCTTCCCTGTAGTCTATACCCAGAAGATTGTTTTATCATTTAATGCACGTGATCGCGAAATTTGAATTTTATTTTTGAGTGTAAGACTTTACATTGATAAAATTTTTAATTGATAAGACAAGTTTTAGAAGACATTTCATATAGATATGGTCACCAATATTCTGAACAAATTCATTTTAAAACTATGTTGTGTAGCCGATTTGTATCATTTTGTGAATCTATGTGTAAAAGTCCCAAGCTCAGCATCCGACTATTGTTTGATTTATCTAATATTGCAAATGAAACCTATGTAGATAAACTATCCTTGAACAAGTCTCTAGTTAAGTCAAATATGATTTACGCGAATCCGACTGAAAATGCGTGGAGAATTGCACTGTTAAAAGATTTACTATTAATCCGGTCAAATCAAAATGTTTTAGAAGGATTTAATTATGATGAAATAGCTGAAATTATTGACGCTATATATGTAAAAACTAAGTTTTTTATTTCATTGTTTTCGACTATAAATTAATTCTATATTTATATGTTATATATCTCATTCCTCGTTGAAGTTAAATTTTACCATTGTAATAATAGTGTACGAATAAAATGAATAAATATATATATAATAAAACAAGGCATTCATATCTTATACGTATACGTTGCGTATAGCCGGCCAAACGGCTGGACCGATTGGGCTGAAATTTTGACACTCATGGGTGGCCGGGGGTTGCTATAGGCTAAAAAAGAATGAAATTTTTTATCTATTTGTTTTTTTTCAATTTTTTTTCCACGGGCAACGCCGGGCCCTTCAGCTAGTTACTTTATATTTCTTAAAGGCCCAATTGATATCGGAAATGAAAGGACTATAAGCGTAATTTCAAAAGACATTCTATTTGAGGAGGGACAACCCAGATTCACAATGGTACCCTTTAAACCTTTGACGCTGATGTGAAAATGAAAAGTCTGTAATCCCTTATCAGCAAAGTAGTAGATAAAGACACGTTTAATGTTTGCCAGTTAGAACAAATTTGAGGAGTTCATTTTTTATTTTTTGTCAAATTTAAAGGGCATTTCCTCCAAACAAAATTATCATACAATTGTGATACAGTATAAAACAATGCTTTATTAGGATTATTTTAAAACTACTTAATCTTCTATCATTCTTCAATAATTAGTTTTTGTTTTGTACGCAAATTATTTATTTTACAACAGAATTTTAAAACATGCACTCATGAAGTTTACATTAAACTTCTAAGTACTATGTACAAAACGGTATGTGCACATTCCACATAGATCAATTAATTTTACAAAAATTATTTACATAGTAACATAACACCGGTGTGGCAGTTAAAGGAATATAATCTTTTTTTTCTTTTTTCAGTTAATCATATATATTATATACCGCACATTACACAATACACAAACATTTATATATAAATACACCCAATCACAAACTGCAATTTTCTAATTCCAATATCTTTGCAACCTGATGTTTTTAACCTCTGATATTTAAACTGAGACTATTAAGAATTTAAAGTTTGAAACATCAAAGGTCTACGACATTAAGTAGCAAAGATATTTAATAAACATCATTTTTGATTAAGAAACTGGCGTGGGGTGGCTTGTGTGTGACATAAGTTCTCGTTAGATCACTGAAGTTAAGCACACTTTTCCGCAGCCAGTAACTGGATTGGTATCCAGACTGGAGTTCACGGGTTTGATTCCAATACTCCCCACAAATCTGTGGTTTCAAAATCATCTCAGGCCAACATCTGGTTAAGCAGTTATGACCACCTGACAGATGTAGGAGGACAGAGGGGCGGCTGTCAACATCTCTCGCAGCGAAAGGGTGCATGCTTTCTACTCAACAAGAAAGAAGCTTGAAATGGATTGGTCCAAGTGAATGATGATGAAAAGAGGAAAGGTGGATAAGCTGCAAGGAGAATCTATGGTTGCCAGCTGTAGGTACCTGGAGGTATCCAATCCGTGCTAACAAATGATTGGGAGCAATGAGTGTGATTTTTCCTATCTGTAAGGCACCCGGGCCTCATTCCAGTATATCAGAAGGATTCCTGCACTCTATATTCTCAGGCCTAAGAAGAATCTTAGGCATCTGGAATCTTGTCAACCCTCTTCTCAGAATGAATGAAGCGTGGATGGATGAATGTGCTGCCAGATTACAACCCCTGGTAGATCAATATAAAAACCCCTACAACACCAAACTTTCGCAATAGAAAAAATCCAAGATTTGATCTTAACAACCCGGGGACAAAACATCTCTTTAAAAAAAGATAAAGAAACTGATCAATATGTCTCAAACTTTAAACTTCAAGTTCTTTTCAACCTGATGGTGTAGACCCTTGATATTTTAAACTTCAAGTTCTTTTCAACCTGATGGTGTAGACCCTTGATATTTTAAACTTCAAGTCCTTTTCAACCTGATGGTGTAGACCCTTGATATTTTAAACTTCAAGTCCTTTTCGACCTGATGGTGTAGACCCTTGATATTTTAAACTTCAAGTTCTTTTCAACCTGATGGTGTAGACCGTTGATATTTCAAATCTTGATCTTGTAGAAGACAGAAGTCATCATTTTGAAATTCCGTTCGATTGTCAATGACATCAGGTTGCAAAGATAAATGAAATAGAAATTTAGAAATGAAATATGGTTTATGTATGTTGAAAGTAATCTATTTTGACACAGTATAAAACAGAATGATATATAAAAATGAAATTAAAAAAAAACTTCATATTAATACATAATTCGTATGGACAAAAATCCTTTCACATCGAGAACACATTCATATTTTAAGGGATACAGTAAATGCACTTTTGCATTATAATTGTTACAAACTAACCTTTTACATAGGCAGAGATCGGAACTTTTGTGTTAATAATGTTAATCTTAAACGCTTGATCTCGATATCCAATGTGGGCAATTTTAAAATCGAGGATAATTGCTTGATCCCTCAGGGTATGTCTATCCCTGCAGAGTATGTCTATCCCTGCAGAGAATGTCTATCCCTGCAGAGTATGTCTATCCCTGCAGAGTATGTCTATCCCTGCAGAGTATGTGTATCCTTGCAGAGTATGTCTATCCCTGCAGAGAATGTCTATCCCTGCAGGGTATGTCTATCCCTGCAGAGAATGTCTATCCCTGCAGGGTATGTCTATCCCTGCAGAGTATGTCTATCCCTGCAGAGTATGTCTATCCCTGCAGGGTATGTCTATCCCTGCAGAGAATGTCTATCCCTGCAGAGTATGTCTATCCCTGCAGGGTATGTCTATCCCTGCAGAGTATGTCTATCCCTGCAGAGTATGTCTATCCCTGCAGGGTATGTCTATCCCTGCAGAGAATGTCTATCCCTGCAGAGTATGTCTATCCCTGCAGAGTATGTCTATCCCTGCAGAGTATGTCTATCCCTGCAGAGTATGTCTATCCCTGCAGAGTATGTCTATCACGGGATACCGAAGAGGAATTAAGTTAATCCGTTGCTAAGATGAAGATTAATGCTAAATCCCGAGATTAACAACACAAAAGTTCTGACTACAGCTTATACTAATTTATATTGTGTATTTATTAACTAGAATAAAGATGGTGGCTATGAACCAGAACATAGTTGACACAGGAGATACAGAGGAACTAAACAAAATACAAATATTAATTTTAAAATAAAAACTATACTTTTATAGACTTACAAGGTTACCCATACCCGAGTACTTCAGAGACGACTGTATGCAACTTATACTGTCTGTTTCCTTAAAGGAATTGAGTCTTTGGAACAAAATCAAACATTTAAATCTCAATATCTTTAGAACTCGATGTTGTAAACCTTCGATATTTCAAACTCTGATTATTTGATCTTACAGAATTCATTGTTTGAAATATCTAAGGTCTGCAACATTTGGTTCCAAAGATATAGTGATTAGAAAATCAGAGTTTGTGGCAAAGATTCAATTCCTTTATGATTCCCCGCAACTGTACACTTGCTACTTCCTTTGCCAAATTATTAAATAAGCCATTTTAAGACCACATTCAAGGCAGACGACATAATGTATACTTGAGATCGTGATATTTGAAGAGTCAAGTCTCATTCTTTTGGGTAACCCTGCACATATATCAAGAGGTTTAAACGCTTTAGAATGAAAAACGTACAAAATTATGTTCAAATATTTATAATTTATTTGGGATAAAGTCATTTTGTAGATTTTGACAAAATACATCTGGAAAGTTGTAACTTTGAAGCACTGGAAATGTATTATCTGCATTTTATATTTTCAAAACATTAAAAGTTTTTACTTACTTCCTGAAGGCAATATCACTGAAGACTGTTGAGAAGTTCGCCTTTGTACCACTGCTAAATATTCGAACTGGGTCGGGTAAACTCAATCTTAATATTTAATAACTTATAGAACTTGATGAAAATGTTCGAATTTACAACTCTCTAACCTCTATTCTTCTGGACCTAAAATCTGTAATCTATAGAACATTGCTGTTAAGAATCCATGACGTTTGTATTCCTCCGAGCTATATTACTTTGTATCTATAGTTTGTATTCCTCCGAACCCTATTGTTTTGTACCTTGAGTTTGTATTCCTCCGAACCCTGTTGTGTTGTACCTAGAGTTTGTATTCCTCCGAACCCTATTGTTTTGTACCTTGAATTTGTATTCCTCCGAACCCTGTTGTGTTGTACCTAAAGTGTATATTCCTCCGAACCCTATTGTTTTGTACCTTGAATTTGTATTCCTCCGAACCCTGTTGTTTTGTACCTGAAGTGTATATTCCTCCGAACCCTTTTGTTTTTTACCTTGAGTTTGTATTCCTCCGAACCCTGTTGTTTTGAGTTCCAGTAGTTCCGGGTCTAACCAGTAATCTAAACCAAATACAAATTTGTTTTGTATGATTTGCTTTAAAAAAACATTTGAATAACATATTTGGTAATTAGATACATAAATCATGGTTTGTAATGAAATGAAATGAGTTCTTGTCAAAATTTCAGATTTTCTAATTTCTATACCTTTACAAACTGATGGTGTAAACCTTAGATATTTTAAAGATAGATTATTTAATCCAACAGAGTTCAAAGATATAGGAATTAAAAAATTTAAGTTTATGGCAAAAGCTCTATTCTTTATGACGCATATTTGCCTCTGTCGTCTTCTCAATTCTGAATAAGATTCATTTTGAATTTTTCCATGTCTGTAAAAATCGAAGGCTTTTATTAAATTTTTAATTGATTCTTTTAACTCCTCAACTAGATTTAGATAAAAAAGAAAGTTGTAAAACCTCGTCACGAGAATATAAATGGAAAGTCCCAGAATCCCTGAATCATGTACGTATCAAAAAGTTTTAAGAGAAAGCAAGAATTACTAAAACTGCATATTATGGATATAAACTTCTAATTTTCATCAACAGAAGATTGAATCAGAAAACAATTTTCAACGAAACAAAAAGAACAAAAGATTCTCACCTTGAATTGTTTTTATCTCCTCGAAAGTAGAAATGATACAAAGGCTGGGAAAGGTCTAAATCCCATATTGTCTCTGGTCTAAAATAAGAATATATAAATCCCATATTGTCTCTGGTCTAAAATAAGAATATAAATCCCATATTGTCTCTGGTCTAAAATAAGAATATAAATCCCATATTGTCCCTGGTCTAAAATAAAAATAAAAATCCCATATTGTCTCTGGTCTAAAATAAGAATATAAATCCCATATTGTCTCTGGTCTAAAAAAAAGAATATAAATCCCATATTGTCTCTGGTCTAAAATAAGAATATAAATCCCATTTTGTCTCTGGTCTAAAATAAGAATATAAATCCCATATTGTCTCTGGTCTAAAATAAGAATATAAATCCCATATTGTCTCTGGTCTAAAATAAGAATATAAATCCCATATTGTCTCTGGTCTAAAATAAGAATATAAATCCCATATTGTCTCTGGTCTAAAATAAGAATATAAATCCCATATTGTCTCTGGTCTAAAATAAGAATATAAATCCCATATTGTCTCTGGTCTAAAATAAGAATATAAATCCCATATTGTCCCTGGTCTAAAATAAGAATATACAAGACAAGTAAGAGTTGAGACACGTGGTAATATGAAATTGAAAACATAAACTCAGATTTTCTAATCCTTATATTTGTTCAACCTGCATTCGTAGTACTTGGATATTTCTAACTATGAATTTTGCTATAGTTTAAAAACATTTTGAAATATCAAAGGTTTACACCATCAGAGCTGAAAACTTTAGAATGGGATATCCTTAATCCTGATCGGATAATTAATCTGAAGATTAAAAATAAGAGGAGAACAAGCAATATTTAATCTGGAGATTAAGAAAAAGAGTGGATTAAGCATTAATCCTGATATCCACCATTCTAAAGTTCCCAGCTCAGGTTTGATAGATATAAGAATTAAAAAATTGTAAAACGACTAATTGATCTGATTAACTAACTTCGATTTTATGAATACCTAATGGATCTTCTCAAAGACTACTTGATCTGCCAAGAAGACTATTGATCTGATAAACTAACCTAATCGATCTGGTAAACTAACCTAATTGATCTGATGAACTAACCTAGCTAATTGATCTACCGAACTAACCTAATTGATCTTTTGGACAACCTAATTGATCTGATGTAATAACCTACTTGATTAGGAGAACTAACCTAATTGATCTTCTGAACTATACTAATTGATCTGATGCACTACCTTAATTAATCTGCTGAACAAATCTAATTGATCTACTGAACTAACCTCATTAATCTGCTGAATTAACCTATTTGATCTACTGAACTGACCAAATTGATCTCTCTAACCTGATTGATTTGCTGAACTAACCTAATTGATCTGCATAAATAGCCCAATTGATCTGATGAATAAACCTAGTTGATCTTATAAACTAACCTCCTTGAGCTGATGATCTAACTTATTGATCTGCTAAACTAACCTAATTAAAATGTTGAACCAACCAAATTGATCTGTTGAACTGACATAATTTATCTATTGAATTAACCTAATTGATTGTCTGAACTAACCTAATTGATCTGCTGAATTGACACCAGATAAAGTTAGTTGTTTGATCTAGATCACTGGTTTCCAAAGATATCGGAGACCTAAGAAAAATAAATTTTTTAGATTATTGTTTTTTACATTCAGAAACACAGATTAGATTTACTATAATGCCAATTTAAGTAGATATTTAAGGCCTTTTTGAATAATCACTGTAAAATACACTTAATGTCTTTATAAGGATTTAACTAATTTCTACTTTTATCAACTTTATCGCAGTTACACGATTATTGATGACCTAGTCTGGAAACCCAGCATTGCCTAGAGACTAAACTTTCTCTATAAAAGTCAACCCACTTAGAATTTTAAAATCAAGCTATAAGAATATTCTCATGATTATACCGAGTGCGGCGCCCAAATCAAAGTTTGGGGCAAATCGATCAGAAATACAAACAGAGATTACTCTTTTTATAAATATATATAGATTGTAATTTTTGGTTTACCTATGTGGATATAGATCAGAGTATTTGTTTTCTGTGAGATAATGACCCAACATTACATCATTTCCTTCTCTAAACACATTTTATGAAAGGGACAGTAAAAATTTTTCAAAGATGGGCATGCGTGATGAACAACAATTCCCTTTAAACCTTAATCTAATTGAAGATATCGTCGTTTTTTCAAACTTAAAAAGTGTTCATTTCTGATAATTTTCCTCGTCGTTTCTTGAGCAGAGAAACCACAATTGAAAATACAAATAGAATACAAAGCTTTTTTTGTTTAAAGAATCGTGCACCCTAATCTTGAAGTTTAAAATACGTCCTCTGTCCCTTTAAGCTTTATTATTTTATCAAACTTTCTTTAAAACTCTTTACAAGAAATTTAGTAAAAATAATAATATTTACCTGTAGCAGACACTAACATCCATATTCGTCAGCTCTGCTTTATCATTTCCGAATCCAAGGGCAATATATTTCTAACAATATATAAAAAATATTTAAAAGATAAAGGAATTGGGTCTTTGCAGTCTATATCTTTGCAACCTTATGATGTAAACCTTTGATATTTCAAACTTACATTATTTTCTCTGATAGTATTCATAGTTTAAAAAATCAAAAGTCTACGACATTGGGTTGCAACGATATTGAAATTAGAAAATCAGAGTTTGTGGCAAAAACTCAATTCCTTTTAATTATTTTAGATCTTATAGAAAATGTCATTGAAAAACGAACAAACTCTGTTTTAGATCCTACAGAATTAATGTAAAAAGCTATTTTAACAGAATAAGTGCAAAAAATGTGTTTATTTTTTTATTAATGCAAAATTTATAAAATGCAATATTTGCAAACATTGCTTTTTAATGGCCATGGGGAAACATCTCTTATAAAAGACAATGAAATATCATTTTTTAAGCATAAATTTTAAAATAAGAAAACTTTCAAAAATCTTTAGCAATAGACTGAAATAAAACCAATTTGTGCATTTGCGCAATTGTTAATATTTTAGTTCACCATTGCTGTTAAAGGGACTGTAAGCGTAATTTGAAGTGAACAGACTGCAAAAGAAGTGTTAAACAAGAATTAGCATTTCTGTAAATAATTTAAGGAAACGTCCTTTATCCTTTATCAGTCAAAGGTCACAGTAAACTGAAGGTCCTGGTTAAAAGGTCTAGAAAGTTTAAGTTCTAGAACTCGTTTTCACCCATCACATCAGGAGTTTTCGAATTTATTATATTATACTTTTTTCTCTGCTATGTGTTTTAAAAATTGAAGTATATATAAAGCTAGGTGGTTTACGCTTATTTTTACAGATCTTGAACGAGAGATCAATGACTGTTGTGACTTGGGGATATCCTTCTCTAAATGAAAGGTCACTTGAAATTACGCTTACAGTCCCTTTTTATAAACTTGCCGTATCATTCTCCGCTGTTCCCCCGAGGCTGATGATAACCTCGTCTCTGGTCTTGTTGAGGCTGATGACGACCATGTAGTTGACCTCCTCCGAGGGGCAGGTGTACGGGGAGGAGGGGCTACACTGCCTGTAGCAGGTTACATCACTTCCACACCCTCTAGAATACAAACAGTTGTCGTCATATTTATCAATTGTATAAAATTATATGTCTGATTTAAAAACTGTACAAGAGAAAAACTGGCAGTTATTCAAAACATTTTTTAAATTGCAGCAATCCTTATTCCCTTGTATCATTGCACCTGATTCCGTAGACCATTGAATTCAACTATATATTCTGCTTTCTCAAAAGCCAAAATTTAAAATGTTAAAGGTGTACAGCATCGTCTACGGTTGCAAAGATATAGGGTTTATGACACAGGATTATGAGACAGGTTTTTCATTTTTTTCCTGATTCAAAATGGTATCCTTGAAACCTTGATCTGCTTAGCAATGATGAAGAAAACGTCGTTTCAATAATGCGTAGATGAAGCAGGAACCGAGTTTAAACCATCAGGAAGAAAATACACTTTATATTCGGCAATGTTTTTATCAATTGGAATAAAATATACAATAATAATAGTATCTTTAGTTGGGCTAGTTATGCATTTAGGTACCTTCCCACCACCAGACTTTTGTCGGATATATTTCCCCATTGTTTCTTTAGTCGAGAAACTATAAAGGAAAATAAACAAATTTTAAAAAACACAAAAAATGGTTTACTCTAAGTCATACTTGATCAAACAAAACTATTTAAGGTACTTGTGTGAATCAAACATGCTACTCTTATAATGGAGGATCACGTAAAATTACGTTTACATTCCCTTTAAGTAAGTTTATAGATAAATGGCAGGTACAAAACCTTTAGATATTTATTATGAATGATATAAACCTGAAGGATACAGGGAAGTTATTAAACGTTATATCTTCAGTTTCAATTATATTATACTCGTCACCTAAAATATATACATATTATAATCATTAATCTTAATAGAAATTGTGTAATTTCTTCTTCATATTTTTAAACAAATTTTGGACTAGCATATAGCAAAAGTGTGATGCATTTTTTACATTTTAAGAATTAGAAATGTCTTTTTCTATACATCGCTTTGTAATTAGTTATTATCTTAATGCAGTGCGACATACACAATTGTAGACAAGGAAAACTACTGTAAGACTCAATTCGTGATTATTTACTATAGTGAATTCTTTATAAATAAATCAAATAATAAGACTTTTAAAATGTCATCTTTTTTTTCACAGTTTTATGGGTAAATGTATAAATGTCATCTGAATTTGAGATTTTGTTCTCAAGGTCTATCACTTCTTTGAATTTAATAGAAATTTCTTTTAAAACTTATTCATTCTTGGAGTCACGGAAGCTCGTAGTAAGATTTTGACTCCACTGGAGACTACCTGAGGGAATTCATTTTCACCGGAGGGTTTGAAAAAATGCTTTTTACAATTTCAAACTTTACATTCCACTGGAGGGATTCAGATATTTTTCCAGGGGGTTTATAATTCCACTGGAGGGATTCAGATATCTTTCCAGGGGGTTTATAATTCCACTGGAGGGATTCAGATATCTTTCCAGGGGGTTTATAATTCCGCTGGAGGGATTCAGATATCTTTCCAGAGGATTTATAATTCCGCTGGAGGGATTCAGATATCTATCTAGGACAGATCTGAACCCTCCAGTGGATTGTAAATCACTATTCGTAAGGTTTCATATTGAAAAAAGTGACTTTTCAAACCCCTCCAGTGAAAATGAAATCTCTCCGCTTGTCTCCAGCATAATCGAAATCAATTACTTTTACTACGAACTTCTTTGAATCTCATTCTTGTTTCTATATGAACCTATATATGTATTTTACCTACAACAATAGATGCCACAAACTTGATAGGACCTATATCTGTAGATGGTGCCCTCCATGTAAAAGTCATGTTTGACAATCTTATTGGCCTTCCTTTATCCACCACACTTGACCTCTCCTTGGAGAAACAGTTCACATATTTGGCAACAGATGGTATTCTTTCAAAACTGCCCACCAGGGTCGCATTGTTTCCGTTGTTCCTCGTGGTGCCACGTGCTTGCAAAATGAACGAGTCGAAGTAAGATGATGTAACGATTTCAACTGAAAAAAATAAATAATTTATTTAAAATTGATTTAATAATTTCATTATTTAAATCTACTTAATAAATTAATTATTGTGGAATTTCTGTGACGCAATGGAGTAAAAACCCTTAATTTCAGTTCAGTAAAGTTTCAACCTTAAACCTTGATGGAAACCAATTAATGCTACAAAAAATAGAAACAATAAATAAAAAGGCATTAAAAAATGTTTTGATTGTTTATCTTACTTATAAAATCTCTTCCTCTTCTATACTGGGTAAAGTTAGTAAACAAGCTGAATGCTGGAGACCTATCCCTGGATCGTCTTGGACGCACCAGCTGATCATCCGCCTAAACCATACAGTTATATTCAGTATAATCGACTTTTTTGAAAGGGAGTTTTTCCGAAAAATAAAAGGGGTATAGGGTGATTCAGAATTGAATTCGGGTCTCATTTCTAATTTTACTTTTATCTGTTGTGTTTAAAGAAGAAACTGAAAATGGTTTATAAAACGCCTTATACTCAAGACAGCAGAATCCAGATAAACTCACAGAGTTGTATTACTCAACCAAAACCGTAAATATAAAGTAAATTAAATTTAAAACTAATCATTCAGATATTACAAGTTATAATGGTCTAGTTCTATGCGGAATATTCATAGTAGTTAATTTTTCGTAATATTTTTTATTTTATGATCCGAGTCACGATCGTGTGGACTTTTTCTTTTCTCTTTCTTCTAAATAGTATTTTTGATTCTCTCGCAACTTTAGTTGAACATATTCTGCCTGTCTATAAGCCTAATTTTTTTTGCAAATATTCATTTATTTTCTGTCCTTTTGCGCCCTCAAATTTACCAAGCTATTTTGAACATCTTTATTTTCTCTGAACATTATTTTATTTTATTCGCTGTTATTTTTATCAATTTTTGCTGCTCCAGTTAATTATTAATTGTTATGTTGATCTAAGCAATTATTAAATAGATTTGAACAATAATTTTTCAACGGCTTTTAAAACTTTGTTTTTAGATCTGTAGCTTTAGTTACACATTTTTTTACACGGATCGGACGTTTTAAACTACACATGCATTAACAAAAGGTTTACAAACAATCCTTTAAATTATATTTCTTAAAAGTCAATACATTTCAAGGTGAAGGTGTCCAAAATGAGAGAACTATGGCAAAAAAACTAGATGGAGGGGTGTCAAACGCGCCACCCCCCCCCCCCCCCCCCCCAGCCTGTTTAGGGATAACAGATTTTTCCCCCCAATTACTTATACATTCATCGAACCTGTAAAGGTAAAGTCAAAATAAGAAGTTCAGAGAAAGATTGATCACCATCTAGCAGTTTGGCCTTTAATAAGTTATCGAATATTTATTTATTAAAAGCATTAGATTAATTAAACTTTATTTTATTTCTAAATAAAAATATTAGCAAACAAAATAGTCTCATGACCTCATGGGAAAGCTGTGGAATCATATGAACCGTTCAAAAGATAAAGTTTGGTTATCATGGATTGGCACTTGGCAAAATAGTGAATATTCTACCTCTCCTAGATTATCATTAGTGAATATTCTACCTCTCCTAGATTATCAATAGGGAATATTCTACCTCTCCTAGATTATCATTAGTGAATATTCTACCACTCCTAGATTACCAATAGTAAATATTCTACCTTTCCTAGATTATCAATAGGGAATATTCTACCTCTCCAAATTTATCAATATTGAATATTCTACCTCTCCTAGATTATCAATAGTGAATATTCTACCTCTCCTAGTTTATCAATAGTGAATATTCTACCTCTTCTAGATTATCAACAGTGAATATTCTACCTCTCTTAGATTATCAATAGAATATTCTACCTCTCCTAGATTATCAATAGTGAATATTCTACCTCTCCTAGTTTATCAATAGTGAATATTCTACCTCTTCTAGATTATCAACAGTGAATATTCTACCTCTCTTAGATTATCAATAGAGAATATTCTACCTCCTCTAGATTATCAACAGTGAATATTCTACCTCTCTTAGATTATCAATAGTAAATATTCAACCTCTCCTAAATTATTAATATTGAATATTCTACCTCTCTTAGATTATCAATAGTGAATATTCTACCTCTCCTAGATTATCAATAGGGAATATTCTACCTCTCCTAGATTATTCATAGTGAATATTTTAACTCTCCTAAATTATCAATAGTGAATATTCTACCTCTCCTAGATTATTCATAGTGAATATTTTAACTCTCCTAAATTATCAATAGTGAATATTCTACCTCTCCTAGATTATCAATAGTGAATATTCTACCTCTCCTAGATTATTCATAATGAATATTTTAACTCTCCTAAATTATAAATTATCAATAGTGAATATTCTACCTCTCCCAGATTATCTATGGTTGTTTGGCCGAACTCTCCGCCAGGTGAATTCCAGTTTTCAAGAACATAAACTGGTTCCAAGCTGTTGCAGGAAGATGTTTTATACCTTTAAATGAAAAAAAATATCATCAAACTATTATATTATTTACATAAACATTATAAGTAATGTTTTTTTTAGTTCGCTCTCAAATTGTATTTTTATATTTTGAATTTGAGCTCAAAAGAAAAAATTTATTTTGAGTGGGTTAAAGATTTAAGTTGTTGAAACTATGAAATGATGGTCGATAGACTCCATTATTTTCCATTTTATAGTTAAAAAAATTATGAAGAAAAAGAGCAATCATTCACTGTGTTTGGTAAATGTATCAACTTGAATCTTATGTTTATGGTTTAGGCAGAAATATTTCATTTATCTTTTCTAAAATTACCTCAAAACTTGACCAGGGGATAAAGCTATTGATTTACTGAACAGCATAATGAAAATGAAGGTGTTGAAGAACATTTTGTGCTGAACTTTGTTTTATTTATCATAAAAAGGTTCTTTAAGTGTTTAAACTGAATCAGCTTAAATTTCTTAAACCAAGCAAAGAAAATTCCCATGATTCTACACATAATTCCTCCAAACAAAATTTTAGGAAAATCGGCCCAGGTGTTTTTAAGTTATGATTTAACACCCAAAGAAATAAATAAACAGATAAAAAAATAATAGAACGTTATAATATATATTTCCATCCTGCGGGCAGATAAACTTTGGATGTCCTTGTAATTCAGAAGCTTTTTTTAATGCATAATGGAGAACGAGTGTTATTTCACTTAACGATGAGGATTTTCCGGGAATAACTGTAAATAAGTCTATAGAAAAATGAATGCACGCAACATCAACAAAAGACGTCCATCAAGGGATTGGAACGATTTATAATAACGTATATGGCACGAGCGGTTTCAAGAATTCAATCAATGTTAACAATCAACCAATGTTAAAAATCAATCAATGTTAACAATCAACCAATGATAAAAATCAACCAATGTTAACAATCAACCAATGTTAAAAATCAACCAATGTTAACAATCAACCAATATTAAAAATCAACCAATGTTAACGACCAACTATCGTGAACGATTAAACATCGATAACAGTAAACCATTATTATGGGAAACCATTGCGATCGTTAGAAATTAACCATGTTTAACAATCAATAATGATTAACCATCAAACAATCAATCGTTAATAAGCGATAAAATCGGAAGGAACTAATTTTGTAATTAACAAATTTGGTAACATCTAGATAGGACTGCATGATAAATACTACAAACTACCAAGGATGGTCTACACTACTACGCTTTAATTGAGAATGAAATGAGGACAAGATTAAACATTAATAAATCTCCGTATCTCTCTGCTTCTCTCCGGCTCCTATTGATTCATACCAAATGTCAACGGAGGAAATTGAACCTGAAATAGTAGACATGAGATCAACAGTTACTTTTCTGAAAAATCAATTAACTACGAATACGATTTAATTAATCGAATCGTTCGATCAATCACAACCAAAAATTGTTCAACTATACGTAATATTACCTTTCTTAACAACTATCTAGAATCTTCTGCTTCATGCATATTTAATATCTGGTCTAGTTAATCTTTAAATGCCGCCATGTCTATTCTAGACTTTCTCTTCTCCTATAACCATTTAAATCAAAAAACTGTTTCGTCTTATATAATTAAAAGGGACGGTATAGACATAATTTGAAGTGAGAGCACTCTTTTAAGCTTTATCTGAGCAACCAGGTGGAAGATATCGTCGTTTTTCCATTTTAAAATGTTTTTTTTTCATAGAGAACTCATAAATATACATTATCAATTTTCATATAGGGTACCTTTAAAGTTTAAAGGGTACCATGCTTATCTTTTGAATGGGACGTCAGCTGAAATTACGTTCACAATCCCTTTAATGTACTTATGCTCTCATTTTGTGATTGACCCATGCAACGCGATTTATGCAACAGATTTAGGCGGACTGAACTATAGCGAACTTATCTGGATTTTCAATATAAACCTTAAAGCACTTATTACATATATACATTTTGCATGAGTGACTGTTTCTAGAATTTTTTTGAATCCTTAAAATGTTGAAATAACAGATTATTTTTTGTGTTTTCAACAAGTTTTGTTTATTTATTATTCAACAGTTGTCCAAGGTATGAAGCATGATACAACGTACTGCAGTGTAAGAATGTAGCAGGAAAAGGTAAAATTTATGCGACATTACAGGTTCGACTTTGTGACCTTGTAACTTCTCTAGTTTTTATATTATGCACAAGAATAAAACAAGCTAATTTATCCGGTTACAAATTAAAAAGACAAAACTGTTTGTTCTTAATAGCTCTTCAATAAGAGGAGTTATTATTCAAATCATATAAAATGTCAATCATTCGTAAAATTTATTTTAGTTTGGCGTGCTACGTAAGAACAACTTTACGTGAATTGAGTAATAAGAGAATTTTGAATTTGTTTACATTTTAATGTGACGTATTAGTGCAGTTCTAAATAACCAGAATTTTAGATTTCATGAGACCATTTGAGATTTTTTAACATTCTTCATAAATCTTATAAATGTACAATTCACAAGCTATTTATGATGAGATATCTATATAATCTTAAATTGTGGTTTCTCTCGACATGTAAATTTAAGTTGCAGAAACAACAGAGTAAATTGTAAAAATTAATGACCTTTCAAATTGGAAAAATGACAATATCTTCCAAATAATCTAAGTTTGAAATATCAAAAAATTGCACCCTCAGGTTGCTTAAGATTGAAGTGTAAGTGTAGTAAATGCCCTACTCCCTAAGGGTTTTTCAAACCCTGTATCTATTTAGGCACAACACAGTTTCACTTAGCTGTCAATGTCTAAACCTGGACGCAATCTCATCAGCTATCATTTTCCCTAAGGACACTAGCTTTTAAACTATCAGTGCCAAACCAATGGGCACAATCTCATAAGCTATTAAGCTATTGATGTCAACGGGACACAAGCTCATAACTATCAATGCCAAACCAATGCGCACAATCTTGTAAGCTTATGATGTCAATCAAGCACTAGCTCAAAACTATCTCAATGCCAAACCAATGGGCACAACCTGGTAAGCTATCATAACTATCTATGCCAAACCAATGGGCACTATCTCCACAACTCGTATGATGTCAATCAAGCACTAGCTCATAACTATCTCAATGCCAAACCAATGGACACAACCTGGTAAGCTATCATAACTATCTATGCCAAACCAATGGGCACTATCTCCACAACTCGTTTGTTTAAACAAGGAAGGATTACTCTCTCGCAGTAATCAGTACAAAGTCGCTATAGCAACTGAGAATATTTTTAGGTTCTAGATTAAGGTTAGGTTTTAACAGGCATAATTAAAAGTTCATGCGTTGTTATATATAACGTAATTAAGCAATCACAAAATGGGTTTGACAGAGTTATATATATGCTTTTCTAGGTTAGGTTAATCTCAATACATGATTTGCATATTTACTAATGAGCGTATTCAGATCTATGGACCATGTACAATGTAATTTATCTAGATTACTGTGGGGCCTCTGTATTTATTACATAAGGAATAGCAAATCTGAGAGTGTTTTCAATTACTTCGTATCTTGACTTTTTACGGACACTCTTCCTATATCTTACTTGACTGTTTTTAGTTTGACCTTCAAATGTATCCTAAGGGAAATCCTTTATATTTTGTTTGACCTTATGAATCACTATTTTTCATTTGAATAGATATTCTCATTTCTTTTTTCAATATCCTAATACCCCCCCCCCCAACCCACCCTTCCTCCCCCTCTATGTCTAGAATATAAGATGAGCTTATATATTGACATATTACATCTGAATAAATTATAAACCAGCTTTCCAATACTATTCAAACTTTAAACCTTTTAGAGAATGTATATTTTGATATTGTATTTTGTTCTTTTTTATGTATTACTACCTGAAAGGCCAGGCGCTGCCCGTGGGAAAAAATAATTTCAAAAAAATAAAAATATGTCACCCCAGGGTTCCCATGAGTGCCTACAAAAAATTTCATTTTATTCGGTCCAGCCGTTTGGCCGACCGGAGGAACATACATACAAATGTCTTGTTTTATTATATAGATGTTTAATTTAATCTTTTTCTATATCGATGTAAAATTTTGTGCGTACCAGGGCTACAGGTATAACGGTCTCAGACCTTTTAGTCCTCAACCTAATTGTAAAAAGTGTCTAAAGTGTGTTTAAATTGTATGATGTCTGTTTAAAGTGTGTTTAAATTGTGTGATGTGTGTTTAAAGTTTGTAAGATGTGCGTTTAAAGTTTGTAAGATGTGTTTAAAGTGTGTAAAATGTGTTTAAAGTGTGTAAAATGTGTTTAAAGTGGGTAAAGTTTGTTTAAAGTGTGTAAGGGGTGTTTAAATTGTGTGATGTGTGTTTAAAGTGTGTGAGGTATGAATGATTAAAGTGTGAGAGGTGTGCTTAAAGTGTGTACAGTTTCTTTTAAGTGTTTGAGGTAGAATGGGGTGTTTGAGATTTGTTTAAAGTGTGTGATGTGTGTTTAACGTGTGTGATGTGTGTAATGTATGTTTAAATTGTAGGATTCAAGTCTGTGTGTGTAAAGTGTGTGATGTGTGAGGATTGTGCCTGGTTCCATGTTTACGTGTAAACATATTGACCGTAGACAACTTATTAATTATTAAATCCATGCTAGGCTATATCCTCTGGTATCCCTGGTATCCCTGATATACGGGTAAACACAATAAACAATGTATCCATGCAACCTCAAATACAATTCTTTTATAAACTTTAGTCTCTTCTAGTCTATAAACGATCAAACCATATATTTTTAAACTTTAGTCTCTTCTAGTCTATATGCGATCAAACCATATATTTTATAAACTTTAGTCTCTTCTAGTCTATATACGATCAAACCATATATTTTATAAACTTTAGTCTCTTCTAGTCTATATACGAGCAAACCATATATTTATAAACTTTAGTCTCTTCTAGTTTATATACGAGCAAACCATATATTTATAAACTTTAGTCTCTTCTGGTCTATATACGATCAAACCATATATTTTATAAACTTTAGTCTCTTCTAGTCTATATACGATCAAACCATATATTTTATAAACTTTAGTCTCTTCTAGTCTATATACGATCAAACCATATATTCTTAAAACCAACTTCTTTCTCCATAAGTATATAAAAAAAAATTTTAATTCACACTGAATTAAAATAAACATAGCGATCACATTATGATAAACATTTAACTACATTTTGTCAAAGATTTTATTAAAATTCTTCACATTTATTTAGATTTAATTTTTTTTTTAATTGGTTTTGATGATGATCAGAACCTCATAGAGAAAATAAAGTAGGTGTTAGTTTCACATTTTTGAAAAATATATTTCGGTATATGTTGACCCTTTTCATATTTCTTCATATTTCTTTCTGTCATGACAATATGATTTCTTTATTGTAAAAAGTTTGCCATTGTTCCAATTTAAAGTAAATGTTGGATATCCATATTCCCGATTACTGATTTCGATAAACACAGTAGGATCTTTTGAAATTCACGCAGAATCTGCTTCATCTCTTAGTTTGGATATCCACAATTTCTCTGTTTTCTTATTTGCTTGAACACAAAATTCCCTGGCTTCTGATTGGCTGTTTGTTTTCCACAGACGACACTCTTCACTGGATATCGAATAAAGATTAAATTAATCTGTAGATTAACAAAGATCAAGATTAATCATTGATATTCACAATACATGATTTCTCACCTCTAGACCAATCAGCAGTTAGGTTGAAACGGAATGGGCTTTGCATTTATAAAACAACAAAGTTCTTAAATGTAAAAGTGATTTCTAACCATATTCATCTAAAGTTTTTGCAGGCTAACTCCAAAAGATCTTGCTTGCTTGCTATATAATAAAATGTACTGATTTCCAGATATCCTTGTTTATTTATAAGTGTGAACACTGTACACTATGTACCGTTGGACCGTACAGTAATGATTACGAATTTTCTACCTGGTTTCCTGCTCCTGCTCCTGGTCATTGACCCGAGCAGGGGTCAGCTTGGTAGCTGGGTTCGTCAAAGTGCATGCATTCATGATTCAGGAGGTAGATATATTTTTAATTGTTTATACAAGTATACATACAAACATGATATATGACAATATTGAAGAATTCTTTATTGATACTTCTTTATCACATCCTTACATTAATAATAATATTATCATTATTATTATTATTATTATTAATTATTATTAATGTTACTATTAATATTTTCAATGTTATTATTCTCATCATAATTATAATTATTATTCCAGAGGATCCTGTCTTCAAGCACAGTGGGGGGTATGCCCCTGATATGACACCATATCAATGCATCAAGAACTGCATGTCGCAAGAACTTCACCAGGTTGGGGAGCTAAATAAAAGCTTTAATACTGCTTTTCATGGGGAGTGTTTATGTTTGATGGTGAAGGGAGGGGGGATCTTTAGACTTAACGAGTCTTTTCAATAGCTGTACAAAGTTACTCACAATAGTTTTTTTCATATAAGCTGATTTTTTTCCATTTAAAAGTCATGAGCTTCCAGGGATTCAGTTAAAAAATTACCTCTCCCTTGGAGTTCCCCTTTATGCTTTTATTTTCTTTAAAATCCCATGTATAGCCCACTGTAGTCCCAATTCAAGTTATATTCAAGTAATATAATTCAAGGAATATATATGTAGCAAATGCCTTACTCCAATAAGTTCTCTTAAGTGTGTACCAATCTTCTGTATTCTCAAGTATCTATCAATCGAGATACAACATCTGAATTCAAAAGTATGTATTTTATAACTCACTCTAGAACTCCACGTTCTACAATAATTCCTAGGTCTGTATCAAACCAGATACAACGCTCTCTATATTCTCAGTATGTATTGTACAGATACAACTCTCTCTAGAACTCCATGTTCTACAATAATTCCTAAGTCTGTATCAAACCAGATACAACGCTCTCTGTATTCTCAGTATGTATTGTACAGATACAACTCGCTCTTGAACTCCATGTTCTACAATATTACTTCAGTCTGTATCAATCCAGATACAACGCTATATGTACTCTTTAATGTGTATCGTACAGATACAATTTGCTCTTGAACTTGCTTGTCCGATCAATAATACTTCAGTATGTATCAAGCCAGATACAACACTCTCTGTATTCTTAAGTTGGTATCCCTGATACAACTCTCTTTATTCTCTTAATTAAGTATCAATCATGATAGAATACCGATAGTTTCTCAGAAATAAACGAACGTAGTTAGGGTATAACGTAATATATCTAGGCGTGTTGTTCAGGTTTACAAATATGGGGTTCACTACAATATTTATTACATATATAACAATGTATCCATGTCACCCATAATTAAGCTTTTGGTGCTGTACAGTGATCTACATTACACTGACCCAAAGCAGAGTGTATTTTAGCGAAAAGTGCCATCTGTATTAGAGGGGAAAGGCAGGCGGCCATAAGCCTCAACAATTTTCCCTTCCATGCCACATATTATCTTTTTTGTCTTCCGGCAGCCATGAGCCACAACCGTACGGTCTTCCATGCCACAGCATTTGAGTCTTCCGGCAGTAATTATGTTTTTAAATAATAAATTTAGTCATTGAAATTGTGATTTTTAAAAATCCAGCGACTTCATGCAAAATACATATCTATATAAAGAACTTTATATTTAAGTTTTAATTGAAATAATGATGATTCCTTTTAATGTAAACTGCTAAACTTATTTTCCCCAAAAACAAATTCAATATTTTTTCTAAAATGGCTTATTTTTGAAAACATTTTGAAAAAAAAACAAATGTACTATGGCATACTCTTTATTTTCAAATGGCGCCCATAACCGAAAATTTGCACTATTTAACGAGAAAATTGCGAAGTAGAATGTTTTGTGGAAATCTTAACGCTCAGGTAATGTTGTGATTTTTCCTATCATTTAGACTACCCCAAACAATTTTTGTCTTGATGCGTAAAATGATGTCAAATTTTCTTAGCATCATGTAAAGAAGTTTGTAAACTGAACACAATAAATTAATCTTTAATAAACTTCTAAAATTTCTTAAAGGTATGATCTTCCGGGTAGTGCGGCAGGATTTTTTAAAATTGCAATTTCAATACCCTAAATTTATTATTTAAAAACGTAATAACTGCCGGAAAACTCAAATGCTGTGACATGGAAAGACCGTACGGTTGTGGCTCATGGCTGCCGGAAGACAAAAAAGATAATATGTGGCATGGAAGGGAAAATTGTTGAGGCTTATGGCCGCCTGCCTTTCCCCTCTAATACAGATGGCACTTTTCGCTAAAATACACTCTGCTTTNCCCCCCCCGTAATGTAGTCTCTTGCAAGAAAACTTGTCTCCACGCCTGCATAATACATATATAAGTTATAGCTATAATTGGTCATCAATTAACCGGTTGAGACAGAGGCCCTAGTGGGTAGGGACAACCTAAAAGAAAGAAAATATTATGGATAAATTTGAAATTAAAATATTAACATACTTTTTACTAATACTTTTTCACAACCTTTAAAGCTATTTTATCTTTTTAACATTAAAATAAATCTTTAGTTTTTAGATCTTAAAGTTGTTCATTGTCGGAAAATACTAACAATCTACCACCAGTTACATATTAAATGTAATCTAAACAGTAAATAATTTAACTGTCCTTTGCCTTTCCTTTTCCTCTTTTTTAGAACTGGGGGGGAATATTCCCACAATTTATTTGTTGGAGGTTTTAAAATATTTTCTCCTAAACACTTAACTTTGTATGTTTTTGTTATATTTCAAAAATAAATACTTACTTACTTACTTACAATATTTCAGAGGTATGACAAAGAGCTAGTTGTAGGTCTGACCCAGGGTGGGTTTTGCCTCTGTGGGTACGATTACCAACGTAAACAAGCCGCTGGAGGTTATTATTAAACTTTTTAGAGATTTTATTGGATTACAGAAATATTGTGGATGATATTGTCGGTTTTCTAGCTTAAAAAGTTTTTAATTCAGATATCTTTCTTGCAGTAGAAAACGCACAGTTGAAAATAATGAATTTTTAAAAATTATGACATTGACATAAATTCATACTTCATCAGAAATAGCTTTTAAAAGTACTGTTGTGAATCGGACATTGTCATCTTAGCCTGGAGGGTTACTTACTTACGCTTTCAGTCCCTATAATATGCTATAACATGTAAAGTTATCAGTACTATAGAAATAAAAAAACACGCTGAGTTTCTTCTTCTTCTTCTTCTTCTTCTTCTTCTTCTTCTTCTTCTTCTTCTTCTTCTTCTTCTTCTTCTTATATCATTATGCTTCCTATACTTCTTATTCATCTTATTCTTCCTATAGTTCTTATTCATCTTATTCTTCTTATACTTCTTATTAATCTTATTCTTCTTATAGTACTTATTCTTCTTATTCTCATTCTTCTTCTTATTCTTCTTATTCTTCTTAATCTTCTCTTTCTTTAGATATAGAAGAGTATCTTGGAACGGAAGCCACCAGCTTGTGTAATATCCCTTGCTGTACAGGAACAGGGGGTATTTGTCCGACTGGGATCTTTCAGGAACTATTATGCATCATGTAAAATAATTTTGTACGTTTTAAACATTTAAAAAATTCTTGGTAATACCGATTAAGAAAATAAATTTTTTAAATTCTGTTCTTTCAAAGTTTGCCTTTTCTAAAGGAATTGAGTCTTTGTCACAAACTCTGATTTTCTAATCCATATATCTGAGCAACTCAATGGTGTAATGTTGTAGACCTTAGATATTTTAAATTATGAATTCTGTTATATCAAATAAGCTTGAAATACCAAAGGCTTACAACATCAAGCATTAAAATATTTGATTTTGTGGCAAAGACTCTATGTATTTGATGAATATTATGTTTAAACAGTGTGGAGGGGATTATGGACGAGTATCTATTTACTTTGATTTCGCCGCTCCCGTCACTGTTGGGCTCAATGTATTTCTCACCAACTCCGACAAGCAAAATGTAGCGATAGATTATACAATTGGTATACTCCCACCCCCTACTCCTGGAGGTAAATAGATTATACAGTGGGTAAACTCCCACCCCCTAATCCTGGAGGTAAATAGATTATACAGTGGGTAAACTCCCACCCCCTACTCCTGGAGGTAAATATATTATACAGAGGGTATACTCCCACCCCCTACTCCTGGAGGTAAATAGATTATACAATGGGTATACTCCCACCCCCTACTCCTGGAGGTAAATAGATTATACAGTGGGTATACTCCCACTCCCTACTCCTGGAGGTAAATAGATTATACAATGGGTATACTCCCACCCCCTACTCCTGGAGGTAAATATATAATACAGTGGGTACACTCCCACCCCCTACAGTTGGGGTAGTAAGGGTAAGACAAAAAATGTTAACATTAAATCGTTTATTTCTTAGAAATTATACCATATTGACCTCTATTAATGGCCCTATGGCGTACAATATTCTTAAAGCTTTCTTTATGGTTCCTTAGTTTTGAAAACAAATCAATAAATTTGCCACAGGAGTATTAATTTCCCGTTTTTTAAATAAACAATTTCTCGCATTACTAGTGAAATCTATTCTATATCGTAAAATCAAAATAATATTAATATTGTGATCTCTTAGCGCTGTAATGATTTTTAATTATAAAAAACAGCATGTTTTATTTTCTATTTTGTTTATATTTTACCTTATATAATAGAATATGTTCGAAATGAAATCAAGTATCATTCTACACACCTTTTATTAGTTTAAAATTGACCTTTTGCCTGGTGTAGTTAATTTAGTTCAAATCGGCCTTGGATTTAAAGATACATACGTTTGGAGAAGATAACTTGGCAGACTTGGCCCATTTCTAACACTAAGTGTTAAAAATGGGCCAAGTGTTAGTTTTAAGTGTCCTGTAAGCCTAATTTATCACATAATAGCTCTATAAATCGGCAACCTCCTTAGTTACCATTAAAGGGAGTGTTCGCAAAAAATGAAAGGGGATATAGACTGATATCGAATTGAATTCGATATTGATCGTTACTAATTTTACTTTTATCTATTGCGTTTATAAAGATAAAATGGTTAAAAATGTCTTATCCCTTAGAGCATTGAATCCATATAAATTCACAGAGTTGCATGAATCCACTCAGATCGTAAATAATTTAATTAAATTTTAAATTAATCATTCAGTTATTACAACCTATAAATGTCGAATTCAATTCTATGCATTTGTATATTGTTGATTTTTCATAATATATTTTTTTGTATACAACGCATTTAAACGACCATTTTTTGGCCGCTAGGTGTCTCAACCAAGTGAAATCTCTGTAATATATCTAGAGCACAGACACTTAGCGGCCAAATAATCGTCGTTTGAAGTACATCGTTCATAAAAAAGTGAATATCAGCATATACCCCCTTTACTTTTTTGCGAACACTCCCTTTAAGTTTGATAATTAAGATAAAGCTAACTTAATAAAGTAATACATTGCTTAATCTAAACTTAATAACTTTTCTTAATTAAAGGTACAACGGTAGGCCTTGCTGGAAATATTACTATCACTACCACAGCAACTACAACTACCAATACAACTGCAACTACCACTACAATTACTACTACAAATACTACTACAAATACCAATACAACTTTGAATCCTCTTACTGCTCCAAGTACATTTCCTCCGAGTATAAACGCGACCTATCTTAGTTCAGTCACATCTGAGATGGTAGTTCCTGGATACAAGAAACTAAACGTGTTTGAGGTAGGTTTAGGTTTTGGTTTAAGATTAGGTTTAGGTTTAGGTTTAGGTTTAGGTTTAGGTTAAGCTGTAGCTTTAGCTTTAGCTTTAGCTTTAGCTTTAGCTTTAGATTTAGCTTTAGCTTTAGGTTTAAGTAAAGGTTTAGGTTTAGGTTTAGCTTTAGCTTCAGCTTTAGCTTTAGCTTTAGCTTTAGGTTTAAGTATAGGTTTAGGTTTAGCTTTATCTTTAGCTTTAGATTTAGCTTTAGCTTTCGGTTTAGGTTTAGCTTTAGGTTTAGGTTTAAGTTTAGGTTTAGGTTTAGGTTTAGGTTTAGGTTTAGGTTTAGGTTTAAGGTTTTGTTTTAGGTTTAGGTTTAGGTTTTGGTTTAGGTTCAGGTTTAGGTTTAGGTTTAGGTTTAGGTTTAGGTTTAGTTTTAGTTTTAGGTTTAAGTATGGGTTTAGGTTTAGGTTTAGGTTTAGGTTTAGGTTTAGGTTAAAGTTTAGGTTTAGGTTTAGGTTTAGGTTAAGGTTTAGTTTTAGCTTTAGCTTTAGCTTTAGCTTTAGCTTTAGGTTTAGCTTTAGGTTTAGCTTTAGGTTTAGGTTTAAGTTTAGGTTTAGGTTTAGGTTTAGGTTTAGGTTTAGCTTTAGCTTTAAGTTTAAGTTTAGGTTTAGGTTTAGGTTTAGATTTAGGTTTAGGTTTAGGTTTAGGTTTTGGTTTATCTTTAGCTTTAGGTTTCGGTTTAAGTTTAGGTTTGGGTTTAGGTTTAGGTTTAGGTTCAGGTTCAGGTTTAGCTTTAGGTTTAGCTTTAGCTTTAGGTTTAGCTTTAGGTTTAGCTTTAGGTTTAGGTTTAGCTTTAGCTTTAGCTTTAGCTTTAGCTTTAGCTTTAGCTTTAGCTTTAGGTTTAGCTTTAGGTTCAGGTTTAGGTTCAAGTTTAGGTTTAGGTTTAGATTTAGATTTAGGTTTAGGTTTAGGTTTAGGTTTAGGTTTAGGTTTAGGTTTAGGTTTAGCTTTAGATTTAGGTTTAGGTTTAGGTTTAGGTTCAGGTTTAGGTTTAGGTTTAGGTTTAGGTTTAGCTTTATCTTTAGCTTTAGCTTTAGCTTTAGCTTTAGCTTTAGCTTTAGCTTTAGCTTTAGCTTTAGCTTTAGCTTTAGCTTTAGCTTTAGCTTTAGCTTTAGGTTTCTCTTTATGTTTATGTTTAGGCTTAGGTTTAGGTTTAGGTTTAGGTTTAGGTTTAGGTTAAGTTTAGGTTTAGGTTTAGGTTTAGGTTTAGGTTTAGGTTTAGGTTGCAGAAATATAGGAATTGCAAATTTAAAGTTTGTGGCAAAGACTCAATATCTTTTTTTAGATATACAATTCATTCTGGTTTGAAAAACTTGGGAAGTAGATAAACTTTGAAATGTTTAGGACATGTTTCTGAATGTTGAGATCGGAGAATACCGGTGTTCAAACCAACCGAAGAGCCCATCTCCTAATAATGAAACCCTGTGTGCTATTAGTGACATGATGGGATCTCAATCCCTACCTCCTGTAATTATTACTGTGGATTTCGGGGATGGATCGGGAGTTCAGGTGTGGTTTTTTATTTCTTGTTTTCATCACAGAAAACCTAAAATATTCTAAAAAGATCAGATATTTTCTGACCGTTGTTTGGTGGATTTTAAATTAAAAATTATACTTAGCATTTTCCTTTCGTCTATTTAAAAAAAAACTGTTTAAACTTAAAGAGACTTTAAACGTATTTTCAGGTAACGCTATATTATACAATTATATTCACAGGGGCACCCTTTAAACCTTGAAACGTGTTCATTGTCTCTGTAGCATAAATGCGAAAGTCACTTTTATATAGAAACCAGGTTTCGTTGTGAATCAGATACGCAACTTTATAACTTGAAATTGCGTCATTAGTCTCTGTGACTTCAAGTATTACAATAATTACACATGATTTACTCTCAGCAATTGAACGCATTTAATATAAAAAATATACGAAAAAAATATTTGATTTTTACTTTAGAAATGGAGCAGAGAGGATCCTAGAGACCTTTGGACTCATAAATATCAACTTCCAGGACAATACTGGATCCATGTTTCAAGTAAGTTATCCCAGGAAAATACTGGATAAAGTTAAAGTAAGTTATCCCAGGACAATACTGGATACATGTTTTAAGTAAGTTATCACAGGACAATACTGGATACATGTTTTAAGTAATTTATCACAGGACAACACTACTGGATACATGTTTCAGGAATTCCTTGTTGATAATCTTGTTTTTCTCTTCAATTTCCCATCAAACCTTAAGTTTCTTATGTGTGTACGTTTAACTTGGATTTGCCATTTTTCTCTGTCTCCCTGTACTCTTAGTTAATGTTAGAAGTGCCTCTGCAAACACCTAGGTCCTGTTGTTTTGAGGAAAAATTGAGTTGAATTGCCATTTTATTATATATTCTCTGTTGTGGTGGTTTTCCAATAAAGTTGGCTCCGAAGGACTTGAGTCTTTGCCACAAACTAAAATTTTCTGATTTCTATATTTTTACCACTAGATGTTGTAAGCCTTTGATATTCTAAACTAAAGTTTTTTTATCTAACAGAGTTCTATAGTTTTAAATATATAATTGTTGCGACATTGGGTTGCATAGATATAGGGATTAGAAAATCAGAGTTTGTGGCAAAACCTCCGTTCCTTTCTTGAAATTACCTTGAATCTAATCTTCTATATAGTAAAGCTCTCCGCTCTTATATATATATCAGCAATCTGGCCAAACGGCTGGACCGAATGGGCTGATTTTTTTAAGGGAACCCTTGAGTACCCCGGAAGTATCAAAGGCTAAAAAATTCAATTTTTTTTAAACCGAGATTTTTTCTCCAAAAATCTAATTTTTTTCTTTAATATAGGCTAAACATAATTTTAAATATTTTTCTCACTCAAAATTGATAACCTGACCCGCAGCATGTAAAAATGGCGACCAACGGATTTTTTAGACAAAGCAATAAAAAAGCCATAAAATTAAATAATTTAATGAACTTTTTAATGTTGTATTCGATAAAAGGTTCACTTCAAATAGTTTATCCAGATAACATTTTCTCAAAATTAAGTTTTAAAACGATGTTAGTCATGTGTGTTGAACAGGTATTGTTTGTTGTGATTCAAAATACACATAGACCCTTTTATGCACGCATTCTATCAAGTATTATTAACAACAACAAACAATCTTTGCAACCCAATGTCGAATGACCTTAGGTATTTTAAAATATGAAGGTTTATACCATCAGGATGAAAAGATAAAGGGATTAGATAATTTCAAGCTTATTTCCATTTAAGACAACATATTCAATCTACAAATGATAAATGGATAATTAAATATTTTAGCTCTGAATGAATATGATCAAACTGGAGATGAGATCTGGTATGAGGTTCTGGTAGTTGATCCTCTCAAAACTGAAAATGAGGTCATTTTTTATTTACATATTTTATTTTATATTTTTCATTTTCATTTTTTTCAGTAAGTTAAACTGTTATGCGCATTTATAAGTTCCAATCCCAAATTAATTTTCCTTTCCGCGGATTTTTAAAATTTTTTTTGATTAGTTAGAGATGTTTTTTATAAATTTAGATCGTTTATCATTCCCAAGTGATGGCTATTTCCATTTTCGGTTTTAAAAAGGTTTCTTTTTGTATTTTTCAAAAAATTAGGTGTTGTGCCCACCAGTGGTTACTCCAGGAGAATTCTTTTTGTGTACTGCAGATATACCCAGAGGATCAGACCTAACCTTTACTCTAGAGGAACAACATGGATACATAACCTTCGTTTAATTATAAAATTGATCCGTAATCTCAAATTTTCTAATCCTCATACCTTTGAAACTAAATGTCGTAGATCTTAGACATTTCAAACTATGCAAAAGCTATGAATTTTCACAGTTTGAAATATCAAAGGTTTACCCACTCATGTTGCATAGTTATAGAGGTTAGATAAATTGATTTTGTAGCAAAGAATCAATTCCTTTTTGCAATGGAAGTTTCTAAAAAAGCATATCTCTAAATTCATCTCTTTTGGTAGAAACCAAATGTTGGATATTTGAAACACAACCCACTAATAAAATAAAATTTGTTAATATACGTATATACAGGATTATCCATAAAAGATAAGACTTTGATCAGATGACGACCTTTCAAAATTCTCTAAAGTCGTAACGTAACTAATAATGGACGCCATTTTGAATGTTTCCTTGCTGAAAAGATGACAGATGATCTTGTAACGTCCATGAAAACTAGTTCAGGAACGTTAAAGGTAATATATTAATATTTTTTTGTTTGTTTTACCATATACATACCTCACATTTTACATTTAATTGAAGAAACTGATTACTGATTACTCAAAACTTTCTAGTCCCTTTTATTAATGAACAGTTTATTTTCTTTAATTAAGCTGTAACTATCATTCTGCTAAACTTTTGCTGACCTGAGGTTTAATTTTATTTTCTCTTCGATACTTAAATAAAGGGATCAAGCATTGATTCTTAAATTTGAGTGTCCCACATTGGATATCGAGATCAAGCGTTCAACTATCTTTGCAACTTGATGGTGTACACTTTTGATATTTTAAACTTTGACTATAAGATTAAGCTGAATTTATAATTTGAAATATTAAAGGTCTACAATATCAGGTTGCAAAGATATAATGAATAGAAAGAATAAGCTGATCACATTTATTATGAATAATAATATCAGGTTCCAGATCAGTTTATATTTATCCCTGGAGGACCATTGAAAACTCAATCCTGGAACCATACACTTGCATTAAACTCTCAAGTAAGTTTTATGATGGATATCTTAAAGGGAGTGTTCGCGTGTATGGGCGTGTACGGGCTGATCCCGAATTCAAATCGATATCGATGGCTACGAATTTTACCTCTTTCTTACGTGTATAAGGAGAAAATAACTTGTAATATCCGAATGATTAGTTTTAAATTTAATTAAATTGTTTATGGTTTGGGTAAAATAATGCAACGCCATGAATTTGTTGGGTCCATATACATATACGCTCTTTTATCTCAATTTCTCCTTACGAAACAGATAGAAGTAAAACTGAAACATTAATATACATCGATATTATTATGTGCATCCATATTATTACATGCATCAATATTATTTTATGCATCAATATTATTATATGCATCAATATTATTATATGCATCAATATTATTATTTGCATCAATATTATTATATGCATCAATATTATGATATGCATCAATATTATTATACGCATCAATATTATTATTTGCATCAATATTATTATGTGCATCAATATTATTATTATTATAAATATTATCCCCAAGTTTTAACTCCGAAATTTATATCAAAATACCCAAAGAACCTTAATTATTAAAGATTGAAATTTGTAACTCTGCATTATATTAAAACCAAATAGATTAAAGTACAATAGGTGGCAACAGAGAAATGAACAAATTATACACAACGTCACAAGTGTCAAATATAACAAAGAAAACGGAATTGTCTCAGATTAGTTGACATGTTTTCTAAGATTAAATAAAAACAGAAACTAAAAAAATACATAAAATTGCACTTATTTTACTGTAAGAAAAGCACTTTATTCTAAAATTATCACTATCATTGATCATTTTGTCGGACACAAAAACTGAATTGACACTTGTGACGACAGAATACAACTGTACTGAGAGTGTACAAATTCTACGTTGCCATCTATTGTACTTAACAATCTATTTGATTAAAACCAGCCGTTTCATGTTTCTCAATTAACATTTTCTTTTAATGTTTTTATTTCTCATCAATTAAAACATTTTTCCAAAAAGACATTTTTCCAAAGACTGTACCAAATGATACTTTAGCCAATGCGGATTTTTACAAATGTGCTATAGCCACACCATAGCTTACGGGCATATTTTACCCTAACTGTTGCATAAAATTTCAAAATCTTTCCTCTCTGAGGAATGATACATACTTTGGAGAAAAAAATTCAGCGGGAGTGGTTGAACGAGCCGTTGAGATCTAGCATAGACTCTACGCAGTTCAGAATAAGAAATTTACAATTTGTTCAACCGCTAAATCGCACTTTTTCGTTCACATTTTCAACAAATGAAATATAATTTTAGCTGAATAACGTTTTTTCTTTCAACCGCTGGTTTTCAAATTTTTTCACCAACTTTTTTGCATTCAACTTGTTTTCAGATTTTTCAGCAACTTTTTTGCTTGTAACCGCCAGTTTTCAGATTTTTCAGAAATTTTTACTTTCAACCACTGATCTGTAAAGATTTTTCAGCAACTTTCCAGCGTATAAAAGCATCCCAGTCGAAGTTTAAATCAAAAAAGTTTCTGAAAAATCTTGAACCTAGCGGTTGAAAGCAAAAAAGTTGCCGAAAACTTTTAAAACCAGTGGTGGAAAGAAAACGTCTTTCATGAAAAATTATTTTCCATGGTGGTTAAAAGCAACCCAGTGCAAGTAGTTAAAAGGAAAAAAGTTGCTGAAAAATGTTTAACCCAGCGGTTGAAAGCAAAAAAGTTTTAAAAAGTGAATAAAATATGAAAGAAAAAAGCACGAATTTATAGATTGAAAACAAATTTTAAATTTGAGAAAAATAAGGCGCATTTCTTATTCTGAGCTGCGTAGAGTCTAGGCTAGATCTCAAAACCGCTCATTCAACCCGCTCCCGCTGATTTTTTTTCTCCAAAGTATATATCATTCCTCTCTGAGTTTAGATATACACTATAGGAATGGTTTGGTAAAAAGAGGGAAATGTATATTTTATAAAATTATTTGGAATTTGAGCTGTTGCCCTCAAAAATATTGAGAACAAAATCTTTATGTTTTGAAATCTTTCATTATTGTTAATTTCTGTGTATTTAGGGTTCGAGTTTTATCATCCAGTCCACCTACTTCAAGTTTATGGGAAATATAAGTGAGATTGAATATGTTCCAGCAACCGCTGGCACTTTTCTTGTTGATGTAAGATTCGTTTTCAGTTCTTATCAATTTTCTCAAATATATTTTACAAATTTTCTAAGAGTGGGAAAAGAATTGAGTCTTTGCCTCAAGCTCTAATTTTCGAATCTCTATATCTTTGTAAACTAATGATATTTCTAACCATGATTTTTTTATCAAATATCAAAGGTTTCGACCATTAGGTTGCAAAAATATAGGTATTAGAAAATTTTGTGTCTCAATTTTTTTAACAGACAATTAATGAACTACTTTTTTTGTTCTAACTAAACTATTTTCATACGTAAATAAGCTTACACAAAATTTTGTTGATACCCCCCCCCAGAATCCTGTGGGAATTAACCCCCCCCCCCCCAAGAATTATGGGGGTAATTACCTCCCCTAGAATTTAAAAATTTGTTTTTAAAATTGAACATCTTTTAAATTTGCAGGAAAATAATTCAAATGTGCAGATACTTCAGATATTTCAGATTTTAAGTCAACATATTCTAAATGATTCTAAATTCTAAAGTAATAGCCAATGCCATTACAATTAGATGTTTTTTTTAATAGAAAAAAAAGGTATGGGCAATAAAAAATACATTTTTACTTCTAAATAATGTCATTTCCATATTAGATTTATATAAGATCTTATCATACTACATTGACGACAAGAAAATTTTAGAAATTAGAAATAAGAATATAAACAAAGACAATATTTTTTCAAAGTTTTGTAGAGTAGCATTTCTAAAGATTTAAAAAGGGACATCGTTTTCCTCTTAGAGTAAGACTATTATTTTTTATCTTACTTAAAATGAGTTCAGTTTTTATACAGATCTTTGTAGTTAATGTATAAGTATATAAAACAAGGTGAAAGCTGAAAGGTATGAAATGAAGCCTTTGAAAACGCAAATCAAACCCAATTAAAACCAATAATTTGATATACATCATGATATCTTTCTAGGGGAGGAGTAAAAAAAATTTCGGCGCGCTTCACGAGCCTTATTTAAATATTTTAAATATTTTAGAATATTTAAATATTTATATTTATAAATATTTAAATATTTTAGAATCATTATTCACGCCCCTGTAGGTTCATATTTCATATTTTTCATATTTTTATTCAACTATACAAAGCACGAGATAATACAAATAAAAAAATCACAATTTACTATGTAGTTTGGACCCGCCTAACCAGAGTAGGTTGTTTTAATTGGTTGGCCCACTTTGGTTGGTTCCACTTAAAATTACATTCAATATTTCAATATTTAAGCCAGCGCTCAATTTAAACCGGTTTTTGGCGGATTTAAGACGCGGCTGAAATTCATTAAATTCGGACTCATGTTGAACACTTTCCGAAATAAAACATTTTGATTTGTTAAGGTGATCTATCCTGAGTGCCCGGTGGTGAGGGATCCTGCTGGATCTTGGGTTCAAACCTGGTGGTGCCCTCTCACGGGGGCGTGTGAGATAAATTGTTTATCCACACTCCAGATGCAGGAGGATTGGTTAGTATTGGAACTGAATATTGATATATTAAGGGATACTGAGTGAGGACCTGAATATTGAAATATTAAGGGATACTGAGTGGGGACCTTAATATTGATATATTAAGGGATACTGAGTGGGGACCTGAATATTGATATATTAAGGGATACTGAGTGGAAACTAGAACTAGAACTAGAACTAGAACTAGAACTAGAACTAGAACTAGAACTAGAACTAGAACTAGAACTAGAACTAGAACTAGAACTAGAACAGGATTTAGAACTAGAACTTGAACTAGAACTAGAACTAGAACTAGAACTAGAACTAGAACTAGAGCTAGAACTAGAACTAGAAAAAGGATTTAGAATTAGAACTTGAACTAGAACTAGAACTAGAAATAGAACCAGAACTAGAACTAGAAATAGAACCAGAACTAGAATCAGAACGAGAACCAGACTAGAACTAGAACCATAATCAGAACTAGAATCAGACCCAGAACCAGAACTAGAACTAGAATTAATATGTCGAATTTTGTATTTCTAGGTGAATTTGGCGGGGAAAGCTTTTTCCCGACTGCTCCCAGAAACTTCACAAATGCTACTACAATGACTACAAGAGAAGTTAAATATAATTATGTGTAAGTTAATATTTATCCAATATTTTTGTAATTATGTTACAAATGGGTAAAATATTACTTACTATAATTTTTAACCTACAATTTCTACCTATGATAACTCCGTCTTATTGCTATTATTATACTAATATTTTTTTTAATGTCCCTTGTGATGATTAACTTAAAAAACATCATCTTCAATTAAAAAAAATATTTGAGTATTTTATTCTATAAAATTACTTGTAAAAGAATTGAGTCTTTGCCACAGACTAAAATTTTCTTTTTCTTTGTACCCTGGTGTAAATCTTTGATATTTCAAACCAAGATTTTTTTAACGAACATAATTCTATAGTTTGAGAAGGTCTTCAATAATGGGTTGAAAAGTTATAGGGATTTTAAAATCAGAGTATGTGACAAAGACTCAATTCTTTTGGACTTTCCAGAGTCCGCGATTTAAACTTCGGCTCGAGCTGTAATTCCTTAAACCCGACTTTAAGACCCAATCTTTGACCCAACCCTGATGACAGCTTGTGTCACGTGATTGACAGCTGCAAGATCTTCGGCTCGACTTAATTAGTAAGGCCCAATGAAAATAAAACCGACCTTGGATGGTTTTAGTGGAAAATAAGGTTCAATGTTGCGTCTTGGTCTCATAAAAACCCGGAATGCACCAATTCCTGCCATGAAAATCCGCCAAATAGAATATTAAATCGTTTTTTTTTACTCAATTCTGTGAAAAATAAGATGCAGCTTGAATCCGAAAGCTCAAGCCGTAAATAAGGCTTAACGACAGATTAGACTCGATCCGTGTTTTATCGATTTTTTTAATGGCGGGCTCTGACCAAATTGGCCGAGAAACGTAAAGTAAATTATTTTCAGGGTGAACAACACCTACACTATAAAAGTAGTAGCTGGTGAGTTGTTTAAACTTCAACATCTTGAAATAAAGAAAGCTGTTTTCCTGGATCCTGAGAGACAACAAATCAGGAAGAACCATACTGAAAGGTTAATATCAAGAACTTGGCAGACATCGAATTTATAAAATGTCGTTTTCTGAACCTACGGATAATGAAATGCTACAGATATATAGTTTTTTAATATTAAACAATATTAATCACATGGAGCTCTTTAAAATTTTCTCGGATATTTGATGGATATTTATTTATTTTTACAATTTAGGTATAAAAGTATAAGAGCAATTAAAAATTGTCAAGACGACATAAATTCTTTCAATGTTCCCAAAGTTCTGGGTTAAACTGTATATCATCTATAAAAATAGAAGTAATCTCTATTGTTTGTGTGTATAGTAGTTTGTTTTATATCCGATCATAACTCAGGAATCTCTTGACAAATTTGTCTCAAATGTTTGCCTGATCAAGCATTCATCCTTGAATCAAAATGGCCTACATGGGATATCGAGATCAAGCGTTAAAATTAATAATATCCAACCACAACACAATGATCTCAAAGTTAAAGAAAATTAAAATTTTTAAGTGCGAAAAAAACAACATTTTCAGTTTAATCTGGATTTTTCGAATTTTCTATTTACACTTTTTTGTACAGCAAACAAACCAGAGGAGAAGGTCACATTCAATTGACATTAATTACTACATTGGATATCGATATCATGCGTTAAAATTAATAATATCAAACCACAACACAATGATCTCAAAGTTAGAGAAAATTAAAATTTTTAAGTGCGAAAAAAACAACATTTTCAGTTTAATCTGGATTTTTCGAATTTTTTATTTACTCTTGTTTGTACAGCAAACTCACCAGAGGAGAAGGTCACATTCAATTGATACTAGTTTGACTTTGTTTTTGTTTTTATAACAGGAGGAGTTATAATAAAAAAACATACAAGTTTTCAATGTTTCTAGCTGATTACTTTAGTTTGGCGTATTTACGGTTATAAGGTTTGGAATATTCAATATTCATGTTGTATTTTAAGGCGGATTGATAGTAGATAACCAGCAGACATAAAATATTAATAATTTTGTATTCTAGATCCTACTTTGAGTATTATATGCTTGGAATAAGATGCCCGGATTCTGGTACTTGTGCTACTCTAGCATTGGAGTAAGTAGCAATAAATATTTTTAACATTTAACAAAAATTTAAACAAGGAACAAGAAAGTTTTTATCGAAAAGAGATACATTTCATACATTTCATCCATTTACTTCCTGTCTCTTCTGCATAATTTCGCAAGCCAATATTTAAAAAAAACTGCATTAGAAAATATATCATCAATTTTCATATTGAAAAAGGAAAACTTTTGGCTTAAACAAAGATTTACATGGTACCATTGTAAATCAAACATGTTACTCTTTATCTTGAAGAGTCACATGAAATTACGTCTCTACTTTCGAAGTAACAGTCCCTTTACAGGGGCTGTTAGCCTAATTTAAAATGACCCTCTATGCAAAAATGGCAATGCCCGATTTTCAACGGTACCCTTGAAAGCTTTGTCTGAACAAGTATGTTTATAGTTTTAAAATACTGATCATTTGCGGTTTCTTGGCATGAAAGGGACTTGCGTATTTTTACTGCAAGAAATTATCAGTTTTAAACCTGGAAACACGACCATATATCTTCCATATATTTTTGATCAGATTGAGGTTTCAAGGGTACCATTGTGAATCGGTACACTTACAGGCCCTTCAATCTCTTTAATGTATTATCCTATTAAGACCTGAGACTGATGAGAGACTTGTGGATCTAGCAGCCCAGTACAATACTACAGCTCCGGGTGGGTATGTAGCTATGACGTATACAGAGGAGAAGCGAGCTATCCGTCCTGTAATGATAGAGGATCGGATACTAGCGGTAGAACAGAAGTTCTTCTGTGATAGAACCACAGAGAAAACTGTTACTTTAACAGTTACGGATAGTCAGAATACTCCTATGGTAAGTTTTCATCACGCTAAAATAGAAGTCATGATTAAAAGTCAAACTTTAGAAACAAAGTAATTGACTTTTTGCCACAAACTCAAATTTCTTAATCCCTATTTCATTGCAAACTGATGGTGTATCCATTTGATATTTCAAACTTAGACTATTTGATCAAGCACAATTCATAGTTTGAAATTTCAAAGATCTATAACATCGGGTTGCAAAGATAACGGGATTAGAAAATCAGAGTTCCTTTCACTCAAAATGTAGATTTTTTTTTGTATTTGCTCTTTTTATATAAGACAGAGAATATTCCGGTACAGCTGGTGTAGTTTTACGTGGGCCATAGGTGACAAAGATACGACAAGAGAAGTAGATAGTTTTATACGTAGAGCTTAACAACTACCGTATACATTTCAACCCTATAGGGTACTCAATTGTACTCGAATCAATTCTTAGAAGTTCCATTAGCGCCAGATGAGAAGGAAAATTTATACGTCCAAAATAGAGATTTTTCATGAACAAAAGTTGCAAAAAAAATACTGCATATTTATGTTACATTAACTACGGTTCTATTATATATTTCGTTATAATTGTCAGTTTTTATTATTCAGCTATAAATTGAAAAGGTTTTTTTTCGTTTATAAAGAACACAACAAATATCCATTTTTGGCCATTATCCTTCTATATAAAAAAATTAAGTGACTCTTTACTGAAAATTACACTAAGAATTGTACAAAAAAAAGAAATAACTTGTCCTTTTTTAACTTTATAATTCTAAATAGTTTTATAGCTGAAAAATATCTAGGAGTGTTTGATAGTGCGTGCATCTTTACGTTCGCACAAAAATATCCAGCAACAATTTAAATTTTCTATTTTAAGACGGTTAAAAGCTCTACCAAGAAACTAAGCTGTGAGTTCCCTGTATCCGGTGTACTAGATCTAACTCAGAAGAATGAGAAGAATATTCAGAATAATACCTGGACGTATATCAAAACAACAGAAACCAACTGCACAGATTGCTATTCTCTGAGAGATCCTAAAACAGGAAAATTGAAGGTATTCCACGTCAAATTGAACATTTCTTTTGAAGAACTGCTGCTGTTAAAAAGTCTGGAAAATGTGCTACAACATGTAGTTTTAAATTTTGGAATGGTTCGTTTAAGTACGTTTTTGTCGTTCGTTCCTACCATTTAACGTAAAACTATGTCGAATATTTGAAAATCTCTCCGTTAACTAACGCTAATCAATATTGTTTATGGAACAAAAACATCGCTTATATTTATCTGAACCCCCTTAGAATTTTCTACTGGGCTTTCTGAAATCTAAAAGTAGTTTTAATTTAAAAACTCTATGAAGAGAAGCCTCCAAAAAGAGGTTGCAGTAATCCCTGCCCCGGCCATTGTTGCTGCTTTGATGGACCTTAGAACTAGGCGGTTTTTTTTTGCATGGCAACAAATTCGGGCCTCTTTCAGAAATGATTTGAAATTTAAACATAAAAGTAATCTAATTAAGTATTAATTATTACATTTCTTGATATTTTTTTTTCTCTCTGTAAAATATAATTAAACAGAATAACACTAATTACTAACCGTTCAAAGTAAACACCGAGGTTTTCGAACATTGGACATACAAGGGTGTCCCACATCATATTAGATCGTCAATGGCTCTAAATTACAATTTCCGGGACTAATCAGAATATCTAAGAAGAATAAATCATTCTGAAAAATTTAATAAGGCTAATATAAAAATTTTCTTGCAGGAAATATTATGTTTTTCGAATATTATATTTTTATTCTGACGTTAAAGCTTGGAGATAATCTAACTACAAACTGTTATTTGAACGACCCCTTCTAAATTAAAAACTATATTTTCGATCTCTTTTAGAGTCTTTTTATAAGATAATTGGGGTCTTCTTATTGCTTAGTTTTACGGGTCTATACTGTATTTATTTTTATTAAAGTCCTAATTTTGAATTGAATAATAATGAAATACATATATTTCAACTCGAAGGCATGGATGGATACAAGTGTATAGACTCAATTGTATAAATACACATATCAAGGCTCAAATGTATAAATACATGTATATGGACTCAAATGTATGGATACATGTATATAGACTTAAATGTATGGATACATGTATATAGACTCAAATGTATAAATACACATATCAAGACTCGCTTGGAACGTTCTAACTTTTTCCAGCCGTTTCGTTAGTTCAAACCGTTAAAAAAGAAAAATACCGGGTAGCCGTTAGTTTAAAAGGTAAGTTATTTTCCTGGGTTTTCTTTAAGTTACAGGGTGTCCCACGAAACATGACAGTATGCAGAACGACTTGAATGTCGTCTTGATTTTTGATATAATTTGCTGCGTTTATTTGTCAACCTAATTTTAGAAGTAAATTTCTAGAGATAATAATCACAAATTTTCCCTTTACTTGCCATTTCCAAAATGTGGTCTGCCTTTTTTGTGCTTTCAATATTGCCCGAGATATGAAGAATTTCGTTCAGATTTCGACAATTTTGCTTTTATTTAACAAAATTGAAATCTGAACCAAACTCTTTATATTTCCGGTAATATTGAAAGCACAAAAAACGCAGACCACTTTTTGGAAATGCCAGGGCTAGGAGAATTCTGTGATAATTGTTTCAAGAATTATACATGTTAAAGTAGATAGAAGACGAAATGTCACAAATAAATTCAAATACCAAAGACGACTTTCAAGTCGTCTTGCTATTGTCATGTTTCGTGGGACACCCTGTACCTAATGGTTAACGATCTCAATCTTATTAACAACATTAACAGAAGATATTCTGCCGTTAATGGTTGTTTTTTGCAAATTTGTGTAGTATTAACGGTGTTAATGTTGCAAAAAAATCTTTAAAGTTCCATGATAAAACAGAAGACGACATTTAAAAACACCAAAACACATTAAACAGTTTTTTTATTTCATTCCATTTTAGCCAAAAAAAACGAAAGTTGACGTTTACTAAAAATCCATCCGTTTCGTTAACTTTTTTTACCGTTAATTTTTTGTAATCCGTTTTGTTAATCATTTAAAAATTTACGGTTTTTGCCGTTTGTTAACGGGCTCTTCAGTTAATTTTCTAAAACCTCCGTTTCTTCACACAAATTTAGACTCGAATGTATAAATATAAATATCTAGACTCAAGTGTGCAGATATACATTTTTAGACGCGAAGGAGATACATAAATTTAGACTCAATTGTATAGATATTGATACATAGACTCGAAGGTATAAATGCACATACTTAGACTCCAATGTATGAATACAAATGTTTATATTGAAATGTATATATGCACATATTTAGACTCGAACGTATTTGGCAAGTCTGTGGGCTCGAGTTGGGGAAACTATTAGGTTTCATGTCAGATTCACAAAGGAACCAAATTTCATGTTTTTATATAGTTTTTCCTTGATAAAAATATAATAATAATAATAATAATAATAATAATAATAATAACAGTAATAATAAATAATAATAATGATAATAATATTAAAAACATTAATAGTAATGATAATAGTAATAATAATAACAGACAGCTTTCGATTCAAATTTTGATTTATATCAAGCTTTTAAACAGCATGAATACACAAAAGCATGGAAACAAAAATAAGCTGTCAAATCATAAAGCTTCTGTTTAATAACTTGTAAACTTGTAATTCTAAAAAAGCTTGTTAATAATTAAAAGGTGAATAAAAAAGTTGTCTTCATTTAATTGAAATTATTGCCTGGCACCGTTTCTGTTCATGAATACGACATCTTCCAGCAGATATGTTTAGAAATACAGGAAATCAACTTAACTGTTTTGAACTGAAGTTCAAAATTTAAAATTTTAATAAAAACATGAGATTTCCTCGTAAAGGGTTCCCATATGATATTCTCTTGGTATCTCAACGATCAGACGAATCATGTCAAGTAAGTAAATATTTTTCATATTTTCTATCAGATTCAACGTGTCCCATTAGACATAATAATTCAAAGACGGTTCATTTCTTTAGAAAAGGAAATGGCTTTTGTCACAAACTCAAATTTTTCAATCCCTATATCTTTGCAATACAATGTTGTAGACATTTGACATTTCAAACTATGAATTCTGTTAGATCAAATAATATAAGTTTGAAATATCAATACAAAATATATGAAAAATATCCACAAAATATTAAGCAAGATAAAAAATATTCAGTTTTAAAGAACAGTAGACGTAATGTTAAGTTACAAGCTATATATTTATAGATTGTCATGTCAGTTATCTTTGCGTTTCTCTTTGAAAATTGTTTACTTTCAACTGTGGGTACTCTATATATTATGTTTGCTTGTAGCTCTGATGATGAATATTGCTTTGCGGATTTGGTTGGAGAAAATGCTTTAGCTCAAGCAGAAGTTGAAAGTCAGGTAGTTTAGCGCGCAAATACTTCTTCCCTGGAATTTTCAACATGTAAAAGTCTAGCTCCCTCCCCCTTGATCTGAAAAATCTATGATTTCAGGCCCAAACGAGTGCCAAGTCCCGACAGAAAGAAACAAATTAAGTCCCCACCTCCCTACTCCCCCCTTATTCACTTAATCTTCCCCTTAATCACTTAATCTTCCACTAAGTCATTAATCTTCCACTTATTCACTTAATCTTCCACTAAATCGACTAATCTGAACCAAAGAAATGACTATTGCAAAGCTAATATTGGAACACTATAATAATTAAGATGTACAATGTACAATGTACAGTGTACACTGTACATACAGGGTGTCCCAATAAACATGGCAATTCAGTGACGACTTCGATATCATCTTTTTAAATATTCTGTGATTTAGTATAGTGATACCTACTGAGAAAGCCGTAATTCGTAAGATTTTCGTCTGCTATGTTTACAATTTGTTTGTTTATGTTTTGACTGCATACGGTTGTACTTTAAAGACACATCTTTACAGCCATAACCCATTTCATAAAATAAACTCTAGCAGGCATAATATAATATTTTGAAATTAGATATTACAATGCTAATTCATTCACTGAATTACCATGTTTATTGGGACACCCTGTATAGTGTAAAGTGTGCAAGTAACAATCGAGTCAGCACTTACCTTTTGACACTAATTGACTGTAAGTGTCTATGTGTTTTTTCCCACAAAACAAATGGGAAAGTCTAATTCTAAATTCCAAGATTGTTCTAGAGTCTAAAATGATATAAACTATAACTAAAACCCCCCCTAGATTTTCTGTATTTAATAATTGGATTATGTTTAGAATATCACGTGGGATGTGGGAGACACTGTCTGCATTTTCCCTTTCCGGTTTAAGAACGTACTGTATTATGCCTGCACAAACTTAACTATAGGAGGAAGTGAGGTGTACATGTGTGCTACAGAAGTAAATTTAGGTAAAGTGCACATGTATCAATAATCTGCACATTTATGTCCAAAGTTTTATACATAGAGAATAGAATATATATTAGAGGGGAATTTAAAGAATCTCTCGGTATGAATTTTTTCAGTCCCTTTCAGCCTGAAAGGGAGTTCAGAGTGTAAAAATCATGTTCCCTAGACTATTCATTTCAATTTCGAATTTTTTAAGCTGTTAAATAAACTTTATAATGAATTAGGTAAATAAAAAACATCATTTGATTTATAGTTATAACGGAAAATCATCGATTGTAAAATGGAAGGCATAGAGTCTATGTGAAATGATCATTGGTCAATTATGAAACCAGCCTATTTCATAATTTGGTTTTCTTTTAACAATAATTTTAGATTTTCTATAAAATGATATTTCAGGGTCCAAAAGGTTATATAGCATAAATATGTGTAGAACACCTGCAGTATGGAAACAGTACAACAAAATGGCCGTTTTACACTTTTTTCTAGTAAATTCCCCTCTAATATATATTCTATTTTCGATGGTTTTATATCAAAATTAATTTTGAATGGCTAAAATTATTGTTTAAATGTTAAATCGCACAAAAAAGACTTTATATAACCATTTCTGATATGTTAATGATGATTTCTAATATTTAGATAATAATCCTATAACGATGAGCCTCTGCACCAAACAATGTCCAATACAAGGTAAAAGTTTACACTTTTTCAAATTTGATTAAAATTTTCAAAAATATTTGTTCTGATAATGCAGGGGAAGAAAGCTCGAAACCTAACTCCTGGGTGCTTTTTTATTTGACAATCAGTTTCAGCTCGGGGTCTAATCGTGAATTGAAACATTCTTCCCTTGAAATGAAATTATCTTTAAATTTTTTAGTGTTTTTAATATCATATTTAAATAACAAAGAAAATGTACAGTTATTCATGGTTAGGTATTATTATGCAATTCAAATTAATATCTTATTCATCATTATTATCATTATTAAAATTATTACTGTGCTATCATTATATCGTATTATTATTGTTATTATTATTATTATTATTATAATCATTATAATAATCATTATTATTATGATCATATTTTTTCATCATAAGAATTAATTTTGTTTTTCCGTTTTTATTAAAGGAATTGACTCATTGTCACAAACTCAAATTTTCTTCTCAATAATATCTTTGCAACCTGGTGGTGTAGGCCTTTGATATTTCAAACTGAGATTATTTGATTTATAAGAATTACGAGTTTGAAATATCTAAGGTCTACAACATTGGTTTGCAAAGATAGTGATTAGAAAATGTAAGTTTGTTGCAAAAACTCAATTTTTTTATTAAATTAACCTGAAGAGAAAATCATTAATATCTGTACTAACACAGATCTTGAAGAACAAAAAAATTTATCCATACTATCATTCTTACATAGTATTATTATTTTAATAATAACATTTTTCATAATTAAAGGGACTGTATGCATAATTTCAAGTGACCCACCATGAAAAGATAGCAATGTCTGATTAAAATTGCACCCTTGAAACCTTAATCTGATCAAAAAAAGTGGAAAATACTGTAGTTTTTTGTATTAAAAGTGCTTTTTTATGTGAGTATAATTCACTATTGGTTCTTATAAAGAAGAAATGCGCAAATCACTTTGGCAGAGAAACCGCAAATAAAAATAAACATTGATATCTAGTTCATACATGATCATTGATCAGACATAGCAATTTTAAGGACACCGTTGTAAATCGGACATTGTCATCTTTGCATGAAGGGCCACTTGAAAATAAATTATAGTCCTTTCAATGTTAAAATATTTTCACGTTCTTATTAAAATTTCTTTGTTTGCAAGTACCCCGGCCGGAGGAAACTGGATTGACGAATACAACAAGTATATTAAAAACTGTAGTCGAGGGACAAACTAAGTTTGAGAGTACATTTGTTCAGTCAATAGCTACAGAGATCATTCTAGACAGGCATATTATCCTACTATTCTCATTCTCAAGGTTTCCTGTTTTAAAAAAAAGGGGGGGAAACTTAATTATGAGACACAGTCAACTAAGGTCACTTTGAATTCGACTGGACTGACCTTCTTGTGCTGGCCTGACTGATGGTGGCATGACCTGCCGCCCTAGTTTCAAATACAGATTTCATATCCAGTCACTATCAAGTACAGTTCGGCTTAAAAGAGTTCACACTCTCTTTGTTAATGAATGTATGTTAAGGATAATATATTGTACAGAACGTTTACCCTGCCCGGGTATACTTACAACCTAACCCTGAAGAGTAGGAACATGCATGATATAACAGAAGATAATTTAATTATGATCTGGACAATATACTGCGCTAATCCTGTCAAACCTGAAGACTGGGAGCTCAGCTATCCACCTCAACATCACTTCGGTATATAATTTTACTTTGTTTACATTCATTTGCAGCACACAACCGGTGTGTACAGGGGGGGGCTATGCAACTGTTGCCCTCCCCTTAAAAGTGTGAACTATAGTTCGCCCACCCCAAACAAATTAAAAATAGTTGCACTAATAGATTTAACTAGTTTAATTTATAAGACTTACTCATTTGACATGACGATTAATAAAATGATTAGGATGAATAATTTCTCTTTAATAAAAATTTGTCATCAAAATATTTAAAAAAAATTAGACTAAATATTATTTGATTTCTATTTTTTAGGAAAAATGTTTAATATAACTCTGAAAGTAAAACCTAACGTTCCATTACCCACCCGGCCTAAAATACGAGTTTATGCAGTTATAGGTCAGTTATTTTTCTAATTCGATGATTCAGGTTAATTAGAAGTAATGAAGCAGTAAGGGGGATAATTAGACAAAAGGGAGGAATATTAGAGGGTGCACGATGGTGTTTGAAAAACTGATGGAGGTTATGTGAGAAAATATAAAAATACTAGAAATTCAAGGCGCTTCGCGCCCTTCTTTCTAGCCTTAGAGGGCGCTTCGCGCCCATCTTCTGAATTAATTGTGAACATGTTCTCTTTGTGTACATCGCAAAACAAAACAAAAATAATTCGCGGATTTTCAAAATTTTTAAAAATTTAATGACGATCGAATTTTGATGGAGACAAATATTTGAAATTTTGATGATTCATAAACCTTCCCTGGAGACCCTAGATGTCCCACAAAAAATTTGGGCCCGATCGGTTCAGCCGTTTTGACGTTTATTGGATACAAACAGACAAACAAACAGACAGACAAGCCAAATTTATATATAGATGCAGATATAAAATGGGTAAAGTATTAGAAAAGATGGGAAAGTGCAAAAATGTTTTGATCAGAAAATTTGACATTTTTGTTGAATAAAGGGGGATTGCATGAACATTAGATTTATAATACTTGTTGAATTAGTAATGTATTGTCGGAAAAAAAGGAGAAACCAGTTCGAGTTATATTCTCTATCTCATTTGATCCCCAGCTGCCTTGTATCTCCTCCATCATACAGAAACATTGGAGAACCATGGTCCAGGATCCTTGGATGAAGGAAATTTTGAATAATCTTTTTTGTTTGTTTATCTTCTTGTGATTTTTTACATTTTTTAATTTTTTTTTTATCGATTTTGATGGTTATTATATCGTTAGAACTGACGAGGGTCAACCCAGACCGAAATATATTTTCAATAAATGTGGAACTAACATCTACTTTTTTACTCTACTGTTGGTCCATCACCATCACCGAATTTTAAATCTGTACTGTACTTTACCATGCATATATTCTAGGATATCCTAATACTGCCAGCACTGCTATGTGTTGTATTGTACTGTACTTTACCATGCATATATTCTAGGATATCCTAATACTGCCAGCACTGCTATGTGTTGTACTGTACTGTACTTTACCATGCATATATTCTAGGATATCCTAATACTGCCAGCACTGCTATGCGTCGCTGGGACCACGCTCCTTTCATATCCATGCAGCTGCCTAACTACGCGGTCAAATTCTCCATCCGAAATGACAAATCTGAGTATGCGAATAAAACAACTGCGGTAGAATTTTTTTAATATTCTTTTATTATATCTATTTCTAGCATTAAAGGGATTAATGGCATTGACAGCGTAAATCTAAAAACAGTTTCATAAAAATAAATAAAATAAGTAAACTAGGTTAAAGAGCCGGTATCATTGTTGTGGATGATAACAATCTTTAAAAGGAAAACCCACTTAAATTTGCGCTGACAATCCCTTTAATTTTTACTTTTATTTAATATCTAGGCCAAATTCTTCAAACATCCTTTAATAAACCTTTATTGTAATATCTGAACCAAGTTCGTTAAACAATCCTTTAAAAAACTTTTTTTGTAATATATAGACCTGGTTCACTAACCAATCCTTCATAAACCTTTCTTGTAATATTTAGGCTTGGTTCACTAACCTTTATTTCAATATATAGGCCTGGTTCACTAAACAATCCTTTAATACACCTTTATTGTAATATCTAGGCTTGGTTCACTAACCAATCCTTTAATAACCTTTATTTCAATATAAAGGCCTGGTTCACTAATAAATCCTTTAATACACCTTTATTGTAATATCTAAGCCTGGTTTACAAAACAATCCATTAATACACCTTTATTGTAATATCTAGGCCTGGTTCACTAAACAATCCTTTAATACACCTTTATTGTAAATATCTAGGCCTGGTTTACAAAACAATCCTTTAATACACCTTTATTGTAATATCTAGGCTTGGTTTGCTAAACAATCCTTTAATACACCTTTATTGTAATATATTGGCCTGGTTCGCTAAACAATCCTTTAATACACCTTTATTGTAATATATAGGCCTGGTTTACAAAACAATTCTTTAATACACCTTTATTGTAATATCTAGGCCTGGTTTGCTAAACAATCAGTGTTAACCTTGGCAGATGCTCCACCCGTCCTCTACGAAGAATATGAATTTAGGTAATACAAATTTTAAATAATGTAAGCGGAATTTCAAGTGACCCTACATGCAAAGATGGCAATGCCCGACTTACAACGGTACCTTTGAAACCTTAATCTGGTCAAAAATGTGGAAGACACCGTCGCTTTTTTACTCGATTAGTACGTGTTTATTTCTAAGTGGTGATCTTTAGCTTAGATATCTTGGAGTAGAGAACCCAGAGAGGAGCAATGTATTCCCTCCTGTTTAGATATCTTGGAGTAGAGAACCCAGAGGAGCAATGTATTCCTTGTTTAGATATCTTGAAGTAGAGAACCCAGTGGAGCAATGCATTCCTTGTTTAGATATCTTGGAGTAGAGAACCCAGAGGAGCAATGTATTCCTTGTTTAGATATCTTGGAGTAGAGAACCCAGAGGAGCAATGTATTCCTTGTTTAGATATCTTGAAGTAGAGAACCCAGAGAGGAGCAATGTATTCCCTCCTGTTTAGATATCTTGGAGTAGAGAACCCAGAGGAGCAATGTATTCCTTGTTTAGATATCTTGGGGTAGAGAACCCAGAGAGGAGCAATGTATTCCTTGTTTAGATATCTTGGAGTAGAGAACCCAGAGGAGCAATGTATTCCTTGTTTAGATATCTTGGAGTAGAGAACCCAGAGGAGCAATGTATTCCTTGTTTAGATATCTTGGAGTAGAGAACCCAGAGGAGCAATGTATTCCTTGTTTAGGTATCTTGGAGTAGAGAACCCAGAGGAGCAATGTATTCCATCCTGCACAACAGGGGTTAATAGAGCCCAGGGAACATTTTCTAAAACCACAAATCTTAAAGCAGGTTATACACCTTGACAAAATGATGGTAAATCTAACATTTGAGAATTTTTCTGGACCTGTTTCTTATAATATTCTCAGTCAGATTAGCTTACTAAACCTTTGTGTTTTCTTAGGTCCATCGGGAGAAATTGGTTTGGGCCAAACTGGAACCGAATATGATTATCGAGAATTTACTCTCCAATTTCCAACCATCAAATATCCGGGATCTTATGCATTCACGGTTGTCATGTGGAATGGAGTATCAGAGTAAGATAATTTTCTGTTAATCATATACCTTGTAATATGTAATACAAGTTATAACTTTTACCACTTTTAATCGCTTTTTCTCCAACATTACCGACCTATTATTCCCCTAATATAGGGGTGTTAACTTATTTTACGCCCTTTGGAACAATTAAGTAAAATTAACCACCCGCTGTGCAAAGTTTATGTTAAAAATTATTCGCGCATGTTTATCTTAAAAGTCGGTAAATTTTTTATTTTACCAAGAATAATTATGATTAAAAAAACATCCAAAGCTTATAATTTCCCTGTAAAGTAGTTGCAAGATAATATTATTAATTATTTTTATCTTAGTTTGAGATATAGTAGTTCCTGGAACCTCTCTCAGCCAGAATACTATCCTGCTGATATGTCCCTCCTACTACCTGGAGGACCTGGATATATTCATAAGTCCGGGAAGGATGAAGAGTACTGTTTACAATTTCCGAACAAAACTGAAATACTTAGTAAGTAAAAATGATCAAAAAACATGTAATTTTGGTTCATCATTAAAAAAAAATGTTCAGATGCAAACGGCTCTACGACCTGCTACTCGGGACATGATATTGAGATTGTGGAAAAATCATTGCATAAATGGAACCTCAACTGGGTTGAGATATTTCAAAAACTGGAAACTCCCTTCGAAGGGGAGCTGAGCTACGTCTTGCCGGAAGAAGCCCCGAATGATATTGTCCTTTTAGACTTTGTCAAGCCAAAGTTCTATATGCCCGCTCAGGCTCATCCAAACTTTAAGCTTTCTATTTACAGAGGTATACGCCTTCCATGGAGAAAAGATGTTTTTGCATGTTTGAATAGCATTTTTCTTGGAGTTAAACGTTTAAGAATTCATTACGAATTTTAATTCTACGACTTAGTATGTTATATGAGTGCATAAAAACTTGTTTGATATTTTTTTAAAGCATCATTTTAGTTGTAACATGATGTTTACAGGTCCAATCGCTGTAAAAAGAAATTGTGTGCAGTTTGCCAGAAAATCAAATTTTCTAATCTCTATATCTTTACTTAACCTGATGTAATAAAAAATCATTACAGATATTTACAAAGCATTAATACTAAAAAAAATATTTATGTTTAATAAATCAGAGCAAAACTAAATTAAAATCAAAAGCTAAAAATATTCATAGGCCTTTCTGGTTTTAAGAATCAAAAGTATATAAAGAGAAACCTTGATTAGAAAAATTGAAAATCAAAACTCGTACAAGTTATTTTAGACTTGAATAAGTTTAACTCCACCAAGCCTATTGATAACTGTGCTATTATAAAGCTTTAGACTTCAATTGTTGATGTTCTAGGGCCTGTTTTTTATCTAAAGAATTAATAATTTGAAATATCTATAAATCTATAGATATATATTCAGAGTCAGTGGCAAAGACTCGATTCCTAAAAACTGATTATTCTATTTGTTCAGGAACACCTCGAAAAATTGCCTATAGTTTTAACTCTACTGAAGTGGGGGGATATAACCCTGAGTTTTGTTATATTGATTGGCCTCCTGGAAACCTGATGGATCCTTGTATCTATAAAACCTGTCCAGATCAGGATGCAGCCTATGCTGGATTCACACAAAAACTATCCTGGAACATTCATCATTGTAGTAATGTATCTGAAGGAATATATAATGTTCAGCTAGGAGCCTGGAATATTCTAGATGGATGGATATGGTTGGATAAACCCTTCCTTGTTGAGGTATTGGAACAAATTGGTCCAATATTTATCGATGATTTCAACATCATTAATGATTACAATGAGACCAAAGAATTTAATATAAGATTTGGTAAAATGGGAAGAAAAACCTGTGTTACCATAGACTGGGGAGATGGATCCAAATTAAACTATTATGGAAATCCACTGAGCTGTAAACAAAGATACACAGACATAACAGAAGATATGGTCAAAGCTATTGATTATGTGGGAAAACAGTTTTATGAAGAACATGTCTACAACGTCAGAGGACTTTTTGAAGTAACTGTCACAGGGTTTGACGAAAGAAGTTTTGCTGAAAAGATTCTCCCAGTCACAATATTTAGAATGCCATGTAAGGTGCCAAAAGTGTGGTTGCCAGTCAACGAAACTTCTTGGCTCCGACCTGAGAGAGTTCCCAAAGTGTTTAGATCCAAATCCTATCAAGTTGCATCTATGACCATTCTAGAGTGTAATGTAACAATAGTTCCTATCATGGAATGGAAAGTATTCTCAGTTGCCATTAAAAAAGATCCAAGTTCTCAAACAGGATTGATTGAGGAGTTAACTGAGATACAGATCAATGATACTGTTCCCACCTATCAATCATCTGTCATTGAGATCCCTCCTAACATTCTAGAGTTTGGTTTGTATAAACTCGTGTTCAAGCTGGATATCCCTACCGGGGTTCCAGATTTACCCCTTTTTAGGCAAGCCCACACCTACTTTAACATCACGAAGAGTCCCTTAGCTCCTGGTTTTATTAAGGGTAGTGTATCCAAGGTTACCCGCGGATGGGGGCAGACTGTAACTCTAGATGGAAAAGAGTTCAGTATCGATCCTGATTATCCAGATGATAAGAACTTTAACTATACTTGGTTCTGTAGGAACGAAATAGAAGAGTGGAATGCTATTTTCCAATTTGACAGTGATTTTAATAATATTGATGAGGATTTCCCGTTATTTATTCCATCCCAGGCGCAAAGAATTCCTAAACCAGGAGATCCAGCGATAATGTTGCCTGAACCCAACTCTGGTTGCTTTGGTATGGGACCTGGTGGAATGAGATGGACTTCAAACAAACTGGTTTTTAACACCTCCAGTTTACTAACCTACGCCCAGGTTTATGAAGTTGCTCTGATCGTGAGTAAAGATTATAGAATAGCTCAGACTAGCATTAAGATTGATGTTGGAGTTCTCCCAGCTCCTGTGGTGGAAATATCCTGTGCAAGCGAGGGTCTGTGTACACCAACTCTAGGAGGAATCTTTGTCAACCCTACCTCAAGGTTAGCGTTTAGAAGCAACTGCATAGAACAGTGTGAAGGTGGAAAATTGTCTTATAACTGGAATATCAAGCTGGATACAGCCAAGTATCCATTCCGCTTGAAAACTGTCTCTTGTGATCCTGATTTAACAACAACCACTACTACAACAACATCAACAACAACAACCACTGTAATTACAACAACAACGCTACCCCCGATCTTAAAAATTGAATCTTCAACATTTATAACAGCTGATAACCTGCCAGTGATGGCTACCGAAGCAGCGGACGGATCATACGTGATTGTAACCTTTGGAGACTTTACTGCCCGGAAAAAGCGACAGATCAGTTTCACTTTAGGGGAGGGTTCCCAGTCAGTTGAGGAATTAGGATTTGTCGGACCACAGCAGTTAATTCCTGATAAAATAGATGTTGGTTGTTCGTCTGTATTCACTACAGGGATCAGCAAGAGTGAGTTTTCAATTACAACCGATTTTTTTAAAATGAATCCTACCATTAAATCCTTTTCCCTTGAGTTGAATATTACTAGATGTATTGATAATGGAAGAAAAGTATCTTGCAGCAGCGGTGTCTCAACACTAAACATTATTATCAATGATCCTCCATATAAGGGAGTGTGTACAGTTGCAAATCTTGGAGTAACAGAGGAAAACAATCCGTCCGCCCCTGGCTTTAACACAGCTTTACTGGATATATTCCACTTAAAATGCTCAGGATGGTCGGATCCTAACAAGCAGTCCATCAAAAAATATGTTTTTAAAAGTAAGGTTTTGATAAAATATTTTTTATAGATTTCTTCAAATTTTCTATGTTTTAAATAATTTTAGTAACTAAAACCACGGCCCGTGGTAATGAAACAAGTCTTCTGTATTCTGGTCCACTGGATAATACTAAAGCTGTATTTGGATACGGAAAATTCTATCTTATTGCTGAGATCTGGGATGAAGCTGGAGCGTTTGCTACCTACGTCATAGATCCAGCGTTCCCTACAATATTACCAACCCGGGCTGCATATGAAGCTTTTCCCTATGATGAAGAAATTAAGAAATATCAAGATACTGGGGATACTTCTAGAACTGCAATGCTTCTCCAGGTTTTTACTTTTTCAAAAAAATAATTGAGTCTTTGCCACAAACTAATTTTATCTAGTTCCTTTATCTTTACAACCTGATGGTGTAGACATATTTCATACTTAGATTATTTGATCTAAGCACTATAGTTTCAGTAGAATAATATTTCCATTTACTGATAGCGCCGATTTAAGGATTTATATCTCTAATTGGATAATGAGAATGATAGAAAGATAGTTGTTACCACCATACTATTTCTATTGGTTCAGAGTAGACAACAAACACATGATTGAACCCTGATTGGACCAGGCTCTAATGGACTCGGCATACAGGAGTGAGAGAATTCATAGTTTGAAATATTTAAGGTCTACGCCATTGGGTTGTACAGATATTGGGATTAGAAAATCAAAGACACAATTCCGTTTCGAGATTAACGACAAGCAATACATTCTTATTTTGCTCTTATTTCTTATTTTTAAAATTCGGTGATGGTGATGGACCAAACCTGTGTAGAGTAAAAAAAAGATGTTCCACATTTATTGAAAATAGTTTTCGGTCTGGGTTGACCCTCGTCAGTTCTAACGATAAATAACCATCAAAATCGATAAAAAAATAAAAAAATATTTTTGTTAAAAATCATAAGAAAATAAACAAACAAAAAAGATTATTCAAAATAAAAATTTGGGCTGTCAAATGGACAATTCAGGAGGGGTATTTAAACCTTTTAAAGAATTGGACATAAACAACTCTTTTTAAAAAAAAAGATACTGAATTACAGTTTACAATTAAATAAAAACTATTTTTTCTTCTGTTCATTCCTGTTGGGCAATGGTAACCATATATTTAATCCGTTTTTTAAGTAATTTTTTTGACTCGAAAATAGCTCATCATAAAAGAAGTTTTGAAAAAATAGTATAATCGTAGATTTAGCAAAATTACAGCAGTAAATAGTTGTAATAAAAAAAACTTTAAATGTTAAACAAAAGTTCTTGATATAAACTCAAAATTTCTAATCCCTATAGCTTTATAGCCTAATGGTTTTACATTTTAAACTTAGAGTATTTGATTTAACAGAATTCATAGTTTGTAAAATGAAAAGTCCACGACTTTGGGATTCTTATAAAAACTGGTTCAGTACATAAAAAACTGGTTTAGTACGTTAAAAGCTGGGTTTGTACCTAACAAGCTGGGTTTTTACGCTAAAAAACTTGTTGTTAAGGCTGAGTCAAGTGTACGGCAATCTGCAAACTGGTTTAGTATTGAGAATATGGCGGGAGATGTATCTAGAGCAAACATGTCTATAGCTGCTGGACAACAATATGATGCACTGCTCAGAGATCTAACAAATGTAAGCACCTTTTCACAGACGTACTCAGGGGGGCTGAGTCCAGTAGTAGCCCCCCCCCCTTGTTTCAGTAAAATCTATGGTTTCTTAGGGATTTTTAGGTCCCCCCCCCACCCCGGAAAAATTCACGAGTACGACCCTGAGCTTTTAAAATTTCTAGTGAGACTAATAGTGACTTAAAATTTGTTAAATTACTGAGTCATCTTTTTCTAGATTATTAAGTATACTTATTAAGCAATTTTTCTTTTTAACTTAAAGGCTGAAGCGATTATACAGATAAAAAAGTTCATTTAAAACTTAACTGAAATTAATCTTTACAGTGATAACCAGAAAACAGTGTAAAAGGAAGACGACATTATTGCAATATTTAAGTGTATTTTATGTTGATTACTAGACTGCACTTATTAAATCACTAATTTGGCGAAATGGGTCTTTTTTACAATTTACATTTGCTGTGTCTCATGCTCATTGGACTTAATTTAAAGTCATGACTTGAGTCTTGAGTTTTCTGGTTATCACTGTATTTTATTTTGTAGTCCAACACGAAAATGATTGAAATTGCAGCCGACACTTTAGAATTTAACTCTATAGAATCCCTGGATCAAGGATCAAGCACTCTCTATACAATCACTAGGTTAGTGGATCTGGATTATTGAAAAGGAATGTAAGTGCAGTAATGTCAAGTGATTCTGCATTCACCATGGTTCTCTTCAAACCTTTCTAATCAAAAATGTGAAATATATTGACGTATTTCTATGTTTAAAAGTCTTTAATTAAGATAATTCCGTTAAGTTTTCCTTAGTAGAAACGCGCACTTTTGTAGAGAAGTCACAATTGAAATGTACAGTTTTCAAAATCATTAACATTAATATCTAATTCATACTTTACCATGCAAAGCTTGTAAGGGTACCGCTGTAAATCGGGCATTGACATCTTTGTCTGGAGAGTCACTTGTCACTGCAGTCCATGGAAAGGAACTAAGTGCACGCCTTAAACTCTAAGTTTCTGATCCATATATATTTGCAACCTGGACTGTTAGATACATCAGAATGCTCATAAGATTGACATATCTGTGTCATCAGGTTGCAAAGATATAAAGATAAGACTATAAGAAAAGTTATCAGTTCTTTATATACATGATAACAAAATGCTGTATAAGTGTAACTGCATCTAAACATGGGATAAGAGAGTTTTTAATTTCCTAAAGTTGAAATATGAAATAGAGCTTTTCCAAATCTGGAGTCGGAACTTTTGTGAATCTTGAGATCAAGAGTTCATCTCCATCTCATGCAGACTTACGAGACCTATGGATTAATCAATTACCTCGTGAGGAATCAATCATTAGCCCACATATTTAAAACTGCCCACATTGGATATCAAGATCAAGCGTTTAAAATTAACAATATCCACACTAAAGTTATTGTTGTATTTCTTTCCAATTTTCTATTTAATTTTTAATTATTTTCAAAAATATGTATTTAGTCAACTGGTGAAGGGAGGGGATATTTCTAAAACATTGGACATGAAGGGAAGAGAGGCTGCAGTAAAACTGATAGATGTAAGTTCAACTTTTATCTACAATCAATATCAACTTAAACATTTGTATGAGTTAAATACACAATTTATCCATTTTTGTTTCTTTTTTCAATTAATGTTTATATACACATACACGTGCATACAAAATAAAAAACTAAACTATTTTTTTAAATTATCAGTCCTCAGTAAGAAACTGAATCCAGTTTTTCAAAATTATTATTTTTATAGAATATTAGTATAAAATTAGAAATGCATATTTTAATTTTAATAAGCTCTTGATGACTAAAAAAAAATTTTAAATTGTTTAGAAATTTATTCTGTTTTTCAAAAAATTGCGATTTAAAAAAGTCTTTAATTGTTTAGAAAATGAACACTGGATTTCAGAAGCTCCAAATCTCTGATCCTAACAAACTCAAATCCTTCATTGAGGGAACAACAGGATCAATACTTGCTATTCTAACCGTAAGCTATATCATCTTTCACCACAGGGTTACCCGGCCACAAAGGATGAGATTGTGAAGACGACCTAAAACTTTTAAAATCAGATATTAAAGAGAGACAGTATCAATTATGTATTGTCGTATCTGAAGGGTAACTTTGTATAATTACAAATCTGTGTAAATACATATATTATATTTATAAGATCTAGATTTATAACAATTGAATTGAAAAATTTGCCAAAAAATTGCTCAGATTGAAATTGAACTATAAAGTAAAAAGAATGCACTGACGGGAAATCATCCGAACTCCTAAAATACAAACTTCTGAAACAGAAGCTGCTGAAATACTGACTGCGGAAAAAAAATCCTGTATCAATATCCTGAAAAAAAATGCTGTAATTTTTCTCTCATGAGCGTAGAGTTCAGGTTTGTCTTATTTGAAGAGATTGTCATGCCCCCCCCCCCTACCCCTCCCAGGAAAACTTTTTCTCTTTGACATTAGTTAAACAGCTTATAATATTCCTATTGCAGAGCTTAAACACTGTTTTGTATTCCAACGACCCAGCTGACCTGCCGCTAACAGATCTTGATGCAGCGGCCAGCTTGCCGTACGATACAGATATTCCTGATGGTAAATATCAACATTTCTTTAACAGTTCAATCTTGATAATGGAGCTTCGAAAAACAGACTAGTAGCCCCCTCCCTGCCAAGTTTAAGACCGAGGATGTTGTTGTTGTTTAAATAATAAAGTTAGTGCATTAAAATTGTGATTTTTTAAAATCTAGCAACATCATGCAAAAGATATATCTAAATAAAGAACTTTATGTTTAAGTTTTAATTGAAATAATGACGATTCCTTTTAATGTAAACTGCTAAACTTATTTCCCCAAAAATAAATTCAATCTTTCCTCTATAATGGCTGATTTTTGAAAACATTATGATCAATAAAAATGATGCACCATAACATACTCTTTATGTTCAATGGGCGCCCATAACCGAAAATTGGCACTATTTCATGAGAAAATTGCAAAATAGAATTTTGGGAGAAAATCTGTTAACGCTCAGGTAATAAACATATAAATAACTGCTGGACGCTTCAAATGCTGTAGCATGGAAGACCGTACGGTTATGTCTAATGGTTGCCGGAAGACAAAAAAGCCAATATGTGGCATTGAAGTTGTGACTTATGGCTTTTAAACATTATGTTACCAATTATAAGTGGTATAAAAAAGGAAGTCTAAAACTTTAAAACTTATGTGAGTAAATCTACTGAGTATAGGAAAAAATGTATTTACAAGTAAAAAATGAACAAATAAAAATGATACTATAATGAATAATGGAAACCTGGAGCTCTCTGACGGTCTCTCCGCCTTTCATTCGCCTCGTACGACGAGTTAATCTTCAGACTTCTCGTAAATACTGACTCCATTTCAGTAATAGCCCAAGCTGATCCTATATATTTTCTTCTTCTTAGCCGTGGTTCATGCCTATTGGCTAGAATTTCAACTAGGATTTTGGGCAATGATAGCTTCAGTTTTCCACGCGTTCAAACATGCGTTCAAAGCATGTTTTCTGGATGGCATTTTCTAACAACAAATATTTCTCCACGTTGGCAACTAATCATCCTCCCAACTTTCTGGCAGACCTATAGCTATATACAAAAAAGAGATAATATGTTTTCCTGTTTATAGGCTGGACTACTTGCAATCTGAGCTTAGCTCCGGGTCCGTATGAGGACTGAAGGGGATACATCAATAAAACTATCCACTCGGAGTTTAGCTCCGGGTTCGTACTGAAGGGGTTACATCAATGGAACTATCCCTATTCCGAGTTATTGAGCTCACACTAGTTACATCTAAGCTCCGGGTTGTTATAAGGACTGAAGGGGATACAATTAATTTTAGTTAAAAATTTAAATAAAAAAATCTGGGAAATACGATTTACAAAGAAATATTGCCGCTTGAAGAGCAACAGTTAACAGCTGAAATTCTTATTATCCTAGCTTTCTAAAAATCTTAAAATCCATTTCAATGTCTTGAAAGTTTTATGGTTAATTACATATTTGAAATTAACGAGCTGTGCATGTAGGTGACGCTGATATACCCGATGATAAGGCGGTGGCCTTCCAATTGAACACGATGAGGGTGACCAGGATGAACTCTGTGGCCCAGGTCAAGGTTATGGTTGATCTAGTGGATGATATGGCAAAGAAGGCTATAACCTCTCAGGTGGTTGGAGAGGTTATGGATACCAAGGCACCACTGGGAGTAGCAATTAAATTAGCAAAGTAAGTTGTAGACTATAAAATAAAATAAGCAAAAGCCTCAAGAATCGGTTATATTAAATAAAATCGCTTATTTGGCAGTGATTTTTTTTATTTCGAGTATATACTGTACTGCACTGTACCATGGACTGGAATATACATAACAACACTGTATAATGTGTATAAAGTGTATATGCTGTACTGTACTGTGTGTTTATTGTTCTGTACTGTAATGTGCTTTACAACAGGTGTATTTAACTTTACTTGCTATACTGTAATGTAATTTACTTTACGAAACTGCACTAAACTTCACGAAACTGCACTTAACTTTTTGAAACTGCACTTGACTTTACAAAACTGCATTTAACTTTATGAAACTGCACTTAACTTTACGAAACTGCCCTTAACTTTTCGAAACTGCACTTAACTTTACCTTTACGAAACTGCACTTAACTTTACGAAACACACTTAACTTAATGAAATTGCACTTCAATTTACGAACCCTAACTTAACTTTGCGAAACCGCTTTTAACTTTACGAAACTGAACTTGGCTTTACGAAGCTGCACTTAACTTTTCGAAACCGCACTTAATTTTACGAAACTGCACTTAAGTTTACAAAACTGCAATTAACTTTACGAAAATACACTTAACTGTACCTTTAGAAAACTGCACTTAACTTTAAGAAACTGCACTTGACTTTACGAAACTGCATTTAACTTTATTAAACTGCTCATAACTTTACGAAACTCCCCTTAACTTTGCGAAACTGCACTTAACTTTAACTTTAAGAAACTGCACTTAACTTTATGAAACTGCACTTAAATTTACGAAACCAAACTTAACTTTACGAAACTGCTCTTAACTTTACGAAGTTGCACTTGTTTTTACGAAACTGCACTTGGCTTTCCGAAACTGCACTTAACTTTACGAAAACGCACTTGGCTTTACTGTACTGCAATAAAAAGTTAAGCATTAGATAAGCCCTTTTCCCCACAAATAAGTTAAAAACATTTATTATTTTAAAAAATTGTGAAAATGCTTCCTTTTTCCAGGGTGTCTGGAGCTAATACTATCGGGAAGGATATGAATGGAGACGGTATACCGGATAAACCTCTTGTCTATACTTTCAAGGAGAGTGAAACAAGGGTTGAGTTTCCTCTAAACTTCTGCCCAGGCAAACTCTTCGAATGGGTTGAAGGGTCCGGAGATGATAGAGTAAGAAAATCCTCACTTCACATGACACCAAACCAGATTACGTTTCCTTGTATTGGAACCTGGGGAATTGCCATCAAAGAATGGCAAGTTATTAAACAGGTATATATTCAATAATCTATCTATCTATCTATCTATCTATCTATCTATCTATCTATCTATCTATCTATCTATCTATCTATCTATCTATCTATCTATCTATTCTCTATCTATCTATTTATCTTATTGTTTTTATATTTTCTTTTTTACCTACAGCCCAAGTTGCATGCAGGAGCAGAGTTCAGGGCCTAAGACGTGAGGCAATACATTCAAAAAAAAGAGAATTTCAGATTGAACTAAAACATCGCGATTACTGTAAAAGACTCTTAGTTGAGAAACACAAAAACCATGCATCAACTATTGCGACCTCGACATAATTTGACATAATTAACTAAGTAAAAAAATGGTGTAGCCCTGGACGTGACAAATTTAAAACAGCAAAAGTTACTTTTTGATTCAATGAAGTATTATTTGGCAATATGGTTTCGAAAAATAATTCATCCATTCTTTACTAATTTTTGCTGATTAAACATTAATTATATTATTCCTTTAAGGCCTACCCTGTATCTGCTCAAAACTTGAATCGACTAACGAAGACGATAGATGTTGACATCTATGATGAAAACTCTGATAAAGTTGATGTCAAGCTTCCATCTAACGTCTCTATAAAGATTACTATCGGAAGGATGAAAGAGAAGGATAATACTGGTTTAGGAATTCTAGCTATGCCCACAGCAGTCAATATTAATGTTACGGTAGGATATTCATATCATATATACAGAAACCAGAACTTTAGAATTTTGAATCTTGGGTTCAAGCATTGACCTCCATTTTTAATAGAATTACAAATTAATTTAATTCCTTTACGATAGCCCGTGGTACTAATATACTGCAGGGATAACTCATGGGGTGACCCAAATCGTCTTTGATCCACGCGGCCGTTTCAGAATATAAAAGTTTACAGTTAGAACAAAGCCATCAAAAGCTCTTATGCTTCCATTTTTAACCTTTAAAATTTACGGAGATAGTAAGTAATATGTCCGCAGATATCAATTTACTTAAAGGGAGTGTTTGCGAAAAATTCGAAAGGGGGTATTGGCTTCATGCGATAAAAAAGCGCTTTTGATCGCTATTAATCTTACTTCTATCTGTTGCGTCTTTAAGGAGAAAATTGTCAAAGACGTCTCATACAAAATAACTTAGCGCCCATACAAATTCAGAAAATCGCAACATACGACTTAGACCGTAAAAAATCAATTTAATTTCAAACAAATCATTCAGATATTGCAACATATAGTCATTGATTATCTTTCGCCACATTTGTAAATAGTTTATATTTTATAATATTTCATTTTTTTTAAGAAAACGTTTTTAACGGATTTCGAAAAATATGAGTGATGCGCGGCATTCTTAGATAGTTGCGCAAGAGACAAGAGAAATAATCAAATTCAAAACAAATTAATTAAAAAATATTATAAAATATAAACTATATACAAATGTGGCGAAAGATAATCGATGACTATAGGTTGTAATATCTGAATGATTTGTTTGGAATTAAATTGATTTTTTTGCGGTCTAAGTCATATGTTGCAATTTTCTGAATTTGTATGGGCGCTAAGTTATATGGTATGAGACGTCTTTGACAATTTTCTCCTTATAGACGCAACAGATAGAAGTAAGCTTAATAGCGATCAAAAGCGCTTTTTTATCGCATGAAGCCAATACCCCCTTTCATTTTTCGCGAACACTCCCTATATTAAGAAATAAAAATATCTTAATATTCAATATTTAATAAAGAAAGAAAATCCCATTTTTAGCATTTATAACCCATTTTCTTTTACTGCTACTAGATATTGTTTTGGAAGTAGCTTGAAAATCTAAATTTGAAGACTTTGCAGTGTTTTGTGTTCAATGGACTGTTCAAATCATAACTTAAGAATCTAACAACCGTCGTACTAATCCACATTTTTCATTGTGAATAACAGATTTTAAATATTTGTTCAGGACAACCTTGAAACAATAAACAAGCGTAAGCGGCTTCCTATTCTCTATCATCAAGTCGAGGTGGATAAATCCTACGCAACTGTAAACTTTCAGATTAAAGGATTTAATGTTTTCAGGTAGAAATATATTATATAACAGCTTTGTCTAGAGTTTCCCTAAGAACTGATCGGTTCAAAAAATGCCGGAGGAAAGGTTTATGACTGACCGAAATTGAAAACTTTTGCACAGAAAAATTGTCGACAGTTAACATTTTTGATAATTCACCAATTGAAACAGAAAAATTCGCAAAAATATGAGAACAATTAAATGTAAAGAGAAAATCCCAGTAATATACTTTAAAGTTATCATAGGTTCCAATTAAAGGAGATTGTTGATTAATTATAAGTCATTGCTACTACTTTTATTTCTTTGGCTGACATCTTTACAACCCGTTTTATTTTTCGGAAAAACTGCCTTAAAAATATTATACTTATTCAGTAACCTGGCTGTCATGGCCAAGTTTGGAAGCATGATGGTGGACAATGATTGTGATTTTATTCAGAGAATAAATGATGTCAAGAAAAGGGACGGAGGTAAAAAAAATTATATTCTTAATATTTTTGTCACACATCAATTTACTTTTTGATGTTTCATGAATACAGGGTGACCCAAAAAAGCAGGGATTAGGATTTTTTAGCCTCTTTAATCGTTAGAAAAGACTCAAAATGCCATGACATATGGTTTTTAATATTAGAAGGGATATACGAAGTCGTCCGATCTTTCCATTTGGTGTAAAACTATGTCGAATATTTGAGAATCTCTCCGTTAACTAACGCTAATCAATATTGTTTAATTGAAACAGCAAAAATTATTTACATCTATCTGAACCCACTGAGATTTTTCTTCCAGGGCTTTCTGAAGTCCAAGGTGTATACGTATTCCCATACCCAATACCTATGAAAAGAAACCTATAAAGAGAAAGGTGCAGAATCGCTGGTCCCTGTTGGAACAGCTTTCATGGACCTTGGAAGTAGGCCATTTTTTTCCCATGGAATCAAATTGGGGCCTCTTTCAAAAATAGCTTGAAATTATAAACATTAACTAACCTAGTAAGCATATTCATTATTATGATTTCAAAGCATTGTTAAGTTGTTTTATCTCTGTAATATAGATTTGAATTGTATAATTGAATTGTTTAAAGTTAATAGATAGGTTTTCAAAAATTAGACACAGTTTTGCGCCAAACGGAAACGGAAGCGACGAAATGTTACTGAAACGACCCATTCCAGTTTTAAAAGCTAAATACTACTTACAACACTTTTAGAGTAATTTCAAAATATTATTGAGGCTTTAAACCGCTAATCCCTGTTTTTTTTGGGTCACGCTGTATAAAGTAATTAAAGTTGTTTTTTATTTGAAAAGAGAAATATTGGATAATTTTTCCATGTATGATGGTCTGGAAAGGAATTAAGTCTTTGCCACAAACTTTATCTTTCTAATCACTAAATCTCTGCAAACCAATGTTGTAGACCTTAGATATTTCAAACTTGAAAATTTGTTGGATCAAATAATCTAAGTTTGAATTATCAAAAGGTTTACATTATCATGTTGCAAAGATATAGGGATTTAAAAATTTGAGCTTTCTGATTTCGACTAAGCAATTTTTAAATAGAGAAAACTATATCTAATTTTTCTTTACTTAAAAAAGGGTTTACAAAGAAACTGGTTCTTCTTCTTTTCATTGAAATACGTTCATAATCCCTTTAATATTTGATTTATTTGTAGAATGGGTTGATTGGTTTATTGGTGTTGATCAAATCCAGAACAGGACTGGGGATTGGTATTTCGGAGTAGTTGCTCTAGCTAATGACGTTCCGGATACAGTTTCTGTAAATAAATCCTGCTCTGATCTTACCAAGAGTCATCTCTTACCTAACTTCAATACTTCAGAGTATACAATCAGGTATTCTTTAGTCCAGTCATCCTTTCATCCTTTAATCCTTTCATCCTTTCATCCTTTCATCCTTTCACCTTGTCATCATTTCATCCTTTCATTCTTTTATTCTAGACCTTTCACCGTTTTCATCCTTTCATCTTCTCATCCTTTCATCCTTTCATCCTTTCATCCTTTCATAGAGACTAATTACTATAGTAATTACCTATTCACTATTTATTCACTAACTCATAATTCATATTTAGTGTGTTTATTATGAGCTTATATAATTTAAAACAAAAGAAACAATAAAACTTGATTAAAATTGACGAAATGTTGTTTAGAATATATATTGGAGGCTGTTATTATTTCAATGTTTCAACAGAAGCCTGGGAAGGAACTGGAGTGGAGGTAAAAACAATCTTTTGGCGATTTATCAAACTTTTTCTTTTAATTTTAATTTTAATGTTTTAATGTATAATGGATTCTCTTTATCACCTATTTGTATAATTTGCGTGTCTGTTTCTTTTTTGTAACCGACAAACGTTAAAACGGCTTAACCGATCGAGCCCACATTTTTTGCGTGAACCACCCCAAGGAGGGTTTATGGATGGTCCGAATTATAAAAATCTTTGATCTTCGTAAAATTTTGAAAAATCCACGAAAAAACTATAAATGTATTTATATAGTTATAATATGTGTTTACTAGGTTGAGGGTAAGGGAGATAATACAATATCCTATTGTAAAACAAACCATTTAACCTCATTCGGTACTGGATTCTTCACCGCTCCGAATACAATAGATTTCGAATTCGTTTTTACAGAATTCGATCTACAGGTTAATATTAACAAACATTTGATACTAACAGATGAAAGATAAAATAATCGCCCTTTTCTTTTTCTCTAAACTATCATTGAACCACTCAAAAAAATTAAGTTTTTGCCACAAACTCAAATTTTCTAATCCTAATATCTTTGCAACCTGATCGATGATATTGATATTTAAAACTTAATGCATTTGATTTAACAGAATTTATAGATTGAATTATCACAGGTCTCGACATCGGGTTGTAAAGATATTTGGATAACAAAATTATTTTATAAAGTTTTGATTCTTGCTTTCATTAGAATAAATAAATTCTATTATAAATGATAAAGGAAGTGAAAGAATGAATGAATGAATGTTTAGGATAATGTTACAATATTTATGGTTATACTCGTCACCATCATTTTCTTCCTGATCATCCTTATTTGGGCGATACTCAAGGATAAGAAAGATATAAAAGACGTAAGTGTATTCTAAAATTTTTCTAATATGTTCTTTTCAGAAAAAAACTTTATCATTTGATTGCCAAAATTGGTCAACCATTTATATACCCCCCTTTGCCGTAATTTTTTATTTAGCCGAACGCAAATCTAACTTGCCTAGATTGTTAATCATACTATAATTCGTATTATGATCAAGATTTATCTTTAATAAATCTTGCTTACTTAATTATTTACTAACTTCCTTACTTACTTACTTACTTACTTACTTATTTACTTACTTGTTTACTAGAAGCAACGAAGAAACTTACAGAAATAAACAATTTTCGAGTCTGTCAAGGCATTGTTCTCTTTGCATTGAGAGTCACTTGACATTACGCTTTCAATTCCTATAATGTTGGTTTAAATTTCAGCAAGAGCCCCACTGGATGAATGATAATCTACCCCAGGATCATTATATCTACGAGATCTTAGTGCAGACCGGTCCAATGCTCTCCCATGGGACGGAGTCTAAGGTTCAGTTTATCTTGACAGGAGAGGAGGATGAGACCCAAATAAGAACCCTCAGCGATCCATCAAAACAATTTTTTAAAAAAGGAAGCTTGGATACTTTTGTTATGACAACTGATAGGTAAATATAAGATACATTAAGATAACATTAGTTTGATAATAATACTTTATTACCAAAAAAACTAAAAATAATGACAACCTTTAATTTTTGAGAAAACAAAGGAGTATTTGCCACAAACTCTGATATTCTAATCTCTATATCTTTGCAACCCAATGCTGTTGTAGACCTTAGATATTTCAAACTATGAATTTTGTTAGATAAGATAATTCAAGTTTGATATATCAAAGTTTTACCCAATCAGGTTGTACAGATGTAGAGATTACAAATTTAGAGCTTGTGTCAACGACTTTATTCATTTAAATGCTTTTATACACATCAATATTATGTAGTACATTTTGGCAAAAAAAAAATATTATAAATCTACAGGATTACAAATCAAAAAATAGAATAAACGTGATCTGTAGTGCGTACAGTCATCCCTGGAGTCTCCTCCGTAGTGAATAGTCAATATAAGATATGTTTACATTTTATCATACTTACTTAGAATCAGTAATCAAACTGCTATAGTTCTAAAGAAATGTTTTTGGTAGGGCAGAAATCATATCTTTTAATAATTAATCTTAATAGCTGTAGTAAATACTGTACTCCATAACGGTTTCTAGAACCCGTATCTATCCAGGTACAACAGTTTCGCTTAGGTATCAATGGTTTAACCCGGATACAATCTCGTCAGCTGTCGATGTCAACACATACACTAGCTAGTAATCGATCAATGCCAAACCAATGGGTACGATCTCATAAGCTATTATTGTCAACCGAACACTAGAACAAATTAATGCCAAACAAATGGGCTCGATATCACCTTGTATATTTCAACGAGAAATCGTCAGCTATCGATGTCAACACGGACACTTTCTAGCAATCGATTAATACCAAACCTTTGAGCAAGATCTCATGAGCTATCGATGTCAACCGGACACTAGCTCGAATCAATGCCAATCCAATGGGCACAATCTCAGCTTATATGTTTCAACAAGAACCAAATTACTATCTTGCAGTAATCAAAGCGGAGTCTCTATATCAACTAATGTATTAAAGGTTCATATGTTACAATATAAAGTTAATAGACGTAATTACAATTCCTACGTTGTTATCTATATCACATGATTAAGACAATGATTTTAGGTATTTAAAGCACAGTTTAAAAAGGCGCATTTAAGATGTATGTAATTATACATCACATAATTAAGCTAATCATGCTAAGTATTCATTTGAATACCAGTTCAAATGAATATTGGGTAGAAGTTTACAAACGTAGATAGTTAATAATGTACAAAGTAGTTTAGGTTTACAGAATATTGTGTTACCCGACATTTATTACAAAGGTTCAAAATGATTCCTAAATATAGCAGAACTATGTATTTTATTTTAGTTACTGGAATAATTTACTTCCTGAATCAATACTTGGCATTAACTAGCTTCTTTTTTCAAGAATGGTTGAATATAAAGTTTTCTTTGTTAGAACTTACATTAATGTTTTGAAGGGCAAAAAGATAAGTTATAAGGTCCCTGGGTAGTCTGCAGTACAATAAGATATTTTTAGGTCCCAAGGTAGTCTGCAGTACAATAAGATATGTTCATGTCCTTGGGTAATCTGTTGTAAAATTAGATACGTTTAGGTCTCTGGGTAGCCTGCAGTACAATAAGATATGTTTAGTCCCTGGGTAGTCTGTAGTACAATAAGGAATGTTTTGGTCCCTGGGTATGCCTATAGTACAATAAGATATGTTTAGGTCCCAAGGTAGTCTGCAGTACAATAAGATATGTTTAGGTCTCTGGAAAATCTGCTGTACAATAAGATATGCTTAGGTCTCTGGGTAGCCTGCAGTACAATAAGATATGTTTAGGTATCTGGGTAGCCTGCAGTACAATTATATATGTTTAGGTCCCTGGGTAGTCTGTAGTACAATAAGGAATGTTTTGGTCCCTGGGTATGCCTGCAGTACAATTATATATGTTTAGGTCTCTGGGTGGCCTGTCGTACAATAACATACGTTTTGGTCCCTGGGTAGTCTGCAGTACAATAAGATACGTTTTGGTCCCTGGGTAGCCTGCAGTACAATAAGATATGTTTAGGTCCCTAGGAAATCTGCAGTACATAAAGATCTGGCATGATAACAGTGGTATAAGAGAAATGCAACCCTGGTATTTAGCATATATAATTATCTACGATATTCAAACTGGAGAGAAGTACAGATTCCTAGCAGATAGATGGCTCGCGATAGACAGGGACGAGTTTACATCAGAAATACAGGTTCAATTCCAAGAATAGCATTTTACAGAAAATACACCGTTATAAAGTGTATTTTTAATGTTTAAATTCCTAATTATAAAAAATTTCCGGTTTTTCCCTGAGTTCCTCCCTTTAAAGGCACTGTAAGCGTAATTATAAGTGACCGTTCTGACCGTCCACGCGAAGATAGTAATGCCCGATTTACAACGATACCCTTAAAAGCTTTGTCTGATCAATTAATAATTAGAAATTTTTCAACGGTGGATTCTCTACAAAAGTACCTTGAGCATTACTACTGCAGGAAAACATGAATTATCAGAATTAAACGCTTTTAACCCTAGAAATCTTTCCCATTATTAAGATCAGATTAAGGTTTCAAGCGTACCGCTGTGAATCAGGCATTGAGAGTCACTTAAAATTACGCTTACAGTCCCTTTCAGTAAACTAATCAGCATTAACATGGGTTTTTTCTTTAAAAACATAAGTCTTGTAGGTTCATAAATTTTTTAGGGCTTCCAACGAAACATTTGAAGATAAGTTAATTTTGGTGAACGCTGTATTAATCTAAAAATTAAGATGTTATTTTATAATTCTTATGTGTTATCATTCTCATATTACACTAGGTTCCAGTTTCGTTAGTGGATGGAGAAGCAGATGTTTCATTCTTATTTAGAACGGTAATATTTGTTTACAATATAATCACAGTAAACTTGCATTTTCAGAACCAGGCCGACCTTTAAGCTGCTAGCTTTACAGTACACATGGAGACTATATAATGCAGAACGTGTCAGTACATCAAATAAATCATTCTCTTCTGGTGAATTTTCTGTGCTATATTTTTTAAGAATAGATTTCAATCCTAAAGGATAATTATTTATAAAAAGTTGGACAAAGGAATTGAGTGTTTGCCACAAACTCAAATTTTCTAATCCCTATACTTGCAACCTAATGTGTTAAACCTTAGATATTTAAAACTGTGATCAAATAATCTAAGTTTTGAATATCAAAGTTTTACACCATCAGATTGCAAAGATATACGGATTAGTAAATTTCAGTTTGTGTTTAAGACTCAAACTCAAGGTTGAATACTAATAGTAAATTATATATTAATCAAGGGTTTTTACATTTGAAGATAATTATCACAAGAATCTTTTTTATTAGAATTAATTTTTATTTTTAAGGAGAAGAATTAACAATTGCATTTTTTATTTCATAATCAAAATTGTAACTAGAGAGAAACAGTCAACATGGTTGACATGATTTCTAAAAAATGGAAAATCAAAACTCAATCAAATTTGAACTTGAAGTTTACCCCGACCTACCCATATGTGAATATTTTTAAAAGCTTCCTACTTGAATTATCGATGTTCTAGGGTCTGTTTAATATCCTGAAAGATGATCATGTCTGGTGGAGCGTGTTCTCCCGTCCTATCCGGAGTAGGTTTACTAGAACCCAGAGAGCTTGTGTTAGTATGGCAACCCTGTACCTTGCTCTCCTCACTAATGCTATGTGGTAAGCACAATATTATAGAGGAATAAAAGAAACTCAATTTCAAACTTTCTAATCCTTATTTATTTGCAACCTGATGGTGTACACTTTGATATTTTAAACTTGAACCTTATGATATAAAATTATATATATTTTGAAATGTTAAAAAGGTCTACCACATGCAAAGATATAGGGGTTATAGAAATTGAGAGCTTGTGGCAAAAACTCAGTTTCTTAGTTTAAGTCACCGATATCATACACGTTTTAATATACAAGTATTACGTTTAACATTGTAACTTATTATTTTTAAGACAAAGAATTTGCGAGTACAATTCAATAAAAAATCTTTTTAAATGTTTTGTTTTAATACGATGAAACAGTTTCTCATCCAAAAGATTAATATGTGAAAGAGCATAGTGTTATAATAATAAATAATATTAACACAACATGTGAATCGTTTACAAACCCTATCCTAGGTACGGAGTAAATGATGCATACGTTGGAACTTCCTTTGGAAACATTGCAAATATTTTCTCCTTAACCTCATCAGAAATACAGATCGGTGTATTCTCCAATATCATCATCTTCGTCCCCGCTATCATCATGATCATGCTCTTCCGTAAAGCTGGTGCTCTGAGTAAAGGAAAGAATAGGATTGATAAAACTATAGAAAGAGCTGCTGCCGAAGGAAAGATAGTGCTACCAGAGAAAACATATCATAGAACAAAAGAAGAAGAAGATGAGTAAGTATTTAGAATTAATGGTCTTTTGCAATTTTCTTCGAAATCAAAAAAAACATTCAATCTTTTATTTATATTTTTTTAGAAAAAAGACTGGAGATTGGCCGTCCTATTGTTACTTTATAGCCTGGATCTTTACAGTACTATTTATCCTGGGTGGAATGGGTATGGTGGCCATGTATGGTCTCCAGTTTGGAAATGAGAAAACCTACGGCTGGTTTACAGCAATTACAATCAACTTCTTCTGGAATGTTTTTGTGGAATCTCCAATCAAGGTGAGTGAAATTCAATTTTAATTGATAGAAAGTCATTTTGAGGGAGAGAGGCTCATTACTAAACTCAAGCTCTAATTTTCCAAACCGCTGAATTTATTACTCTTGTATCTAGGTTCTAATAGTTGCTGGATTTATTACTCTGGTATCTAGATTCTGATAGTTGCTGGGTTTATTACCCTGGTATCTAGATTCTGATATTTGCTGGGTTTATTACTCTGGTATCTAGATTCTGATAGTTGCTAAATTTATTGCTCTAGTAGTTAGGTCCTAATAGTTGCTGGATTTATTACTCTGGTATTTAGGTTCTGATAGTTGCTGGATTCATTGCTCTGGTATCTAGGTTCTGATAGTTAGAACAGTATTGCTCTGGTATCTAGGTTCTGATAGTTAGAACACTCTGGTATTTAGGTTCTGATAGTTGCTGGATTCATTGCTCTGGTATCTAGGTTCTGATAGTTAGAACAGTATTGCTCTGGTATCTAGGTTCTGATAGTTAGAACATTATTGCTCTGATATCTAGGTTCTGATAGTTAGAATATTATTGCTCTGGTATCTAGGTTCTGATAGTTAGAACATTATTGCTCTGGTATCTAGGTTTTGATAAGTACTAGATTATCGCTGTGGTATTAAGGTTCTGATAGTTGCTGGATTTATTGCTTTGGTACGAAGAAAACCCAACTGGAACCAAGACCATCTTGATGCTGATCAGGAGCTACCAACAATATATTTTGATCCGGAAGCAATAGACAGTAAGATATTTTTTTCGTGTTCTTAAAATAATATGTAAGATTTAAAGATATTTCTCTATCTTCTCTACTAAGACAGTAATAATTAAAGATATTTCTCTCCCGTCTTTACTAAAGACAGTAGGATTTAAAGATATTTCTCTTTTTCTCCAATAAGACAGTATAATTTAATGATATTTCTCGATCTTTCCCACTAAGAAAGTAAGATTTAAAGATATTTCTCTCAAATCTCCACTAAGGAAGTACGGTTTAAAGATATTTATTTCTCTCAACTCTCTACTAAGAAAGTAAGATTTAAAGATATTGATTTCTCTTAAATCTCCACTAAGGAAGTACGGTTTAAAGATATTTATCTCTCTCAACTCTCTACTAAGCAAGTAAGATTTAAAGATATTAATTTCTCTTAAATCTCCACTAAGCAAGTATGATTTAAAGATATTTATCTCTCTCAATTCTCTACTAAGCAAGTAAGATTTTAAGATATTTATCTCTCTCAACTCTCCACTATAGAAGTAAGTACGGTTTAAAGATATTTATTTCTCTCAACTCTCCACTATAGAAGTAAGTACGGTTTAAAGATATTTATTTCTCTCAACTCTCAACTAAGACAGTAAGATTTAAAGATATTAATTTCTCTTAAATCTCCACTAAGATTGTAAGATTCAAAGATATTTATTTCTCTCAAATCTTCACTAAGACAGTAAGGTTCAAAGATATTTCTCTCTCTTCTTCACAAAGACAGTAATTGACTAAGAAAGTAAGATTTAAAAATATTTCTCTCTCTTTTCCACTAAGACAGTAAGATTTAAAGATATTTCTCTCTCTTCTCCACTAAAAATTAATTATTTAAAGATATTTCTCTCTCTTTTCCAGTAAGAAAGTAAGATTTAAAGATATTTCTCTTTCTTCTCCACTAAATACATTAATAAGTAAAGATAATTAATTCTCTCTCTTCTCCACTAGATACATGTTTACAGAACCAAAGCTTTAAAATTCGGTGATGGTGATGGTCTTGGTTGACCCTCTTTAGTTCTTGAGAATGCTCTGTTATGCAGATTCAAAGCTTTTTCTCACTTTTCTCCACTAAAGACTGAAAGATTTAATGAGATTTCAGTCTTGAACTAAAGAAATTAAGATCAAGTCTCTTTTCTCCTAAAGAATAAGAAATTGTAAAAGCAAGTCTAATTTCCCCATTTAACCTCCTGCCTTTTAAATTGTGGAAACGTCGTTATTTAACTATCTGCATGGGTCTTTAATTCCTTTCTTCTTTCAACTCCCCCCCCCTTCTTCCCCTGCTGAGCAACCTGACCTGATAATACCTATAGTTCTGAAGAATAGTACAGAGGCAAGGCAGGGTTATTCAAACAACATACGTCTATTTCTTATGTTAATTAGTCTTTGACTACGGTTGCCATTATTTTCAATACAAAGATTTTAGATTAATTTTTTCCATTTTTAAACTGATTTTTTCTGACGGAGAAATTTAAACTTTATCTAAACTTAAATATGTTTAATATATTTCTGAGTGTTTACCCACTGAATGCACACAAGATTTTTCAAGCATTGCCAGGCAGAGAAAATGTCCTTGTTTTATAAGTGTTTCTGAATGTTTTCTCCAGAAAGTTTCATTTTCAAAAGATACTTTTTCGCTGACAGTTGTTTTCATTTTTTCAAAGTATTCTCTTTAATATAATATGTCTTTTTTTCCCCGCAAACGATTCTCATCTATAGCAAATATGCCTAAGTATAACAGTCAAGCTGAAAACAGGATTAGGGACCCCCCCCCCCTCTCACTTTAAACTAAGGTAAATCTCGCAAACATTGATATACTAATTATTTTCATTCATTACTCTTCTTAAAGGCTGAAAGCTAATCACTTTAGCTCTTAATCGTGACCCATCTGATGTTCCTGTCTCGAGAAATTGATATAAAACTGTGTCAAATGTATACGAAAATTTATATTTACAATTTTGTATAGAAATAGTAGGTTTAAACAGCTCATATTCAGCAAATATGCAACCAATCTGAAAACGAAGATATCCCAGAGAAACCTAATTGTAACCTAGGTTTTCTCCAATTATTATTTTATAATAATGCTGACTTATAAGGTACCCATAGAACCATGCTTCTCATATTATAATTATATTTATATATTTATTAAGGTTCCGACGAGTACTCCTGCTCCCGTCACAGTCAATCTTTGCATTGGTCGGTATTTCTCCCACCTTGATATTCAGGGCTTTTGGACTCCCGGAGAGAAATATATTTTCCCTTCTCCGCTCTGCTATTAGAGAAATCAGTTCTTTCTAGATACCCAGATCATTCAGATCATTTCAGGTTTTCATGAGGTTTTAAAAAGTTCCCGTAACCAAGCTCATCCACACTTAGAAACGTTCAGCTAAATAGTTTTGGCGGTTTTCAGTTTTCACGACTTTTCGAGGTTTTCTGCGTGTACACTGTACACTGCACTGCAGTATAGTAAAAAGAGGACATATATGTTCTCCAAGATGTTTGGTGGACTATCTATGATGGGATTTGGATGCGGACCCAATATGATGCTGGCTTGGCTCTCTAGCTTTGTGGTTTCTTTTATTTGCGGAGCATGCTTCTGTATGTAAACAATAAATAGGATACAATGATACAATTCAGTAATATTTGGGTGTCCTTGGAATTTACAAAACTACAGTCTGGTCATTATAGAACATTAAAACCACTTGTGAAAAAAATAAGATCAATTCGGAAAAAAAGACAGTAAGAGATTTTCTATAATATCACACTGAAGAAACATTCTAAAAGTATTATGATAATAAGAAAGGTAAGCGTTTCAAGAATTCATGCGATTGTAATATTAAATATATGAATTCTAAAGATTGAAATACTTTCTATTTCTTTTCAAAGAAAAATTAGTTGTTAACTCAATTTTGTTTTAAAGATCCAGTAAGCACCAGAAACGAAATGAATGTCGATTTAGTTCTCTCTTTTAAGAAATGGCGTTAAGGATTTTATAATTTGCAATTATATAATTGCTACAACTAGCATATCTCTAATAATTATCCGGGCACTTTTAAACAAATATTTAAGCTGCAAATTGAAAAATATTTAGGGACATTTTCACAATTTTCTTTGGTTCTCTTCTTAGATTAAATTACAATGTGACTTTCATTCTCAATTATTTCATTTAGATGCTCGCCCATCTAAACCTAAAGCTGAGGTTCCAGAGTTTGATCCTGCCTACCTTGAACCTCTCAGGTAGCAATTATATCTGGTACAATTATATCATATCATTCAAATCATAGAACCATCTTAATCCTATTTTACATATATAGAACAATCCTTCTCCTAGGATATAATCATGTAGAACCATTCTTCTCCTAGGAAATATATCCTAGGAGAAGGATGGTTCTATGATTATATCCTAAGAGAAGAATGGTTCTATATGGGATCCTAGGAGAAGAATGGTTCTATATGAGTATATCCTAGGAGAAGGATGATTCTATGATTATATCCTAGGAGAAGAATGGTTCTATATGAGTATATCCTAGGAGAAGGATGGTTCTATATGGGTTAATCCTAGGATATACTTATAGAACCATCTAAATCCTAGGATATACTCATAGAACCATCTTAATTCTAGGGAATATATATAGAATCATCCATCTCCTAGGATATACTCATAGAACCATCTTAATCCTAGGGAATATATATAGAATCATCCATCTCCTAGGATATACTCATAGAACCATCCTTCTCCTAGGATATACCCATATAGAACCATTCTTCTCCTAGGATATACTCATAGAATCATCCTTCTCCTAAGATATATCCATAGAACCATCCTTCTCCTAGGATATACTCATAGAACCATCCTTATCCTAGAGTATATACATAGGATCATCCTTCTCCTAGGATACACCCTTAGAACCATCCTTCTCCAAGGATATACCAATAGAAACATCCTTCTCCTCAAGTATATACATAGTACCATTTTCATTCTAGGGTATATACATAGAATCATCCTTCTCCTAGGGTATATACATAGAACAATCCTTCTCCCAGAGTAAATACATAGAATCAATCTTCTCCTAGGATATACCCATAGAACCATCCTACTCCAAGAGTTTTTACATAGATTCGTCCTTCTCCTAGGATATATCCATAGAATTATTCTTCTCCAAGGATATACACATAGAACCATCCTTCTCATAGGGTACCCATAGAACCATTTTCTAGAGCATATACATATCCTTCTCATAGGATATACCCATAAAACCATCCTTCTCCTAGAATATACCCATAGAGCCATATGGTACCCATAAAACCGTCCCTCTCCTAAAGTATATACATAGAACCATCCTTCTCCTAAAGTATATACAAAAACCATCCTTCTACTAGGGTATACACTTAGAACCATCCTTCTCCTAGGGTACCCATAGAACCATGCTTCTCATATTATAATTATATTTATATATTTATTAAGGTTCCGACGAGTACAGGAAGGAGAAATGAACGCAACCATTCAAGAAATTTTAGGAAAACCCTATAAAAAAATATCTATATTTTAAAGAACAATTTCATAAAGAACTGTAATAGTAATCATTCATTTCTAAAGTACTAGAGTGCTCTATTCACAACAACGAGGAAGCTATCGTCGTATTTGTTGTAGAGAACTCTCAATTCAATTCTAAGTTATGAAAACCAAAGATATCTCATTCATTTGTTGTCAAATACCATTGTAAATCTGACTGACATGACACTTTAGAATTGGAGGGTTATTTAAAATTACGTCTAGAGTTGTCCCTTCAAACAAATTGAGAAAATCTGAATATGTTTTTTTTATAGGTTTTATATTTAGTTTATCTTGTTTACCTTGTTATCGTGATTGCTGTAGCTAACGGGAACAGAAACCCTAATTCATTCTACATGAAGGATATGTTAGCAACCACTGTTGTGAGTAACTGTTACATAATATAAAAAATAATCCCGAAACAATTATTAAAAACTTTAAACTTAAATGAAATAATCTTGAAAAACCACCAAATTCTGGACAAAAAATCCTCACTTTTCTTCGGTAATTGGTGAATTTCAGACTAAAAACTTTGTTTTTACCAAACCTTTATCTTTTCATAATTCATGTAAATCGTGCTTTTGAGAGCAAAAGATTATTTTTGTACATTTTGGATTATATTTCGTCACTTTCATGGGGCTTCGTGGATATTTTTGCGGATCCGGGTTCAAGGAGCCAAATGTTGGAGATCTGGATCCTGTGGAGATCCTAACGAGTATGTTTATGTAGGTGCATGGTGGATTGCTGTGTAGTAGACCCGACGGTATACCCTGTGATCCCGACGAAGATCTAAAAGTATTCCACAATCCGTACCTTCCAGGAGAACATGAAGTTCCGTTCTCATTCGTGGATTTTATGCAGGTAACAAACACACAAACTTAGGAGGGTGGGGGGCTGGATTGCCATCCTCCCCTAGCTACCCATAGGAGGGGGCGATACCCCCCACCCCCTCCTGTAGAAAAGAAAGAATAAAGGAATTGAGTCTATGCCTTAAACCCAAATTTTGTAATCCCTATATCTTTGCGACCTGAAAATTCAAGCTTAGATTATTCGATCTAATAGCATAGTTTGAAATATCTATTGTCTACTACCACATTGTCTTGCAAAGTTATAGAGATTAAAAAATCACAGTTTGTTTACACCATCAGGTTGCAGAGATTAGAAAAGTTGATTTTGTGGCAAAGACTCAATTTATTTGACGATGTTTGGGGTACATTTTGGTATTGTTATTTGCATTGGTACTTTCAAATTAGATAATTACCTTGTGAGTAAAAAATTCATTGAAAAGTGTTAAATAACGTGGTTAAGAAAATGACGAAATGTTTGAAGAAAAATCAACTATTGATCAAGGTTCGAGAAGTCAATCAATTTTGGATGTGGTTCAATGCAACCCTGATACCTAATGTGAGAGTACAGAGCTGGTATAACGATGATCCTCCGTATGGACTCAGAGGGTGAGGAGACATTCTTTTACAAAAGTTTTCTTTAAAAATTGTCAAAGTATTCTCTTTATATAAGATGAGATATAGTTTATTGCTAAAAATACACTTACAAGTTATAATGTTACAGGCAAAAAATCTGCAATTTTTTACAATATTTATGCTATTCATCATTTATATTTGTCTAAAGAAAAATTACATTAAACAACATAAAAGTTCACAATTTAATACTAATACTCTTTTATCTTGATATCGCATTTTATGATTGACAGGGTTTGCCAAAAAACAGGCGCAATACAAGACTTTTAGCATGAGTATTGAGCATAGTTTAGTTATTCAGAGATGGTTTTCAGAAATGGAGTTTCTTGGTCCCAGTCTAGTGTTTTTCGTTTTCTAAAAATGTGGTATAATGACAGCTCTGCAAGGCTTGATAGATTTTCGCATTGCTTTGAAACTAGCACTTGGGATTGCGGAACTTATGCAGTTTCTTTAGATTTGCTTTATTTGATTGTGAGATATATCCTCTTGAGCCGATTTCAAAAGGGTGAAGACACATCCCTAGTTGTTATATCTGTGATAAAATGTTCATACTTGTTCATCTTTTGAGTATTGGCATTTTTGATATTTGTTTCCGATGGGACAGTAAGCTCAAAAATATCCATCTTTTCCTCCATTTTAACGATAACTTATAGATCTGGTTTCTCTGCGGTCACAAGGAGTTGGGGGGGGGGGGGGAACAGTACCTCCCCCTGGAAAGGTATGGGACGGGATGTCGGCATACATCAAAAATCGGTCAATATCAATTAATCCAGTGATATATTTAATAAGATTGTTGTGCCTCCAAGTATATCTTGTTTGATGTAGTACGACCTTGCAGCCATTCAAAATATGGTTTGTAGTTTCTTGTCTTCTACCTTGCAATTCAGCGCCTGCCTGTAAACATAGTTTCAGAGATCTGATGCAGATTTTCCCCATTGTAGAAGGTTGCTTTGTGTTGGCAGGGTGTCCAAACAGGAGTTGAGTAGAAATTTCAGTGTACCTTTCTTCAGATTGAACATGTAAGATTTCCAGATGATGTCGGATTTTTCAAGCATTGCCAGGCAGAGAAAATGTCCTTGTTTTATAAGTGTTTCTGAATGTTTTCTCCAGAAAGTTTCATTTTCAAAAGATACTTTTTCGCTGACAGTTGTTTTCATTTTTTCAAAGTATTCTCTTTAATATAATATGTCTTTTTTTCCCCGCAAACGATTCTCATCTATAGCAAATATGCCTAAGTATAACAGTCAAGCTGAAAACAGGATTAGGGACCCCCCCCCCCTCTCACTTTAAACTAAGGTAAATCTCGCAAACATTGATATACTAATTATTTTCATTCATTACTCTTCTTAAAGGCTGAAAGCTAATCACTTTAGCTCTTAATCGTGACCCATCTGATGTTCCTGTCTCGAGAAATTGATATAAAACTGTGTCAAATGTATACGAAAATTTATATTTACAATTTTGTATAGAAATAGTAGGTTTAAACAGCTCATATTCAGCAAATATGCAACCAATCTGAAAACGAAGATATCCCAGAGAAACCTAATTGTAACCTAGGTTTTCTCCAATTATTATTTTATAATAATGCTGACTTATAAATTATATTATCAATTATATTTAACAAAAATAAAAATAAAAAATTTATAAAGTAATAATTGAAGAAAACCTGAATTACAATAACTACATTTTTAGCCTTGATTTTGATAAGGACAATTAGACATAAGTATGATAAGGACAATTAGACATTTGTGCTAAATTGCTGGTGCAACTTTGTGACTTTTTAGTTTTGATCTTACACCCAAGTATGAGAAAAGAAAATTTATTGGTGGCATAAAAAATCTCACGTGAAAATCAATTAGATATCTGGATGACCGTGTGAACCGATTGATCGGATACGCAGTTGTGCGGCAAGTGCGCGAGAAGATTGGAAATTGCCGCGCTCCTCCGCAGATGAGAGATTATGTGGAGAGCTGTACGGGAGATCTGGAAATCCCATTATTAGAGGAAGACGACAGGTAGAACTATCAATATTTTAAGAAAAAATGTATTTTTATCTTAAAGATCCTGACTGAAAATGTTTAGAACCTACTGTCTGGGTTGGAAACCGGTTATTGCTGAAGATTGTGTACGGATGCGTGAGTTTCAGTACATTAGTGAAACCAAGAGAGAAGCATCAGCTACTAAGGGGGTTTACAGATCATACAGTGGGGGCGGATATGAACTTAAGTAGGATTAAAATAATAATGATAATATTACCATTATTAAGTTTTTCTTATAGTTTTATAATTATATTATTATTATTATTATTATTATTATTATTATTATTATTATTATTATTATTATTATTATTATTATTATTATTATTATTATTACTATTATCTAGAATGAAGGGCAGTATTGGTGAATTGAAGGATAAGATTGAGGTTCTACAGAACAGTTCCTGGATAGATAATAGAACAAGAGCAGTTATGGTAGAATTCTCTGTTTTCAATGCACAGGTTTATTATTCATAAATTAAAAAAACATTTGAATTAACTTTCATTATAAGATAGTACCAAAGAAAACAAATGGTCGGTACGAAAATGTTGAAAAAAAATTGAAAAAAAAGTCGATGGAACATTTTTACTTCAAAGATATATTAAATAAAAGTAAATTTTGGATAACTGAATCAGATAATATAAAAAATTGATAAATATATAGATCACATTTTTTATTGTTTTGCAGAAAAAGCCAAATCAAATTAATTATACCGAAGAATAAAATTAATGATAGATAATTATTTAAAGGAATTGAGTCTCTCTACTCCTTGTTAGAAACTCGAATTTTCTGTTCCCTATATCTTTGTAAAATGACGGTGTAGACCTTTGATATTTCAAACTTAGATTATTTTAAACTAACAGAATTATATTGTTTGAAATATCTAGAGTCTCGTCTACCTAATTGGGTTGCAAAGATATAGGGATTAGAAAATCAGAGTTTTTGGAAAAGTCTCAACTCCTTTTGACTATATATTTTCAACTGAATATTGTGAATAGGTAAACCAGTTTGGAGTAGTTAGAATCCTCGCTGAGTTTGTTGGAGGAGGGTTAATACCAACCTATAGGATAGATGTCATTACTCTCACCAAAACATACGATTTCGGGGGATACATCACTGCTATTGCAGAGGTAGGATTAAAAACCTAATACGATACAAGTATAAGATCAAAGCTCAACGCTTACAGTTTAATATCTGAAACTTTTATATTTTGCACGTTGGGCAGACTTAAACAGATTGGAGTTTAAAAAAATGAATGAAAAATATTGAACAGTTTAGGTTGGGGGGGGGGGGGGGGAATATTAGCTCTGTATGAGTAGGACCTTTGGAACGAGAAAACATTATTCCCCCTGCTTTGGTATTAAAAAATCTTGCTATTTCAAGGGCAGCAAAAAAATGGTTGGATGCACGAGCATGTTTCTTAAATGTATGTTTGCCACCCTTTTTCTAGTTACTGTTCGTGATCTCAACCTTCTACTACCTTCTCAACGTGATCCTGACTCTAAAGAGTATGGGGTTGAGGGATTACTTCAAGGAGTCCTGGAACGTGGTGGATATCCTCACAATAACAGTCTCAATCCTTACCATCGGAATTTGGGGAATTAAGGTTAGAAAGAAATTGAGTATTTTTGTCACAAAATCTGATTTTCTGATCCCTATATATCTTTGCAATGTCGCACACCTTAGATATTTCAAACTATGAATTCTGGAAGTTCAAATAATCTAAGTTTGAAATATTATAAACGGTTACATGTACCATCAGACTGGAATGATTGAGGGATTATAATATTTGAGTTTGTGACAAATAATCAATTCCTTTTAATATTTAGTTAGGAGGGGAGGAAGGCCAGCTACAACAATTTCTAGTCCGTGCCACATTCTCCTCATTTTCTCATCCGAGCCACCTCGAAATCATCGTCCTTCGAATATTATCTTTTTAAAGTCAATTCTCCAAGATAAAACAATTTTCTAAGAATCGGGTTACGTTAGAGCATAAACAAAATGTTGAATTGTAAATCGAAAAAAAATAAAGTTTGTGAGTGCAATGTCCTGAAAAATATTCACGCGCATTTTCATATAATCTAGGTGTAGAATGTCGCAAAATATTCCAAGTTTTATGTTAATTATTGCGAAAACCGAAGATTTTTTCGGGTGGTTCCATGGGGAAAATTATAGGCAAATATGGCAAATATTTTGCTTTTTATTTTGTATCACAAAGGTTAGCCATTACGGAGGCAGAAGAGATTTATGTTTCACCTAAATAAAGTTTGGCATCATTCTTACGGCTTTGAAGATTTCAACCTAATGTAATCATTGCAATGCTTTAGTCAATCCATATTTTATGCCCAAACGCGGCCTGATTTTTAAAAGATAGCTTTATCTTCAAGATTTAGAAACTTAAAAACAAATAATAAGCGAAGGACGAGGATTTCGAGGTGGCTCGGACGAGAAAATGAGGAGAATATGGCTCGGATGATAAATTGTTGTGGCCTCCTCCCCTCCTTGTAGTTTACCACTTCATATAGAAAATTACGAAAATCAAAGAAATATTAATTTGAAACAATTATAAAAGCTTTAGCAGAAAACAAGGACAGCAGGGAGGGGGGACCTTTTCTTTCCAGGGGGGGCAGCACCCTATGAAGCCTGAAACCCTCCTAGAAGGCAGGGATTTCACTAATCTATATATCCTGTATAATACTTTCAATTGTGGAGCCCTTCTTCAAATATTCCCAGCTTTGTAACTAATTATGGAATTTTGGTTTCAAGACACTGTCGTTGTGATTTAAAGTGACTGTTGAAAAAAGGGGTATGTCCGATTCACAATGTTACCCTCTAACCTTTAACTATATTGTGGAATATCTAGCCGTTTAAACAACTTTAATCTTAATCAGATAAAACTTTTAAGGTTACCATTATGAATCTTGCATGCCACTCTTCTTATGGAGAGTTAGTACCTTTAAGGTTCCATTTGATAATATTGAGATATTTTAGTATATTCGAGTAGCAGTATTCACCCAGCAGATTGCTAAGACAGGAGGAAATGATTATGTTCCAATAGATTCTGCACAGAGTATAAATCTAATCTATGATTACTTATGCTCTCTCACTGTATTCACATCTATGCTTAAACTCTGCAGGCTTCTCAGGTTAAATTTTACTTTAAATACCACGCTCTCAAATATAGTCTGGAATACAAAGACGACTTTAGCTAAATATTCTGTTAAAAATAGGTTAAAATTGCCCAATTCCCTCCCCCTTCCCCCCCAAAAAAAAATGTTGAAAGGTTTGTGCAGAGTGGAAAAGCAAAGTAAATGAGTCTTTGTCAAAAACTCAAATGTTCCAATCCCTATATCTTCGCAACGTGATGGTGTAAATCTTTAATATTTTAAACTAAGTTGTTTGACTTAAATAGAATTGATGCGCTTTGAATGAAATATCTAAGGTCTTCGACATTGGTTTGCAAAAATATAGAGATTAGAAAATCGGAGTTTGCTTTATAGACTCAATTCCTTTAAAAAAAGAATTTATTGGCAAGGGGTTAAAACGAAAAGTATGTAAAGTGATAAAATTTTATGGCCCCCTCTCCCCAACCATATAGCTTTGATTTCTTATTTAATTCTAAAAGATGCTCTCACTTAGGTAGACGATTTCTAATTCTTTCTTTTTTTAGTTTCCAAAAAGCCTTCAGACAGATCGCTGCAACCATCAAGCTCTGCTTCATAGGACTCTCAACCTTCATCGTCGAGTTCATCATCGTGTTCGGATCCTTCTGCTGCTTCTTCTTCTTCATGCTCTCCGCCTACCTCTCCAACTTCAGGGATATGTTGAGGACAGTGGAGAATACTCTCGCCATGGCCATCGGGAAGTTCAACTTTGCCAGCTTGAAGGAGGCCAGTGAGATGGCGGCTTGGATTTTCTTCGCCTTCTCAAGTATGATTACTTTTTACAACATTTCATACAGATTTTCTAAATTAGAGAGTGTACATAAGTATTGACATTTCAGTATCCAAATTATGATAAAGATATATTGACCAAAAAAAATTATTCTTTACTTGAAAAATTAAGATTTATAGAGGAGTAAAAATCTAAGACATACAGGAACAGTTACTCACAGTAAACATTAATTTTCTAACTATTGTATCTTTGCAATCCCATGTCGTTAACCTTTCATATGCCAATATATGAATTCGTCAAAGTTAGAAAAACCAAAAGTTTACATCATCTGTTTGCAAAGATATAGGGATTCGAAAATTGGAGTTTGAGGAGAATAATCAGTTCCTTAATCTTGATTTGTTACAATTTGTATGTCATCTATCAATGTGTTATTATGTTTTAGTTGTTGTAAACATGATCCTGATCAATATGATGATGGCTATCATCAACATGGCCTTCGAGGAGATCAAGAACGAAAAAGAGGCTTTCCAGAACAAGTTTGAGATCATTGAGTACATCAAGAGATCGATTAAAGAGTTAACTGGAGTCAGGTATTTAGTTAGCTTCAACGGTTGCTTTTTTTTAAAAGGTTATCCACAAGCTTCTCCATAAGGTTATGATACAAGGTAATCTACAAGTTTATTTATAAAGTTATCCACTAGGTTATCCACAAGGTTATTCAAGAGGTTATCCAAAAGTTTATCCACAGTTTATCTACAAGGTTATCCCAAGGTTATCCACATGGCTACCCACAAGATTATCCACAAGGTTATCTATAAGGCTCCCCACAAGGTTACCCACAAGGTTATCCACAAGGTTATCCTAAAGGTTATCCACAAGGCTACCCACAAGATTTTCCCCAAGGTTATCCACAATTGCTTATCCACAAGGTTTTCCATAAGGTTATCCACAATGTTATTTACAAGGTTATCTACAAGGTTATCCAAAAGGTTACCCGCAAGGTTATCCACAAGGTTATCCACAAGGTTATCCACGAAGTTATCCACAAGATTATCCACAAGGCTACCCACAAGGTTATTTACATGGTTATCCACAAGGTTTTTCGCAAGGTTATCTACAAGGTTATCCACATGGTTATCCTTAAGGTTATCCACAAGGCTATCCACAAGGTTATCCACAAGGTTATCCACAAGGTTATCCACAAGTTTATCCACAAGGTTATCCACAAGGTTATCCACAAGTTTATCCACAAGGTTATCCACAAGGTTACCCACACGGTTACCCACAAGGTTATCCACAAGGTTATCCACAAGGTTATCCACAAGGTTAAACACAAGGTTATCCATAAGGTTATCCACAAGGTTATCCTCAAGGTTAAACACAAGGTTATCCAAAAGGTTATCCACAAAATTATCCACAAGATTATCCAAAATGATATCAACAAGGTTATCCAAAATGATATCCAAAATGTTATCCAAAATGTTATCCAAAATTTTATCTACAAGGTTATCCACAAGGTTATCCAAAATGTTATCCAAAAGGTTATCCACAAGGTTATCCACAAGGTTATCCACATGGTTATCCACAAGGTTATCCACAAGGTTATCCACAAGGTTATCCTCAAGGTTATCCACAAGGTTATCCACAAGGTTATCCACAAGGTTATCCCCAAGGTTATCCACAAGGTTATCCACAAGGTTATCCACAAGGTGATCTAAAATGTCTTCCACAAGGTTTGCCACATTTTTTTCCACAATCTTTTCGACAAGATAATCCTCACGGTTGTTACAAGGTTAACCATATGGTTATCCACAAGGTTTTTCAAAAATGTTATCCTCATCCTTTTGTTAAAAGGTTATCAACAATGTTTTTCAAACTAAAATCCACAAATTGTGCAATTTAAATGGCAGCCTTAAATTCTTAAGATATCACTGTATATTTTAATGCACGTAAAGACAAAAAAAGTGAACAAGTGCAGAAAAAAATAGAAAAACATTTGAAATTTCATTTTGTTAATATTTGAAGCAAAGTTATTTTTAACGAACCTTCCTAATATTGTTGATAAATGATTATTTAGGCCTGCTCAACGAGATCTCCCAGTTTTCAAGATTGATAAACCCGAGGAGGACGGAGAGGTGATACCAGAAATAATCGAGGAGGATCTGGACAACGGAGAGAAACCAATCAGTGTTGAGTTCTCCGACAAGACGAACCAGCTCCTGGAGTATATTGAGAAGACGTATCTTAGTGGATTCCCACCACAGGACGGACAGAAAATATTAGAGAAGATGAGGCTAGCGGAGAATACTAATAAGGTAATTTTTTTCTTCTTATAAATCTAATCAATCTGATCTTACTTTTTCCCCGTACTGTTTACTCATGATGTTGGAACCTGACCCGAACCCATAAAGCCTCTTTTGCAGGCTAGATATTTAATACCTACATATCATTAACCTGGTTCAGTTGAGTGAACATATGGGATGCCAAAAAACACTACAGTAGTCATCATATGTATCAATACAATGAAGATGGTTTTTTATTTCAATTTTGATTTTACAGAGCTAACAGTATAGACACTTACACATTTAAACAAAGAGAGTTGTCAATAAACAGCTTCTATTTGTTTTCATGTAAACTTGTAATAAGAAAAACGGTTGCCAGGGTTGAAAAACTTATATTAAAATTAATTGTATTGATAAAAACGTCTATCACTGTACTATTGAGTTTCTGAAGGTGTAAAATAGCCCTGAAGTTGAAACTTAAGCATATTACAGGAAGTAACTGATCTAGGTACGAAACGCAGCCTTGTTTTTTTTCGTCGTCGTATATATCAATACGATGAAGACGTCTATCGATTAAAAAAAATATTTCTTTAGAAAAGAGATAAATTAAAAATTATTCATTTAGGCGAAAGTGATGGTTTATGGATTCGACAATATATTTGGCGAAGGACCAACTCCTACTCCTAGTATGTTGGGAGGAGTAGGAGAGGAGGATGAGGAGGTAGATATGGAGAACATGGATCTTATCAATTTCGACTCCCAGTCCCTCTACAGCAATGCAAGCAATGTGGACGGGATGAATATTTAATCCTGGAAATCTACCAAAATGCTGAAAATTAAAAAAATATGACAAAGTTTGTATAAAACTGGTAAAAATGGTTTCTTCAGTGTGATATTATATGAAAAATCTAATTAATATGTAGCAATAAATTGATCTCAATAAATCTTTTTTTATTTTGTTTCCAGATAAAGCCGGGATCCCAATATGTATATATTTATATATATATATATATATATATATATATACAAAGTATTTATAATCTGTTTGTTTGTTTCTATATCCAACCATAACTCCAGAAACTCTAAACCAATTTGCCTCAATTTTTTATCTAATTTTTGTTGGTTTGTGTGTATGTATCTACAATAAAAGTCGAAAAGGCTGAACTAATCGGACCTGACTTTTTTCATAATTAAAAGTTTGAAAACCCCTCGATGAAAATGCTCCCTGGAATCTATATCATTGTTATGTTTTATGATGTACAAAGAAAGAATGGTAGCAGATAAAAAACGTATAAAAGCTGAAATCAATAAAAGAAACAGGGACAGGGAGATAACTAGATTTTAGAAAGTTATGAGAAACAATTTCTTTTATATGGGACTAGGGGGGGGTGCAAATTCGTCATTGCACCCCCCTTTCAGAAGAAAGGGGGGGCACCCTGCACCCCCCCCCCTGGCTACGGGCCTGGTAAACACTATATAGTGAATACAGTAAACAGTCATTCTTTAGGAATCCAAAATTTGAAAATTTGCTTAGGTTGATGCTGTATTTTTTTACCTGAAAACCTCGGAAAATGTTAAGACTTCTGAATCAAGGCGAAGAAATTATTTTTGACTATAACACACTATAACTTTATTTCAGATATTTTTCGGTTTAAACTTGCATTTTGTATTTGCATAAAAACAAAAAAATCCCTGTCAATATATTCTTTTAACTAAAGGAATGCTGATTTCGTAAATAATAAAACTCTGTTCAAAATTGATATTGTCTTCACTGAAAACTAGACAGATTGGGAGGGACTTGTGATCTCGTAGCTCCTCTAGTTCTGATTTCACGCACAAGTATAACAAAGCAAATGTATCTTATTATATAAGAAATTCAAAACATTATGCTTTTCTCAATGCTCTGAAAAAGAGAAGTTATAATTGAAAACATTAAAGAAATTTTATTTTCCGTTCAATTTACTGTATCAACGTGTGTTGTGATTTATAGAGCTGGTGTAAAAACTCGGTCCTAGACCCGTGATCAAATTGTTGACATTCACCTCAACAACATGTGAATTATCACGGGATATTGACGGGTCACTCGTGTGAAATAAACCAAATAATCTTGTGTTCTTCACGGGTTTTTGTTTGTTGGGTTGCCGCAAAACAGATTTGGGTGGCGGTGATTACTATTTGAGGAACTCTGGACTCCCTCCCTCGCACCACTGCAAATAGGTAAAATGAGGTTCGGAAGCTGTGCGGGGGAGGTTGCCAATGGCGAACATATCAAGTTCAGAATTATTTACGAGACAACTTCGCCATCGGCACATAAAGTCGGTAAAAATGTTTCCTGGGCGTGTATACTCCGTGTACATCTCGTGAAAAAAACTCAAGTTTTCCCCGTGTAAAACTCGGTCATAGACCCATGATCAAATCGTCGACATTCACCTTGTGTCAACACGTGAATTAAATTTTTGAATATTTTTACTTCGAAATTTGGGTGGTGTATTTTTCGACCTACGCATATCCTCTATATTACACTTCTGACCTACTTGCACGTGGTTTTCCAGCTGCTTTTTAGCTGCTGTAGGTCTGTTAAACTATAGGTCAGTTGCACCTTAATTCAAAAAACTTTTGTTTGATCCGACCTACTGTAGGTCGGATGTACAAATTTGTAGGTCGAATAGTCATCGATTGTAGGTCGGATTTACACTTAAGTAGGTCGGATACATATGCATTTGTAGGTCGGATGGTCATCAATTGTAGGTCGGATTTACACTTTTGTAGGTCGGATGCATTTGTAGGTCGGATGTACACATTTGTAGGTCGGATGGTCATCGGTTGTAGGTCGGATTTACACTTTTGTAGGTCGGATATATGCATTTGTAGGTCGGATGGTCATCCATTGTAGGTCGGATTTACACTTTTGCAGACGTCGCTTATATGCATTTGTAGGACGGATATACACTTTTGTAGGACGGATGTACACTTTTGTAGGTCGGATGGTCATCGATTGTAGGTCGGATTTACATATTTGTAGGTCGGATGTACACATTTGTAGGTCGGATGTTTATCGATTGTAGGTCAGATTTACACTTTTGTAGGTCGGATTTATGCATTTGTAGGTCGGATGTACACATTTGTAGGTCGGTTGGTCATCGATTGTAGGTCGGATTTACATATATTTGTAGGTCGGATACATGCATTTGTAGGTCGGATGTACACATTTGTAGGTCGGATGGTCATCGACTGTAGGTCGGATTTACACTTTTGTAGGTCGGATATATGCATTATAAATCCGACCTACAATCGATGACCAAAGACTTACAAATGTGTACATCCGACCTACAAATGCATATATCCGACCTACAAAAGTGTAAATCCGACCTACAATCGATAAACATCCGACCTACAAATGCATATATCTGAGTGTAAATCAGACCTACAATCGATAACCATCCGACCTACAAATGTGTACATCCGACCTAAAAACATATTTGTAGGTCGGATATATGCATTTGTAGGTCGGATGTACACATTTGTAGGTCGGATGGTCATTGATTGTAGGTCGGATTTACACTTTTGTAGGTCAGATATATGCATTTGTAGGTCGGATGTTCATCCATTGTAGGTCGGATTTACACTTTTGTAGGTCGGATATAATATGCATTTAAGTAGGACGGATATACACTTTTGTAGGACGGATGTACACTTTTGTAGGTCGGATGGTCATCGATTGTAGGTCGGATTTATACTTAAACATAAAACAGATGTTTTTAAAATAAATTCAAATAAATTCATGAGTCTAAATGAAAATAGTTTGCAGGAACAAAAGAATTTGTAGACTATTTTTTTGTTCATTTGAACTTTTTTTATGTTCAAATTTGAACTAAAAGCAGCCGCGCTCGCTCAGAAATTGTCTTAACCTAAACCTATAACCCTGAAATAATACACAACATGTTGTAGACGTAGGAAACCTAAATAACAAAAAAATAAATAATAATAAATTTGCTGAAAAATAAATGGTTATGTACAAAATTGATAGGAGGGGGGGGGGGTCCAAAAATCGTATACTAGGACAGACCCTAAAGTTATCATCAAATAAGTATTTAATTTTTAGTCAAGTCTGCAGCTTTTAGCATTTAATCTTCATTTCAGATTCTGAATAAAATCAAAATGTCCGTTTTGACAGGTTTAAGTGGATACGGTTCCGGATCCTCAAGCGATGAGTCAGATACGGAGAAGGAGGAGGAAACGAAGAAGAAAGATAGTTCACGAGAGGAGAAGTTTCTACATCTTAAGGTTAGTTTTCAGGGGGTCGGAAGAAGGAACGTATTCCAGCCTAATTGACAGGTTTGTTAGTTAGATGTGCAATTAGTTTGTTAGTATCGGACCGTAGGGAGTAAGGGGGGGATATTTGTCGGCATATAGGTTGGTAATTTCAAAGAGATCGATTGGTAATTTCCTAGAGAACGATTTTTGCGAGTGGGTCCAAAAATCGTTCTCTAGGACGGACCCGAACGATTTTTGGACCAACCCCACCCCTCCCCCCGATATGGTATATCTTTATAACATATGTATATAATTGATCATGCGGCCGCAGCGCCCGGCCCCAGCTAGCCTGTCCTAGCCGCGGTAGTATAAAACTCAAGCCGCCTGAATTAAACACCATTAGTCATTGCGCCATAACGGGTATAAAGTTCGGAAATTTTAAAAATATGCGTTAATTTACATTTTACTTACAGTTTTATAGTTGTTGATAAAACACTTACTACAATTGTTATTTGAATTCTGATTTAGGATGTTGGAAAGTTTACTGGAAAGAGCAATGTCCTAGATTTCTCAGTTATGGCTGCTCCAATTGTAACACTGAATGCAGCTATGGACTCTAGGTATAATCAATATTTATAGGTTACGGTGGGTATTGATTAGAATGGACTGTAAGCGTAATTTCAAGAGACCGTTCAAGATGGCAATGCATTATTCTCAATTATTAATTAGATATCAAAGTATATAATTTTGAAACTGAGTATTTTCAATTGTAATTTCTCTACAAAAGTAACTTGTGCATTTTTACTGCAGGAATTATCAGAATTTAATACTTTTTAACCACAAACCAATAAAAATGACAATATCTTCTTCATTACTGATCAGATAACGGTTTCAAGGGTATCGTTTCTAATCGGGTATTTCCATCTTTACAAGGAGGGTCATTTGAAATTACGCTTACTGTCCTTGTAAGTAAAGCTCTCAAATATTCTCGCTCAGTGAAAAGTTATTTTTTCTTTATTGTGTTGGGTTGAAACTTGAGAGGAATAAAATGAGATCGGGTTAAATACTCGAAACGAATGATGTAACCTGCTTCATTGTTCTCAAGTTCAAAATTAAAGATCTTTTATGTGACAGGCGTCATCTTGATCCATCTGCAGCTGAAGTGAAGTACAATCCTAAGTACGATGAACTGTTTGCTCCGGAATTTGGTCCGTCCAATCCCTTCAAAACACAGCAGCAGGCAGCCAAGAAGAACCATTTGGCTGGATATGTCGAACACGCTCACGTCAACGAGTTCCAGTTCGAGACCCAGCGGAGAACATTTCAGAGTTTTAAATACGCTTACGATCCATCTGCTACCAGTGAAACGGAAGGTGATAAACTTATCGGAAGTGAGGCTGCGGCCGCCGAGGCAGATTTCAAAACCGTTTTTGAGGACAACAAAGAAAGACCGTTGGATAAAAGAAAGCGAGCCAAGAATACGGATCCAAGTGATATAGAAGGATATCTGGGTCCTTGGGCTAAGTACGCGGATGAAGAAACTGTGAGTAAACCCACAGATGAGGACGCAGCTTACCTAGAAGAATATCTGGCTAAACGTCAGAAGAAAGGCAAGAGAGAAGAGGAGGTTCCGATGGAGGAGAAATCTACTCTTCACATCAAAGACGACAAGGATTATCAGGGAAGAACGTTTCTCCATCCTCCTCAGGATCTTGGGATCAATCTTAAGTCGGACGAACCTCCGGCAAAATGTTTTATCCCCAAGAGACAGATTCATACATGGACCGGACACAACAAGGGGATATCAGTTATTCGTTGGTTTCCAGGTTCAGCTCATCTCATTCTCTCAGGGTCCATGGACCATAAGGTAAATTAAACTTAACATTCTGGTTTTAAAATAAAAATGTCAAAAATGTTTTTGAGAAGCAGATTTGATTTTTTTCTTTGTATAGGTCAAGTTGTGGGAAGTATACAATAAGAGACGTTGTATCAGAACATATATGGGACACAAGCAGGCTATTAGAGATGTTAACTTTAACAATGCTGGTGACCAATTTCTCTCTGCTTCATACGACAGGTGAATAATTCTTATAATTATGATATATCGTATATAACAGTGCTGTCTACGATTGTACCCATTTTTGTTAAATTTGTTTTTATTTCAATGCCTAGTACGTGTACTATTAAAAAAATGTCCTCATGAATTAACAAAATATTTTTTTTTGGCCGGGGGGGGGGGGGTATGAAAACCATATTTGTAAATACTTTTTCATATTTAAAAATTTGTTAAAGAAACATTTTCTAGATATATAAAATTGTGGGATACCGAGACAGGACAAGCTATTAGTAGGTTTACCAACAAGAAAATGGCGTTCTGTTGCAAGTTTAACCCTGACGACGACAAACAAAACCTCATTGTTGCCGGAACTAGCGCTAACAAGATCGTCTGCTGGGATATCCGGTCTGGAGATATAGTACAAGAATACGATCGGCATTTAGCAGCGGTCAACACAATCACATTCGTTGATAAAAATCGTCGATTTGTATCAACTAGTGACGATAAATCCCTTCGTGTTTGGGAGTGGAATATTCCAGTCGACATGAAATATATTGCTGACCCAAGCATGCACAGTATGCCGGCTGTTACACCCTCTCCTAACGGTAAATGGATCGCTTGCCAGTCCTTGGACAACAAGATCTGCGTGTTCCAGGTGGGTGAGAGGTTCAAGGAGGTGAGGAAGAAGGTGTTCAAGGGACACATGGTGGCAGGATACGCCTGCGGACTAGATTTCTCTCCGGAGATGACGTACCTGACCTCAGGAGATGGAGACGGGAAAATATTTATCTGGGACTGGAAGACGACTAAGTTATTATCCAAGTGGAAGGCTCACGATGATGTCTGTATCCAGGTTCTCTGGCACCCTCATGAACCGAGCAAGGTCGCCTCTGCAAGCTGGGATGGAAACATGAAACTCTGGGATTAACTTGAAAAGATCATATATTTTGTAAACTGTTAAAATCATTCATTCATCGTATAAAAAACTTTGTTTCAGAAATTTAAAAATGGCGCCAAAAGAAGTTGAAGTTGCCGCTACATCTGCCCCCGACAAGGAAAAGAAGGAAAAAGCAGGTGAAAATTTAAGTTTTTGTTTTAATACAAAGACATTTTAAAAACTGAAAATATGATGTTAAAGTGAAGTTTTGTGTATTGTGTCTGAAAAAAGGAAATTTGCGGACGCTGCTTTTCAAGAATACAAATTAGAAGATATGTTTTCGAAGGCGGCCAGTAAAAAAGTTCTACGACAAAATAAATGTTGGTTTTGTGAGCCGTTTTATTTATTTAAAAGATCCACATGTTAATTACAGTGAAATTTTTCAAACATTTTGTGTCTCTATTTTCATGATTTCTAGTTACAGTAAAAAGTTTCTGACGATATATCTGTATTTTCTATTATATTATGTGCAATGTACATGTTTGACGTTTGTTGTTCAGATAAGAAGAAGAAGGAGCAAGAGGAGGAAGAACTATCTGAGGAAGACAAGATTCTAAACGAAGAACTTGAACTCTGTGTCACAAGATTAGGTAATTTTGATAAAATGTGTTAACTGAGCTGGGAATTTTTGTGTTGGATACGCATCACTTGGTCTCGATATCCACTGTGAGCACGTCTAGATGAGGATCAATGCTTAATTCCTTCATTTCAATAATTCCTCCAGGGTACGATTACTATGCGGGATATCGAATAAAGATTAAATTAAACTGTATAAGTGATCGAGATCGAGCATTGACCTCTACAATATTGTTCCCAGCTCTGTTTTTTATATTTTTTATTTAGCATTATAATTTAACTTCACTTTTACTCCTTCCAAAAAATAGATCTATATATTTAAATTTTAAATAATCATTTCTTTTAAGACGAGAATGATGCTTCCCTGTACAAGCTAGCCCTGGACTCAATGACAACCTTGATCAGAGCCTCAACCACGTCAATGACCTCTGTCCCTAAACCTCTAAAGTTTATGATCCCTCATTTCGACAAGATGAAGCAGATCCAAGGCAAGATGTCTCCTGGACCCGTCAAGGTAGAGAACCTAGATATTTTTAGGGTTATACTGATATTAAAGGATGATGTGATTTAATTTGATTTAGCCTAATATTGATATTTCAAGATTTAAATAGAAAGTTTGAATCGGTTTTATCTTTTATTTTTTCCTTGTCCAACTTGTTATATTCTCTCAACTCAATTTCATTTTGTTTCCATGGTAAATACTTGCTTTTAGACTTTTATCTCTTATTAACCATTTAAAGTCAGACTTGTAAGCGGGAAAAGAAACATTTTTATTTGTCCTTTCTGTTTTATAATGTTCCTTTGTTTCCACCAGGCCCAGTGTTCTGATGTAGTATCTGTGCTAGCAATGACAATGTCAGAGGATAGAGAATGTCTCAAGTTTAAAATGCAGGTAAAAAAATATAGTCTTTTTCATTCTTAACATTTTCTCTGTATCCACATTAGAATTTTTCACATTTTGATTAAAAGTGAATTGTTTAATAGCTCAAATCATAGAAATTAAACTTTACTTCAATCTAAATTAATCTTATATTTATGCAACATGATTGTGTAAACCTTTGATATTACAAACTTTGAAAATTTTCTTTAGTAGAATTCTTTTAAGAATTAGCGTGTCTACACCAGGGACAGATTATTGAATAGAAAGAAGTAGTTGGGTTCAAGTTTGGCACAGACAAAGTTAAACCACTTCTCTTAACTTAAACCAACGCAGAATAATTAGTTTAACTTCTTCTCGCTATTCATTAAATCTGGTCCTTTCCAAGTTTTAAGTATAGTCAAATATGTAGTTTAAGGTCAGGGGCGTACTGTATATTTTATCGAAAAATCTCCTCCACCCGGCCGGGCCCTTTGAAAATCATTTTGTAAAGTTATAATTTTTGTGCGGAGCGCAAAATTTGTTAAAAAGTAACGTATCAAAGTAAAGTACCAAAAATAACGAAATAACTTTTAATTCCCCCCCCCCCCCCATTCATCAAAAATTATTCCCGGGGGGGGGGGGTAATTCTGAAAAATATACACCCCTGAATAAATTGTTGTTTAGGGAAACCTGAGTACCGAGGAGATAGAACTCTGGGGACATGAATATGTTCGACATCTAGCTGGAGAAGTGGTTCAAGAGTTTAACTCTCTAGCAGCAGATCAAGGTCAACTCACGATTTATCACGGTCTATATTTCATACACACATAAATTGAATAATCCCGGTGTATTTTTGTGCTATTCCTGGAGTGCTATGTGCGGATTTTAGGAATTTGAAACAAAATATGCTTTTTATTAAATCCAGCAAGGATTCCGAATCCTTAAAATGTAGTGAAGAAGAAACTTCTTTTGGGATTTTTTGTTAAACTTGGAAATAAAAAAAATATTGAGCAAAATATATTTGAAGTTTTGGAATCAACTTCTTTGGAATAAATGTTGGGGGTCAGGAGGGGGGTGCCTTCAAATCACCTTTATGATATTTTTTAAATCCCAGCTTACAATAGGCTTCAAAAGTACGGCGTGCCTACTTTAATAAAATTTAAAGAGACTGTAAGCGTAAATTCAAGTGTCTCTCTATGCAAGTCACTTTAGTAGAAAAAGAAAAAAAAATCAGCTGTCAAAATTATAATCATTAGGCTTTTAAGGCGCTTCGCGCCCATATTCTTTTTCAACTTTTAACTGTGGCTTTATCTGTGAGCATCTTCTCTTTGTACAGTATAAAACAAAAACAAAAAAAAGTTTTAATAATATTTTTTTCGCGCATTTTCAAAATTTTACAAAAATAAAAACACAAATTTTTTTAAGTTTGATCCTTTATAAACTATCCCTAGGGCAACTTGAGGCCCACACAAAATTTGGGCCTGATCGGTTCAGCCGTTTTGACGTTTATTGGATACAAACAAATAAACAGACAGACAGAAGCTAAATTTATAAATAGATTAATATATAATTCATTATTGATCAGCCAAAGCTTTTAAGTGTACCGTTGTGAATCGGGCATAGACATCTTTGCATGGAGAATCACTTAAAATTACACGTAAAGTCTTTAAATCAATCAATCAACAATATGTCATTTTGTGTATATTTAGAATCCAGTAAGACTGAACTGATGAATATTGCAAAGCTGATAGTTCCCTCTCAGATGAAACATCACGCGGAGGCCGAGGCTTGTGATCTCCTGATGGAGGTTGAACAGCTAGATATCCTTGAGCAGTATGTGGACGAGGCTGCTTACAATAGGAAACTAGAAACTTTTTAAATAGATAAAATTAAATTTTTCATGTTAATTTACAGTAAGAACCAGAAAACAAAATAGTAGGAAGACGACATTACAGCAATACTCTTTAATAAAGTTGATGTTACTAAGAAAATAGTTTTACTAGACACTTATTAAATCACCAATTTAGTGAAATTGCTCTGTTTCTACCTCACAATTGTTGTATCTCATGCTCAATGGACTTTTTAGAGTTAAAACTTTATTTTAAATGTCGTCTTCCTATTTTAGAATTTTCTGTTTATCACAGTATTTGCAAAAGGTTCCTGAAGTAAGTCTTTCAAGTTTCAATAGAACTTTAAAATAATTTAATTTTAACATTAAATGAACTTTTCCCCATTGAAAAAAATTCTTAAGAAAATCCCTGGCTAAAATTTAATACATCAAAGGGACTCATAAAGTAATTTCTCACCCTCCATTGAAAAGAGTTACATGTCCGAAAAGCTATTCTGATCAAGAATTAATGTGTTTTTTTTTCAATAGTGATTTACTAGCGCATTTATGCTGCAGAAAAAATGAAGAAAGTAATCGAAATAAAAAAAAGAAAATATAAAGACAATATCTTTCCCACTTTTGATCAGACGAAGGTTTAAATGGCACTGTTGTGAATCGTGCATCATGCCTAGTTTGTACAATAATTTTGCGACTGGATTCATTGAATTAGTTTAAAGTTTTGTTGTCCCAGGGTGTGCCTGTACCTAACTAGCTGTGTACCGTATGTACCGGATCCAGAGAATACAAACCTTCTCGTCACAGCTCTCAATATTTTTAGGAAGTTTAACCAGCTCCCTCAGGTATTCTTTATGCAATTTTTCAGGGCTTTATTTGCTAAATTGGGTAAAATCATGAATTTTTTATAAAAGTACTAAAAAGATTGAAAAAGTAGCCTTTTTGAAAGCCAATTTTTCGTTTTATTCAACAAACCATCAAAAATCATCCCCCTTGAAAAATATACCCCAGGGTTGATAAAACCAGTACATTTTAATAGTTTACGTGAAACAATTCATAGTTTGATTTACGCACAGTGTAAATGCGAAGTTTTTTTCTTTCAAGAAGTCGTTAAAGCTAAAACTATAGCTTTACTGGAAAATACTCGCAAGTTACTTATCTTTTTAAACTAAGATATTTTATGTATTTTTTTAAACAAATGATGAAACTAATTAAATTTGTATGATCAGAGCTGAAATCTTTAGAATGGGATATCCTTAATCCCGATCTGTTGACTTATCTGGAGATTAAATTCATGAGGAAAACAAGCAATATTTAATCTGGAGATTAAGAAAAAGAGTGGATTAAGCATTAATCCTGATATCCACCATTCTAAAGTTTTCAGCTCAGACCATAGTTTTAAGTTTCTCCAGATATCCAGGATGAGTTATGCGGCCCAACCTTCCAAATGATGCCAGAACTTTTTTAAATCTTGATGAGTTGACTTTAGATCCGTGTTTTCAGTGATAAATTCCAAGGTTTAGATGATAAATTCCCAGGTTTAGATGAAAACTTCTTGGTTTAGTTGATACACATCTAGGTTCAGATGATAAACTTTTAGGTTCAGATGATAAACTTCTAGATTCAGAAGATAAACTTCTAGGTTCAGATGTTAAACTTTTAGGTTCAGATGATAAACTTCTAGATTCAGATGATAAACTTCTAGGTTCAGATGATAAACTTAAAGGTTCAGATGATAAACTTCTTGGTTCAGATGATAAACTTCTAGGTTCAGATGATAAACTTCTAGATTCAGATGATGAACTTTTATGTTCAGATAAACTTATAGGTTTACCTGATATGACACCATGATTCAGGTGATAAACTACATCAAGACACGTTCAGAGAACATCTTATTCAAGACATACCTACCAAGAATCCCTAAGATTAAATGGATATCACCTGATTTGATTCGAGTTCATCCCCTTAATCATGGAGTTTTTCATCTGAACTTTGGAATTTATCACAAACAATGCAATTTTCATTCAAACCATGGTAGTTTATCCCCTAAACCATGAGGTGTATCACCTGAACTATGCAGTTTATGTTCTTAACTGTAGAGTTAATCATCTAAACCATTGACTTTATCGCTTGAACCTTTGACTTAAACATCCTAACCATGGAATATTTCATCTATACCTAGAAGTGTATTATCTGAACCTTGGAGTATATCACCTGAATTGTTGGGTTTATCATCTAAACCTTGGAGTTTATATCCTGAACCTTGGATTATATCACCTGAATTGTTGGGTTTATCATCTAAACCTGGGAGTTTATATTCTGAACCCTCAAGTTTTTTATTTATACCTTGGAGTTTTGCAGATACATCTCAGTAATGGTCACCAGAACGAGAACCTTAGAGTTTGTCATCTGAACCATGGCGTTTTTATTTAAACCATGGAGTTTTTCATTCAAACCAAACAATTTTTTGTTTGAACCATGGATTTTTTCTTCTAAACCATGGTGTTATCATTCAAACCAAATAATTTTTCATCTAAACCGTACAGTTTTTTTTTTATCTATTCAATGCATAGAGTATTCATCTGAACCATGAAGTTTTTCATCTAAACCATGAAGTTTTCCATCTAAACCATGAAGTTTTTCATCTAAACCATGGAGTTCTTCATTCAAACAATGTAGTTTAATCACCTGAACCATCAAGATTTTAACAAGTTCTGGCATTCTCTAGAAGGTTGGGCCGCATACATCATCCTGGATATCTGGAGAAACTAAAGAACACTGTCTGCTCATTTAACATCAGGCACTACTGAGATATTACTATAACAATTCTGCATTAAAAAAGAGAAATATATTTATTTTTTTAATTAAAGGCGTTTCAGACTAAACATCGTTTTATATGACCCTCCAAAATACGGCAAAAATAATACTTGGGTTGTACTTTTATATGTTTTTCTTCTTCAGGCAATGCGTCTAGCTCTTCAACTAAACGATAGAGACAAGGTTGAAGATATATTTAACACCTGTCCTGATAGTACAGTTAAACGACAACTAGCGTTCATGTTAGGTCGTCATCAGTTCTATCTCGAGCTACCGGCGGACTCGGAGGACTACGACGATCTCAACGAAATCATGTCCAACGTCCAGCTGAACAACCACTTTCTCAACCTGGCGAGGGAGCTGGATATTATGGAGGCTAAGACTCCGGATGATGTTTACAAATCTCATCTTGACAATGTGAGACCAGGGTTCGGAGGAGGAGCTGTAGATTCAGCTCGTCAGAACCTAGCTTCTAGCTTTGTTAATGGTTTCATCAATACAGGGTTCGGACAGGACAAACTTCTGATGGAGGACGGCAACAAGTGGTTGTATAAGAACAAGGAGCATGGTATGCTCTCCGCTACTGCCAGCATAGGTCTGGTTCTTCTCTGGGACGTGGACGGAGGTTTGACACAGATTGATAAATATCTTTACTCTCCAGAGGACTGGATTAAATCTGGAGCTCTGCTCGCCTGTGGTATAGTTAATACTGGAGTTAGAAATGAGTGTGATCCTGCATTTGCTCTTCTCTGTGACTATGTTCTTCACTCAAGCAACGTGATGCGTCTTGGAGCCATCTTTGGATTAGGATTGGCTTACGCTGGTTCTAATAGAGCTGATGTTATTGAGCTTTTACTCCGTGTGTTTGCTGACTCTAAATCTAACATGGAGGTTATCGGTGTAACTGCTCTGGCTACAGGTATGGTTGCAGTAGGATCCTGTAATGGAGATGTAACCTCCACTATTCTCCAGACTCTGATGGAGAAGTCAGGAGCTGATCTCAAGGATAGCTTTGCTAAATATCTGCCCCTTGGTATTGGTCTCTGCTATCTTGGAAAGCAGGATGCTTCTGAAGCAACAATTGCTGCTCTCGAGGTTATCCCTGAACCCTTCCGTCAGATTGCTGTAACTCTGGTTGAGATCTGTGCGTATGCTGGAACTGGAAATGTTCTGAAGATTCAGCAACTTCTCCACATCTGCTCCGAGCACTACGAGCAGGAGAAGGAGACCGAGAAGAAAGACAAGAAGAAGGATGAGAAGAAAGATGAAAAGAAAGATGAGAAAAAGGATGATAAGAAAGAGGAGAAAGAGGAAGAGGCATCACACGACATGTCCGGACAGCAAGCTGTTGCAGTTCTAGGTTTAGGTCTGATCGCTATGGGCGAGGATATCGGAAGCGAGATGCTGTATCGTACTCTAGGACATCTCATGAGATACAGTGAACCCTGTATCCGTAGAGCAGTTCCTCTTGCGCTCTCTCTCATTTCCGTTTCCAACCCTCAACTAAACATCCTCGACACCCTGAGCAAATTCTCTCACGACCCTGATCCAGAGGTTGCACAGAACTCTATATTCGGATTAGGATTGATCGGAGCTGGAACCAACAACGCCAGACTTGCTGCAACCCTTCGACAGTTGGCTCAATATCACGCTAAGGAACAGAACAACTTGTTTATGGTTCGTATAGCTCAGGGTCTTGTTCATCTTGGTAAAGGAACCCTGACACTCAACCCGTTCCACTCCGACCGTACTCTAATGTCTCCTGTAGCTGTTGCTGGCCTTCTCTCCGTCCTCGTTGCTCTACTGGACGTGAAGAACACTATCCTGGGTAAGTCCCACTACCTTCTCTACGGACTGGCCACAGCAATGCAGCCAAGGATGCTTGTTACCTTCGATACGGAGCTCCGACCTCTTCCTGTCTCCGTCCGGGTTGGTCAAGCCGTTGATGTGGTTGGGCAGGCAGGGAAACCTAAAACCATCACAGGGTTCCAGACTCATACCACACCAGTTCTTCTAGCACACGGAGAGAGAGCGGAGCTAGCTACAGAGGAATATATTCCTGTCACCACTATAATGGAAGGGTTTGTTATCCTTAAGAAAAATCCTGATTATTAAATATTTGTGTGATAAAGTATCTAAATAAGTTGTATGTGTACTGAACTAATTATATTTCAGATAAAATGGCGGATCTAAAGACTGTTGTTTCCCAGTACCAAGAGTTATCTAAGGAATGGTCCAAGGCCCAGAATAAAGATTTGACCAAGATTGGAAAACTGCTTGAACAGTTGAAGCTTAGTCTGACACAGCTCTCCTTCCTTCCAACCAAAGGAGAGGAGGCGTCAGTACAGGTTTGTAAACATTTTAAGGGACTGAAAGCGTAATTTCAAGTGACCATCCATGCAAAGATGGCAATGCCCGATTAATATACAGTCATACTCAGAAAGACTCGGAATTAATATATAATTAATCATACGACTTTACAATCTAATTTTACAAATATGATTAATGACACGATGATAAAAGAATAACCTACGTCATGCCAATTACAAAATGTGGTCTGCCTTTATTGTTCGTTTAAAATTACCATAGATATATATGTGAAGTCGTCTGATTACCTGTCAATTAAGTCCGGGTCTTTCTGGTTATGACTGTGAGGTGTGTATATAGTATATACCCTTAAATCTCTGTGTGTTCGTCTTGTACCGAGATATGTGTGTGAAAAATCATCGAAACCTGCTTATATTAAGCTGCGAATTCCGTGTAAAGTTGACATTGTTCCTTATTCTTAATGTGGACCAGCCGTTTGATCGTCCTCCACCATACCCTATGCATATTTTTTTTCTACAGGACTATGACGTTTTGAAAAAGTGAAGAAGAAAGAAAGAGCGTTATAGTTCAAGTTATGATAGGGTTAATAAGATATTTTTAAAAATATTTTTTTCTGAATTAGCGGTTTTCCTGACAACTTCAAACTTTTTTAGGAGTTGACCGTCTCTAGGGATACCCTGGAGATAGGAGCACAATATTGTGTTTCTAAACAGGATACGCAGGGCTTTGAGAGATATATGGCACAACTTCAAACATACTACTATGATTTTGCAGGTAGAGCGCATTCATAAAATACTAAAAATTAAGCATATGTCTTCTGTTTCAAATTCAGCCTAAAATATAATTGAAATCATGAGAGCAAAGTTTTGCAAGAATTTTGAATGAGAATATTAATATATCACTAAACCTCCTCTTAAGTACAGGGTGGCCAAAATGTACTGATTGTACGGATTTTTTATTTTGTAACCCTAAAATTGTACGGATTAAACGGATTGTTCGGATTTTTTTTTCAAATTGTACGGATTGTACGGATTTTTATCCTGGAAATACACCGTTTTTTTAAATTTTCACTCATTTCAGCTAATTTTTCATGAAAATTACAAAAAAAATTCTCGTGAAAATGAAGTTAGTTTAAAAGTAGCTGTATTCTATAAGGCAGCATAACATTGTGTATCCGAACCTCCCAGAGGAAGGGTGTCAGCAGAGCTTTCTAAGCCTGTTGAGAGAAAGGGCGCTATGTGCGTTGTACTTGTAAAGAAGTCTAGATAGCAAGGTCACTGCTCTCCACAACTGAGTGGAAAGCTTGACTTATCCCGAACAGATATAGTAATAAAGAAGGAAGGAATACAGAAACTCAAAACATCAGGGATGAAGTACACGCTGATACAGGTTTTAAGGGGGAACAGAGCCTTCAATAGACTTTAAATCAAATACCATAAACTGGCTTTTCACCCTTTTCAAAATGGAAACTGGATTACTCATGGCAGCCTCTGACAATTGATAGGCAAAAGACACACTCCCCGTACTTTAAAGCGATGGGACAGCATGCTTAGCGGGTTATTTTTTCTTTAAAAAATCCGTCCACGTGGGAATACACGTTAAAAGTGAGGACTATGGTATATCTCATACCTGCTACCCTTACACCCCCATCCTCATCCGCCTACCTCCTAAATTCCAACCTTATCCTACTTTACGAGCAGATATAGTGGAACTCAGAAACTACCTTGCTGTGGAATCTTAATCAAAACTTTCTGAGAGAGATCATCATTGGTATCATGGATGTTCCTTTCCTAGGGGATACACCCAAACTAGCTGAATGCAGTTAAGGCTAGGAGGTCTTTTAATTTCTTTCTAAATTACTGCATGACACTGATACATGTAATGCAGCTGACAAAGGAAAGTTTTCATTATACAACAATGTCAGCAATAAACCTGCATAGATGGTCGATGTCAAAAACAACTGGAATAAATATAGAAACCCAAGAGCTGATATTGAAATACTACAAATTGCCTGATCAGCTCCCGAAACTGCATATTAATCCTCCTGGGGGGGAGGCGGGGGTATTCAGCTAATTGAATGAGCAAAACAGGACAGCCAGGAAACAAGAAGATTGGAAAAATGAGTATCTGCATTCTGCATTAAATACATGTATCAATTAATTTGTTTCATAAAAAAATTATAAATAAATAAATTGATAAAGTTAAAAATTAAGGCAGCATAACTGCGATAAACCCCGTCTTGAAGAAATTTTTTTTTTGAGTTTTTAATTTTTACACTGCACAGTCATGCTATAAAATTTATCCCCTCAGATTTACTGTAACTTTAATATATCTTAATTTTTTATCTGACCTAAAGGCTTTTTGTTTTTATCCAATAAACGTCAAAACGGCTGAACCAATCGGGGCCAAATTTTTTGTGGGACCTCGCGTGACCCCAGAGAAGGTTTATGCCTGATCGAAAATTGAAAAATTTGCTTCTCACTAAATTTGGTTTTTGAAAATTTTAAAAATCCACGATTTTTTTAGAAAATGCACAAAAAATTTTTGTTTGTTTTTCTTTTACAATGTATTCAAAGAAAACATGTTCACAATTGAAATAGATGATACAAATAGATAAAAAGACTAGTAACTTACAAAAAGACCAAATTAACTTCTGGATTATTTCTAGAATCTAAATTTCAATATTTTATCTGTTAAATTAGAGAATATCGATGATTTATTTTCAAGCATTTTAAAACACCCTCTCTCTTTCAAACTTTTATTGAAACAGAAATGGTACAGAACATTTTTTTATTTTTTGTTTTGTTTATATTTTACCTTATCAAAAAATCTTGTTCAGTTACGTTAGTGCGTAAATGCTTAAAAATTGACATTGATATGAATTCCGGTAATTGTCTTAAAACCAGGATATGTTCCGAAAACGCGACATGAGCTGAAATCCGGTAATTGTTTCCAAATAGGGATATATGTTTGAAAATGAAATCAAGAAGCATCAAAAACTAATTCTCACACCTTATTATTAGTCTAAAATTGACATTTATTGTTTCAATATATAGTTTTAGCCTTTTATTTTGTTCTACTCGTCTTGGATTTAATGAAAAAAATAACTTTGCAGACGGTGTTAGAAATGGGCCAAGTGTTAATTTGGGAACTAAATTCCATGTTGAAACAAAATCCTTTTCGGGACTAAGATTTACGAGATTAAATAAAGGTTAATGGTTTATTTCTAATTGTAGAGAAGTTACCTGAGTCCGCGTTTAAATATCAGCTGCTTGGATTGAACCTGCTCTGCTTGTTGGCACAGAACCGTGTAGCGGAGTTCCATACTGAGCTAGAGAGACTTCCTCACTCCGAGACCAAACAGAATATTTACATCAGGTAAACGCCAGGAAAGGTATTACTAAAATACCCCCCCCCCCCCCCCCCCCAATAATTGATATCAAGCTGAAAATAAACAAATTTTCTGGAATCAGGAACAAAATTTACTTGTCAGATTAAGTCCAACAAAGTCTTTTTTCTACCTAATCTATTTACCCTACTAGATATGTACCGCGGGTTTAAACAAATCAATTTTTACTCGTGAAGAAATTTTTTCTTTATTTTGGTTAAACTCTGAGATTTGGATGATTAGGCGAATTTTTGAGTTGTAAAATTGAGAGACATATAAATTCTTATTTATTAATGATATTTTGTTCCTCATGATTTATAAAAATTTACATTTATATAATAAGCTTCAAATAGACCATTAAAAACATCACGATAATTTGATCTGGTTTTTGTTAGGCACCCAGTGAGCCTGGAGCAGTATATAATGGAGGGAAGTTATAACAAGGTTTTGTTAGCTAAAGGGAATGTTCCCGCTGAATCCTTTAATTACTTCATTGACATTCTTCTCAACACTGTCAGGTTAGACATCGTTGATACTCTAAGATACTCATTTTTTATCCCATCGAACCCATTGTACTTGAGATTTTTTTAAGACTGAAAACAACCCCTCTAAATATTACCCGAGCTAGAAACTCTTGCATTGTGGATGTAAAGATTAATGCTTGATCTCCTGATTTTTAATCGCAGATTAATTTAATCTTTGTTTGATATCCAAGAAAGTTTCTAAAATTCAACCAATCAGAGTGTCACTTACAAAAACTGAAAACATTTGCAGCGCAACCAACTAGATAACTTTCATTGGTCGGAACCCGAAAAGGGATATCCAAACAGAGAAGATTCAGCAGAAAGTGATGTGTCTTGTGCTTAGAGCATATGATTTGGATACCCACAATCCTGATGATTGATTGATCTCGATATCCTCAGTGGGCACTTTTGAATTTTACGCAGAATCTGCTTGATATCTGAATTTTGAATTCTCTGACTTTGATAGTTAGACGACACTCTTCACGGGATATCGAATAAAGATTAAATTAATCTGCAGATGAACAAAATATCGAGATCAATCATATTTTGTTATTACAAGGGTTAAGAAGTTTTAAATTAACATATAGCAACCTTATCCTATTTGTAGGAATGAGATAGCCAGTTGTATGGAGAAAGCCTATAACGACATGAGCTGTTCAGACGCTGCCCGTATGCTCAGTATTGAACAAGGTAAAACAAATCATTTTTTGATATTCATTTTTACATGAGGAAAATGGAAATAAAGTAATATCATTGCATTTCTCAGACGAAGCGGGGGACACAATCAATTGTGAACTAGGGTCATGTTGGGGGGGGNGGGGATTTTCAGTCCTCCGGGAAAATGATTAATGGTTTAAAAGAGTATGTTAGCAAGATAATAATTGATTTTAATAAAACGGTTCAAGAATTAAAAAAAAGCATAAAACGATTAAAAAACCATATACTTTTCCTTAATTTTAATCTTATTTTTATTGAAGGTGAACTTGAAAGTTATGGAGCTGAGCGTGGTTGGATTGTATCCAAGGGTAGACTAGCCTGGAAGAAGGAGGGAGGAGGAGAGGAGGGTGGAGTACCTAGTCTAGAGCTAGCTAACATGGCAATATCCTACGCCAGGGAGATGGAACAGATTGTCTAGTATTTTATTTATATTCTTGGAAATTAACGTATTGAAAAATAAACAAATATGTGAGTGGAATCGTAATAGTCAAGTTTTTTTTTTAATTTTTCTTGTTGCAATGAGTTTTGGGTTGAGATATGATTTCTGTAGTTTTGGTTATTTTTTCCATATTTCGGAACATGCATAAAAAAATCTATTAAAAAAGATTTAAGGGTAAAACATTTGTGGAATCTCTGGATCGAGAAGTTATCCGTATCTTTTTAAATGTGCAGTGTGCAGTCCTTCGGATGAAATTAGTTCCTCTTGAACCATTGCTTAGGATCCATTTAATTTTGATGCGGATCCTGATCCTGGATCCGCACTGGAAAAAATGGATCCGGATCCAGATCCAGATTATTTCTTTATTTACTGATTTTTTTTTAACAAAGCAGAGTTGTTTAATTTTTGTTTAATTTTTTTTGCTTATTTGTTTGCTAAAACTTGAACCATTCAGAAATCAGGAAATTTTTATAATCTCTCTTTTTCCAATAGTTCTGATTTGGGTTGGAGAGTAAATTTTGTTTGCAGTGTTAGGTTGACATTTTGCCCCTTGGATCCGGATCCGGATTCAGGAAGCCGAAATCTTGCGGATCCAACGGAACCCGGATCCTAAGCACCGTATTGATTCTTGAACCCTGCAGCCTAGCTGGTATAACTAATTTTTGAGGAATAACACACTAATTTCTGAAATTAAAATATCAGATATTGAATATCAAGATGAAGTCTCACAGATTAGCCATAAATCACAAAAGTTTGGGCCTCTAAATATTGCGCGCAGTTGTCTAATACCTTGAGTTTCCTTCACGAAGAAAAATCAAGTATTGAGGGTTTGCTTATGGTCTTAACTTGGTTTATCTCTGGTTTAAAATGACGATCGTTAGGTCTGGTTCAAATTATTGTTTTTAAACTTTTATTAAGAAAAAACACCGTAAATGATTAAATGAATTATCAAAAAATCACAGGGTTCAAATTATGGTTGGAAACGATCTTACGCTTATCAAATCAAACCTTTAAGAACCGATGTCCCGTGGAAAGTGTTCTTAAAAATTATTGATAAAATTCCAATTCATTTAATGTAAATTATAAGTTGCCTGTTTAGAAAACTTTCCAATATTTTTATCGTAAATAATATGGAAAACTGAACCGAAAAAACAATTCCAACTTTAACCCTATCTCTGAGTTTGGTCCACTTTAGTATTTATTCACTTTGATCTCTGCTGGGGTACTTGAAAACCAGGATATGTCAATTTGACCCCCCCCCCCCTCTAAATCCCATGTTTGATGTCCAAATATGACAAATGATACATCATTGGAAAGCTCTTGTGCTCTACTTTTAGAATCTGCAAAAAAATTTGCAAATTTGCAAAAATTAAATTTTGTTTTGCAAAATCCAGTTATATAGTAAAAAATGTTTGCAAAAAAAAATTTGTCCAAAAAATGAAAAATTATACATTTTTGAAAAGCCCTTGACCATGCCATTTCAAATATGCAAAGATTTTTGCAAAATTTTAAATAACCTGATTTTTAATCAAGAAAAACTAAAAATGTGCAAATTTCCTTTGACAGGTTGTTTGCAAAAAATTTGCAATTTTTTTCGCAAAACTTTTGCAATTCGTTTCCTTATGTTAAAGGCTTTCCAAAAAGCTAAATTTTATCAAAATCTGACAAGTTGAAGTGGGTCAAAACAAAGATTTAGTTTGTTACAGGAAAAAGCATTCATTCAGGCAGTGTGCCTGAGGACTCAGGCAGTTAGTATTAAAGCCCAGTTTTAGGCCCAAAGGGAGGGCTGTGGGTATGTAAGAAAAGTCAGAAAATTTCAACAGCCTCAGACCAATACTTTTTGAGTTATGCAAAAAAAACTACAGGGGGGGTCAAATTGAACCCCCCCCCCAGCATGAATAGGGTTAACACATTTGTCTTTTGTTGCGTTATTTTGCATATATTTTCTGGGGTTAAAATTTGGCGTAGTGTGAGAAAATACAATGTTTAGAATATACTATTATTACTATTGTGGAAGTATTCGCTTTTCTTTCACTATGCTCACGTTGGCCCTGAGAGACAACATGGGAATTCAGTGACGAATTGGATATCGTCTTTGTTATGAATTAGCATATTGTAATATACCTAATTTCAAAAGCCATAATATTATTATGTCTGCTAGAGTTTATTTTGTGAAAAGGGTAAAAGACTGTAAAGATATGTCTATAATGTCTCCGCAAGATGAACAGTGAAGACGGACAAGTTTACTCTGTTTGTATACTGCAATTTTCTTGTTTTACTAAGTACAACCGTGCAGTCAAAACATAAACAAACACAATGTGAACATAGCAGACGAAACTCTTACAGATTACAGCTTTCTCAGTAGGTATCACTGTACTTCCTGTACTAAATCAAAGAATTATTTATAAAGATGATATCGAATTCGTCACTGAATTCCCATGTTTATTGGGACACCCTGTATGTAAAAAACGAAGCATGAAGGAAACAAAATAAAAAAACACCACTATACCTAGTATAGTCGCTACCAGTGCAGTGTGGGTAGAATCGGTATTTTCTTCCATTTTAATAAATCTTTTAAATTTATCTTTGCTTATATGAAGAGTTTTTGAGGCAAGGGCGTATACAGAAAAATCTAGGGCCGGGGGGGGCCAATTGTAAATTCAAAACATTTGGCTTCTTGGATACTTAAAAGGTACACATACACTATACAGTCCAATTACCATTTATTATCTCTCCACCTGTATACGGCCTTGATTTGAAGGTACTGATGTGATAATGTAATTATGCAATGTTTTAATTGCACTTTAATTTTGTACTCCATTTGAAAGAGATCAAAAAGTCATGTTTTAATCGCAATTGAACTATTACTTTTAATCAATCAAAAAAACTCAATTCTGAATTCTGATCAGCTAAAAATAACAAAAACAATATCCCTCAATTTAGTTCTGAGAAAAATAATAAAAAGTTATTGCTGAGTTTACAGTAATATTTGCTTCAATACATCTATTTTCTTGACCCCAAATCCCTCAAATGGCGGGTTGTCCTTTTTTGTAATAATATAATGTTAATTGTGCTTAAAATTTTTTAATAATTAAATGAAATTCAAATATATTGATTCTCCATTCTTATAAAAAAATTGTCAAGTGTTGATGAAATATGTGCAATACAATTTGCAAAGTGTTCATTTGAATTATGGATATCTTTTGGTTGGTGGGTTCCGTATATTGAAAGTATTTTGAAAGAAAACGACATTTAGCTTTATTCTTAGTTTTATGAGTTCATGCCGCTATTCTCACCATACCGTTCCTTTACTACTAAACTCATACGGGTTTTTCACACCGCACTCAGGGGTCTCCTTTGACCCCTTTCTAAACTTAAAAACTAAACAAAAACAGAAAACAGGACGTAAATAGAGAATTTTGAAAAAAAAAACTTAAACCATTCGTACTACTATTTGAGATAGAAAATAGTAGTTGCGTTCTTTTCTCGATAAAACAAAATATATCTCGACTGCTTAAAGGTGTCAGATAAATTATTAACTTTAATATTTCAGAAAGATGAGTTCTACTCCGACCCTGCTCCGGGTTAAGCGACGAATAACCGAGGACCCGACGGACATATTCGTTCTCTCCGCCAAGCGTCTTAAATCCAGCTCTGAGGGTGAGATTAAAATTACTGGACTAAATTATCTTAAAAGAAGTTTTCATCATTAAAGAAATGGGGGGTTTTGAAGAACCATAATGGTTAGCAAACGTACGGACTATATTTAATGCCATCCTATGTTTCTATGAAGTAATGTTCAATGTATTAGTAATTTCTCTGGCTGTGTTATTGAATACTGAAAACCAGTTTTTGTTGTCAGTTCCTGTTAAAAAAAACTAACATGCACCCTTTTTCGGATTATTTCTGTGATTTCTTTATCTATAATAATTTAGATGGAACGGTTAAGATGTTAAAGTTGGCAGGAACTGTGGAGCAAGGAGATGAAGATAAGCTGAACCAAACTTTGTCTAGAATCATCAATAAAAAAAATGTTCCCAATTTTGCCGAATTAAAGGTAAAACCTGATCTTCTATATTTATAAAGTAAAAACTTTTATAAACAAAAATCCAATATTAAACTTTGAACTAATAGCTATAAGAGAATTAGATAAAAATACACTTTTTTGAATTTCATTTAAACAGTGATATAGAATAATCCTCGTGATGAAATGTTAAATTAGCTGTAAATTTTACTAGGAATTAAAAAACGCGGATATTACTCTTTTAACTTATCATGTTGTGTATTTTTATTTATGCAATGTCGAAAGGATTATTATATCTAAAATAACCATTGTTTCAAGACAAATACACAAACATTTAAACAATTCATAAAGTTACCCATTACTCTATTATTTTGGAACGACGTTTTATAAAGCTTCTGGACTGAAGTTTATTCTGTCTATCGAAGGGTTTTAGATCATAATTTGTTCCGAGCGTTAATTTGAACCTTCTCGATAAGGAGAAAATTTCTGTCCAAAAGCTATTTAACACTGCTTACCAAAATAAAAGTGTTATATAGATAATTATTTATACACTCTAATATATATATTTAATGGGCTTTCTTCCTTCGCGCCCTTCTTCTAGCAACAATTGTAGCGATAAATGTTGCTTTTCAGTGGCCATTTTTTCTTGGTAATTGTAAAACCCAAAATTTTGCAAATTTTTCTTTTAAAATTGATAAGATAATAAGAAATTCCACATTTTCAAAGTCAGACTGTTTCACGTTTAAGCGTCCATGCTCCATATAGCCCCCCCCCCTGGGATCATTGAGTTGTCACAAAAATTTGGGCCCGATCGGTTCACTCGTGTTGGAGTATTAAATACAATTACATATAGGAAAACAAGCATACAAATAGGCTCAGTAACATTATGCCTAGTTCTTGAATGCCTAGTTCGTGAATGCCTAGTTCACTATGCCTAGTTCATGAATGACTGGACAACATTATGCCTAGATTTCTGAATGCCTAGATAACATTATGCCTAGATTTTTGAATGCCTAGTTCATAATGCCTAGATAACATAATGCTTGGAGAACACAATGTCTAGATAACATAATGCCTAGAGAACACAATGCCTAGATTCATGAATGCCTGGATAACATTATGCCTAGATAACATAAAAGTGCATTGAATGCCTAGACAATGTATTTCAAAGAGAAATATTAAAGAGAGAGAAAAAAACATACAATCCGGTAACATTTTTACAAAAATCCGCACAGATTATATTTCTACTTTGGCCCATGATAGGCAAAAATTTGACCAATAAAATATCTAATAAATCATGTTAACATATTAGTATCATTTATTTATTGCTTGACAATGTATATAGGCATTCAATTCAGTCTAATGGTATCTAGGCATTAGGTGACTAGGCATTATGAAATCTAGGCCTAATGTTTTCTAGTCATTCAGAAATATAGGCATAATGTTATATAGGCATTCATGAATCTAGGCATGGTGTTATCTAGGCATAATGTTATCTAGGCATTACGAACTAGGCATTCATGAATCTAGGCATATTGAACTAGGCATTCACGAAATAGGCATTCGGGAACTAGGCATAATGTTACTGAGCCATATATATATATATATATATATATATATATATATATAGATGTAATAGGAAAGAATATAATCTAATTTGTTTTGATTTTTGTATTATTTAGAACAAGTATAAGCAGAGTACGAAGGAGAAAAGTAGTACGGAGAACAGAACTAAAGAGAAGGAAAAGGAGAGGAATAATGATAGATATAGAGTTGTTAACACTAACAGAGCAATCAGGGTAAATAAAATAATATTATTATATCTTCAAATCAACATTTTACGGAATTTTTTTAATGTATAATATGCGGACAATGCATTTCTATAATTCGAACATTGCCAATTAGGTGTATAATACATAACTAGAGTTTAACACAACATGCGCTCAAAATTTATTTAGAGTTCAGCGCAAAGAGGGTACTGGCTCAACTAAAGATAGTTTTTGTACGGTTGTTTTTTACTGATTCCGAATTTAAAGAATTTGAACCGAGTCTAGACGCGGTTCAAACATGGTTCGTCAGCTGGAAATTTTATTAAGTGTCTCGAGATTTGAGCCGGCGCTCAATTGGAACAGTATATTGGCGGTTTAGTGACGCGATTTAAATTCTTTAAATTCGGCCTCTGGTTTAACTCTAGTTATATACTGTACTTGTCTACCGTATGAACTCTAGATATTTTTATACTCAGCATATTGTTTACTGATAAGCTTAAAATGTGTAATGTACTTACCAGAGGTGTACACAGACATTGAAACCAGGGGCGGTGGCAGGGTCTTTGCACCCCCCTCAGATTTCAGAATAGCTTCTCAATAGCACTTAAGGGAAAGAAAACCTAGTGCAAAACAGAAAAAATGGTTCCTAAATCTGGATTTTTGGTTCCGAAATAAATCTAGGCCCCCTCCCCCCCCCACTTAAATCCTGTATCCGCCCCTGATTGAAACCAATACTAAATAAAATGGATCCTAACTTCAGCTTCAAATATTAGAGTAACATCATAAACGTTGGCAAGTTTTTTTTTAACAAAGAGATCGAAAAATTACTAGTCTAAGCTTCAAGACTTAACTTTAGATTATTTAGTTTAAATTGTTTAGTCATCTCAGCGCAGTTATGAAAACTATAAATACAAATGTCCTTTCTCATAAAGCTTAGGTTTGGGTAAAACAGTATCTAATATTTAATGTAATTCAGAAATATTGGAAAATATGGCCAGCTACTTGCCAATGTACTGTGTACATCTGACATGTATTGTTACAATGCCTGTTAATTATCAAGCCAAAATTTATATTTTTTTTTCAGGTGAAAATGTTCTTAGATACACGCTCCTTTGGAACATGTATCCTGCTCCAACACTAGAAACTAGGATGCACATCAAACCAACTCTAAACCTATCAATATGTAAACCTACTCCAAACCCAACCAATATGTAAACCTACTCCAATCCCAACCAATATGTAAACCTACTCCAATCCCAACTATTATGTAAACCTACTCCAATCCCAACCAATATGTAATCTAAATAATTGCCAAAATATTGCCAACTAGTCTTCTCAATGTTTATAACTTATATATTTGGCTTGTATATGATTCTGCTAAGCATAACCTTAATTTTTCTTCTAGTTCTTTATTGCTTCGACTTTATGCCATGAACAGTTGGAAAGGATAAAAAATTAACCCCCCCCCCCCCTCCCCTTTGACAAAATTGTACTGTATAAACTTTAGATTGAAGAGCTTGAAGCCTGGTCTGAGGAAAACAGTGATAAATCTCCGGATCAAGAGGAACCTTTATATCATCTTTACGATATAGTTCAACATCAGGTTAACAATTATATAAACAAAAATTACAATTGTTTTGATTATTTAAATCTATATTTTGTGTTAAATATGTACGTAGTCAATAAATGTGAGAAATATGGTTATACTATGCACATTTTAATAAAACACATTTTAAATCAATCTAATTCACCTTTGCATAAAAAACGTTCCAACTCAACAAGAGAACAAAATGTTGTTATTGACTCGGCGTTCTCATGATTTATGGTTTAAAACTATTACAAAGAGGACGTAATAACACAAATGATGATATCAATAATAATAATAATAATACCAATTTGAATAATATGGATAATAATGTCAATTTTAATGATGATGATTATCGGTATTTCTTGAGTCTAAACTTCTTTGAACTTCGAATTTAGAAACTTCTGATCAAAAGTCCAATACATTCTCTCTTAATTTTGAATTTTTCTTCTTCTGATGCCTCTATTTATTGTGGACACTTTAAACTTATTATTTTTCTCCCCCTCCACCCCCTCCCCCGGAAGAGCTTTACATCTAATTTAAAATGAAGTGCACGCTACTGCATTAAAAATAATTTTTTTGGTAAAATTTATCTGTGATACTTTGTTTAAGTTGAATGAGTAAAATTATCTGCGTTAAGCGGCAACAAATTTGTTTATATTTTCCCCTCTTTTTTTGCTTTTTTCTTCTCTCTTCCTTTTTTTCCCCCTTTTCCCTTCTCTTTTGTCTCCTTCTCTTTCCTCCTGTTTCTTTTTTCTTAACTTTTCCCCCTAACCCCTTAAAAAGCTGATATTTTTTTTTTTGGGGGGGGGGCGCAAAATTAAAAGTATACACCCCGGGATGGGTAACCATTGAAAATAGTGAACCCCTAACCATACGGCGCGCGCGGTCTGGGGTTACATTGCGGGGTTCTTTAAAGATTTCATTTTATTTGTCTAAATATTAGGATGAAGAGAAGGAGGCTGCAGGTGGAGAGAAGCTGAGCTGTAATGGTGTTGAGATGATCCGTGAGTATGTATCTAAGAGTTCTGATGAGAACTATGTGTACGACGTATACTATGCTGAGGGGGATGCTCTGGCAGATTTTGATGATTCTCTACTGGATGGATTAGTGTCTCTTCAACCTTTCAATTCAGGAACAGAGTTTATGTATGATGAGTATAGGTAATAAATATTTAATATTTTACAAGAAATTACAAATCTAAATTAAATCTGGGATTAAGATAAGTGAAAAGCGAGAAGTAGCTGAACAGTGCAGAAATAGTTCAACCACTTCTCCTGTGCTCCATTTATGCTGAGATAATCCAACGCGGTTCAACCATGCCTCGCAATTCAGAAAATCGGGTCTCTGAGCATAATATCTTTTGCTTATCTTTAAAAAAAAATTTCATGCTTAAACGTATTAAACAATTTATCTCAAATGAAAAGAATTCTTATTTAATTTTCTGTAAAAAAGACCCTGAGCACTATTAAATCATCGACTTTTCTGTGAAAAATTGTCTTTTTGGGATCAAACTTGGTCTTAAGCTAAAAGAATTATTTCGATTATTAATTTCTTATTCAAATTTGTGTAAAAGATGAAAGGTTACTAGGTTACTATCATCGTTTGAACAGCTGCGTTACAATTAAATATAATTTTTCTTCTTTTGGCTCTGTAATTGTTGGTCACCTAGAATTTGTCGATTAATATTTCTTTTCAGCTTTAAAACTTATTTTCCCTTTTTTCTGTCAAAGTTTTAAAATGCATTCTGATGATATTTAAATTTCAGAGATAATCCTATGGAGGATCGGTATGATGACGACGAGGACAGTAATGACGAGGACAACGAGGCCAACGATTACCCTGAAGAGGAAGATGAGGACGAGGATGATTATGAAAGAAGTTTCGGAGATTACTCTGAGAACCTGGATGTCCGTGTCCGGAGCCTGCACATGAGAGCGGAGGAGGAGGAGGATCTCAGCTCCGAGGACGAGGATAAACTTCTCTATACACAAGCATTTGAGGAGGACGCGTCCCGACACGGAAGTAGTTATGCAAGGTTCAAACAGAGGATGATGAAGGAGTTCCAAGAGGAGGATTTGTTAGAGGACTCAGAAAAGGACGAGGATAGTGATAGTTTTGATTATTTGTAATCATAAAATAGTTTTTTCTTATCTCGATAAATCAAATTAATCTTCGGAAAAATACACAAATCAATAACTGAATATTATGCAAGGTCAATTTGTCATAAAACAGAGTGTCTAATTGTTATTTTTTAAATATTCTGTACACAAAACTTATTTTCTTAAATTATGGTCGCTTGTCAACACTTTAGAGCCAGTACTATGTTAAATGTCTATGCAATATGCCATCCATTACTATTCAGTTTTTTAAACATGAATTTTAAACTAATTTTTGATTCCTAATCTTTTAAATCTAACCTGACCCTGCAGTTAATCTTGAAACAACATAATCCGGAATATCTCCGACATAATCCAGAATATCTCCGACATAAGCCGGAATATATCTGAAAAATCTCCGACATATTCCGGAATATCTCAGACATAATCCGAAATATCTCCGACATAACCCGAAATATCTACGACATAATCCAGAATATCGCCGACATAACCCAGAATATTTCCAATATTTCAGAAGAATGTCCTACAAGGACGAGGGGACTCCGCACTGGGCTCCGACTAGATCGGAGATACTGACCTGGCAGGTTCCTACTGGAGTATCGAGAGGAAGGGGATTTGCTCCAGCAGGACGGGGTAGAGGGATCGCTAAATGGTCTTCAGCCACTCAAGGTGATTCAATAATAGTAAAAAGGAAAAAGTTAGAAGGCTTTACAAATAAAGAATAGATATTATAAAAAAGTAAAGAAATGAAACTACATTGTGAACGAAAAATTCAACGTTCAATTTAAGATTTTCTTGCTTGCATTTCATCTAAATACCTTTATAATGTACTCGAAAACAGATTATATAATGAATGAATTTCCCAATTTCAGACGACGGACCAGTAGGTAGAGATTTTAACGGACGCAATGGACGGGAGAGTGTAAACGGACGAGATATTATTAATGGACGAGAAGGTAGAGATGGCCGGGATGGTAGAGAAGGACGGGGTGGTCGAGACGGGCCGGATAATATGAGAAATCGTTACAAAGGGGATATTGGTTCAGGGTTCAGGTATGATAAATATTGATATTAAATCAAATATTATATATAAATATTATATATCATAAAAGACTACAAAACTATTTATTTAAAACTTTCTCACTGCTAAAGATAATTGTCTCGGGTGCTGCATATTTTTAAGAGTTCAAAATAAACATTATGAACATTATTAAGGAAGAATGATGCAGACATGGACGGAAGATTCGAATCTGTGCCTTCTAGAGATCAATCCACGTGTTTTAAGTAAGTAAAGTTAAATTAGATTCAGGCATAAGTAAATAAACTAACGCGTTTTCTTTCACGGGGGGGGGGAGGGGGGATAATACAGGATTACTTTTTTCTTCTGGGGGGATTTCTGGGATTTACGGTGAATACCATTTTTCGTTAAGGTTAGCTGTAAAAAGGAAAACTTATATTTCTTGATGGGGATTCCCCCTTTAAGAAGTCTTTGTTGTGCACTTTACCCCTCCCATATACGCTCTTGTTCTTTCGAACATGATATTCTTACAGATCTCCCCTGGTACTGCTCGTGTTTAACCCCTTGGTTTGTATTTAGATGTGAAGGTATCGGTCATCTATCCTATGAATGTCCGAGCAGAGATAAATATCAGAGAGAAGAAGGAAGGCCTGAAAGACCCAGAAGAAGGTAATATCGGTTTATGTTATATATTGTTGCTCATGCAAAGTAAAGCAAATACGTTAAAATGCCAATGAAATAAATCTAAAACTTAGAGAGTTTTTAGTTTTAGTCAATCATAAATCGCAATTTAGAAGAGCAGCTGCGGATAAATCATTAAATGCTGGAATTTAAAACTTATAAAAGACAAATTATTTTAATAAAAATATGAACTATTTTTCAGGGAACCAGGGAAGGGTGAGAGTAATTCTAATTATCAAGACGAAAACAATCGGTTCAGAGAAAAGAACCATGAAAGAGGAGAAGGTGGTAGGACAGACAGTTTTTCATGTTACAAATGCAACGGAGAAGGACACATCGCTAGAAACTGTCCTGTGAGAGAGGATGGGAGACCTGAGGACAGGACCCGGAGTCGAGCTCCCAAGGGGGAGGAGTGTTATACCTGTGGAGAAATAGGACATTTAGCCAGGAACTGTCCAGAGATTAAGAACGGAGAAACTTCTCATTCTCAGACTGGGGAACTGGACGAGGATTTATTTCACCACGGAGTTTCATCCGGAATAAATTTTGATAATTTTGATAATATTGATGTTAAAGTGACGGGAACTGGTGTCAAAACCAAGGTTGGAACTTTTGAATCTGCGGGGCTGGATCAGGTACTTCTCAATAATATCAAGAAATCTAAATATGTGATGCCAACCCCAGTCCAGAAACATGCCATACCAAACATACTAGCGGGGCGGGATATGATGGCCTGTGCGCAGACCGGCAGCGGTAAAACCGCCGCTTTTCTTATACCGGTCATTCATCTTCTGATCAAACAGGGAGTTGGGTTTACAAGGTGCCCCGGGGCTCAAGCTCCAGAGGTTATAGTCATCTCTCCGACCAGAGAACTTGCATCCCAGATAAAGAAAGAAGCGCAGAAGTTCTGTCTAGGATCTAAACTCCGGGCTGTAGTAGCGCACGGAGGGAAGAGTTTGACCGGGCAGGCGGAGAGTATAAAGGACGGATGTAATATCTTGACCGCTACTCCGGGTAGGCTCTTGGATTTTATAGATAGAGGAGTTATCAGTTTGACAAATGTAAAGTTTCTTGTGCTAGATGAAGCTGATAGAATGTTGGATATGGGGTTCAGGGATGCCATCAACAAGATGGTGCGGATCCCTGATATGCCGAGCAGGAAAGACCGACAAACACTCATGTTCTCCGCAACCTTCCCGGACGATATTCAAAGAATGGCGTCGGAGTTTTTAGACGAATATTTGTTTCTATCTGTTGGAATAGTAGGAGGAGCGTGTAGAGATGTAACACAGTTCTTCCATCAAGTTTCACAGTTTGAGAAGAGAGAGAAGCTGGTTGAGGTTATTCAGAATATTTATGACAGTTCTCCTAAATCTTCTAAAACCCTTGTGTTTGTTGAGATGAAGAAAACTGCGGATTTTATTGCCAGCTATATGTGCCAGTCAGGGTTTCCTACAACCAGCATTCATGGGGACAGGTTAGTTTCTAGTCTAAGTTAAACGTTTCAAGTTTTTTCTTTCATTTTCAAGAATATTTCAAATTAGAGGCTAAAATTAACATTTATGAAAATATGTAAAGCTCTTCATTTATCAAAAATCCTCTAGAAGACTAGCGTGAGATTTTATTGCTAATGGTTTCCTTATTAGTTAATGTAGGTCATATTTATTAAATTAGGTGTGGGATTTATTCTATTAGCTGTGGAATTTATGTAATTAACTGCGTGGAATTTATTCAATTAGCTGTGGAATTTATATAATTAACTATGTGGAATTTAATCAATTAGCTGTGGAATTTATATAATTAACTATGTGGAATTTATGTAATTATGTGGAATGTATTAAAGTTTGTGTGTGATTTTTATTTTCAAAAAAATAAAAAGATAATGATCAATTATGTAATTCTAGGGAGCAGCTTGAAAGAGAAGAAGCTTTGGATGATTTTAAGAGTGGACGAAAACCGGTTTTAGTTGCGACCTCTGTCGCTGCACGTGGATTGGATATTAAGAATGTGGAGCTTGTTATAAACTACGATCTACCCAAATCCATAGATGACTATGTTCATAGGTATATCAAAAAGTCAGCTTACAACATTGAAATAAATTTTTTATTAGAATTTATTTATTTTCACATTGCAGCTTCTTAACAAGCGAGTCATTTTTTATTTAATTCTTGTTAAATGGTCTGTTAGTGCAATTTCAAATGCAAAGATGACATTGCCCGATTCAAAACGTTTGATATTTATCTGATAAATATTGTCGTTATTGTCGTTCTTAAAGGTTTTCCTGCTGTAGAAATGCGCAAGTCACTTTTGTAGAGAAGTCACGGTTGAAAATAATTAGTTTTCAAAATTATAAACATTGATGTCTAATTCATACTTGATCAGTCAAAGGGTTAAATATCACTATTGTGAGGTTTTGCCATGTTTGCATGGAGGGTCATTTGACATTACACTTTCCCTCCCTTTTAATTCATGTTGCTTTTTTAAGGATTGGAAGGACGGGGAGACTGGGTAATACTGGTAGAGCTATTTCATTCTTTGATGCCGCGTCTGACTCCGGTCTATCCGTAGACCTTGTCAGAATACTAGCAGATGCAGAACAGGTTAGAGATCAGTCTTTAGCTAACATTATCTGATACACAGTAATCCCCCTTGAAGAGGCTAGTTCATTTGATGCACTCTGCCCCGTATGATGTACATTGTACAACTTGGTCTAAATGCTTACAAGTCTGAACCGGAGTTTTCAGATGATATAAATAGCAAGAAACGATTTACATGATTTTATTTTGATTTTTTTGTGGGACAATTTTGTTATTGTTTTGGTCTTTTACGTCTTAAAAAATTAAATTATTTACAATTTTTAAACTGAGGAAATGAAAAAGATAACCAAAGAAATACAACTAATAACTCGCACTAATGAAAACAATTATTTACTTAAAAGCCAAGGTTCACTTTTAAGTTTTATCGAAACCAAACGTTGATCTAAACTTAAGAATATATCCAGGAGGTTCCTGATTGGTTGGTTGAAGATGCTCGAAGAAACCCTGCTAGAGTAAACGGTTCTAAAGCTCCTGGTTCCTTCGGAGGGAAGGATGTGAGAGCTCAGTCACAACCCGGAGTAGATTGGAATTAAATCCATACATTTTAAACCTTCATCAATATATTCCTTCAGATAGAAGCAAGCTGGAGAATCAAAACACACCTTACAAGGCTCTTTATTATCGGAGAAATTGAAAGGTTTAAAGCTTGCTGCCGACTTGTATTGTATATATTATGATCTAATGACTGAAATTCTTCCTTTAAAATAGGTTCCCGTTTACTACTACACTTCGAACTAAACAGAAGGAGAAGGACAAATTTATGCGACATTGCTGGTACGACTTTGTGACCTCGTAGCTCCTCTAGTTTTCATTTTATGCACAAAGAAAAGCAAATCTATCCGGTTACACATTTTGTTTGTTCTTTTCTTTAGCTTTCCAAAGAAAGGAGTTATGACTGAAAACAATTAAGATTTTCCAAATTTGTTTTCACTGATCAGGATGAACCTCAATCTTGATTTTGTAAATTCACTTCGAGGAAGTAGGACGTATCTAAAGGTCTGATTTGATTTGATTTGATTTGATTCGATTTGATTTGATTTGATTTGATTTGATTTGATTTGATTCGATCTGATTTGTTCTGTTAAAAAATGTTCAATGTTCATGCCAAAATCTTCAGAATTGACCCCCTGGCCGGTAATAAATCTGTTTATTTAGCAATAACCCCGAACTTGATTTTGCAAATTTTTAAATGTGAAGGGAGGAGTAAATTCTATCCAAAAATATTTGTCCTTTTTTGTTGTTGCAATTTTTGGAAATCTGACAAATAGATGGAGTAGACCTTTGAAAACTTGACTGTAAAACTTTGATAATGGATATTTAGGGTAAAAAATAATTAAAAGAACGCCCCCCCCCTGGACAATATGTTTCCCTGTTTTTTTGCTTCCAATAGAAATGTAAATTCGTGATTTGTTTTAACAAAATATGTGATATGTACAAAGCTCTAGTTGTTATCCTTGTTAACATATTACTGAGACTAGAATCTTATAGCTAAACGTCTGAAATATGTGAATCCTGAAAGTTAGAAAAGATCCAGGATCCGGATCAGAATTAAAATGAAAGTTAAAAAAGTTTCAGGATCCGGATCAGAATTAAAATTAAATGAATCCAAAGATGCTATTGTGCATTAAAAAAGATTGAAGCTTGCATCTGAAAAGTTAAAACGATAAAAGATTTGAATTGACGATCACTCATTGAAACCAGGGGCGGTGGCAGGGTCTTTGCACCCCCCTCAGATTTCAGAATAGCTTCTCAATAGCACTTAAGGGAAAGAAAACCTAGTGCAAAACAGAAAAAATGGTTCCTAAATCTGGATTTTTGGTTCCGAAATAAATCTAGGCCCCCTCCCCCCCCCACTTAAATCCTGTATCCGCCCCTGATTGAAACCAATACTAAATAAAATGGATCCTAACTTCAGCTTCAAATATTAGAGTAACATCATAAACGTTGGCAAGTTTTTTTTTAACAAAGAGATCGAAAAATTACTAGTCTAAGCTTCAAGACTTAACTTTAGATTATTTAGTTTAAATTGTTTAGTCATCTCAGCGCAGTTATGAAAACTATAAATACAAATGTCCTTTCTCATAAAGCTTAGGTTTGGGTAAAACAGTATCTAATATTTAATGTAATTCAGAAATATTGGAAAATATGGCCAGCTACTTGCCAATGTACTGTGTACATCTGACATGTATTGTTACAATGCCTGTTAATTATCAAGCCAAAATTTATATTTTTTTTTCAGGTGAAAATGTTCTTAGATACACGCTCCTTTGGAACATGTATCCTGCTCCAACACTAGAAACTAGGATGCACATCAAACCAACTCTAAACCTATCAATATGTAAACCTACTCCAAACCCAACCAATATGTAAACCTACTCCAATCCCAACCAATATGTAAACCTACTCCAATCCCAACTATTATGTAAACCTACTCCAATCCCAACCAATATGTAATCTAAATAATTGCCAAAATATTGCCAACTAGTCTTCTCAATGTTTATAACTTATATATTTGGCTTGTATATGATTCTGCTAAGCATAACCTTAATTTTTCTTCTAGTTCTTTATTGCTTCGACTTTATGCCATGAACAGTATTATCTTAATATTTATCTTTTCTCACGGCTGTGTTTTGAATCTAGTCTAGATATATATTTAAACTTATTCCATTCCATATCTTTCAATTCTTTATCTTAACCATGAATTATACTCGTGGTAAATCTTACAGAAACATGAAACATAATTCCCAGATGGATTTTCCTCAACCAAGGTCCAAAAGAACAAGGTAAGAAAACTAATTAGAAACTAATTAAATCCAAATTAATTAAGCTTATTTATTAAATCAAGATTTATGTTTAGAAAAGATAACTTTCGAACTAAGGTTTCCACATTAAAAGATGAATCTTTTTATATTTTGTATGATTTCTTGTCATTTCAACAATTTACTTTTTAAGATTTGCATAAAATATTAAAACGAATGTATGAAAAATAATTTTAACTGAATTGTATGATTTAACACTTAACAGTATTATAACTTCTACTATTTCCTATTCACACTACTCCGCCCCAAAGGCGACATAAGACCCCCCCCCCCATTCCCCCGTAATTTAAAAAATAATATTGGGTTTCACCTTTATGAATTTATGAGATATAATCTTGGCGATTCGGAATAAAAAAATCGAGGTTCTTAATCCTAATTTTTCCTTTATTACCAAATTTGACCCTCAAAAAAGATGCCCTTAGCTTAGAGATTGTAAAAAAACCGAAAATGAATCAGCTTATTAAATGGCCAAGATTTTGACTTTTTTGGTCATAAAGTGCCGAAAACGGCTAAATCCATGATTTAACAACATGGTTACACTTTAATTCAAACTTGATATATTAAATATTTAGAGATATCCCTGGTCAGCCTATTCCTGTTCCTCTGACCAGCCTAACCGGTCAACCAGCTTCTAACTTTGTCTGGAAATGCTACAAAGGAAGGTCAGGGTCACATGGTATTCTCCTATACTTTTTGGGACCAGATTTTATGAATAATAAGACATGGTTGAATTGCCATTAACTGATTTCAAGCACTCATGTGGTGCAACGGGTCTAGCTGAACAGAGTCCTTCAACTTAGATTACGCGGTTTTCAACAATGTCATTGTTTAGCTGTTTTTAATAATAAATAATTAACATCAAAATTTGCCAAAATTAATAAATTCTAATTAATTGATCCCCTTGCGTTCTGATAAATCATCTTAGATATTAATTGATCCCTTTGAGTTCTGATAGATCATAAACTGAACCTAATTTTAAAGCTATGACTGCCTTTTCTCATCTGGGTCTCTTGTAGACTAGAGACAGGACGGGAGGAAGATGCAAACGGAAGAACCTCAGTCATCTCCTTGGAGGATAGAGGAGAGCTAGGAAATCTTTGGAGAAATGGATATTTTGGTTCCATTGTCTCAGATAGGTTGGTTCTTTAGTATCTGATATTTGGAACTATTATCTCATATAGGTAGGTTCTGATAATTGGAACAATTTTCCAATAGGTAGGTTCATTAGAATCTGATATTTGGAACTATTATCTCAGATAGGCAGGTTCTTCAGTATTGATATTTGGAACTATTATCTCAGATAGGTAGGTTCTTTAGAATCTGATATTTGGAACTATTATCTCAAATAGGTCTAGTTCTTCAGTATTGATATTTGGAACTATTATCTCAGATAGGTAGGTTCTTTAGAATCTGATATTTGGAACTATTATCTCAAATAGGTCTAGTTCTTCAGTATCTGATAATTGGAACTATTGTCTCAGATAGGTAGGTTCTTCACTATCTGATAATTGGAACTATTAACTCAGATAGGTTCCTCACTTTCTGATAATTGGAACTATTATCTCAGATAGGTAGGTTCTTCACTATCTGATAATTGGAACTTTTGTATCAGATAGGTAGGTACTTCACTATCTGATAATTGGAACTATTGTCTATGTTGAGAAAGTAATACAAAAATATTGTCTTAGGCTTGACTGATTTAGGTTTGCTAAGGTTCAAGAGTACACTACAGCAGCTTGGGATCCAGGGACGGAGATTATTCAGAGTACAGGTCAAGGGTCGGAGAAATACGAGGATTGGAAGGAAGATGATGATTTCTGGACAAACAAGGATGAACCTGTCCCAGAGAAACCAGGATTTAAGAATGAAGAGGTTATAAAACCGGTGGGTTTTTAGAGATGTTCACGTTTATACAGATTAATATTTTTAGCTCTATAGTAAGCAATCAATTCTGATTTTACAATGTTGAACTAAGTGCATTTAGAATAAAATACTTCGAAAGTGTTCTGTTTAATTCATTATTTATTTCTTATTTCTTTTGAATACATGCAAAAGTGCTTCATGTATTTTCCAGAATGAGGGGGGGGGGGGTTCTGGAAGCTTTTTGGAGGGGGGCGGAGACTTCAGTGTTTTTATCCATTATTTATTATTTTTCTATGTGAAATATTTATATTCCCAACTTGAGGTTTTATTTAAATTTTAAATTAGCAAAAAAGGAAATCATTATGTGACATTTAAGGAGAACGGAGAAGAGAATGAAAACCTGAACCCTGCCACGAAGGAGCCCCAGAGCTGGGATGAGGTTGAAACTAAATACGGAGAGGAGAATGAACATGATGTTAGGCTAGATCTTGAACTCTGTGAAGCATTCTATCTTAGCTATGCTCTGGGTAAGACTAACATTCTCATTACTCTGTAAAAAGATGTAAAATGCATTAGTAAAAAAGTAAAGTTTCACATAAAATAATGACAGGGGTTTATAATTTCTCTAAAAATCATTTCCCCCTTTTTAAAATTTTATTCCCTACAGATGTTATGTTTGTTTGCGCGGAGTGTAAAAAATCGTTTAGCCTTTTTAGCAGAATTAAGGAAAATGAATATTTTAGGGGAAATTAAATTGATTTCTAGATAAAAATAATAAGAATTAAAAAACTTGCCCTTTGAAGTTTTGATGTCCCATTTTTTACCCTCTGTAATATACAGCCCTAAAGAATAAAGGCAAAAACGGGTAAAATTATATTTTATGTTTAGGCTGCTTGGTGGTAGAATATAATGGATCTCAGTTAAACCTTTTACAAATGTGGAAAACATATTCAAAACTGGAACCAGATTTCCCATATAGGTAAATATACTGATTTCCCATATAGGTAAATATACTGATTTCCCATACAAGTGAATATCCTGATTTCCCATACAGATGAATATCCAGATTTCCCATATAGGTGAATATCCTGATTTCCCATTCAGGTAAATATCCTGATTTCCCATACATGTGAATATCCTGATTTCCCCTTCATGGTGAATAACCTGATTTACCCAACAGGTGACTATCATGATTTCCCACGCAGGTGAATATCCTGATTTCCCATACAGGTGAATATTCTGATTTCCCATACAAGTGAATATCCTGATTTCCCATACAGTTGAATATCCTGATTTCCCATACAAGTGAATATCCTGAGTTCTCATTCTGGTTAATATCCTGATTTCCCCTTCATGGTGAATAACCTGATTTACCCTGCAGGTGACTATCATGATTTCCCACGCAGGTGAATATCCTGATTTCCCATACAGGTGAATATCCTGATTTCCCATACAGGTGAATATCCTGATTGCCCATACAGGTGAATATCCTGATTTCCCATACAGGTGAATATCCTGATTTCCCATACAGGTGAATATTCTGATTTCCCATACAGGTGAATATATTTTATAAAATGCGAATGATGGAAACAATCATGAAAATAATGTCTTAACAATCTTAAAAGACTCAATCTGAGGCGTACATAGGAATTTGTCTGGGGGCTTAATTCTTTTTTACTTTCCTAAGGAATGGGGGATGCAACACCCGTTGGGACCTATAAACCATAGAATTGATTGATCAGGAAGATGGACTGAGCTTCCATACCCTCCCTCTGTGTACACCTCAGGACTCAGTACACAACTGATTAGTTAATTAAATTGCCTAGATATGCTGTGTATCATGATTTGAGGAGCCGGGGTTGGGTTGTGCGAAGTGGTGTTCCTCTAGGTGCTCATTGGATTCTATACAAACTGGGTAAACAAGCAGATCAAGGGTACTTCGCGCCCATTTCTCTAATAAAGGATCTTTATTGCATACTTAAACTATAAAAAAATCTAAACTAATTTTGTTTTCAACAGTGAGCCAAAAACCATGAATTTTATCTTCTCTTTTAGAAAAGAATTGAATTTTGGCCACTAACTCTGATTTTCTCATCTTTTTGTCTTTGCATTGCGATTTCGTAGTCCTTTGATTTTTCAAAATATGAATTTTGGTGAATCAAATATTTTTTAAGTTTGAAATATAAAAGATTTACACCTTCAGAGCCCGTGATTTAAAAATTCGGGAAAATACGACTCAGGTCTAAGCCTTATTTACAGCTGGAGCTTTTAGATTGAAGTTGGATCTAAAGTTCCACAGAGTTGAGCTCATTAAACCAGTTTGTTATTGTATTTTGCGGATTTTCATAGTTGGAATTGGTGCATTCCGGGGTTTGAAGAGAACAAGACTCATCAATGAGCCTGATTTTCCACTAAAACCAACCAAGGTCGGTTTTATTTTCATTGGGCCTAACTCCTTAAATCGAGCCTAAGATCTCGAAGCTGTCAATCACGTGACACAAGCTGTAAAGTTAGGTCTTAGATTGGGTTTTAAAGCTGGGTTTAAGGAATTACGACCCGAGCCAAAGCTTTTAAATCGCAGGCTCAGGTTGCAATGATATAAGGATTAGGAAATCAGGAAATTAAAACTCAATTCCTTAAAGGTATTAAACCTAAATGTGCAGAAACCAACTTTAAATTATCTTTACTCTACCTGCTCTGTCTAGGCCCCCCGTTTTACCACGCCTCTTTTACTGTCCGACTGGAGCTAGTCTGTGGACAGTCTGGGCGAGTTCTCAAGGAGAAAAATATTACTCCTCTTTCCTGGGCAGACCTGTTAGGCCTCAATAGGTGAGCATTATCCTCGAACCATAATTATCGTAAAATCTGTTTTTTTCTGCCTGTGTCAGGGGTGTTTAGTTTTAAGTATTACGGGAGGGGGATGATTTTTGAAGATCTGTGGGGAATTTAGAATTGGACATCAAAAGGCATGTTTCTTCATTATTTTTGATACTTTATTGTTAACCCGAAAATTAATTCAATTCAAAAAACCTTTAAAAATTTCAGACAAACTTGTTAGGGAAAAAATGATTTTAATAAGGGGGGGATGATTTGTCGAGAAAATATACACCCCTGAGTTGTTCAGTTAGCCGAAAACAATAGTTTAGAGATATCTTGATGCTTGCGTGTATTGAAAAATAAAGATTTTACAACAGTATTTGTGTGAAGAATTAAAACTCACCTGAATCCGATTATTCCTTGAATCCGCAACAATTATGTTCCCTGAACATGAAAATTAAAAATATGTATCTTAACCTAATTTAGAAAATATGTCATTATTAAATAAGTTGATCTCGTCCCCTGTGGATTCCCCTTCACATTTAAAATTACGAAATGAAACTCCCCTGGCCCCCCCTTTCCAAACCAGTAGTTACGCCTGGAATGATTATCTATTTATTCTACCTTCATCATCCACTGTAATGCCATTAGGTCGGGTAAACTCTCCATCCTAAAACCGTTTATTATAAATATCAATATTTGTTGCGGCATATGTCGCCATGTTTTTTTTATCAGCTAATCCCGTGATATAAAATCTGCAATTTTTAAATCTTCCAAAAATGATTGATTAAAAGAATCAATTACGGGACTAACTACATCACATCTGATAAATTTCGAATATTGAAGACCATCAAGAAAAGAGCTACGGTTTTTTTTCAGTACATAAGAGATCTCTTCTTTAAATATAGGTTTAAAATGTAGTATCGTTAACCATTGATAGCAAACTTTAAATGAAGAGCCATAAAAACTTCCTTCAACTGAAAATATATTTTGCCCCGAGTCTTCAGTAGAAAAAATGGATTATGAGGACTATAAAAGGACCCCATATTTATAAGAAAACTCATATTCTTTAAATTAGTTTGAATCCCATTTTAAAATCAACTAAGGTGGTAGGCGATGTTTCAATATAATGAAGACTAATTTCTAATTTGTGTTAATTGTTTTAAAGTTTTTTTTTTAAATTACAAGTTGTCAAGTAATTAAAGAGAAGATTTTTTAATTGACAGTTTCTCTTTGTTTCCATGTTTTTGTGTATCCATGATGTTTAAAAGCTTGATATTAACCAAAATTCAAATCGAAAGTCGTCTTCATCAAATAGATTCTAGTATAATAGATGGCAACGTAGAATTTGCACATTCTCAGTACAACTTAGTTTTTGTGTCCGACAAAATAATTAATAATAGTGATAATTTTAAATAAAGTGCTTATTTTATATGTTCGTTATTTTCTTTATTTACACTATATTATTTAGTCTTGGAAAACATGTCAACTTATGAGGAAAATTTCGTTTTCCTTGTTATATTTGAAACTTGTGACGTCGTGTATAATTATTCCATTTCTCTGTTGCCACCTATTGTACTTGAAAATCTTTTTGGTCTTCATTATATTGATATAATCGCCTACCACCCGAAATATTTACAATTTCTAATTTTTTTTGTTGCTAAACTCAAAATGCCAAATCGTCATGTGGGTTATTCTGACGGAATATTGTGTGTTTAAGATATATTCTGACCTGTGTTCCTATAATGCCGAAATTTTGTGTGTTTAAGATATAATCTGACCTGTGTTCCTATACTGCCGGAGAATTGTGTATTTAAGATATAATCTGACCTGTGTTCCCATACTGCCGAGATATTGTGCATTTTCAAAATTAGCTCTTATCACCAACAGACGATGGTTGTTGAAATCCGTAACAACAGTCTAAATTAGGAGAATATTAACAGTCTAAATTAGGAGAATTTTAACAGTCTAAATTAAGAGACTCAGCCTAAATTAGGAGAATTTTAACAGTCTAAATTAGGAGACTTTTAACAGTCTAAATTAGGAAAATATTAACAGTCTAAATTAGAAGAATTTTAACAGTCTAAATTAGGAAAATATTAACAGTCTAAATTAGAAGAATTTTAACAGCCTAAGTTAGGAAAATATTAACAGTCTAAATTAGGAAAATATTAACAGTCTAAATTAGGAGAATATTAACAGTCTAAATTAGGAGAATATTAACAGTCTAAATTAGGAGAATATTAACAGTCTAAATTAGGAGAATTTTAACAGTCTAAATTAGGAGAATATTAACAGTCCAAATTAGGAGAATTTCAACAGTCTAAATTAGGAGAATATTAACAGTCTAAATTAGGAAAATATTAACAGTCTAAATTAGGAAAATGTTGTTATCCTCAACTAAAACCGTAAAATCATTTAGATTAAATTCACAACGTACTAAAAGAAAACTCTTCACCCGAGAAAAAAGTACGGTAAAAGTATGATGCAAGAAATCAATGCCCGATTCACAACAGAACTCTAGAAACCTTTATCTGATCAGGTTCAGAATTATTTATTCTTTTACAATTCCTATAAATTTTCCTGTAGTAGAAATGCGCAAGTTAATTTTGTAGAAAACCCACCATTGAAAATAGTCATTTTTCAAAATTAAAACATTAATTTGTACAGTCCCTTGTAAGTTAATTTCTCTTGGACATGGAACGGTGTCGGTATGAGGCAGGGATAATTAAAATTGATGGATATCGAAGAAGTAATTCTCCAGACTCCGGACGACCAAAAATACGGGTAACTGCCTGATCCCCTGATTCAAAAGTTTTGACTTCTGGTAATATGAATGGATAAGTATTCATATTTCATATTTTTATTCAACTACAAAGCACGAGATAATACAAATAAAAAATCACAATTTACTATGTAGTTGGGACCACAGAGTACCCTCAGATACAGCCTGGATATATTTATATATGTTAATATGTATTCTTAGATACAGCCTGGATATATTTATATATGGTTATATGTATTCTTAGATACAGCCTGGATATATTTATATATGNCTTTCAATTATTTCCTTCAGTAGCTTGGTAGAAATATTGTCCTTACCTGAACTGTTTTTAGGTTTAAGTTTACTCACTGTTTCAAGAATAATTTCTGGTGTAATATTTGCAAACACAAAATTTTCCTTGGATGGCTCCTTCAGATATGTTTCAAAATTAACATTAGAATCCGGAATATAACTAGACAATCTGGGTCCAATGTTCACAAAAAAGTCATTAAAACCCTCTGCTATTTCAGCAGATCCCACAAAACTTTTTTCATCATCAGTGAAAATATCAGGAACTGAATGACTTTTTTTCTTAGAAGATATAATAGAGTTCAGTAAAGACCAGGTCTTTTTGATGTCTTTTGAGTATTCTGTAAATTTTGAAGAAAAATAACTAGTCTTGGCCTTTTTTATTGTTGTGCGATAAACAGAATTATATTTTCTAAAAGTTTCTAAATTGTTTGTAGTTGGATTCAGGATTTTTTTCTTAAATAATTTTTCTTTTTGTTTTCTTGACACTAGCAAGGCGGAAGTGAACCAAGGGTTAACAGAATTTTTATTTTTGTTTGGTTTATATTTGATAAATGGAAAGCTTTCTTCATAAATATTATTTAAAGTGTTAGAAAATTCAGAAAAGGCTGTAGAAGGATCTTCATTTATCATAACATGAGTCCAGTCATTGAGTAACAATTTTTCCTTAAACTTGGTTTTATTTTCGATTGAAGTGTTTCTAATTAGAACTGGTTTGCTACCAATATTATCTTCATGTTGTGTACATTTAGACAAAGAGTATTTACCTGGTCGTCAGCTGAGAAACATACTCCCCGAGGCGAATCAAAATGTTTCCAACTCTGACCCTCGAAACCATATTTCTTCAGGAACTCGCCGTTCGGAGTAAACAGCTGAAGCCGATGGTTCCTAAATGGGTTTACAGTCAAAATATTTTAACGATGTTTGCAGCAGGGGTGTTAAAATTAAGGAAATTTCACCCCCCCCCCCCCGGCTCCCTCCTGACCCAACCAGGGGGAATGATTTTTGATGACTTTGGAGAAAAAAAGATAAATTAATTAAACATCAAAAGACAAGGTTTTTCATACTTTGTGATCTTTTTTCCATAAAAAAATCATTTAAATCTTTCAACAATAATTTTTTCCCTAATTCAGCACAAACAATCCTTTAAAAATCTTGGCGCTCCGCGCAACCATACCAAACATTTGGGAGGGGGTGATTTATCAAGAAAATATACCCCCCTGGTTTTGCAGATGTCACAGGTCTTAAACGTGACCCCTAGTAAAGATTTGCCATAATTGATTCCCTAGAGTGACCTATAGAAGGAATGTGTGCCCGATTTACAACAGCACCTTTTAAACCTTTGACTAAAGCGTGAATAAATCTCAAAAAGTGTTTGAATTGCCGTAAACCGGGGGTATACATACAGTGTACACTAGCGTACAGTGTGAATAGATTATTATATATCCAGCGCGGTTTTCAAAAATTCGTATGTAAATATTAAATTACTTTTAAAAAGCAGTGCTTAAGATCCATTTAATTCTGATGCGGATCCAGGTCATTTCTTTAAGATTTACTGACTTTTTTGATTTTTTTCGCTTATTTTTATCCTACAACTTGGAGTTAAGGAGTAAAAAAAATTTTTTTGCAGTTTTTGGTTGATATTTTACCCCTTGGATCCAGATCCAGGAAGCCAAAATCTTCCGGATCCTAAAAACTGCTAGATAGTTGATATTGATATTTCTCACGTATAAAACTGGTTGCAAATCAAGTGATCGACAGTTACAACCGTTTCTGTAGATTTGTGATGACAAGTCTGAATCAATCATGAGTTTAAAGGGTACGAAAATATAAATTGGACATGCCACATTAAAAAATTACGATGGAGTCCATTTAATATCTGCCTAACCTTGTATCTGATACAAGAATGCTGTCCTGTGAGTTGACCGCTACATCCCAAGGATAATTAAATTGACCGGGTTCTGAACCCTTTTCTCCGAACTTCATGATGAACGAACCTAAACATTAAAAAACTGTCACTGCAAACTAGCACGTCATAGTACACGTCAAGCAGATACAGCGAATACCACTTTTAAAAATGTCGTACTTTTGCTGAAATATTGAAATATAGCCAATCATAAGGCTGAATAAATCTTAGTATAGAACGAGGATAGGGTCTGACGACCGGTACGAATTTTGTAGAGCTTTCATAATCCATGACATTCTGAGATGGCAGTGCTAAAAATTTCAAATTTTCGGAGTTCATTTTTACATAGCTGAAAACTGGGAAGGTGGGTGTACATCATTGAAATATGAAACTTTTAAAAATGCAGAAAACTCGAAAAAAATGGTAAGATATAAAATATAAAATAAAATATGTTTTAAAACTTACCATCGATGGAAAATATCTGAATTCTGTGATTATCCTTGTCTGAGACGATTAACCGGTTTCTTGAATCACAGCAGACACTGCTGGGTTTATTAAACTGCCCTGGACCCTTCCCTTCAACTCCAAACTTGTGATGGAACGTTCCGTTCTGCTGGAACAGTTGAACTCGGTTGTTGGATCGGTCAGCAACAGCAATCCATCCTTCCTGGAGTAATTAATAGAGTGTTAACATCATCAGTGACCGTTAAGAGTTCCATCAAAAGTCATTTTTTAATCACTTTTATCAATTCCGTAACGTTTTGGACAATCAATGTATAAAAATAATAATGGTTTCGCCCTATCTAAAGTTAGAATGAAAAAGAAAAGTGAAAAAAAAACAGCCAAAAACATTTTGCAAGAATCAACCAAAAGTCAACCCATTCCTTTCTGGTACTATATACATAAATGATCTAACACGATGAAATGTAAATTCTAAAACATGTAATCCAATCCTTGTACAGCAAACCCAACTGGGTCTTACACATCTCTCCGAAACTTTTTTTTGACAATAATGTATAAAACAGAATAATGGCCTTTCGTCCTAACTAAAGTTGAATGAAAAATGCATGTAGTTAATAACGAAAAATAACAAACATTTTTGACAGATTCAACCCTAAACCTTTTCTATCCAATCTTTTTGAATAATCAATCAAGATGAAAAGTTTTCTGGAAAATGAAATCCAACCTTAGTACAGCAAACCCCCCAGGGTCTGCACATCTCTCCGTCCTTGGTTCCCTCTCGTCCAAATACACAGACCGGAGAACCTATAGTCGTGTAGTCGCGTCCGGAACGAACCACACAGTGAAACGGACTCCCTGGAGTAATAATGTTTTTATTTTAAGTTCGGCAGCACAAACCTAACAAGGGATTCAATTTAATGAATTAGAGCGGTAGGCAGATCAGCGACCCTTTAAATTCATTAAATTCGGCCTAAGGACAAACAAATCATCACATTAAAAATCTTTAAAACTTTTCTCAGCCTAAATAAAAACTCAACAGTGGCCGAATTTAATGAATTTGAGCGGCGGTTTAAATTTAAGCCGCGGCTTAAATATGGTTGGTTCCACTTTAAATTGTATCAAATGTTTCAAGATTTAAGCCGGCGCTAAATTTAAACCGGGTTTTGGCGGATTTTGGCGGATTTAAACCGCGGCTCAAATTCTTTAAATTCCATCTCTGAATAGTTATTTATGTGGCAATAAAAAACTTTCATTTAATAAGACAAATAAGGAAAAAATAAAAACCAAATCTGATTGTACTAAATTCTGTAAGAACTATGTGCTTGCTGTACTATGTAAGTGCTGCGTGTACGAAATAATTGTACTGTACTTTGTACATAGGAAACTATTAAGTGAATTATCAAAATTATCAAAACTAAATGCTTATAACGTCCTCGGATACCAGAAGAACGAACTAATGCATCTATTCTTGGTAAAATATTCCGCCCAGAGAGAACTGGTTTTAATATGTACGAAGAGTATACGCGACCGCAATTAACTTTCTTTTTATAAGTACCTTGGATTATACTATGCTCTATGTACTGCAATATTATCTGTACTACAATTTTACATGTATTGCAATTTTATACGTAATGCAATGTTATATGTACTGCATTGTTATGTGTACAGCAATTTTATATGTAATGCAATGTTATACGTACTGCAATGTTATAACTATTGCAATTTTATATGTACTGCCATTTTCAGTGTACTTCAATTTTCTGTGAGGTGTAATATTATCTGTTTACCTGGTATGGAAACAGAGTTGAGTTGAACATAAATATGATGATCTCCTTCAACATGAGGTCTCCATGCTACAGGATACTGTCCATCCAAAGGTTCACCAATCTTCACCCAAACCTTAGAAAAGTCATTTTAAAGGGACTGTACTCGTATTTTTGGTGTTAACTTTCAATTTAAGATTTGCATTCCCGATTCACAACGGTACCCTCAGAACCTTTATCTTTAGTCGTTTTTTTCTCTTAAATAGTGTTGATTTCTGTAAGTTCTTTTCTTTGTTTCTGCTCATAACCGTCCCTTCGATACAGAAACTGCCTAATTAAAAAAAAAATCTGTCTTTTATGCCTAAACCCGGCTAAGGTTTAAATGGTACTGTTGTGAGTCGAACATGCAACTCTTTAAATGGATACCGGTGACTTGAAGGTACTTTAACAGACTCTTATCATATTTTGTTTTAATAATACACTTCGAAAAATGTATTGGCGTAGAATTTCTTCTGTAAAGCTTTTGAGCCTTAAATCTTCCAATCCTTAAAAACATTTCTGTATTGTTTATTGTTTAACAGATTGACCCATCCGTTGACTTCAACGAACCCCTTTTGCTTTTTATAAACTTCATTCTTTAGTTCGTGGATTATAAATAGATATCAACCTTATGCCTGTCTGGAGACTGTATCATGACAGAAAGTTTCTCTCTGTTTGATAAACTTGGTTCTCCCAGGTGATTATTTATGAAGACGATGAACCTGCAGGTTCTACCCAGAACACCCTTCTTTAATCCATCTCCTTCAGCCTAAACAATACAATAGTTCACACCTCAGATAATAGATGTTTTTAAATAGTTGCAATACATGCGTCAAAATCAAATTTTAAAGGGATTGCTAGAGGCATATCCTACCTATAAGGTGGAGTTTAAATTCCCTCTCATATTTCGGGTGTTCAGTCCGATCTTTATGTTTTAATAATTTTTCCAGAGGTATGCTACTAAATTATGCAGTAATTTTCTAGGTTAATGGGTTTGTTAAAATCACAGCAGCACGACCAAATTTGAAACATACTCCCATTTTGGGGATCCTACCATTTCTTGACTGCCAATTCAAAATAAAAATAAAATACAAGTCCCATAAAGTTTAAACACAACCGAATCAATTTCCAGATGGAACATTTTTTATTTTATGTTTTATACCTAAATATTTTTATTTAAAATATCTACCTTACTGTTCTTGAAGAACCCTGAGCTGGTGACGAACCCTGCCTTGGACAGGGTTAACAGTAGACCAGAGTCCAGGGGAACAAAGTTTATAATATCATCCTGAATATAAACAGAAATTTGTATAACAGTAGACCAGAGTCCAGGGGGACAAAGTTTATAGTGTCATCCTTAATATAAACAGATATATGTATAACAGTAGACCAGAGTCCAGGGGAACAAAGTTTATAATATCATCCTGAATATAAACAGAAAGGAATTGAGTTTTTCTCACAAACTATGATTTTCTAATCTTTATATCTTTGTAATCCAATGCCGTAGACCTTAGATATTTCAAACAATTAATTCTGTTAGATGAAAAAATCTAAGTTTGAAATATCAAAGGTTTACACCATCAGTTGGAAAAGATATAGGTATTAGAAAATCAGAGTTTGTTACAAAGACTCAATTCCTTTGTATAACAGTAGACCAGAGCAGCATCTGTGTAGCAAAGAATCTGCCAATCTCTAGGATTTTCTAGGGCTGGAATGAGAATTTCAGCTTTGTTCATCTTAGTGTTAAGCAAAGCTTTTCTCACTCTAATAAGATCGTCTACAATTCCACTTTTGAATTTAGTGCTCAGTTCGATCATCTCAAATGCAAGGTCAGGTCTAGTAGCTCTTACAATCCAATTTAGTGCACCTGCCATTTTTCTCAAATCTGTCCTTTCAGATTCAGTAAGATCTGAAGTTTTCTCCTTTATTCGCTTCGGGTCCATTTCAATGATCTCTACAGTTGAATTAGTGTACTTTGATTGATCCAACACAATATTATCTCCACTTTGTTTTATGTAAAACCCAGTGTACATGAAACTTTCCTTCTCATTTTTTCCAACCTGGAAACTCTTAAGTATTGGATATAGTATTGAATCATTGAATGAATCTGACCCAGCATGGATGAAGTCATCAACATGCAGACCCACAATGCCAACAGTCTTACCAGCATCATCATGCATAACAAATAGTCCTGGGTCTTGCTCAGATTGTTGAAATTTGGCATCAAGAAGCTTTCCTCTTACTTTGAAATACCATTGACGGCTTGCATCCTTCAGTCCATAAAGGCACTTATTTAGTTTCCACAACAAACCTTTGTCTACATTTGCCTCCTTAGGTGGTTTAATAAATACATCTCTTTCAAGTTTTGAACCCTGAAGAAATGCACTCTTTATGTCTGTAGTCTCGACCTTCCACCTCTTGGTAGCTGCAATACAAAGAATAATTCTTAAAGTACTTTTGCACAGTGTTGGGGAATCTTTTTGAATATCACTGGTCTCTTCATATCCCCTGGCAGTTAGACGGGCTCTTACTTCATTTCCTTTATTTGTCATAACCCAAGTAGTTGATATTCTCTCCTGTCCTTCATCAGAAACTGCAATGTAGGTTTCAAAAGACTTCAATTTGTCTAACTCTTTGATCTTTGCTTTCAAACATTCAGGACTGTTTTGCTCCTCCTTTGGAATAGTTATCATCATAGCATACTCAGCATCTGGATTGTTAAGCATTTCAAACTCTACACTCTCCAAATTAACACTGTGATTTTCTTTTCCATCTGATCTCTGGACATTAAACCAATTCTTATATTTCCCTGTTGTCTTACCTCTCCCAACTATTGTAGCTTCTACCCAATCTTCTCCTTCTCTGAATCTAATTTGATCGTTTCTTTTCAAAAGAAGTTTTTCTGAGACCTTTAGATCTTTGGAAGGATCTCGATCTTTGGAAGTATCTCGATCTTTGGAAGGATCTAGATCTTTGGAAGGATCTGAATCTTTGTGAGAATATTTATCTTTGGAAGAATCCTTTACGGACTTCTGTGAAGCAATTGGTTCACACTCTGGGCTGTTGTCAGGATTTTTGGAAGAATCCTCACAAACAAATTCTGCAAGCATACCTTTCATTCTCTGATTTGGAAAATCCTTGGATTGATCTTCCTGTAAATCATCATTTAGAACTTTAGAAAGGTCTTGATTTCTGTCTATCAGAAGATCCTTGGATAAATCTCCTTCATACTGTTTGGCCAACTCTTCTCCTGCTCGCTGTATTCTATTAGGGCTCACTCTAACAAAGACAGATCCGTGTCTTATGAATATCAGCTTTCCATCCTGAAAGACAACCTTAGCTGGTCCCAGCCATCTCTCATCCCTATCCCTCTTGTAGTAAACAACATCTCCGTTGTTGAAGTTAACTTCTTTACAACGAATCTTTGCCTTTAATGCAGTCTTTAGTCTTGCACAGCTTTCAGACTTTATGAAAGCCTTTCTGGCTGAGTGTAATGCATTCAAGTGGGTTGCCAATGATTCACTCATAGTTGTTTCCTCCCAAGCAGGTGGACCATCAACTAGGATGTTAGGCAATTTGGGGTTTCTGCCAAATACCAATTGGTTGGGACTATATCCATAAACCATCTGCAATGAGTTTTTAGCCATGCAAGCCCATGAAACCTTTGTCTGCAGACTCATGGTTGGATAGTCATCATCCATTCTTTCCAGAATGTTGTCTGCTAGAGCATGGTTCTTTTCACAAAGGCCATTTTGCCATGGAGAATCAGCAGCTGTAGTAAGGTCTACAACATTAAGTACACTCTTCACCTCTCTGATTTCTTCGCCTGTAAACTCTCCACCATTATCATTGAGAATTGCACTCATGACCCCAAAGTTAGCCACCCACTCTTGCATTATAGCATCTATGACCATGGATGGTTTCTTTCTGCTTATAACTTTCGCTTTTGTCAATCTTGACCACATGTCAATCATGTAGAGTATATACTGACCTTTCCAGATCTTTAGATCAATGGCAATCTTCTCATTGAACTCATTTGCCATTGGCATGGCCACTGCAGGTCTATCTGGATTCCGCTTTCTTTTAATGCAACCTTCACAGTTTTCAATGATGTCATCTAAAATCTTTGACATGTCCTCAGTGTAGGAGTCTGCTGATTTCAGTAGATCTGTAAAAGTCTTCTTTGGTCTGTGGCCAAATTGTTTGTGAATCTTTCTAAGTGCAGTGGTTTTCACTGTACAATTTGCAGACTTGAGGTCAATGGCAAAAGCATCCTCAATTTTGAAACTCTCATCTACCTGCTTGATGGCTTCATCCAGAGGCAGAAGATAGTGACCAGCACTAGTGGTGTTGAGATCAAGAGTTTTTCCTAATATCTCTACCTTGTCTTCTAACATGAATAAAGTGACTCCTAGTCTTTTCATGTCAGCTTTGGAGAGAAGCATGGGAATATCTGAAGAAATTATATCCACCTCAATGCTTTGCTCATTACCAGCTATGATTGCGGGTATCTTGTATCTTCCTTTAGATTTGAGTACTCCTTGGTTACCAAATTGGAAACATTTCTTTCCTTCTACCGGCCCAACCACATTCTTTTTCATCTTGCTTGACAGGCTCTTAAGGTAAATGTTCAACCACTTTTCTCCTGCAACAGTTGAGGTACAGCATGTATCTAGTGCGGCGCAGTTAATTGACTCAGATGTGAATCGGCTCAGTTCCTCTCTATCGGAGGTGAAGAGAACAAATCTCTCAATTTCAAAGTCATCCTCTTCACTTAGACTTTCAGTGAGATTGCAGCTACTATCCTCATCATCTTCAACATGATATGCTCCAAACTTCTTTTTCTCATAGCTGTCTGGGCATTGCTTTATGAGATGTCTAAAGGAACCACATGCTCTACAAGTCATCATTTTTCCATCTGGACCCTTTGAATTTATTGGTCTCCCACCCTTATCCAATTTCTGTTCATAAGGTTTCTTTGAGAAGCCAGATTTCTGAAATCTAGACTTGTTTCCTTTCTGATAAGAATTTGGAACTGTATTAGCTCTTCCACGATAGTATCCAGCAGCAGCCAGAACATCTTCATGTTGAGCCAACAAAGCTGGTTCCAACTTAATGGCTGGAATAGACTCTTGCTTAGTTTTCATGCATTTTCCCAAGATGTTAGACATGTTTAACTTCACATTCTTGTACAAATTGTTCTTGTCAGTCATATCTACCCTAGACAAAACTAACATTCTCTCTAAGTTGGAAAGACCAGCTCTCTTCATTAGCATATAGGCAAGGATTTCACCAGACAAACAGGTTCCAGTTGCCTTGACTCTGTTGCTTTTTATTTCATATTCAGCAATAAAGTCCTCTAGTGATTGCTCGCTTTCCTTTTTACAGCTATCAAATTCATCCCATTTTTCAATCACATCATCAATAGCATCTTTTCCCAGCTCTTTATCCAGGAATTCTATCACTTTCTGAAGTCCATCATCTGCACTCAGTGTACCTGGACTCAGATTTTCAAACACTCTTTCTCTCAGATCATTACCAAACTGAGATTTATTGGGCAATGACAACGCCACATAGTTTCCTTGCTTGGATTTCGCCAGATCTGTCACAGATGCCCACGCAGTAATTTCACGCTTAAACGCTTCATATGTCTTACACGCATTTAGGTCAGGGGGTGTAACTCCAAATTTTGTCGCCATTTTTAATTTTTAGCGCTACAGATAGTACTTGCTATTGTGGGGGGGAGAAAAATAATTAAATAAATGACTTAACATGGGTACTTGGAAATACCCAGGGCCATGATCATTTATTGCTCTGCTACCATTGAATGATCGCTAAAGATACCTCTAATGTCCACTAAGTGGTATGTTCTATTTGTTGCATAGTACTATCTGAAACGCGCTCACTATAAATAAAAACCCCCTGACTATCTGAAACAGCTATTATATTTGATACTTTGGTTTGGGTGACATTTCCTATTATTTACTTATGAATGACAATCACAATATAAGTCATTCACACATCCAGGGGGACAAAGTTTATAATATCATCCTGAATATAAACAGATATATGTATAACAGTATTCCTGAGTCCAGGGGGACAAAGTTTATAGTATCATCCTAAATATAAACAGATATTTATAACAGTAGACCAGAGTCCAGGGGGACAAAGTTTATAGTATCATTCTGAATATAAACAGATATATGTATAACAGTAAACCAGAGTCCAGGGGGACAAAGTTTATAGTATCATCCTGAATATAAACAGATATATGTAAACAGTTTTCCAGAGTCCAGGGGGACAAAGTTTATAGTATCATTCTGAATATAAACAGATTTGCCAGGGTTTTAAATTTGAGAAAGATCAATACCTCGTAAGGTTCCATAGTTCCTAGATCTCTCTTTATCCTGGCCAAGGTTGTGGAGAACTTCTTGTTGTACTCGATGGCGAGCCTATCAGAGAGGTTGATATTATCCAGGGAGTTCATTATCTCACTCAGAGGAAGCATTGAAGTTCTGGCAAATACAAATATTGATTTAAATTCAATTGCATATTGGTTTATGATAGATTTTCACTCCACTTTAATAATTGCTGATCAATATTATTTTTTTTTGTTGACAACATGCAAAATTAAAAATAGGCATGTCAATTGTCAAGGCATAAATTGTTCTTATGTCGTCATTTACTTGCATTTGTATCAAATATTGCCTTCTTCATCTATTTAATAGTTACCAGCCATAAGAAAATTATTTTTCAAAAATGAAGATGATGCAAAGTTGGTGAAAAAAGTTTTTCTAATTTTAGAAATTTTCTTAAGGAGAAATATTTGGCGTTTCCTTATTTTTTGTTGCTGTTCCTCTAGACTCTTGAATTTAACGCGATGTATTCTCGAGACCTGGTCCAGGAGTTGTGATTCACGTTCCTTTAAACCTATAATCACCTGCTCCACCATCTGTTTTATAGTCCTGAACAGATCTAGAGTTGAACAGATTATTAAGATTAAGAAAAGGAATCTGTAAAGGTACCCGTCTGTTTTTCGGTTTGCATCCAATAAACGTCAAAACAGCTCAACCAATCGAGCCCAATTTTTTTATGGCAACTCAAATGCTCCAGGAAAGGTTTATGGACCGTGAAAGTTAAATAATTTTGCCCGGAAAACATGCAGGGGTGTATATTTTTCACAATTACACTCCCCCCCTTGCCTCAATCGGATAATATTTTTGTAAAACAAAATAAAAAGGAAGGGAAAAATATTTTTTTTTCCTTTTTCAATGTTTTTTAAAACTTTTTTACCAAAAAGTCTGATGCAAAGACAATCTAGGTGTTTTAAACAACTACCTGTTTGTCAAGAATCTTATTTTATTATTAGTTTTCACATTTTCTAGATTCATGGTTCATCGAAAAAAATGAACTTTTGAACACCTGCCTTAATTGGATTTTATTTTTGTAAAATCAATTAAAAAATATTTTAGCAGTCAATCAATCCTATAATCAATTCTTATAATCCTAATCTAATCCTATAATATTTTTTTCCACACTTTTTATTTTGTTTTACAAAATTACTATCCAATTGAGGCAAGATTTTTTTGATTTTCGTGAAAAATGAATTCATGAGTTCAGAAAAAAAGAAAAATATCAACATATTGGGAAAATATGATAAATAAAAAAGTGATCTAAAAACCTTAAACTTTGTTCTGATGTTAGTAATAAAATGCTTGACTAACAGGTAAGTGTTTAAAACACTAAGCTAGTTTTTGAATCAGGCTTTTTGGTGAAAAAGCTTTAAAAGACATGGAAAAATAGGGAAAAGTGAGAGAAAAATATTTTTTCCACAATTTTTCTTAATTAACTGTAAAGAAACACAAATGATGCCCATATGCAAAATTACTTTCAGATTCCTCAAAAAATGAGGACAGGATTACCAAATGTATTCAAACTGACCCTCCCCTTTGCTGCTTAATGCCTTTTTTAGAAGTTTCATAGAAAAGTTTATTCTTCCACAGAATATGTAAATTAAATTAATCCACTCATAAGTATTCAGGTTTCGGCTGTGTTAAAATCTTCAGAACGATTGTTTTAATATCTTCAGAAAAAATTTTTAATATTCAAAATTTGACCATGGTTGGAAAGAACTAAATGGTATATTTTATAGAATTTGTCCCCCTAACCCCTGAAAGATTGTTTATTGGCTTAGTTTCTAAAAAAAAAAACTTTTTTCTGTACCTGGCGACTAAATCAGATTGATTAGTGATATCCCGCTCCTTGGCAGCGATCTTTACAAGAGCAGTTTCACACTCTAGCAATCCTTCCTTAGCCTCCAGACAGAGCCGATCATTCTCTAGTCTCGTCTTCTCGACAGTTTCTTTATACACCCTAGATATAAAAAATATATTTTAAAAAGGTCCAATGTCCATGTTATCCATGTTAAAGTCATAGGAAACATATTTCACTCATTTAAATTTTTTAAGGACGGGGTGAGACATAAAGAGGGAAACAGATAAAAGTTTTATTACAAATAAAAATGTGATCAACTGGACTGGATCAGGCTCCACTCACAAAACGCTCAGGCCCAAAAGAATTATGGCCGATACGTACTGCATTCTACTGAATGGTCAGAGATCGAAACTTTTGTGTGGATACTGTTAATCTTGATCTCTTAATAAACGAACGCTTGGTCTCGATATCCAATGTAGGCACTTTTGATTTGAGGATCAATGCTAGATCTCTCAATTAAAGTTATCCCCCTCAGGGATATCGTAGATTAATAAAATAAATCCGTAGGTCTGCATTAGATGGAGATCAGTGCTCAATCCTGATATTCACAACAAAAATTTCTAATTTAAAATTCGGTGATGGTGATGGACCAAACCTCTGTAGTCTGTAGAGTAAAAAAGTAGATGTTAGTTCCACATTTATTGAAATATATTTCGGTCTGGGTTGACCCTCGTCAGTTCTTCAGATTGTTTCCGTCACAAAGATAAAACAAACATTCAGATCAGTTTACCTGATAACATCTGAGTCTGTGGTTTGATGAGACGTGAAGGTTGCCTGGATACGGTTCGGGTTGGGTGTATCCGGATAATGGAATATTGCGTGCTCACGTGTAAGCTTGACCCGCTGGTGCGCAATCACGCAGGATTCGCACAGATCCTCTTGACAATCCCTGGATAACAGAAAATTATAAATCAATTAATCAATCAATCTTCAATCAATCCATCAATAATAACAAACAATCAATAAACCAATCCATCAATCAACCAACCAATCCATCAACCAATCATCCATCATACATCAATCCATCATCCATCAATCCATCATACATCAGTCCATCATTCATCAATCCATCAATCCATTCATCAATCCATCATCCATCAATCCATCCATGAATTGTAAATTGTGATTGCTTATTTGTAATATCTCATGCTTTGTAGTTGAATAAATATATAAATCCATCAATAAATCCATCAATAATCCAATCCATCAATCCATCCATCAATCAATCAAAACATCAATCCAGTAACCTTCAACCAATCAATTCATTGATCAATCAATAAATCAATACACCAATAAATCTATCTAGTATCTATCAATCAATACATCAATAAAACTATCTATCAATCAATACATCCATCAATTAATCAATCAATTCAACAGAAATCCAATCAAATTGTACCTGCAATGTGAGTTGACAACATGATTTTCATCACATGCTCCACACTTCTGATTCTTCATATGATGAGGTAGTCCTGCACCCTCCTGGAGCAGTCCACCACCTCCCCCTACACCTCCACCAGTTCCCCAGGTGTCTAAATATATAAACTTTCATCCTTTCTTGTTAAACATTCGGGTTCGGAAAACAAACTGATTCCAACCGTTCCCGGGCCCAACCATTTCCGGATTCCAACCATTCCAGTGTCCATCCAATCCGGATGCCATTCGTTCCCGGGCCCAAATAATCCGGATTCCAACCATTCCAGTGTCCAACCCATCCGGATGCCATCCGTTCCCGAGCCCAGCTAACCCGGATGCCATCCGATCCCGGGCCCAAATAATCCGGATTCCAACCATTCCAGTGTCCAACCCATCCGGATGCCATCCGTTCCCAAGCCCAGCTAATCTGGATGCCATCCGTTCCCGGGCCCAAATAATCCGGATTCCAACCATTCCCGGGCCCAACCAATCGGGATGCTATCCGTTCCCGGGTTATTCCGGATTCCATACTCTCCCGGCTCCACTCACTTCATAGTCAAATCATTCCCAGGTCTTACAATTCACACTTCCCAGTCCCAACCATTGCCCTCCCAACAATTTTATATTCCCGTATGTTTGGTTAGAAATTGGCTGAATTAAAAAAGTTCAGAATTTAGAATTATTTTGACAAAAAACGCTGAATTCATACTTTCTTAATATCATACTTATATTGTGTAATGTGTACAATATTAGTTCTATAATACTAACCAAGCTGTTTAAAATTATCTCCAAGATAATCAAAGTTTAGAGAATTCTTCCCCCAGGTCTCCGGGCCCTAGCAAAATAAAACTTTTCTTCAGGTATTTATAGATAAACAAAATATTAATTGAAAAAATCGGGTGTCTAAAAAAATTCCCCTCTTAAAAAAAATATTTCTTTGTCCCATTATGTTCGGAAGGCTTGCAAGGAGCGAAGGAAAAAAAACAGGACAAATATTATTTAATTTGATGAGGTGGGGNGGGGGGGGGGGGGGGGGGTACTTTTCCTAATCTGGAAATAATTATATCTGGAAGAAATCTAAACTCTTAAAACTCCTAGTTTGTCTCAGATACAAAACTTTGACTGAGAACCAACAGATGAAACTCAAGGATATTCTCATAATACTTTTGTGTATCTGTTGTGAATCGAACAAGCAACTTTATAATATATAGAGGGTCACGGTAAATTACGCCGAAGCGACTGTCCTCTTACAAACTGTAAAGCCCCAACACGATTGAAACGATTGAATTTTACAAATTTTACTAAGTTTCACTTAGAACGCTTTTAATTAATTATAAGGATGAGAATGTGATGAAGGTAAAACTAAGCAGTGCTTAGGATCCGGATTCGTTGGATCCGCAACATTTAGACTTCCTGGATCCAGATCCAGATCCGCAAAAATATGCAAATCCAAGGTGCAAAATATCGACCAAAAACTGTAAAAACAAACAACTCTTGAAACCCAAATTTGAACAATTGATCAAGTTAAAAATATATCTAAGCGAAAAAAAGAATAAAAAATAATTTGAGAAAAATAGTAATCTTAAAGAAATGTTCATGAACTGGATCCGGATCCCTAGTACTCAGGTTGGATCCAGGATCCGGATCTGCATCAAAATGGATTCTAAACACTGTGACTAAGGGTGAAATTCTACCTCTGAGAGACCGACCACAGGTCTCCAATTCTCCCAGTTTTTGTCCTGGCGGGTAGATGGTAGCAAGGAAGAGGAGGAGGAGGAGGAGGAGGATGGAAGAAGAGAGGATGAACAGGAGGGAAGGAGAGAGGAAGGAAGATTATGTCCTGGTCCTGACAGACAGGATAGCGAGCTAGAGATCGTGAGACGACCCATAGGCGGCAACATTCTCTCCTTCTACAAAATGTTATAAATACAAAAACCATGTCTCTAAAAAACCTTGATTCATACCAGAGCCCAAATTTTGAACCATTTTTGCTTATCGACATTAATTATATCTGCCAAAAATTTACAATATAATACTTTCTATCATCCAAAACGAAAATCGGTCCAGAGTTCAGACTAAATAAACTAAGGGTCATTTTGGAGACAAAAACAATTTATGGGGAATATATTCCCAAGCATCAACACACCCACCCCCCGGACAGAAAAGATTTTTGATGCTCTGAGTAAAAAAATAAAAAATTTTGATACTTTTTATCCAAAGATTCATAAATTCATACCCGACATATGGGGGTCAAGGGTTTTCAAAAAGAAAAAGGGGGATAATTTTTCATTAAAATATACACCCCTGCAATTTTCTATTTAAAATAAATCTTACGTCTATATCAGAGTCAAGGTCTGCAATAGTGTTGAAGAATGAATTGGCTGGAAGACTGTCAATAGTTTGAGAAACAACCTTAACAACAAATAGCATTAGAAAATTATTTATATGGTTTATTTCGTCTCGTTTTTCCTCGCTGAAAAATATTAGTCTTTGGCCGTTTTCTAGCTCAACAGGGCTTAATCTTTAGCTTGAAACCAGTGGGAAAAAAATTCTGAAATATCTCAACATTCATCTATTCTAAAATCATTTAAGATGATGTTACGCATTTACCTGGTTACATGAAGAGTATGGGCAAGGAAAGAATGACTAACCCCTGGTTTACCTGGTTACATAAAGAGTATGGGCAAGGAAAGGATGACTATTGTCTAACCCCTGGTTTACCTGGTTACATGAAGAGTATGGGCAAGGAAAGGATGACTACCCCCTGGTTTACCTTGGTACATGAAGAGTATGGGCAAGGAAAGGATGACTGTCCCCTGGTTTACCTGGGTACATTAAGAGTATGGGCAAGGAAAGGATGACTGCCCCCTGGTTTTCCTGGTTACATGAAGAGTATGGGCAAGGAAAGGATGACTGCCCCTGGTTTACCTGGGTACATGAAGAGTATGGGCAAGGAAAGGATTGTTGTCCCCTGGTTTACCTGGGTACATGAAGAGTACGATAAAGGAAAGGATGTCTGCTCCCTGCTTTACCTGGTGGTTACATGAAGAGTATGAGCAAGGAAAGGATGCCTGTCTCCTGGTTACATGAAGAGTAAAATCAAGGAATGGATGTCTACCCACTGGTTTATCTGGTTATATGAAGAGTAAAATCAAGGAAAGGATGCCTGTCTCCTGGTTTAACTAGTTACATGAAGAGTAAAATCAAGGAAAGAATGTCTGCCCCCTGGTTTACCTGGGTACATGAAGAGTATGGACAAGGAAAGGATGTCTGTCTCCTGGTTTACCTGGTTATATGAAGAGTAAAATCAAGGAAAGGATGCCTGTCTCCTGGTTTACCTGGTTACATGATGAGTATGGGCAAGGAAAGAATGTCTGCCCCCTGGTTTACCTGGTTATATGAAAACAAAAAATCAAGGAAAGGATGCCTGTCTCCTGGTTTACCTGGTTATATGAAGAGTAAAATCAAGGAAAGGATGCCTGTCTCCTTACATGATGAGTATGGGCAAGGAAAGAATGTCTGCCCCCTGGTTTACCTGGTTATATGAAAACAAAAAATCAAGGAAAGGATGCCTGTCTCCTGGTTTACCTGGTTACATGATGAGTATGGGCAAGGAAAGAATGTCTTCCCCCTGGTTTACCTGGTTACATGATGAGTATAGGCAAGGAAAGGATGTCTATCTCCTGGTTTACCTGGTTACGTGAAGAGTAAAATCAAGGAAAGGATGCCTGTCTCCTGGTTTACCTGGGTACATGAAGAGTAAAATCAAGGAAAGGATGCCTGTCTCCTGGTTTACCTGGGTACATGATGAGTATGGGCAAGGAAAGAATGTCTGCCCCCTGGTTTACCTGGTTACATGAAGAGTAAAATCAAGGAAAGAATGTCTGCCCCCTGGTTTACCTGGTTACATGAAGAGTAAAATCAAGGAAAGAATGTCTGCTTCCTGGTTTACCTGGTTACATGAAGAGTAAAATCAAGGAAAGAATGTCTGCCCCCTGGTTTACCTGGTTACATGATGAGTATGGGCAAGGAAAGGATGTCTGCCCCCCGGAATGTTTCTCTAGACAAAGTTTGCAGAAGCTATGAAGGCAACCTGGCAGAACCCTGGCATCTTGCATCTGTGCTTGGCACAGTAAACAGGACAAGGTAGAGTCAGGAGTAGTCCCTATGAAATAAAAGTCAAAAAAAGTCCTTACAATATAATATATATGTACACTTGTCCAGGGAAATCCCTTAACTATGCACAGATCAGAGTCATGCAATAGTCGGTAGTGGTCCCTCCAGTTGTCGGGAGTAGTCTCCTATTAGTGCAAACATGCATTAGTAGGGTATGGTCTCCAAATGAGTCAGTTATAGTCCCAAATACTATGCAATATGCATTGGTCAGGAGTAGTCCCTACAATAGTCAGAAGTAATCCTTACTACACATTATTTAATAGTCATCAGAGTAGTCCCTCCACTGAGAGTAAATTTTTTTATAAGGGGGGGCAGGGGGGAGGGGTCCAAAACTAGTATTCTACGATTGAGCAAATTAATCTTGCGGATTCAAATTTCCGCGCAAATCTACTGTAAATTTTATCTTATTATGAATTTAAAAGTTGGTATATAATGTTCAAATTTTTCTTTTGTTTAATAAAGTTTGAGATCATTTTTAACCTGGAGTTTTCCTGGGCCCATCCTCGGGGAACCGGACAGACATCTTACAAGTTTATAAAAGTCAGTCAGACTGACATATTTCTGAAAATACCAATTTATCTCTATAATAAATCACAACTATTTACTGTTCAATTTTAAATAGTTTACTGCAAAAGTTTCAAAACACAAATACTATTAACATCAATAAACCGACATATTTAATTGTTAAGTCTTATATCTATATATAAATGTGTTTGTGAATATATTAGCTATAGCTGGCCAAACGGCTGAACCGAATGGGCTGAAATTTTTTTCGGTAACCCATGAGTACTTTGGGAAGTAGCATAGGCTGACAAAATTTCTAATTTTTTTCTTCAAAACTCAAAAAAAATCGAAATTTATTTTATTCACAATTCAAAGCAGTAATTTCCATGGGCAACGCCGGGTAAGTTCCTGGAGAACGATTTAGACCCCCCCCCCCTCCTATCAATTTTGTACATGGAACTCTAATGTAACACAAAGATATAATTGGTCATGTGGCCGCAGCGCCCGGCCACTAGCCTGTCCTAGCCTCTGCGCTCGCCCCCCTCGCCTGTCCCGGCCGCAGCGCTCGGCCCCCCAAGTCTGTCCTAGCAGCAGCGCTCGGCCCGGCCCAGAAATTGTCTTAACCTAACCTAACATAAAATAATAATAAAAAAATAATATTTTTGCTGAAAAATAAGTGGTCATGTTTTGATAGGATGGGGGGGGGGGCAAATATCGTTTAATGGGACGGACCCTAATGATTTTGCTAAAAAAAATGGTTATTTACAAAATTAATTAAATGGGGGAGTCCAAAAATCGTGCGATTATCCTAAAGAAAAACGAAGCCTTCTGTCTTGGATATAGTAAAATAATTCCTTGTTTAATGGTTAGAAGAAGAACCAATGTTAAGGTTGCAAGGAATAAGGAAAAGTACTGTATAACTTCTGTGTTCATCTCTCTTTTAGTTTAAGGGTAGTAAATAAGAAGTATTTGATAACATTTATATCTATCATCTATCGAGCACCAAAATCCAGAATGCAATCCCTGATTTAATTTACTTAGTGGACAAATTTGCAGAAATAAAAATACATTGAAAATGAAACAACAGATGTTGTTTTACACTTGTAATACCATAGTCACGCTACATTGCGATCAAATTGATATTTTTTACTTTAAAATTTTTTAGCAGGAATCTCAGAATCAGCTGAAAGCGAAATACACTGTAAAGTTGGGTTTGGTTTGGTAATAAAATCTTTGGTTTGGAATACAAATTTTTAAGACGACATTTGAAAAACTCGGAAATGCAGGGTGGCGTGTCCCACGAAACATGACATTTAAAAAATCGTTATTTTTATTTAAAACATCCTTTTGCTTCATTATCTTTTACTTTGAAATCAATTTTAATATAACATGACTCCCATATAATATTTTTATTGATCTTTGTTACCAAACAACTCAACAAATTATGGAAAAAGACATGCTAAACTATTCACCAACTGTCATGTTTCGTGGGACACCCTGTATTACATACCAGTCGGTCCCCCTTCATAGGATGCATGGTATTGCATTTGGTGCTAGGTTACTTCATACTTCGCCAATCGCCCCTACAGCAATCAGGGGGCGTAGTGACGGGAACGGTACCCCTGTGCCCCCCTAGACCCTGGGGTACCTGGGGGTTTCATTTAAAATCCATTTCAGTCTCTTAGAGCAAGATGATTTTGACGCAAAGTTTTATTAAGCTTTCTATAATACTGTCTCCAATGTAATCTACAGTGGCACAACTAGGGGGGGGGGGGCAAACCGAGTTTGACCCCCCTTAGCATATTTCGACGAAGGAAAGAAAACTTGTTGAAGGGTGAAGGGATATTGGTTGAAGGGTGAAGAGAAGGAATACTGGTTGAAGGATGAAGGGAAGGATTATTGGTTGAAGGATGGAGAAAAGGAATATGTTGAAGGGACAGAAAATTGGTTGAAGGGTGAAGGAATATTTCTTCATGATGAATAACAAAAATTCTACACCAAAATAAAGAACATTAAACATTAAAATACCTTATTTAAATAGATTTATTTCGATTCTTTCAGCTGTTTAAATTCAAAAATTTATTACTGATTTAACTCATTAGTTTTAAATAATGCACAAATAATAGGTAAAGAATGTAAAAAAATAGTTCTAGAATAGGTAAGAATCCTTGGTAAATAATGAACATTAGACAACTTTAACATTGTTTTAGTTTCATTGACAAAGTATTTGTTGGTAGTTGAGGTTAAACCCTGTCTGAGGACTCCTATCCACTCCAGTACTCCCAGGTACTCCATCCTCCTAAACAGATGTATATTTGAGGACTCCTATCCTATCCACTCCAGTGCTCCCAGATACTCCAAGGCCCTCCTAAACATATGTATATTTGACGACTCATATCCACTCCACTACTCCCAGGTTCTCCATCCTCCTAAAAAGATGTAAATTTGAGGACTCCTTATCAGTTAAAGTACTCCCAGGTACTTATCCTCCTTAACAGGTATATTTAAGGCTCCTACCCACTCCAGTACTCCAAGGTACTCTATCCTCCTAACAGATATATATTTGAGGACTTCTATCCACTCCAGTGCTCCCAGGAACTCCATCCTCCTTAACAGATTTATATTTGAGGACTCCTGTCCATTTCCGTACTCCCATGGGTACTGCATCCTCCTAAACTGCAGATGTATATTTGAGGACTCCTATCCACTACAGCACTCCCATGGGTACTCCATATCCCTAAACAGATGTATATTTGAGGATTCCTGTCCATTTCAGTACTCCCATGGGTAATCACAGGTACTCCTAAACAGATGTATATTTGAGGACTTATATCCACTAGCACTCCAATTGGAGTACTCCATCCTCCTAAAGAGATATTAATCCAGCAATTGCGCAGCTTATACACAGGCACACCTCACTTATTAAGTTGATTTTTAAGCTACTAACTAATGAAAATACACGTTTTATTGGTCTCATGAGTCATGAATAGCAATGATATAGATATAAACGTTACAACACATTTTCAATTTGTAAAAGTTATTAAGTTCATTCAATGGTTTATTTTAATTGTCAAGTTTTGTAAACTTAAAATCTAAGGTTTTTCTTTGTTCAATAAGTCCTTTAGTTGTAAAGATCTAAAGTCATTAATCAATAGGTTTAAGTGGGTTTAGTATTTCACAGTTTTTCTCACCTTAGTTATTTCTTCAAAACTGTCTGTAAACACTCGAATCTAAAATTGGAATAAAAAACATCTACCAATATCAAATAACAACCCCCCTGATAAGATAAACCATTTTGTCAGGAAAATTATATTTGAGATTATATTCTTGCCACAAACTCTAGTTTTCTTATGTTTGTTGCCTTATGGTGCAAATCTTGCAAGGTTGCAAAAAAAATTAGAGTGAGCAGGATTTCTTTGCAGGAAAATACCATATATGTTAATTTTTATGGTTGTATACTATTTACATCAGATACAATTACATTAACACAATAGCAAATTTTGGGCTGAGAGCTAAAAAAAAGTGTATTTTAATTTGTTCCCATAATATTCATGTGCTTTTATACCATGGGAAACGTTTATTCCCAATAGCTTTAACTTTGCATTTATGTAATCCTTTAAAAAGTAATAGCAAATTATAGCAAATTTTAAAAACTGAAAATTGTATACCTGGAAGGGGTAAACTAAAGATTGTATACCTAGAACAGGTATACTGAAAATTGTATTCCTGGAACAGGTATACTGAAGATTGTATACCTGGAACGGGTACACTGAAGATTGTATACCTTGATCAAGAATACTTAAGATTGCATACCTGGAACGGGTATACTGAAGAGCATACTGAAGAGGGAGTTGCAGTAGCTGTTCCAGCTGTTGTAGGTGAACATGCCAGAACCTCTCCACAATACCTTAATCATAGAGTGTAAATTATAATATACAAAGGGCAAAACAAGAATATGATTGACAGACAAGAAAAACAAAAATAGTAGAACCTATCAATTGATTCAACATCATCAGTGCTTCCTACACATCTACCCTGAAATATAGAAAGCATTAACATCCTTTGAAAATTTATATTTTTTAAATACTGAATTAATATATAGCTTAATATGGGAGCTGGATCATACCTGGGGTATTTCAACGTAATCTCCAAATCCAGCATAAGTTGGCATAGTCGCAGCATCAGGGATGAATGTCCTAAAATCATGACAAAAACTTTTGATTCATTGTTGTGCTACAGAATGTCTTTTTTTTCAATAAAAAAGTAACTCATTAAAAATTAGATAAAATCGTGAAATTTAGCCAATAAACCAATCAATCAGTGAAAGTAATAATAAAATCACCTTCCACAGTCTAGATCATACTCTGACATTCCTTTGTTTCCAGTATCTCCATTATCTGCTGTTTGCAGGCTCATCTGGAAACTAGTTGAAGACCAACATATAGAGCAGTAACCACGCTCCCTTCTATTCAAAGTTTTAGTTATCATTTGTTCTTGGACTTGTTCAGAAGCTAGTCATGGATGAACAGTAACCATGCTAACTTCTCTTCGCATATGTTATCAGCAGTTGCAGTCTGAGCTGGTAACTAGTTGAAGGCCAATAGATAGATTAGTAAAAATTAAAAACCGGTAATTTAATTGAAGGCCAAAGAGCCAAATGACAAGCTTGTTTTATTAACCTGATGCAGGCGGTGTATTTCTGGTTGGTTAAGTGTGTCCCAGTGCCACCATTGTTAAATGACTTGATATTACCAGATGTTCCTTCAAAAGAGCATTGAATAATAATCTCACAATTTAAACCTGATCAGTCTAATTTCCGTTATAGTCTGATAACTGATACAATGTGTGTAAAAAGAGTTTTCAAAATTTAACATTGACTGTAAATTTTCAAATCTTTTTCTTTTAAAACATACTTTTTGGTTTCAAGGTTGAACACAAAGTTTAGAGTTAAGACTGTTTAAATGATTAAATTGTTTTTTTTTTTACATTTAATAGATATCAGGTATTGAGCAAATTTAGACAGTATTTTGCTGAAACCAACTTGGATCTTCACACAACTAAAATACCTGTGAAATACTGAAGACAATCAGACAATGGTTCTGAAGTGCAGGGTATCTGGGTCGTTCTTACACTAAAAATCAAATTCTTCAATAAAAATGGAGAAAAAAATTTATTTTGTACTAATTATTTTAAAAAGTTATCAGAAAGATTAATAAAAGATTGTGTTAAATTATTTGAACCGATTTACTTAATTTAATGATTAACAGTATTCCCTTTATGACCATCTGTTGGGTCTCTGCTCTTGTAGGGGGGACAAATCAGAAACACTGAAATATGATACTTACACTAAATTTCTTTCAATTGTTGATTCTCCTAGATTAACTGATATAGTAGCACAACCACCTCTTAAACTGGTGTACATGTGCTGTCCTGAAATATGGAATACCATTGAAGAAAACCTGCCATATTTGACCTCTACAAAACTCCCCATGGGATTGGAATTAAATATTTGACAGTCTCCCCTCAGCCATAGATTGGATGATTATACCCTTCACTTATGAAAGTGAGAGCTGCGTTTTAGCATAGGAACCTTTGATAGAATCTCTTAAACATCTGTTCAACTCTTAGAAACTGAAGTTGAATTTATGATTTAGATTCTAGGAATTAAATGCACCTGTATTAGTTCCACAAATGGCAGGAGGTGAAGGTCCTTCAGCAGCTTTTACAATAAAAGTATCCTCGATACATTCACCAATAACTTGAAACCAAAAACAATGTAGGAAATAAAAGTATAAAAGTATTCATAATTATATATGTTAGAAAAAATTTACTTGAATGGAGTGTTTTAACAGCTGTATCTGCCACATCAGCTGCAGTATCCTGACAATTAAACAGTTTTTAAATATTGAAATAAATGAGATCTGGCTGATTTTACCTCCAATGGTCCAGCAAGGGTAAAATCCTCAAAGTCTAGTCTGAGCCTGCAAACGTTGCTGTCAAGTGGGCAAATGGTAATCTTACAGAAACTGATACACCCATGAACTACTTAACTGGACAAATAGTCATCTTGCATGGAAACTAAGAAGGATTAGAAATAGACTACTTCACTCCTGAAATGACTGGACAAATAGTCATCTTACAGAAACTGATAAAGTGTGTGCTTGTAAACTTCTAAACTCCCTTCATGACTGGACAAATAGTAATCTTACAGAAACTGATAAAGTGTGTGCATGTAAACTTCTAAACTCCTTTCATGACTGGACAAATAGTAATCTTACAGAAACTGATAAAGTGTGTGCATGTAAACTTCTAAACTCCCTTCAAGACTGGACAAATAGTAATCTTGCAGAAAATGATAAACCTTTAAACTTTGCAGCTCCTAATATGTGGCTTGATAAAATATAAGTAACTTGCAGAAATTAATAAACATAGAAACTTCTGAACTCTTCAAGTACAGAAAACAATTACATGATGAACAATTATTAATTCTAGTTTCTACTATACTCATGAAGTTTTATAGAGTTTTATAGATTTGACACAATAAAAAACATGAGTGACATATTGGTTAAAGAGTAGTTTCCCTGTCTGAAATTGAAGAGTTAAAGTTGAAGTAGGTTAGATTCTGATTTATCTGAGAACCACAGGACTTCTCCACGATACAACACACTCCAAACCCTTAAACATCTTCATTACAAGCACATTCAGCGCATGGCAACATTTGTTCACACCTTTTTGAAAATAAGTTAAAGGGACTGTAAACATATAATTAACTGACCCTTTATTTAAAGGGACTCATAAAGAATTAACAACAAATCCTGTGATATTAGACATGGGCCCCAACGGGTGCTGAGCCCCCTCGGACAAATTCCTGTATATGCCCCTGTTCCTAATGGTGTAGTGCATGTTTTACTTATGAACGTTTGGTCAAAATCATGCCTACTATCCCTTTAATAAAGTTAAGTAAATAAAACCCTCACCCATGGCGCAGTCCCCAGATGCTCTTCCACCTTTCTTCTCACATTCAGAGCTATTCAAATATTAAAACTCAAACAAATATAAATTAATATTTAATCAGTTTTTATTCAAGAGATTTGAATGAAATTTTTTTTAATCCTAAACTCTAATTTCAGTAATATTCCGTGAAAAAAGAATGAATTCTATGTGAAATGATCGCATATACATGAAAATCTACAAAAATATCGAAATCAAGCGCCTGCATAGAGTGCACACAGTTGCAAGCTCTCACGAAAATATTTATTAGAATTTTGCCAATTACTTCATAAAAACTAAAAAGTATAAGTTAGTTTATGACTTATGAGGTGAAATCAAATTCCAAGGAGTGGCAAGTCTTGAAAATTGGTGCAATTTTTACAGCAGTCTCAAACTAATTTATAGATGAGATTAGAAAGCGTGAAGTTTTAGTTTAGGTTTTGAAGACATACTAATTTTAGAAAAGTTCACACTTTAAACTTAAATGGTTATAGTGTTGGGGAGGGGCGAGGGTCATACGCAATTAAAGCAATTAATTTATTGCCACAAACTCTGATGTGTTTTACCCCTCATCTTTGCAAGCCAAAGTCGTAGACCTTAGGTATTTAAAACAATGGTTTATGTTAGATCAAATAATCTAAGTTTGAAAAATCAAAAGCTTAAACCACAAATTAGAAAAAGAAATTTGAATTCCTTCGAAAGTTCGTAGAATTTTTTTTTTAAATAATAGGGTTAGGGTTAATTTCCTTTATTGGGCTTTGTTTTGGGAGCTATATATTCCCCCTTTGGAAAAAAAATCATTGTTTTCTGTTTCTTGGGTTTCCCGGTTATGATCCGTCTTTCATCCCTGAGGATCATTTGTATATCCTTATTTAACTCTCGTTGCCCCCATAGGGATTTTAACTTTGGGAACTATTTCCCCTTTGGAAAATAATACATTTCTCATTTTTATTGTTTCTCGGGTTTCCAGGTTTTGATCCGTCTCTGATCCTCGAGGATCATTTTTCTATGCTTATTTAACTCTTGTTGCCTCCGTAGGGGTTTTAACTTTAACTTTCTAATGACTAAATTAAAGTAATTAAGTCTTTGCGACACACTCTGATTTTCTAATCGCTATATCGTTGCAACCCAACTTCGTAGGCCTTAGATAACCAAAACTATGAATTTTGTTAAATCAAAATCAAAGGTTTACACGTACCATCAGGTAGTAAATATGTAGGGATTAGAAAATTTGAGTTCGTGGCCAAGAATCAATTCCTTTGTGTTATCTGAAATAAAGTTTTGTTGTTAACGAAATCTTAATATTGACCTTGTAAAGCAGATTCCATTCAGTCCGGATACCGCTTGACAGGGATCGTTGTGGAACTGCCAGCAGATTTGGTTTCAACATTTTTCAATTTAATTTATGAATTTAATCAAGAATTGAAATAAATTATTTTAAGTTCAACCTCATCTTACTGTTTATATTTTCCATTATTTGTGATTGTAAGTAATTTTTATAAAATAGTTTTTTCTTTTTTTCTTTTTAGTTTATCAAATTTTTTTCTTCTTAAAGATTTTATTTTAAATACATAATCCTTTTTTTTCTATTTTATTTTATTCTAAACTATTTTATTTGGATGTCTTTTTACTCCTTTTTGAGGGTTTTCTTCCGGTTTTCGCATTTCTATTTCTTTCCTTTTTCTCTCTTTTTTTACTATTTTGATCAATGAAACCTTCCTTGATAACTGTGAACAGATGAAGATTTGGTTTCTTGAAAACAATATTCTAAAAAAATAAAGATAATCATCAGCATTTCTAAGAATTCTGAAAAAGAAATTTACCACTTCAGATATTGATATATGATGTCCATGGCTACGAAAATATTTTATTAGTTACACAAATGCTTCTCATCTAACGAAGAAAAATTAAAAATATTTTCTATTTATTTCGTTAGAAAATTTTCAAGAATTTATCTTATTTCATCCTAGAGTTGGGATTTGATAAATAGCGAAAAGAATTATTTTAACTGCTTTTTAGCAATTGTTAATTTTGATATATAGCGTACAAGTTATTAAAAATATATACCAACACCATTTTAAATATATTTTATTTACCTTTTTCACCAGATTGCATTTCACATCCAGAATAGAGAACAGAACTGCAAATATATTTTAAATTTATCATCTTTATATATAAAGTAGTAATCTCTGTTTGTCTGTTTGGGTGGATGTCCGTTTGTTAGGAAACTCGGTAGAACCACGGTAATATTCTTAGCTTGGTTCTAAGTTGACTTTTACTATAGATGAATTTAGTTTCCAGTCAAGGTTGGGTTCCCAAGCTAGTTATATATATAAAGTAGTAATCGACATTTGTTTGTTTGTATATCCGATCATAACTCCTTAAAATCTTTACCAGTTTGCCTCAAATTTTTTTTGGGGAACTCGGCAAAAACACGGGAAAGTTCTTTGCTTGACTTAAAATTCTAAAATTCTATAGGTTGACTTTTTATAAGAAATAAGTTTCCAAGCAAAGCTGGGTTCCCAACCTTAATATTATTTCCAGTCATAACTTTACACAATGTTTTAAAATACAGGATGTTAAAACCGGAAAGAAATATTTAATGTAAACAACAGGGGCGTGCTTCCGAGGGTTTCTCATAGAAGGTTTAATTTCAGTCCAAAAAATGTTATATTGTTCACACACCTACTAGATTTGGTGAACCCGGCCTCAACACCTGCTAACCAACTGATGGAAAATTAGTAAACTAGCTACAGTACTTTGCATTGACCGTGAAATAAAAATACTTTAAAAATTCGAATTTTGAAAAATAAAAATTAGATTTTTTGCCAATTTTACTTCCAGGGGACCCAGGGGTTTTCTCAAAAAATGACAGCCAATTTGGTACAGCTTTTTGGCCAGCTATAACTAATATTGTGAACCCTATCCCATAATCTACTCTGTTGTAAGGTCGTCTCTGACAAATTGTACCTCCGTTAGACCCTCCGTTCATTTTCCAAACCAAGCATTTTCAGTTCTCCGCATAAAGTAAACAAAACCCGCATGTAGTTAATAAAACTCAAAAGGTCACTAAAAGAAACAATTTTAAACATAATTCCAGTGAATCATTTTGCAAACAAACAGTGAAATTCCTTTAACCAAATAAATATTTATTTCAGAAAATTAAATTGCTTTAGACTACAATTCAAACAACTATTCCCATGCCATGCAACACTAGATCGTAAGTTCCTTATGTTTAATTCACTACAGTACCTTTTTAAACCTTTATTTTCCGATTCACAACAGTACCTTTTAGACCTTTTATTGTCGATTCACAACAGTAATGAAATATGATCTACAAAACCTACAAAACCTAGAGTTTCCAAAACCTGCAAAACCTACAAAACCTAGAGTTTCCAAAACCTGCAAAACCTACAAAACCTAGAGTTTCCAAAACCTGCAAAACCTACAAAACCTAGTGTTTCCAAAACCTACAAAACCTACAAAACCTAGAGTTTCCAAAACCTACAAAACCTAGTGTTTCCAAAACCTGCAAAACCTACAAAACCTAGAGTTTCCAAAACCTGCAAAACCTACAAAACCTAGAGTTTCCAAAACTACAAAACCTAGTGTTTCCAATACCTTTTAAGCCTTTGTCCAATTCTCAATGGTACATGTTTCTAAACCAATTGATAATTTCACACAACTGTTTAATCTTTATTAACAATCATTATTTATACACATGTACGTCAATAACAATTTGTATTTTGTTGTAGGAAACCTCGTTACTGAAATATATTTTTTTCAACAAGAAGTTCTCGTCTATGCGTGCATTAAGAGTATTTTATCCACCCTGTTCGCCTTTGGATTTGTCATCCTTCGAGTTGCATTTCCTCTGCTCCATTTCCATCGCCCATTTCGAGCCATATTCCTTTTGATAGGTTTACAAATATATATGAACGAAATTTCGAAAAGCTTTATTTCATATTGAAAAATATAAAAAGTTGTAGATTAACTTTTCATTCATTTTGATAAGAAGTGTATTTGCAGTTTTTAAATCGCCGTTTCTTCCCTTGGGGTTTTTCGCTTTTATCAACATTTTAAAGAAAATACTATGAATCTAACTTGGGAACCCAACTTTGTCTGAAGTTTTCGTTATAAAAATCGACCAACAAAAAATCGACCAACTCAACATTGAACTTTCAAACCATTACCGAGGTTCTACTGAGTTCTCCCAATCAAACTCAGTGCAGGGGGTCGAGTTTGAGTTATGATCGGACATCCAACAAACAAACAGATATATACAGACTCTAGATATATAAATATATTTTTATAATAAATAACTTATTCTATAGATTTTCCCAATTTCATGATAAACACTTATTTAATTCCCAAAGTGAACCTTGTAAAATATCAAAATTTGATAAATTATATAAAAAAGTTTTCCAGTTTATCATTCTCCTGTAAGCAAATGTTCAACTTTACAGCTCCATCCATCCATCAAATTGTTTCACCATGGATCAACAATAATATCATGACTTGAACTCTTAGGGATTAAAGGGACTGTAAGCGTAATTTAAAGTGACAATTTGATGCAAAAAAGTAAGGCATGATTCACAACGGTACCCTTAAAAGCTTTGTCTGATCAAGTATAAATTATATTTCAATATTTATAATTTTTAAGACTAAAACGATCGTTCTTTAACGGGAAAAACCGGAACGGAACGAACGATTAAAAAAAAGTCGAAACAATCCCTGAATTTTAAAAGGAACTGAATTCATACTCTCCCCCCGAAATTATAATTTTGTATCCATATTATCTTTGCAACCTGCTGATCTGTTAAATCAATTCGTCAAACATTAAAATACCAAAGGCCTACAGTATCTGGTTGCAACGATAAAAGCATTAAAAATTAGAGAAGCATTTAAAAAAAGAGTTTGAGACAAGTGGTGAGTTCGTTTTTTATTATTTTACCTAGAATTGTAATTTTAACAAGCATCCTTCACCTCTGAAGGATCGTATCTAACTAAAGAGAAAATCTTATTTAGATATATTTGAAATTAAATATGTTAAAATTAAATGGTCTTAAAAGTATGGAAGGATATTTAGGTAATTTGACGAAGAGATTTAAAAATCTTAAATAGAATTTTGAATGTTCTAAGGTACAAAATGTCAACATTTCAGTGTTTTGAGTTTGCAAATTCAATAACTTGATCAATTCTACAGTGTTTGTTATTAATATTTCCCTTTTTAACAAAGGAATCTTGTAAAGTGAATATCGAGATCAATACCTGATCTCGATGTTTTGCAATTTAATTAAACCTTTTTTTAAATATCCCACGTGGTACTTGTTCCCTGCATGGATTTCTGAAATGAAGAGATTAAGCATTGATCCTTTAATTAAAAGTGCACACAGACGATATCGAGATCAAGAAGATCGGTATTATAAGTTTCCAAGATACAAAAGTTCCTAGTTCTGGTAAAACTTTAAGTTTCTAAAGTTTACAGATTGATTTCAAGTTTTCAACAGATTAACTTGAACAGCTTAAGTTTATAAACTACAGATTAAAATCTTATTATTATGAAAAACACTATGAAACTCCGGAAAAATATCAAAATATGACAGTTTCTTTCTTCTTTCTTCTCCGACTTTGAGTGATTTCAAGAAGATATAAGTTTTAACCATCGAGATATTAGTATATCCTGGTTTTTAAGTACCCCAGCAGAGATAGGGTTAACACATAAATAATGAAGAATGTTTTTATTGTAAAAAAGAGTATGATTATTTCTGGTTTCCCTTATTTTTTTCTCACTTATTTCACAAACTTTTACTAAATCTTTCGACGGATAAATAAGTCCACCTCGAAAAGCTGTTCTTTGCTTAGATTCTCTCTAATTTTGGCATGAATGGTCATGCCTTGCGACCTGTAATGAGTTGTTCACACAACCCATTTTAAATATAGAGGGAACTGCACCATTTCTGAGTATTTTGCTATCTTTGTTTCTATAACAATTTTTGTCAAAATGTTTACTGCATATAAAACTTGGGTGTTTTGTCTCCCATCTAACTTGTTCTATCCACTCTTTTCGTATGTTATGAAAAATTTCTGAACCCGAAACATCGTTGTTTACAAAATTTTTGACACTACAATATCTCATTGTTGAAAAATATTAAAATTAACTCAGTCATAAGGAAACATTTTTCGACAAAATTCACTGTACAGTATAAACCTAGCTAGGCAAAATTAGGAGAGTTATGCCCGCCCCCTGGTTTTAACTTTGCAGGACTGGTGAATAAGCCTGTAGGGAAGTCTGTATTTACCCTCCATACAAAGTAATAACAAAATAACATGTTAAACTAAATTAAATAAATAATTGAATCCAAGAAACAAGAAGATTTATTTCATAAAATTTTCCATTATTGTTACTTTTTTCTCTGTAATATCAAGCATAAAAAATGTAAATATAAAAAATTTTATTCCATTCTTCTCATAACATATTTGGGAGGCTTATGGGGAACGTAAACCCCTCCATGAAAAAATTTGGGGCTCAACTGCGTAGAGAAGGAAATTTTCTAGCTCATTAAATTCAATTTTTTTAGAATGGATTTTTATAAACTCCAAATATGTCCAAATTCCAAAATACCTTAAAAATTCCTCCCTTCCCTTCCCTTCCCCCCCCCTCTCGTCTATGCGTGCATTAAGAGTATTTTATCCACCCTGTTCGCCTTTGGATTTGTCATCCTTCGAGTTGCATTTCCTCTGCTCCATTTCCATCTATCCTCTCGTGTCTTTACCCTTTTTATTTAAAGTTGAACAATTCTACTTCTTTCGCTAGTTGACTAGTTTTTAAAGTTTGTAAAATGCCGAGAGTTTATTGTTCAAACGTGAGAAGAATTAGGTTGGAAGTACTGTAAGAAAGGGAAACCTTTAAACATGTGAAATTACAGAGATAAAAGATATAGTGACCCTAATTTTAAATGACTCCTTTGTCAAAAAAGTGCTTAAATAACCCACTTCATTTTTATTTATAAATCAAATCAGAGGCGTAACCAGGGCCTGACTGTCATCCTCTATCCCATAAAAGATAAAGTGTATCGAACAATTTTATTTACCATAGAAAAAAAACACATTAAGTCAGAACCAGAAAACTCTGGAATGGGAAGACGACTTTTAGATTCAAATTATACTTTTAAATAGTCCAATAAACATGAAATACAGAAATTTTGTAGTGTAAAGAGACAGATTTAACTTAATAAATGATTTAATAAGTTAATGGTAAAATTGTCTGCTTGTAAAAGCATCATGTAGCTTATAATGTCGTATTCTTATTCCAGAGTTTTTTGGTCATCACTGTAGAAAAATTTTACTTTGAAAAGTTTGAAATTCTAAAAAAACATTCTTTAAAATATTTTCTTTCCTTTTTAATATAAATGTATAATTACAAATTCCCCATTTAAATCCTAGTTTTTGTATCTCAAATGTGTCAAATTTTTACTGAATTTATATGTTTATTAGCCTGGGAAACCACGTTTGTTTGGATCTAAATGATTTTTCAAATCAAGTTCAAACCCATCTCGTGGTTGTAACAACAAACTATCTAATCATCTGAGGCAAATCGGTCAAGGGGTTCATTAGTCATGCTGTGACACAAACAAACAAGCAGATTTCTACCTTATATACTTACATATCATATATGAATATTCACACATATATTCTTAAATATATATATATCATACAAGGTGAGTCAAAAAAAGTGTGATTACCGGCGTCTGGTGCAAAATTGTACGTTTTTTGTGCAACTCTCCTGTATGGTATTTTTAAAATATTTTTGAATTTTTTTTTTGTACTCTACTTAGTATATTCTTAAGTTACAAAATATACGCTGCTCAGTTGAAAATACGAATAGAACTAAAAATTGCTATTCTTATTCCAATTTTGCTAATTTTCTGTGATTCTGTGATTTAATATTTATAAAATTTTAGAATTTGATAGAAATAATAATTTTTGCTTTTCTGAACTATTGATTTTGAGAGAAAAAGGTTCGCGGATTTTTTGGGGCCATTAAGTGGAGTACAAAAACTCAAAAAAATATTTTAAAAAATACGATACATAAGGAAGGTACAATTTTGCACTAGACGCCGCTAATCACACATTTATTTTGACTCACCCTGTATGTGTATATATATGAATATGAAACATCATGTATAATGAGATTCAGAAATATATTGAAATGTTTTAATTTGAAATTGATTTTTGAAATATATATATATATATTATATATACAAGATGTATATAGATATCTTTATTATCATCCTAAAGATTAACTTTGTAAACTGCTTTAATAGTTAGCCCATTTAAAATTTTGTGACTGGTCCCTTCAATGTCTAATTTCAGAGCAAAGAGTCTAGATTCTACCAAATACAAACAAAGTTAATTAACACTTTAAACTTGTCAAGTTAGGACTCTCAAAGATGTTGCGAAGAAATAAAATAAAATTTAACCATCTTATACTTTAATTAGACTTTCAAGACGTGGAATGAGTATTTAAAAATTACGTTTTTTAAATACTTGAATTTGGAAAAAAATCTAAATACAGTGAAACCCTTAGTAACGAAGACATCGAAAGAATTCATCAAATGTCGTATTCTTCACTTTCTGATAATGGAATGTTGCAGATATTTAGTTTTTTAATTAAATGATTATATGGAACTCTTTAAAACTCTTCCCGCATATTCATGGCTGTTTGTTTATTTTCGCAAATACTGAAATTTACGTAATATAGTATAAAACTCATTGAAAAATTGTCATGACGACATTTAATAAATTCTTCCGATGTATTCTTTATTAAGGGTTTCACTGTAGCATTGTTAAAAAAATTTAAAACTTTAGTTTTACAATCCAACTGCTGACGCACTGCTTTTAACACGAAATCATCTGTAGAGAAAATAAAATTTAATATAGATTAAAATTTTTTTAATTATTTGAAAAAATTTTAAAAACATTTTTAACAGATAAAATTAGAATTTAGTGTTTATTACTCGAGAATAAAGTAAGGAACTAATTACTCGCCTCAGATCAAAAATTATAAACCTTATATGCAACCTTTGATATTTTAAACTGTTAGTTCTACTAAGACTGCATATAAAAGATCTAATACCTCATGTAGATAAAAGTAGGTATTTAAAAACTCGAGTTTCAGATGAGTAATAAGTTCCTTTCAGCGTTTCTAGTCTTAGTTTTGGATTTCTTTCCCTTAATTCCATGTCCTTTAAAAAATCTAAATCTTTTAAAAAATCGAATTCAATTGTGAAAAATTAAAACATTTATATTAAAGAGACTGTGTACGTAATGTCAAGCGATCTTTCATTTCAAGATCTAGAAATAATTTACATTTTGATCTGATCAACTTAATTTAATTTATATTTTGATCTGATCAACTTAATTTACATTTTGATCTGATCAACTTAATTTAAATTTTGATCTGATCAAATTAATTTACATTTTGATCTGCTCAACTTAATTTACATTTTAATCTGATCAACTTAATTTACATTTTGATATTATCAACTTAATTTACATTTTGATCTGATCAACTTAATTTACATTTTGATCTGATCAACTTAATTTACATTTTGATCTGATCAACTTAATTTAAATTTTGATCTGATCAAATTAATTTACATTTTGATCTGCTCAACTTAATTTACATTTTAATCTGATCAACTTAATTTACATTTTGATATTATCAACTTAATTTACATTTTGATCTGATCAACTTAATTTACATTTTGAACTGATCAACTTAATTTACATTTTGATCTGATCAACTTAATTTACATTTTGATATGTTCAACTTAATTTATATTTTGATCTGATCAACTTAATTTACATTTTGATCTGATCAACTTAATTTAAATTTTGATCTATAAATCAACTTAATTTACATTTTGATCTGATCAACTTAATTTACATTTTGATCTGATCAACTTAATTTACATTTTGATCTGATCAAATTATTATCCTTTCTTTTAAAGTATTTAATTCTGATAATTTCTTCTTGATAACGGAATTCTTACCACAAACTTTGATTTTCTAATCCCTATTTCTTTTCACCCAAGTGGCCTATTATAAACTATTGGATCAAATGTCAAAAACTCAATTCCTTAATAGTTAATACACCAAGTTTTAGCTTATGTTTAAAATGAATATTCTGATAAATCCATTTTAAAAATAAAGGGATTAATATAACAGCGCAAAAAAATGAATCCATCATCTTTTGCTTTTTTTAAGGCGTAACTAAAATAAACTATATAGTCAATTAATAGTTTGGGATGAAAAAAGGGATAAAATTTGATAAAATTAATCTTGCAAATTAAAAGATTTAAAGAAATTAAAAAGAATAAAAGAATAATAAACTTTTCAGCTCTCTCGTTCCTTACTTTTTACTCTACTCTATACTGCATGGTAAAACATTTAGCCTGTTATTTCTAAGTTTTATAAAGTTTGTAAAAATTTTACTATTCTGCAGTCAGGGTTTGCAATCTGGTCTTTCATTAGAGACATTTTAGATTTAGAAAATAAACAGAAATCAGACTCAGAACGATTGTGGTGTGAATTTCAGGATCAAACATAGATCTCCATTTAATGAACCCCAACTTACAGATTGGCACTTAAAACCCTTATATGTTTTCAGTGCTAAATAAACTGTTTGATATCCCGTGATGGTTATACCCTGCAGGAATTACTTTAATTGATGGATTTAGCATTAATCTTTAAATTTAAAAGTACCCATATTGGATATCAATATCAAGTGTTCAAGACTAACAATATCCACAAACAAGTTCCGATCATAGATAAAATAGTTTTATTATTATTGCATATTATAACTATAAAAAGAGCTACGTTATATTCAGAAAAAAAAAATATTTTAAAACGTAATGAACTGAACACTCTTTTATAATCAAAATTTGAAAAAAAAGAAAAAAACATTATGAAAAATAACCACAAAAATAGAGGAAAATAAGTATTCCAGTTTAATTGTACATCAAAGTTTTTTGGAAAAAAATAAATATTTAAATTTTAAACGTTTATATATTTTTTACATGAATAACTGAGTATAGATTATACTATGGTGTATAAAGGTTCTCCATATATGCTAATTCATCAAATGCCAACGGATTGTCAGCAATATTTTCTATAGCACTTTCATACCTATAGTTTCAATTTTTAATGGATTAATTTATTGATCAATTGATTGATTTATTGACTGGTTGATTAATCTATTGATCAATTGCTTGATTTATTGATTAATAATTATTTAATCGATTAACTGATTGATTGATTTATTGGTCAATTGATTGATTTATTAATTAATTGATTGATTTATTAATTAATTGATTGATTTGTTTATAAACTGATCTATTGATTTATTGATTAATTAATAGATTTATTGATCAATTGATCGATTTATTGATCAATTGATTGATTTATTGATCAATTGATTAATTGATTGATCAATTGATGGATTTATTGATCAATTGATTGATTTATTGATTTAATGATTCATTTATTAATTGATTGATTTATTGATCATTTGAGTGATTTATTGACTTAATGATTCAATTATTAATTGATTGATTTGTTGGTCAATTGATTGATTGGTCACTTTTAAAGTGATACTTTAAAGAGATTGTTTTTTCAAAATTTTATTTTAATCAAATTTATTCAAAGATTTTGCTTTTATATTTATTATTGTCTCCTGGTATTAATGCTTTGGTTCTCCAAGGAGTTTGCTCTCAATTTATCTAAAAAAACACAGGTTATAAACAATCTCTAAAAAGAATCACTTAAAAGTAAGTACAGAAAAATTAAACATACCCAGCCATGTAAGCATCAGCATATAAGTCAGACCCTTCAGCAGGACTGGTATTTCCAGCTATTGTAGTGTTTTCAGCTGAAGTAGTATTTTCAGCTGAAGTAGTATTTTCAGCCGTAGTAGTATTTTCAGCTGGAGTAGTATTTTCAGCTGAAGTAGTATTTTCAGCTGGAGTAGTATTTTGAGCTGGAGTAGTATTTTCAGCTGAAGAAGTATTTTCAGCTGGAGTAGTATTTTCAGCTGGAGTAGTTGCAATAGTTGCATTAGTTGCACTAGTTGCCTTAGTTGCATTAGTTGCACCAGTTGCACCAGTTGCAACAGTTGCACTAGTTGCACTAGTTGCAACAGTTGCACTAGTTGCAACAGTTGCACTAGTTGCACCAGTTGCAACAGTTGCACTAGTTGCAACAGTTGCAACAGTTGCACTAGTTGCAACAGTTGAATCAGTTGCACCATTTGCATTAGTTGCACTAGTTGCACTAGTTGCATTAGTTGCACTAACTCCATTAGTTGAATCAGTTGCACCAGTTGCATTAGTTGCATCAGTTAGATCAGAAGTTTCTGTTAAATTTGTTGGCTCTGTTACTTTAGTTACATTAGTTGCAACAGTTGCAACAGTTGCAACAGTTGCAACAGTTGTAATAGTTTCTTTAGTTGCAACAGTTGCAATAGTTTTACTAGATGCATCAGTTGCTTCAGTTAGATCAGAAGTTTCTTCAGTTACGCTAGTTGCAAGAGTTTGATCAGTTACTTCAGTTATTTCAGTTGTTGTTGGCTCAGTTCTTATAGTTACATCAGTTGCAACAGTTGCTACAGTTGGATCAGTTTCTTCAGCTATATCAGAAGTTACTGATGCACTTTTTGGCTCTGTTAATTCAGTTTCAACAGTTGCATCGGTTGCTGCAGTGACTGCAGTGAGAGCAGATGTTTCTGTTGGAATTGTTGGCTTAGTTCCTATAGTTACATCCTTAGTCGTTTCAATTGGTTTATTTGCTGGAGTTGTTCTAGTTGGTAAAGTTGTCTCAGGTGTTTCAGTAGTTTCAGTTGGACCAACGACTTCAGTAGTTTCAGCTAGTTCAGTTTGTTCAATAACTTCAGTTGTTGTAGCTGATTTACTTGCCGTGGTTGGTTTAGTTGATTCAGTGGGTTTAGTGGGTTCAGTTAATTCAGTAGTCTTAGTTTCATAAGTTGGTTCAGTTGAGGTTTCAGTAGCAGTTGTTAATGTAGTTGCTTTAGTTGATTCAGTTGCTTCAGATGTTTCAGTTACTTTATTTGTTGTGGTTGAATTACTTGCTTTATCTATTGCTTCCGTTGTATCATTTGATGTGTTGATTTCACTTGAAAAATAATAGTTATACATAATAAATGTTTAAATAACATCATTACCTTAAAGATGTGTTGCTTGTTTCAGTAGTGTTGTCAGTATTACTTGATTCTAAAGACTCAAATATTTCGTCAACAATTTTATTTTTAGCATCCTCTCTTTCATAATCCACAGGAGCAAACTCATAAATGACATAATTTGATTCTTTACCTGTGTAATCAATACCTGCTTCTTTGTCCAATTCTTTTAATAGTAGACTTTGTGTTGTAGAAGTAGAGTTTTCTTTAGGAATATTGATTGTTGATGGATTTGAATTTGGCGCCGATTCAGCTCTTTTCAAATTATAATCATAATCACTACCATTGTATAGTTGTAAAGGGTTAATTGTTGTGGGGGTTAATCTTGCAGTTGTTGTGAATTGATCTCCAATCAATCCAATAGTTGGCGTACTTTCATAAGAGTTAATCATGGATGTTGAGGTTGTTGTGGTTTCTGTTGTTGTTGATCTTTCAGTTGTTGTTGAACTTTCTTCCGTTGTTGTTGTTCTCTCGGCTGTTGTTTTTCTCTCAGTTGTTGTTGTTCTCTCAGTTGTTGTTGTTCTCTCAGTTGTTGTTGTACTCTCAGCTGTTGATGTACTCTCAGTTGTTGTTGTACTCTCAGTTGTTGTTGCTTTTTCAGTTGTTGTTGTTCTCTCCGCTGCTGTAGTTCTCACAGTTGTTGTTGCTTTTTCAGTTGTTGAGGGAATTATTTCAGATGTTCTCTCTAGCCAAAGGTTTTGGGATGAAGTAGACTGAGAATTACCTAATATCCAGTTAGGTGAAATATTTTCACTGTTAGGGAACCATATTGGAATATTCCCAGTTGTTATATTTGCCCCCACATTAACGTTATTTGAATCATCAACGCTACTTTGATTATCATTGCTGTACTGGGATTGGTTAGAACTAAAGTTTATATAGATATTTACAGTTGCATTTTTACTATTTTCTTCTTGGCTTGCTTCAGACTTACTTGGAACAACTGAGGATAAGTAGTCAATTTGTACTTTTTGAGAGGTGTACAAATCTGATTCAGGCTGAACTTCTTTCGGAACCAAGTCTTGTGGTGTCCATCCGAAACCATTGTTCACTTCTATCTCCTCTTTTTCTGGAGTTGTTAACTTCCACTGTCCTTCATTGCTCCTTGAATCCCATTCAAGCTCATTAAGTCCGTATTTCCATCCTTCCCTTTCGGTATTAACAGTCCATTCAGGTTCTTCTGAATGTATAGTTCGTCCCGCCCAATCTGTGTTCAATGTCCAAGCACTCAATTCTGGATTGGCAGTCCATCCACCTTCTTTTGGATTGGTAGCCCATCCTCCTCCTTCTGTATTGAGAGTCCATTGCCCCCCTTGTATATTGGGATTCCATCCACCACCATCAACTTTTCCAGTCTTACTTAGTTCTGAAGCTAGAGCTACATCTGAAAAATCAGTTAACAGGAAAATGTTCAAATAAAAAAAATGATTTACCAAAATTATAATATCGAGCAAGTTGCTCTACAACATTCTCTATTTCCACGTCAGTCAAGAACTCTTTTTCCTAACAAGTGAATAATTAGACAAATATTATAATTGTATACAAAAATTTTCTCTTTCCTGATAATTTCTCCAAGCAGTCCAAAACACTTTATAGAACTGCTGGTTTATGTAATCCAGTATATCCTTAAAAAACACAACATTTAAGAGAAATGATGACAATGGTGGCTTGTTAAACTTCTTTTAAATATCAAACTATTAATTGTTGAGCAAGAATCGAAAGATTTTTGAGAATGAAGTTTTTTAAATTTTATTTTTATGAGTTTTCTTAAAGGGAGAGTCTGGCTAGACATGGTAATTGTGAAGAGAGTGCAGTATTGTAGAGACATTTTTTATAAATCATTTGAGACAAATAATCCCGCACACTGCCCGCATGCTTTTCCGCAGTCGTGCCGCACCACAACCTGCCTGGGCGAGAGTGTCGGGAAGATTTTGATAAAAATAAATTTTTCGCTCTTACTTGGCAATTATACACTGTACAAATGTCTTCGCGGTCTTATTTTATCTCAAATGTCCCAAATGATTTCTTAAAATTTCTCTACAATACTACACTCTCAGTCCCAACTATACCTGTCCCACTATTGTTAGAATTATAAAATACTTTAACCAAGGCTAACATTATTCATCTTATCTATCTATATACGTTGCTTGTCTGTCAGTCTGTTTTTTTGTAACCAATAAACGTAAAAACGACTGAAACGATCGGACCCAAATTTTGTGTGGGACCGTACATACATGAAAAGGGGGCGCGTATATTGGCTGTATTTTATAGTATATGTAATAGTTTTTTTTCTTGAATCATCTTCCAAAAATATTATCAATTGGCTCTAAGCCACAGAAAAATTCAAAGTTGGAAATTTAGTAATTAATTATTATTATTATTATTATTATTATTATTATTATTATTATTATTGTTATTATTATTATTATTGTTATTATTATTATTAATTTTATTATTATTATTATTATTATTATCATCATTATTATTATTATCATTATTATTATGATTATTATTATTATCATAACTATCATTATTATTATTATTTACAGTATATTCCTTAATCCTACCTTCTCTTGAGTAGAGTTTATCCTTGCTGTGATTTCTTCCATATTTTTAATAGTGTAGTTGTAAATAACTTTGTCTGTAATATGTAATATGTCTTCTTAATCAACTTTGAAAATAGCTTTTTTACATGTTGAGCGAGAACACCAAAAGGGAGTGACCGCTTAGACATGGTAGTTGAGCTGAGACCGTGGAAGACGTGCCATGCCACCACCTGTAGGATAGGCGCGGGCACCAACGAGGATTTTAAAGATAGAATTTTCGCTCTTTGAATCATCATACACCGTAGAAACGTTTTATAAGTCTCAAATGAATGTTAATACCTTTCTCCACAATACTGCACTCTCAACTTGACTACCATGTCTACGCAGTCACTCCCTTTAACAGTTGAGATAAAAACAATCCAGTTAATTCGACAAATTTTAATTTTGTAAATTTTATTGTTCACCTATTTCAAAATACTCGAAATATAACCCAATTTTTTTCTTTTTATTAATTATACTATCAAGACCATCTTGCTGATCAAATATGTTGCTCAACTCTGAAGGCCAGATTGAAAGAAAAAGAAATTAAGTCTTTGCCATAAACTCTAATTATAATTTTTTAATCTGCTCCAATCTAATCTTTGAAACCCAATGTCGAAGACGTTAGATATTTCAAACTATGAATTATATTAGATCGAACGAATAATCTAAAGTTAGAAAGATAGGGATTAGAAAATTTCAGTTTTTGTCAAAGAATCAATTTCTTTTGTGAAAATGTTTATATTGTTGTTGTAACATGAAGCTGAAGGAATTTATATGAAAAGATTTACGAGTAAGTTTTGATTACAAGTTGTAAAAAGGAATTTTTGATAGATTTTAACAAACATATTTCCTATGATTTGCTTCCCGGTTTGCTCTGCCTGTGCACTCTGAACTAGAACTAGAACTAGAACCACCTGGAGTACACCTACTCTCATTCTACCCTGGATATATTATACTGCTGGGTTTAGAACCTCCAGGATATTGTTGAGAATCGTGTAGAACATTGTGAACATCATCGGCTCCGAGGATCAAAGAATTTTCAGATGAATCCAGGGAGGAGAGGCGGGAACTTTTGTCTTGTGAATCTCGGGATTAAATATTGATCTCCATATTATACAGATCTACCGATTAAATATTGATCTCCATATTATGAAGATCTACCGATTGATTTAATTCCTCTTCGAAATCCCGTTATTGTTCTACCCTACAGGGACAACTTTAATCAGGAGATCACAAGGTATATCGAGATCACAAAGTATATCGAGATCAACCGTAATTTAAGATTAGCAATATCTACACACAAGTTTCAACCTCTGATAAGAATTTCAGAAAATATCAAATTTCAAGATAATAGTTTCTTTTATCAATCGTTTCTTTTATCAATTGGTTCACAGTTCTAATTTTATTTCTAGACGCAAGATGAAAAAGACGATAAAGGTCTAGCAAATGTCATTGCAGTACTAACTATATTCTAGATGTACTAATTTTATTCTAGCTGTATGATTTATTGATTATATGTTTCTGATGAAGTTGCGTGAAAGAAAAGAATGGCCTAGCTAGAGAGCAGTAAAGAACGATTTAAAGAGAAAAATTGGAAAACCAGAATTGCCAAGCCTCAAAAACCTGCCCAAAATATATCCTCTATGCCAAAAACAAAAAAGATTTTTTTGTAAATCCTGAAAAAACTAGATATGATGATGCTTTCCTTAATAATAAAATATATTCATCGAAAAAGAGAAATAAAACCTTTAGAAAAACAATACTTAGCTTCAACTCTATACGACAGTAACGCTCTCATAAAACTCAATGGGGACTAATATTTCAGAGTTTGTGGCAAAAACTCAGTTTCTTTGTCCTATCTCCAAACTGCCTGGTAAAATGTAATCCTTCTGAATGAAGGATGAGCCTTTGAGGTTTAGGCTCCTTTTCCTCTTTTTATGAAAATTACCTTATGCAGGATATCAGAAGGTAAATAACTCGGAGCTTAAACGAGACAAAATACCACTGGAGAAACATGAACTGCGTATAAAAGACGATAAGCCATAAAGGAAGACGAGAATATTTGAGTGTGCGGCTAACATTCATTTTCTTTAACAAAAATTTGCTTCTATGAACTAAAAAGACCATTGAATAAAACAATACAAGATAAAAATGTCCTAAATTGAAGCATTTCCAATACAAAGTGACCTAGATTTCATCTCTGAGGTTTTGGCTTTGTTTTTGTGAGTCTTTCATATTTTATTCATTTCAACATGAAATGTTTTATGAGAGCTAGGAATCCATTATAATTTTAATTTATCTATATTATTCTTTGTATCAACTGAAATATTACCATTTATCGACTTTTTTTTCACACTTTAGCGTAAACATATTTTTTAGTAAACTTTTCAGCAATGCTGATGTTTAATCAAGTTATTTTTACCAACCTTAATTTGGAGTATTTGTATGTTCCTAAAGAAATTAGGTTGTAATCTTATAAAATATTAAATCTCGACATGAAACCTTTTTTGCTTCGTGTTTTACTATTATATCCTTTATTCAAAGGTCTCAAGCAGTAATAAAATAGATCTAACACGGATACTTTTTCTTTAAATGAGTACTGCAGTTTTGGGAGGAACGTAAACAAAATTAGTGCTTCTCAGACTTAATTTGTTTTCATCAGATCTATTTATACATAAACAGTAATGATCTCTGTTTTTCTGTTCTGTTTGTTTGTATCGTAACTTATCAACCCCTTGACCGATTTTCCTCACATTTTGCTTGGGTAACCACGGATATATCTCCAGGGAAAGCTGGCTTTCCAACCTAATATATGTATATTATATCTTTATTGGTTTTAGATGCATGAAATCTGATCCCAATGTTTATAATGATGTCTCTAATATTATGAATATTGGCTACTAGGTTTATGGATGAGTTATAATGACTCTCGAGTCCCTACTACGTTTATATCGTTAAGAAGAGAAATAAGCTGTTCTCTATTTAACCAATGTAATGGTTTACATGCCAACCCGTGCTCTTACAGAGTAAGAGATAACAAGATATAGTTTCTACAGGGCTACCCACAAAGGATGAAACTTCTATAACGACCTGTATCTCATTAAATCAATTGATATGATCCTTTTTCTTAAATAGCTAGCTGTTAAAATGATCTGGCAAAGAACAAACTAAATTTTAAAGGACAAGACTATGTAAAAAGTCTGCATAAATTCTGTACAGTCGTCTTTGAAGTCTTATCTTTTGTGGGTAACCTTGAAGGAAGCGTATTGGATTGTATTTGTAGTCTAATTTCTTGTCTAAAGTCTAGTTTAGTTAGACTGGTTAAACTTTTAAACTGGATTATTTGTAGTCTAATTTATTGTCCACTAATCTTGAATCATAGAAGACTGGTCGAGGACTGGATTATTTGTAGTTTATTTCTTGTCCACTAATGTTGAATCATAGAAGACTGGTTGAAGACTGGTTGAAGACTGGATTATTTGTAGTCTATTTTCTTGTCCCCTAATGTTTAATCATGGAAGACTGGTTGAAGGTTGGATTATTTGTAGTCTAATTTCTTGGCCCCTAATATTAAATCATAGAAGACTGATTGAAGACTGGATTATTTTCAGTCTAATTTCTTGTCCACTAATATTTAATAGATGACTGGATGAAGACTGGATCATTTTCAGTCTAATTTCTTTTCTAATGTTTAAGTGGATTATATGGAGTCTAAATTCTTGTCAAATGTTTAGTTCTAGAAGACTGGTTAGATACTGGATTATATTTAGTCTAAATTCTTGACTAGTTATGAAAGACTGGATAAAAACTGGATTCTATCTAGTCTAATTCTTGTCTATTTCTGGATGAATTAGACTGGTTAAAGACTGGATTACATTTAGACTAATTTCTTATTTAATGTCTCTAGTTATAAAACTAGATTAAATGTAGTCTAATTATCCAGGCGACAAAACTAACTCATTTGTTTAATTCAGCTAAATCCTCTATAAATATTCTAGTCTTAGGAATTTAAATTTTGGTGAAACATTTTGATTTTGTAACAAATATATTTACAATTATATATATTTATTATACAACATATAATTTCCTTTCTATTTACATAATCCTGTCTTACATACATTTAATTTAGGATTGAAGGAAATTTCGGCTACAACAGTGTATCTCTGAAAGATTAAAGGGATTATTTGCTAGAGTAGCAATGTAGCTCTAAAGTATTACAAAAGCATGTTCGCTAGATTAGCAATGTAGCTTAACATATTAAAAAGATTTTTTTTCTGGAGTAAATGGGTAGCTATAAAATATTATATAGTTTGTTGGCTACAGTAGCAATATAAAAGAGAATGTTTGTTGTAGAAGCAATGTAGCTTTAAACATATAAAAGAGATATTAAATAGATTATTTGTTATAATAACAAGTTGCTCTAAACTATTAAAGAGATTGCTTGCTAGACTAGCAATGTAGTTCTAAACTATTAAAGGGATTTTTTGCTAGACTAGCAATGTAGTTCTAAACTATTGAAGAGATTTATTGAAAGAGTAACAATGTAGTTCTAAACTATTAAAGAGATTGTTTTCAAGAGTAGCAATGTAGTTCTAAACTATTGAAGAGATTGTTTGATGGGGTAACAATGTAGTTCTAAACTATTAAAGAGATTGTTTGATAAAGTAACAATGTAGTTCTAAACTATTGAAGAGATTTATTGATAGAGTAACAATGTAGTTCTAAACTTTTAAAGAGATTTATTGATAGAGTAACAATGTAGTTCTTGGATAGAGTAACAATGTAGTTCTAAACTATTAAAGAGATTTATTGATAAAGTAACAATGTAGTTGTAAACTATTGAAGAGATTGTTTGATAGAGTAACAATGTAGTTCTAAACTTTTTAAGAGATTTATTGATAGAGTAACAATGTAGTTCTAAACTATTAAAGAGATTTATTGATAGAGTAACAATGTAGTTCTAAACTATTGAAGAGATTGTTTGATAGAGTAACAATGTAGCTCTAAACTATTGAAGAGATTGTTTGATAGAGTAGAAATGTAGCTCTAAACTATTGAAAAGATTATTTGCTAGTTAAGGGGATTGTTTGATAGAGGCGCAATTTAGCTTTAAACTATTAAAGCATGTTTGTTATAGTAGCATTGTAGTTCTAAACTATTAAAGGGATTGTTTGCTAGAGTAGAAATGTAGCTCTAAACTATTGAAAATATTGTTTGCTAGTTAAAGGGATTGTTTGATAGAGGCGCAATTTAGCTTTAAACTATTAAAGCATGTTTGTTATCATTGTATTTCTAAACTATTAAAGAGATTCTTTGTTAGATTAACAATGTAGCTCTAAACTATTAAAGAGATTATTTGCTAATGTAGCAATGTAGCTCTAAACTATTAAAAAGCATGTTTGCTAGATTAGCAATGTAGCTTAACATATTAAAAAGATTTTTGCTGTAGTAGATTGGTAGCTTTAAAGTATTATATAGTTTGTTGGCTTCAGTAGCAATATAAAAGAGATTGTTTGTTGCAGAAGCAATGTAGCTTTAAACATATATTGAGATTGTTTTTTGCAGTTTGATATTTCAAACTGGGATTATTTGATCTAACAGAATTCATAGTTTGAAATATCTAAGGTCTACGGGTTAGAAAATCAAAGTTTGAGGCAAATTCTTAATTCCTTTGTAAATTGTAAATCCTCTGTGTAAATGTTTGGTCTCGATCTCAAAACCTAGTTTTGAATTTTTCTAGAATTATACGTTTCCATTTCTGAGCTCTAAACATGTAGTTTTGAGCTCTGTATTCAAAGTTTGACATAAGTCAGTATATTCTGGAATATGTGGATATAATAATATAAATCAAACAAGTATAGGACTACTGCAGTGTCTTGTATGTAGTTGTTTCAAGAGAAAGTTTCCAAGACAAAATTAAATTTTCGAATTTTTTCACCCGTTTTCATCTTCATTGGAATTTAGATTTTATTATTAAACTATTAATTAATAATTTTATTAAATGCCCCATTTTTCCTGAACCAGACTAAATCTATATTTTAGACTTACTTCCAACATACCCTCTAAAAGTATAAGTATAAATCACTTTTTGTCTGTTTGTTAGCCTCTCTGAGCATTAATTAGAAACCGCTTGACCTAATTGCCTCAAATTTTGATTTGGGAGGTAGAGCCACGGAAGATTGGTTTAAAAATTCCGAAGGGATTGACTCTAAGTAACAAACTCAAATTTTGTATTTCCTATATCTTTGAAGCCTGATTGTGTAAACCTTTGATATTTCAAACTTAGATTATGTGATCTAATAATATTCATAGTTTGAAATATCTAAGTTCTACGGCATTGAATTGGAAAGATCTAGTTATCAGAAAGTCAGAGTTTGTGGCAAAGACTTTAATGGGTTAACTTGTATTGGGAACGCTCCAGGCAAAGCTGGGTCTCCAAGCTATATCCTAGTACAAACACAAATATTCTTGCAATAAAATACCTGGAATAGTTTCTCTAAGATTTCCTTGTAAATCCTCTAGTCAGGATTATTCAAATAGTTTAATATTTAGGGCTTCTCAAATCCCAAGACAAATCCTCTTCTATATCATTCCTATTCTGTTTTCTCAATATTATTATTATTATTCTTAGATTGACTAGCTAGAGTGCCCGGCGTTGACAAGGTTATTTTAACATAAACATAACATTATAGAGACTGCAGTAGTTTACCTGTTATTGGTACAGTGAGAACCAGAAAACTCTGGAATAGGAAGTAAACTTTTACACTCTATTTATGACTTTATATAGTTCAATGAACATGAGGCACAGAAATTGTGGATACCAGGCACGATATGAGACCAGTGTTTATGTGTTAAATGTTCCTTTGTCATTTGTAAATTTACAACCATTTTGTAAATTGATATTTCATAGGTAAATAGATTAAAAAATAACATGTATAAGTATATTTTGTAAATTGTTAACACATAGTTGTAAATGCATTAGTGTCTAAGTATCATCATCATTTATTTTTAAGTTGGCAAAAATAATTTGTAAATTGTAAATAGTACATGCATATGTATCACCCATGATTTTTTTTAAGTTGGCAAAAATAATTTGTAAATTGTAAATTGTAAATTGTAAATTGTAAATTGTAAATGCACATGTATCACCCATGATTTTTTTTAAGTCTGCAAAAATAATTTGTAAATTGTAAATTGTAAATTGTAAATGCATATGTATCACCCATGATTTTTTTTAAGTCGGCAAAAATAATTTGTAAATTGTAAATCGTAAATTGTAAATTGTAAATTGTAAATTGTAAATTGTAAATGCATATGTATCACCCATGATTTTTTTAAGTCGGCGAAAATAATTTATGATTTGTAAATTGTAAATTGCAAATTGTAAATTGTAAATGCATAAGTATCACCCATGATTTTTTTTTAAGTCGGCGAAAATAATTTGTAAATTGTAAATTGTAAATTGTAAATTGTAAATTGTAAATGCATAAGTATCACCCATGATTTTTTTAAGTCGGCAAAAATAATTTGTAAATTGTAAATTGTAAATTTGTAAATTGTAAATGCATAAGTATCACCCATGATTTTTTTTAAGTCGGCGAAAATAATTTGTAAATTGTAAATTGTAAATTGTAAATGCATATGTATCACCCATGATTTTTTTAAGTCAGCAAAAATAATTTGTAAATTGTAAATTGTAAATTGTAAATGCATATGTATCACCCATGATTTTTTTTTAGTCGGCGAAAATAATTTATGATTTGTAAATTGTAAATTGTAAATTGTAAATTGTTAATTGTAAATGCATAAGTATCACCCATGATAAGTATCAAAAATACTTATTTTTACGTTGGCAAACATAAAAGCATTTTTTATCTAATTTTTTTAGAACAAAATTGTAAATTGTATGAAAGATTTATTAGTAGTATACACACATAATTTATCTAATTATAGGTTATCTAAAAATTATAATACACAAATCTAACGGTCATATAATTTAAAAATAAATATATAAATAAAATATAAAAATAAATAAATATTTTGACATATTTACAAATAATATTAGATTAATCCAAGGGTGAGATCATTAGTTTGTCTCTATTGACTTGGGGGAGGTTAGGCTTTATGTTATTGGCATAACACCACTCAGTATATCTATTTCGTTCCTTTATAAGACAATGGAGGAAAAAATGGTGTTTTCTGTTGCTCATTGAATTCAAAAATTTTTTCTTATTTTCCAAGCCAGACAAATGTCTGCTCTGCAGACTCAGTATTGGGGTGAGGAAAAGTCTTCCTCAAATTATCAATTATAACAGGATAATCTTTTCTGCATTTGTCTCTGACATGGTTCTAAATAAAGAAGAGGCTTTTTATTAAGAAACGCAATTCTAGTTCAAAAAATTCAATTTGTATACCTTTATGTGAAGGGCATCAACTCCCCTGGATATAGAATTAAACACTGCCAGCCCTAGTTTGGCATCAGGAGTTAGTTGGTCCATATCACAATTCCATAGTTTCAATCTTTCCAAGTTACACTTTAAATGATGAAATATCAATTATTATGGCCAAAGAAATATACATTTTCAGGGCATTGCATCTTCGCCACAAACTCTGGTATTCAATTTTTTTTGCAAATTTTTGTAAAAAATATCAATATTAAAGTTTGAAGTATCTAAGGCTTGCACATTTTACATCAGGGTTGCAACCCTATAGGGATTAGACAATTTGAGTTTGTGGCAAAAACTCATTTTTTTCTATTTTTAAATGATATTTCACCATGTTCTCATAAAACAAGTATGTATTATCAATGTTCTCATATTCACGCAAATACAGTTCTAGATATTTGATAGTAGGTATCGCAACTTGAGAGGTTGATTCAGAACGGTATAATGGTTACCAATAGCGAATAAATCCACCAGAGGTCACAAAAAATAAATGTCCTCTGGAATATGTATTCATTGTAACAAGGCCTGTGGTGTTCTTGTTACATTAAGTATTGTCTTGATCATCGAACTCAAAATTAGATACATTTTGCATTGCACGTGAACGCAGTATTCTATCTGTTCCTGTAACTTCAGGAATTGATTTAGATAAAATGGTGATTTTAGTTGCAATAAAATCAAGCAGTTTAGTCTTCTTGACCCGGTCTTCTTGAGTGTAAGAATTAACATTGCATCCTGCACACATTAAGAATCCTCGGAGATCAATAGGTATGCCTGAAATAACAATCATCATTAAAAATTTTTTTAAATATAATTAAAATCTATTCCTAATGAAACAAATACTACTCTTACCTAACTCTGCTATTTGCTTGCCACAATCTAAACAGAAAGCCGACCCAGGTAACAATAGAATCTTGGCTTGCATTTATTCTTGAAGTAACAGGTTCATAAGTATCATCTAATCCAGGATATGTGAGCACATCACTTAACANATTTACAATTTACAATTTACAATTTACAATTTACAATTTGCAAATTAGTTTATTCAATATTAAAATAATGTCATTATACACTTAAGCATTTACAATTTACAATTTACAAATCCTTCATTTACTTGTATATTTTTATCCATAAACAAATACATTTCCAATGAATTGTACACAAATTATAATTTATGTATATATGACAATTTACAAATAGGTTGTAAATTTACAAATGACAAAGGAACATTACACTGGTCTCATACTGAGCCTGTAATGAAATTGTGAATTGTCAACAGACCCATTTTACTTCATAAGTGATTTTATAACTTACAAGTTAAACTCTTTTCTTTGTAACAACAATCAAATGCACTTCTGTGTTTCCTTAATGTCGTCTTCCTATTCTGCAGTTCTCTGGTTATCACTGTAGTAAATCGTGATTATAGCGTGCCCGGCGTTGCCCGTGGAACTTAAAAAATTTCAAAATAGATGAAATAGAAGATTTGAGAAGTTTAAAACTTTTTCAAAAATTGTTGATATATTATAAAATTTGAAACTAACATGGCTGTTATTTCTGAACTTGACACATTCGATTAATATAAAAATCTATCTTTCTTTCTTTCTTTCTTTCTATATTTCTTTCTTTTTTTCTTTTTTTCTTTCTATCTTTCTTTCATTCTTTCAATCTTTTCTTTTTTTCTTTCTTTCTTCCTTCCTTTCTTTCTTTTTATTCGTTCTTTCTTTCTTTCTTTCTTTCTTTCTTTCTTTGTTTCTTTCTTTGTTTCTGTCTTTGTTTCTTTCTTTCTTTCTTTCTTTCTTTCTATACATTCTTTTAATATTTTCCTTCTGTCTTTTCTTTCTTTTCTTTCTTTCTTTCTTTCTTTCTTTCTTTCTTTCTTTCTTATTTATTTATTTTTTTCTTCATTTCATTATTTCTTCCTTTTTCTGTTTCTCTATTATTCAATTTCTGTTAATTTTACTTTTTGAATATTAATTTTTCTATTTTCTTTATTTTCACTGTCCTTTTTTCTTCTTAATTTAAAAAAGAATTCTTTGGTTCTATTTTCTATTTAAGTGTCCTGCTTTGTTTCAGATCTTTCTTTCTTTTATCTTTTCTTTTGCGTTCGTTTTCCTTGATATATCTCTTGTATCGAAAACTAGAATATTGAATTTCAAATTGCAGGTTAAATTTAGCATATTTTTAAATGACATCAAATTAATAAGATGCACTGTATGTTGCCTAGTTTGTTCCTGTGTTGCCTGAGGCCTAAATTAATCTGTCTGAAGAATATGTCTTGTTTATCACTGCTAAACTCCTTATACGTTCATACTTCATACTTACCTTAAACATTCAAGCATTTACTTGCATACAGACTACAGGTCTTACTTACATACATATAAGTCTTACTTACAGAAAGGTCTTACTTAAATACAGGTCTTACTTAAATACAGGTCTTACTTAAATACAGGTCTTATTTACATACAGGTCTTTCTCGCAAACATGTCTTACTTTCATACAGCTCTTACTTTAATACAGGTCTTACTTACATTTAAACCAAAATTACATACAGGTATTACTCCTATACTGGTTTTTTTAACATACAGGTCTTACTTACATAAAGGGCCTACTTACACACAGCTAGGTCTTACTTACATAAGGGACTTACTTATATACAGGTCTTTCTCACATACAGGTCTTACTTACATACAGGCCTTACTTACATACAGGTCTTACTTACACACAGGTCTTACTTAATAAGGGACTTACTTATATACAGGTTTTTCTCACATACAGCTCTTACATACATACAAGTCTTACTTACATACAGGTCTTACTTACACACAGGTTTTACCTACATACAGGTCTTACTCACATACAGGTATTACTTAAATACAGGTCTTACTTACATACAGGTCATAGGTTTACTTACATTATAAGTCTTAATTCTTCACATACAGGTCTTACTTACATACAGGCATTACTTACAAATATATTGAACTTACTAACAAAGGTTTACTTATAAGGAATAAAAGACTTATTCGTAACTGCATATAAAACGTAACACAGTTAATTCCATCAGGTGCAGTATTTTAAACCAATGCAATTTAAGTGCAACTTGATGACTCAGCAACCAAGTATTAAATCTTCGACATTAAATAGTAGTAAATGTTTAAAATATACTCAACCGTTGATAATGTATATTGTATTACATATCTTAAAGAAGAACTTGAATTTAATCAATCTGGAGAGGGGGGGGGGGGGGGGGGGGGGTGAAATCTTGGTTTTAACGAGCTGATAAAAAGAATGGAATTTTGCGGTGTACTTATAAATAAATGACTGTTTAGAGGGACTTTCATAGTTTTTATCATTCATCACGGAAAAGTGGCATTTTTAGAGAGACCGTTCGTTTTTTGTTCCAAAAATAGAGAATTCACGAACATCATTGCAGATCGCGAAGCGTAAGAAAATGGTGTTTAAATTTTGCGCATTTCAGTTTAGATAAAAGGTGATAAGAGGTATATAGTTATTTGTAGCACTTTAAAGAATCGGTTAGAATTACGTTCAACAATCTCTTTAATTAACTAATTTGTCAAATGTTCTCAACCTTTTTATAATAAAGGCTGGCAATAACCCGTCATCATCAAATATAACGTCTGTAAAATATATTTATAAAGGGTTTACTGAAAAATAATTCATAAAAACCATCTGACCACATACGGTACATAATGTACATACGATACATACGGTACATACGGTACATACGGTACTTATAGCGTCAGAAAATTAATGAAACGAAAACTTTTCTTAAATTCTCATTATTGCACAACTAGACACGGGCATTCTTTTCTTTAAAAAACGAAATATTTCAAAACTAACGAAATTTGTCGTGAACGATGGTGCCGTTCAGAAAAAATAACGAATGATGGACGAACAAATTGAATCTTAAATAAAAACGAAAAAAAAATTAAAATTAAAATTACTGAACGACTGAAAAAACGAACGAAATGAGTTGTAGACGAACGATGAACGAATTAAAAAAAAAGGTTCGCGTCCATTTCTATCTCCAACACAATTCTCATTCGTAATGTCTCTACTTCAAGGTTTATGATGACAGCCTGTGGTTTAGTTGAGGTTAAGAATCGGAAAACTATTTCTAAAAAGTTTTCTTTTATCATTTTCGATATTTTTACTGTTCCTAAATGAGCTTTTAATGAACCTAAATTCCCAGATAATAGATTCAATAGATTTACAGTTTTTCTTTTCGTCTTATTTTATATTTTTCATAAAGACACAGTCTTTAGCTAATTTCTTTTCTGTTTTTCATCTATTTTTGAAATAAATCATTTTAAATTGTTTTCAATCTAATCAAATATTTATGAGATAGTTTGCCCGAAGCACCATAAACCTCTTTGTTTTCCCCCCAATACTACCGAGCCATGAAATTCTTTAATTTTTGACAAACTCGGGGAACCTTGTTAATGCTCCATCTTTATTTTATTTAATTTTAATTTCAACTTCTTTTTCTTTTTATTTCAGTAAGTTCTAAATTCCTTCTGCTTACTTTCAAGGAATTGAGTTTTTGCCACAAACTCTAATTTATAATCCCTATATATCTGCAACCTTTGATATTTAAAACTATGAATTCTGTTACATAAAATAATTTAAGTTTAAATATCAAAGCTTTACACCACCAGGTAGCAAAGATATAGGGAATAGAAAATTTGAGTTTGTGGCAAAAATTCCGTTCCTTGATAGTAAGAAGAGGGGATTTACAACTTACTGAAATTCCATTTTTTTGGTGTTGATAATGATCCAAACCTTACAAAGTATAACAAAGTAGATGTTAAATTAGTTCCACATTTATTAGGGTTGGCTCGGTTGGTCCTCGTCAGTTCTTGAGTTCGTGGTTTCTGTCATCAAGATTCAAAACAAACTCAACAAACCCCTTTTCTTATTCCCTCACACTTTCTTTACCTCCCTTTATATATCCTTTACATTTCCGGCGGTAATCCTTTAAAAGGGACTGTAGTCGTTTTTTCAAGTGAACCTCCATTTAAAGAGGAACATGCCTGATTTATAACGGTTCCCTGGAAACTTTTATCTGATCAATATTATGGAAATTTATTAATTGTGATTATAGTTTCTACATGGTTTTCCTGAAGTAGAAATGCGCAATCGGCAATTGTCAATCCAAAATAATTATTTTTTTAAATTATAAACATCGATATTTGATCATATAAATCTTTTAATGGTACCGTTGTGAATCAGACATGCCACTTAATATAAAAGAAAGCACACTTGAAATTGCGTTTACAGACTCTTTACCGTAAATTCTCCACCAAACAAAACCTACACCATCCAATTTAGCATTATTTCCATTCGTCTCCAATATTTTTCTGCTCCAAATATTTTGTTGTGTTGAAAGACTAGATGATCAAGTATCCCGTGTTGTATCTAATCAAGGTTGGATTAGGAATATGTATATATAACAAATTGTTTTATGTGTGAACCATTGTGTGGAGTGTAAATGAGACTATTGAGTGTTCAGAAGAAATATATATTTTTTTAGATATTTCTGAACTTAGTAGGGTACAGGGTTACCCGCAATAATGAGACTTCAGAGACGACTGTACGGAATTTATACTGCCTGTTTCTTTATATTCATGGTTTCCTGCAGTTGCAAACTTATTTCTTTCTTTTGAAAATCATTTAATGATCCAAAATTAAGATAGAAAACTTAATTCAACCTTGGAATCGTCATATTCAAAGACTTTCAGGTTGTCTTTACAGTATCATCCTTTGTGGGTAACCCTGTATCTTGACGGATGAGATGGATGAGATGAGTGGAGGGGTATGGATGAGATTAAACTGTATATATTATGGATGAGATGAGTGGAGGGAGTATGGATGAGATTAAACTGTAATATTTAGGATGAGATGAGTGGAGGGGTATGGATGAGATTAAACTGTATATATTAAGGATGGATGAGATGAGTGGAGGGAGTATGGATGAGATTAAACTGCTGGCTGGAATATTCCAGAACATTCTCCAAAATGGAAAGGTGAAGATTTATTTATCTTCTTAATATAACCCAGTCCATAGAATTTATTGCATCTATTTATATCAAACTAAAACATTATCTTTTTTTTTTCACTTTTTACGAAAATTCTAAAAATGTTTTTATCAGATATTAAAAGGTTCTTTGCTGTATCGTTAGTTAGGTCTGAAGTTTTGCATTTTTAATTAAACTTTGCTATTCAGATTCAGATTTAATTGGCTTAAAACTCAATAATACTTTGCTCATTTATGGCTTGATGAGCCGTTCCTGCCTTTAAGCCATTAAATAAAAATGAAGATTAGAATTTATTTTTGAACATTTAGTAACAATGCTTTAACACTCGGCCACGACAAATTAAAGAAAATTATGCAATTATGCATAGAGTGTGTTAAGTGTGCTGAGAAAAAGAAAAAATATTAAACATAGAGTTTTTTTTATGCTGAGGCATCAATTTTGATAAATGTAGACGTTAATACTCTGAAGAAAGCTTATCAATCTAAACCATGCCCGGACATCCGTTCTTTTTGTTTATTGGGTTACACACAGGATGAGATTTCAAAGACGACTGTGCAGAATTTATTCTCACTTTGTTTTTTGGTATTTATATGTTCCCTGGAGCTGGAAACTCTTTTGGTTGCTAAATAATTTAATTCCCCATTTAAAAACTTAAAACTAAAAACTGAAAATCAAATTAAATGTTCTGGGACTGATTTTAATGAACTGGAGAGGTCGCTGAACTATAATCCACCATAGATTATAATCCTCCTGAATCTTTAACTTTAAATCGGTGATTCAAGATTTTGTACGGGTTGAACTTGGTTTGAAAGTTCATTTTTATATAATGTTGGTTTATTTATAAAATGTTGTGTTATTTATTAAATGTTGGTTTATTTATTAAATTCCACTGGGAAAAGGACGCTGAGGATTCTTGTCCGGAACTAGCATAACATTAAGAATTGGAGAAGTAGAAGGTTGAGGGGGGGGGGGGTAGGGTAGGGGGATACAACAGTGCTTCTACTTTCAGAGCATATTGATGAAGGAAACCTTCTTTTATGAAACATGTACAATGTACATTTGTACGGGAAAATTTTCATTTTACATTATAAGCAATTGCAATTGGCCATTTTACATGCATATATAGAATTATTGAAAATGGAAAATTTGTCTATGAAACCCAGTTTCGTGGATTTATTCTGTCTGAAGTTTCCCGTTCCAGGGGATTGGGGTAGGAACAACACACGTCGAGGAAATTTATTCAATGTGTTATGTCAATTTAGTTTAGGATTGCTACAGAGGTGTAGGGGAGTCTGGCTTGTAGAAAGGTACTATGGAAAATTGGACAAGTGATAGAGGAGAAGGGGGGGGGGGATAACTTCCAGATATTATCAAACCATCGTACATAACTGCTTAGGCGGTAGGTTTTAAGGCCACAGCCTTATAGAATTTTGATGTTAAAAATGCTTTTAATAGAAACAGTTGATTAAACAACAGTTCTAAATAGGAATATATCAATTTTAAGACAATTTAAAGGTTTTGCAGATGGAGAAGCATCATGAATAAGTTATTATATCATTTTCAAATTTTAAATATTTTGACAGATATTTCTATGGTCCCTTCTCTTTTACCTTTTTGGGGGTATTAGGTGAAACGCTTTCTTCTGTAGTATTTTCTGAGAAATTACTTCTGCAGTCTTTGTGTTTCAGAAAAATGGATAAAAATTCATTATATGTTATAAGTTTGAACGTTGATTAGTTATCATAATAGTTTTTCAGCAGTGGAGAAACCACAATTAAAAATAATCATTTTTCAAGATTATAAAAACTGATATCTAATTCACATACTTGATCAGACAAAGCTTTTAATGGTACAGTTGTGAATCGGGAATTGTCATCTTTGCATGGAGGGTTTACTTGAAATTATGCTTACTGTCCCTTTTAAACTATTCCATTTTGTACTTATTAATAATTTAAAAGAAACATTCTTGAAAAAGATAAAAAAATCTCCAGAAAAATTCTATTTGTCTGATGTTGATTAACTTATAAACAGGATAATCAAATTTTAATTTCTTTCCCTCTGCTCGCCACCAATGTTGTCAAAAACATTTCTTTCAGGTTCTTTAGTAAGTACATTTTTATAGCCTTAAACATTTTTATAGTCATAAATATTTTTATAGCCATAAACATTTTTATAGCCATAAACATTTTTATAGCCATAAACATTCTTACAGTCATAAACATTTTGAAACTGCTACGCGTTCGCTTCTAGCTAAAGTTTAAAATGAGTAATTGGCAAAATACTGCTCGATTTTTGCGTGAGAGCATCTTGGTTTGCAGTGTCCATACCATTTTTTAATATATATATTTTATTTTATTTCTGGAAAGAATCTTAACATTAAATATTCAGAAGGTCGACCCTCTCACCTCATTAATATATAAATATATCATTGGGTCCAATATTCCCAATATTTCCTGTCAAAATAAATATTAAATTAACCTTTTTCTCTAAAAGTATCAATTATCTTAAATTCTCGAAAAATCTATAGAAAATTGTCATGATTTTAAAATCTTCTTTTCAGTGTATACCTTATACAAATCAATGAACAATCCCTTTATTATATATTTTAGAACCTGCAGCCCCTGGTTTCTGAGTTTATTATATATTTTAGAACCTGCAGCCCCTGGTTTTCTGAGTTTATTATATATTTTAGAACCTGCAGCCCCTGGTTTCTAAGTTTATTATATATTTTAGAACCTGCAGCCCCTGGTATCTAAGTTTATTGTATATTTTAGAACCTGCAGCCCATGGTATCTGAGTTTATTATATATTTCAGAACCTGGAGCCCCTGGTTTCTGAGTTTATTATATATTTTAGAACCTGCAGCCCCTGGTTTCTGAGTTTATTATATATTTTAGAACCTGCACCCCCTGGTTTCTGAGTTTATTGTATATTTTAGAACCTGCAGCCCATGGTATCTGAGTTTATTATATATTTCAGAACCTGCAGCCCCTGGTTTCTGAGTTTATTATATATTCTAGAACCTGCAGCCCCTGGTTTCTGAGTTTATTATATATTTTAGAACCTGCAGCCTCTGGTTTCTGAGTTTATTACACAAACTGGAAAACTAGAAACACAACTAAGGCAAACAGTCCATTTATATTTTGGTTAAATTCTAGATTTTTTTATTTAAGGTTTTTCAATTAAATATTTGTGTTTTTAGAATCAAGTTTAACATATTTACAAAATATTTGATCAATTAATTCATATGCCAATCAAACAATCAACCAACCATACAATCTGATTAACGCTGATAAATTGACCTTTCAAATAAAAAAAATACTAAAACCAATCAGATCTTACTTGTTCTGAATTATGATTATTTTAAATTATTCAAAAGACGGACAATTAGTCAATTGTCAATTATTTAATGCAGTTTTTGTGAAGAACAAAAAAGGATTGAATGCAGGATTACTATCTATTCTAAGAGGGGGTAAGCTTCTGAAAAGACATGCAGTTCATAAACTTTAAACGGCAAACATGTAATTTCTTAGGGGGGGAAGGGTCACTGCCCTGGATACGCCCCAGAATACAGTTCTTTAAAATCTTTGTAATTTTCAAGCAAAAATGCTGTTTAAATGTGAATTAAATTCTAGACAAAATTCCCTTATTCCCAAATTTGAAACATTTGTTTTGTATTATTCTCCAAATTCTGGTTTCAACCAAGATGGCGACAGTTCTTGAATATTAATGTATTGTGATGTGTACAGAGCGACCTCCAAGACCCTGTCAGCTGTTCTTGAATCCTTTAATGTTATTGCTGCGAGGGCCAGCAATTCTAACAGTAAGTAAAAATCATTATTTTTTACTTTACAAACAATTGGACAAGTAAGAAGGTTATCTCTCCATATTCGGAAAAATATGTACAATACAATGTACATATTTATGCTACTATAGATCCATTTTTTAAATGGAACTAATTATTCTAAAAATCCGCCAAACTTCTAGCTATATGTAATTGTACACCGTGCAATGTACAGGGAAAGATTGAACTTGTATACACTAGGTTTTAGATAAAAATAATGTAAATCTTTATTAGGATGCTGAAAATAATTTAAATATAGTGAAGATCCTTAAAATTGTACAAATTATTATACGGTTAATTTTCGATTTTAAGGACTATCTATAATCTATATGTATAAAGTTGTAATCTCTGTTTGTATGTTTGTTTAAGTTTGTTTGTCCGGTCACAACTCAGGAACTCCTAGACCGATTTGCCTGCAAATTTGGATTGGGGAAATCGGGAGACCCACGGAAATGTTATTAGCTTGGTTTTGAGACTCTAAGTTGAGTGGGTCGACTTTAATAGAGAAAATTTATTTTCCCGATAAAATGGTTTAAGTGCGGGTAAACGGCGGAGTAACTTTAAGAACCTTGGCAGCGCTGGGTTCCCAAACTAGTATAATGTGTGCATAAAGTTGTAACCTCTGTTTCTCTGTTTGTTTATTTGTTTGTCCGATCGTAACTAAAGAATCCCTGGACCGATTTGCCTTAAATTTTGATTAAGAAACTCGGGAGAACCACGGGATTGTTCTTAGCTTGGGTGTGAAATTCTAAGTTGAATGGGTCTACTTTTATAGGGAAAAAGCTAAAATCGTAATTTACGACCAAAGGCGGGTAAACGGCTAGAGTAACAATGAGTACCCTGGGCAACGCTGGGTTCTCAAGCTAGTGAATTATAAAGTTCATATTTTTCTCCTTTGAAGTTGAGCATTCTACAATCCTAGGATATTTTAACCAATTCACATTTTTAAATTGTTTTTATATTTTACGCTTGACATACTGACAGTTTGTTTTTAATCTTTGTGAAGAAACAATCTCAAGAACTGACGAGGGTCAACCCAGACCGAAATATATTTTCAATAAATGTGGAACTAACATCTACTTTTTTACTCTACAGAGGTTTGGTCCATCACCATCACCGAATTTTAAATTGATATTAAAAATTCTAACGTAAAGTAAAGAAAAAAATAAATATCTCTTGAACTTTGAAAAGATATAAACATAAAATATATTTATTACAAAAAAAATACAAGAAAAGACTTAAAGTTAAAAAAACCTTTCTTTTTTTGTGATTTATTGACTTAAATTGCTGTCAAAGAATTTTAAAATTCCATTATAAAATCCAATTTTAGGATAATTTTTCGGCAAAAAAATACAAAATTTTGTTACCATCCACCATATCGCTCAAAGTCCAAGCTGAAGTAAAATACACCCAGAGTATAAATAAATACAATACATTAGGGTTAGATACATTCAAGGAAGATAAACCAGGAAATTATTTGTTTACAAATCAAGTTACTGCCGTTTCTGGGAGTAATATGAAACAAAACTCACCCTGACCAGCACTGAGTTTGTTTACATTCCTGCCAGGAACTGCAGCATACTTTAATGTAAACAAAATGAAGTACACTTTAATAGAAACAAACTGCAGTACACCATAATTGTAAACAAAATGTAGTACACTTTAATGGAAATAAACTGCAGTACACTTCAATGAAAACAAACTGCACTTTATTAGAATTTAAACAAGCTGCAGTACACTTTAATGTAAACAAACTGCGGTACACTTTAATGTAAACAAACTCTGCAGTACACTTAAATGTAAACAAAAATATGTGGTTTTCTGGTGTTTCTTTCTTGGCTAGAAGGGTGTTTCTCCCTACTGTACTAATGAGCATTGAATAGGGCGGAGAATACATATAAAATCCATTACAAGGTAGAACATAGCAGACCATCTTATCATATCATTACATTCAATTTACATACATTAACGATAATTTGACAAAATTGACAACATTTGTACAATATAATATGGACAACATTTCAAATTTGAACTTTTTACAATGTAAATCTGCGTATCTACTTTATATGTAGTTATTTTTGTGTGTCTGTTTTTGTTGTATAGTTTAACAATAAGGAACACATTAGGTTTTGTTGTATAGTTTAACAATAAGGAACACATAAGGTTTTGTGAATTGAAAAGTTAAGTTTAAGTTGTATTAATCGTCTGTCAGATCCGTTGTTTCTTCATGAGATTATCAAGTTTTAATTGGTTTTCAGAAACTGATAAACTTGGCTTACCCTTTTCTTCTTAATTCTTATCTTTTTACCACTAACAGCTTAATTTTCTATTCTTTAAAATTGTAAAAAAATGGTAATCGTAAAAATACTATTTGTTTATGCCATGGGGAAAGGAAGTAATAACCCCCCCCCCCCTAAAAAAATAAGGAGGCTTTAAGACTTTGATATAGAGGTGGAGGGAGGGGGATACGCAGCTCAGCGTGAAAATGCGCAAAAACGGAAAAAACCATTATTCACGTACATCATTCTCTAAATAAAGAAGTTAATTTAATTGTCACTGCATTGCGCACAAATCTAACGCGTAAAATTACGCCGCGCAGGAAATAAAAAAATCACCGTTTCTTCAAGTTGGGTGATTTGTTTGTTTTCTTGTAAATATGGGCTTTTTTCCAATATTGTCTTTTTCTGCGGTTTAAAAACTGTCTGGAGATGTCAAACTGTTTTAATATTTGCTGTTTTTGTTGCAATATTTTAATATTGTTTGCTCAATTCTTCAAGGGAATGATTCGTACATATTTCAAGCATACTCCCCCCCCCCTCCCCTGCTGGACCTTTTCTCATCCTCTTCCCTCTCCTCTTTTCTTCCTGTCTCCTATCCTGTTCCCCCTCCTTCCTCCTTTCTTCATGTCTTCTATCCTGTCTCCCCTCCTTCCTCCTTTTCTTATTTATCCCACTCCCCAAAAAACTTATTCCCCTTCTGTATCCCTCCCTCTTTCTGTAACTATCGTATAAGGAAGGATATAAAATATCTGTGCGTACAAAACCTGGTTGTAAAACTACGCATCTGTGCGTAGTTTACGAGGTTTAAGGATGCGTATACTTTATGAGGCTTACAAGGGAAGGACGAGAGAGAAACCCATATATGTACAATGTAGATTTATATAATAATATATTACAACATTACAATAAGTTCATGTGTGTTGTTAATCTGAACTGGACTATTTAAAAGCGTGACTGAACTGAACTAAATAAAATTGAACTAAACTAAAAAGAAGCGTACTGAACTGAACTAAATAATACTGAACTGAACTAAATAAAACTAGACTGAACTAAATAGAAGCAAACTAAATTAAACTAAATAAAACCGAATTGAACTAAATAAAACTAGACAAAACTGAATATAAGCGTACTGAAATGAACAAAATAAAATGGAACTAAATTAAACTGAACTGAACTGAATAAAACTGAACTAAACTAAACAAAACTGAACTGAACTAAATAAACCTGAACTGAACTAAATAAACCTGAACTGAACAAAATAAAACTGAACTGAACTAAATAAACCTGAACTGAACAAAATAAATCTGAATTGAACTAAATAAAACTGAACTGAACTAAATGAAACTGAACTGAACTAAGTAAATCGAACTATACTGAAAGCTCTAAAACCCGTTCTAAAATTTGATAAAATTAACAGATATTAACAAATTTTTCCTCTTCTTAATTGTTATGACATTTGTGAGAATATTATGTTTGGTTAATATCTCGACAAAATAAAACTGAAAGATAAGATAAATATTTGGAAAACTAAAAATTAAATCCAGATTAGAAGATAATTTTTCTAATCCAGAAATTCAATTTGCAGTCAAGGGGAATTCGAGGGAATTTGAGACTGTAGAAACAATGAAGATTGAAGAACATAATAATTTCAACAAAAGAATACATTAATCTATAAATTGGCTACCTTGATTTTCCTAGATGTAAGCCTGTAAGGTCGTGGTTTAAAATGTCTTTTTAAAAATAGTCTTTTAAAGATTGGTGTTTACTGAAGAATTTGTTTTTTTATTATTTACTATATGAACTGTACTGCAGGTTCTAGTCCTGATATATAAACTGTACTGTACTGCAGGTTTATAGTTCTGAAATATGAACTGTACTGCAGGTTCTAGTCCTGATATATATAAACTGTACTGCAGGTTCTATTCATGATAAACAAACTGTACTGCAGGTTCTAGTCATCATAAAAAAACTGTACTGTACTGCAGGTTCTATTTCTAAAATATAAACTGTACTGCAGGTTCTAGTCCTGAAATATAAACTGCACTGCAGGTTCTAGTCCTGATATATAAACTGTACTGCAGGTTCTAGTCCTGATATATAAACTGTACTGCAGGTTATAGTCCTGATATATAAACTGTACTGCAGGTTCTAGCCCTGATATATAAACTGTACTTTAGGTTTTAGTCCTGATATATAAACTGTACTGCAGGTTGTAGTCCTGATAAATAAACTGCACTGCAGGTTCTAGTCTTGATAAACAAACTGTACTACAGGTTCTAGTCCTGATATATAAACTGTACTGAAGGTTCTAGTCCTGATATATAAACTGTACTGCAGGTTATAGTCCTGATATATAAACTGTACTGCAGGTTCTAGCCCTGATATATAAACTGTACTGCAGGTTCTAGTCCTGATATATAAACTGTACTGCAGGTTGTAGTCCTGATAAATAAACTGCACTGTAGGTTCTAGTCCTGATAAACAAACTGTACTGCAGGTTCTAGTCCTAATATTTAAACTGTACTGCAGGTTCTAGCCCTGATAAAAAAAAATGTACTGCAGGTTCTGGTCCTGATAAACAAACTGTACTGCAGGTTCTAGTCCTGAAATATAAACTGTACTGCAGGTTCTAGTCCTGATATATAAACTGTACTACAGGTTCTAGTCCTGATATATAAACTTAACTGCAGCTTCTAGTCCTGATATTTAAACTGTACTGCAGGTTCTAGTCCTGATATATAAACTGTACTACAGGTTCTAGCCCTGATATATAAACTGTACTGCAGGTTCTAGTCCTGATATATAAACTGTACTACAGGTTCTAGTCCTGATAAACAAACTGTACTACAGGCTCTAGTCCTGATATATAAACTGTACTGCAGCTTCTAGTCCTGATATATAAACTGTACTGCAGGTTCTAGTCCTGATATATAAACTGTACTGCAGGTTCTAGCCCTGATATATAAACTGTACTGCAGGTTCTAGCCCTGATATTGGACACTGCCTGACCCAGGTCTATATACACAACAAGGCGATGGAATCTTATCTAACAGCAATCACTAAGTAAGTAATATAAACATATTTACAATGCAAGATTTTCGCGGATTTTGTACGTCATGCACTGTTATATTCACGTTGTTTAGTCAGCCCTATATGAACAAGATTTAAGATGTACCAAGAAATAATAAAGTTTAAGACAAGAGTATTCAAAACTATAAGAAATTATACGAATGCATTAGAAACAAAAATTTCAAAGGGACTGTAAAGGCAAAATGAAAAGGGCGAGTTTTATCTATCTCGAGAATTTTTATAAAACTATGTCAAATTTTTACCAAAATCGGGGTTTACCAAATTTGGTAGAAAAATAGTACAGGAACAGATCATGTTCATCAAATACGCAGACAATCTGAAAACCACGATATCCCAGAGGAGGTTTGCTATTATTTGAATTCAATAATTTTTCCTTTTTGATAGAATGAATTGATAATATAATTATTATGTCCGTATCACGTGACCGAACTTATTTATCATATTGTAGAAGCAATAGTTTGATTCTCTATGAAAGTATGGAATGCTCGAGAATTATGAGGAAAATCTGAGAAACAGGAAAACTGGAATCCATATTAATTATATCTATTAAAAATGAAAAATAAAAATTGCAAAATTGTAATAGGAGCAAACCTAAGTGACTTAGGCTCCTCTGGGATATCGTCGTTTACAGATTGGTTGCGTATTTGCTGAATATGATCTGTTTATTCTTACTATTTTTATACAAAAATTTTCGATTTTGGTATAAATTTGACACAGTTTTTTTGATCAATTTCTCGAGACAGGAACATCAGATAGAACTCGCAAGGGTTTCAATCAACTTCTAAGTAACTTAGATTTCAGCCTATACACCCTTTCATTTTTCCTTTACAGTCCCTTCAATATAAAAAGATTTTGTTTTACCAAAAGAAAAACCTTAATTGAGGACTTGTCAAGAAAGACAATAATTAGACATCATTTGTTTAGGACAATCATTGCTTATTGTTACAAACTGTATATATGCATATCTATTTCTATCTATATAGACTTTGCTTGTCTGTTTGTTCGTATCCAATAAACGTCAAAATTGCTCAACCGATCATGCCCAAATTTTATGTGGGACCTCAAAAGTTTAAAAAATTAGCCTCCAACAAATTTCAATTTTCTTTAAATTTGGAAAATCCACTAAATATTTTGATAAAATCCGCAAACTTTTTAGTTTTCGTTTTACAATGTATACAAAGAGAAAATGTTCACAATTGAAATAGAATATGTATATATATTTATATATATATATATATATATACAATTGAAATAGAATATATATTATATTCATTTAAATATTTATCATATATTTTATGCATATTTGTTTACTATTCTCTTAAAAGGGATTGTAGTTGAAATTTTTAGTGACCTTCATTTAAAAAAGGGGCATGCCCGATTCACAACCATATCCTTGAAACCTAAATAAATAAATAAATGGGGTGAATATAAAGAATAAATAAATGAATATTGCAGTGGGTGTAGGTGAATGAATGAATGTATATTCTAGTGGTCTATGTAACGGTGTAAATGGTTTGCTCCGGAGTAGAAGTGAGGAGATGAAGAGAAGCCTGGGTAACCTAGAGAAGCAGCACTCTAGAGAGTTCAAGAAGCTCCACCACAACATCAAGAGGAAGATGGAGCTAGTCAACAAGCTGCAGAAGAAGTTGAAGAAGGAGAACGCTGCCGGGAGTAACAAGGAGGAGGTGGATAAACTCTCAGGTGGGGTTTTATCAAGTGATGTGCATTAAGTTTCTGATTCGTTTTTTGCCTATATTTTCTCCAGGGTAAAATTGGGCATATAGTGTACGAAAAGCAAATAGAATAATTTTTTTTGAATTATTTGATTAACTTAAATTAGGCCACATTTTGTCCCTGAAAGAAAATATATGTAAAAAACGAACCAAAAATAAACGTGTTAGAACGAGGGTTTTTGGATCTTTTTCCTTTTTTTCTATGAATAAAAGTATTGATAACTGGAGTAAAATGATTATTGTAAATTTTACTATTAAATCATATAAACAATTTATCCGGTTTTGGCATGACAGTAAGTTAAGTACAATATTGTACCCATTTCAATCATTTTTAACATCATATTATGAACGACTAAATGGGTAACACGTTGCATGACGTCGCCGGTTTAAATTTGATTTAAATTCACTAAATAAAACATGTCTGAAATTATTTCTTTCCACTGTTATTCATGTAAATGATTTTTTTGTGAAATTTTGTTTTCTTTATAGATGTATAATCATTAAACTTCAGATTTTATCAACACTCTAAAATGAATAAATCAATAGAAATTATTAAAAACAAAATGAAAGATCAATGTTTTTAATTGAGTTTTATCATTAATTTCTCTCGCGCGCTTGCAAAACATTATGCTTTCAAATTGTTAAATTCATGGCATAATTCACACGCTCGATCTTTTAATATTTGAAATCTAAATTGATAGATCTAAGATGGAATAACAACTAAACCTTAAAGGGTCTGTAAGCAAAATTTCAAGTGACCCTCCATGCAAAGATGGCAATGCCGAATTTACAAATATCTTTGTGTCTTTAAACTGTTGGTTTTCATTTGTGGTTTCACATTCGTTAACTGTTTAAGAAATCGTTAACGGCCCAGCAGTTAACAGTTAATAACAATATAAACGGTTTAAGAAATCGTTACAACAATTCATAAACTGTTAGAGAAATCGTTAAGGGCGCAGGCCGGTAACGAACGGTTTTTTTTACAGTATTAATAGTTTTAAAAATCGTCAACAGCATAGCCATTAATGGTTTATTACAGAATTAACGGTTCCTGAAATCATTAACGGTCTTTTGTAATATTAACGGCGTAAAACTTCTACAATAATTCGAGGTTTTGCAAATTCCAAAACTGTTCATACTGAACATTTTCTTTACTTCTTTTATGCCTAATTATTCCCCTATGAGGCTTGATTAAAGAAGAGTAATTTCAACAAAAAATATTTCTTAGTTTTAAAAATCTGGGAGGTTCTTTAAATGTTTAAAAAAAAACCAAAGCTAATAATACTAGGTGTAAGTTTTACTTTAATTGCATGTTGCTCAAGAAAAAGCATTGTGAAGTCAAATTATTTCCAACTTAGTTACTTGTAATTTTCACCATTATTAAAACAAAAATCCAGGTTAAAAAATTTGTCAAATTCTCTGTCTTCTCTACATTCTCTACATTTTTCTTTTAACAGATAATGCTAAAAAATTATTTTCACGATTTTATTTAAAAAATTATTCTTCACTTATTTCCACAGATAAACTATATAAGTTTTTGCAGATGCGCTGTCCAAAGTTGGGGTCACCAATTTAGAGGCCATGAGAACGGACTCTAAAAAACGCAAGAATAACTATTCCAGTATATATTTACTCATAACTTAACAGACTTAGTAATACAGGCCTGCTTAACATGCTTAGTTATACAGGCCTAGCTTAACAGACTTAGTTATACAGGCCTAGCTTAACAGGCTTAGGAGAACTATCAATGTTTACATATCACACGAGATAGATGAAAGTAAAATGCCTCGTATTATTCTCAGCTGACTCTGTGTACTGTTGTGGAACTCTCTTACAGAGGCCGACTATCGTCTTCCACAATATCCATGAATATTTATCTGATCAATAATGTGAGAGATATTGCCGTTTTTATTGTTAAAAGGATTTAGTTCTGATAATTCCCAAATGTTTTTCTGCAGTGTAAATTTGCAAGTCACTTTTGTGAAAATTGTCAAAAGTTTAAAAAATAGTCAATATTCAAAATTATAAACATTGATATCTAAATAATAATTGATCAGAAAAAACCTTTGTTAATCAGGCATTCTCATCTTTGCTTGGAGGGTCACTTGAATATATTACAAACAGTCCTTCTTTTCGAAGTTAGGTTGAAAAGTTCTTAACAAAGTCTGTATTCACTCTTGTTTTATATGTTCTAGAACACTCCATAATGTTCTCCTGGGAATAATTTACTACCCCTGGAGCTTGAGAAATTATTAAACATTCGTCCTGGATAAACTTCTTTAAAGATTTTCTGTTTTTTTAGAAGTTCTTACACAGACAAGGAAAAGTTTAGCTGCAGAATACAGGGTGTTAGAGGAACAGGTACAGGATAGTTTAATGGTTACAGGGTGTTAGAGGAACAGGTACAGGATAGTTTAATGGTTACACAGGGTGTTAGAGGAATAGGTACAGGATAGTTTAATGGTTACAGGGTGTTAGAGGAACAGGTACAGGATAGTTTAATGGTTACAGGGTGTTAGAGGAACAGGTACAGCATAGTTTAATGGTTACAGGTTGGAACATTTTTCAATCTTCATTTTTGTTAGATAATGGATTCAGCAGGAAAAACTATAAGCATTGTCGTAACAACATGAATTGAAACATTGTTATCTTTATATGTAATTAAAAAAAATATAAAATTCACAACAAAATCATATTCATAGTGCATATTAATTAATTTCTTTTTTAATGATTTTAAAATATTGTTTTCGGAAAATCTCTAAAACTAGTTTTAAAAAAATTACAAATCTTGGAATTTTGGTTTTTTCAAAGATTTTGACTGCTGAAGATCGTTTTCTTTAGGATTATAGTTCTTTATTAAATAAAGTTTGAAAAACTTGAATATCTAGACAATAAAGCTCGGGGAGAGATTTAGTGCAATATCGTGACAATTCTTAGATTTTGAATATACTTGTATATTTATCGGATATATTTGGATATTCATTGGGTATATTTAGATATTTATTGGATATATTTGGATATTCATTGGGTATAGTTGGATATTTATTGGATATATTTGGATATTTATTGGGTATATTTGAATATTTATTGGTTATATTTAGATATTTACTTGTTACATTTGGATATTTATTGGCTATATTTGGATTTTTATTGGTTATATTTGGATATTTATTGGGTATATTTGGATGTTTATTTGTTAAAGGAATTGAGTTTTTGCCTCAAACTAGCATTTTCTAACCTCTATATCTTTGCAATCTGATGATGTAAGCCTTTCATTTTTCAAACTTAGACTATTTGATCTAACAGAATTAATAGTTTGAAATATCAAAGGTCTAGGAAAACGGGTTGCAAAGTTATAGGAATTAGAAAATCAGAGTTTGTGGCAAAAACTCAATTCCTTTGGATATTTATTGGATATATTTGGATATTTATTAGATATATTTGGATATTTATTTGTTAAATTTGGATATTTATTTGATATATTTGGATATTTATTGGTTATATTTGGATCTTTATATATGTAAAATCTGGGAGTCTTCAGCAAAAATCTGGGAGTCTCCAACAAAAATCTGGGGTCCCCAATAAAAAGCTTGGGGTCTTCAAAAAAAATCTGGGGGTCTCCAATGAAAATCTGGGGTCCACAATAAAAATCTGTGGTTTCCGATGAGAATCTGGAGATCTTCATTGAAAATTTGGTTGGAGGGTTCCGATAAAAAGATTGGGGTTCCAATGGCAATAAGACGTTCATGCGGGTCTCCGATGTAATGGGGTCTCCAATTTAGTACTCCAACGATGATGAATTCATCCCAGACTTATTGTTTCTAAAAAACATTGTAATGTATATTGGATATGGATATACTGGGATATAAGCATGGATATATATGGATAAAAAAGGATTATCAATAATGCGGGTTTCACGGTAGGTGTTTACTGTTACATGTTTTATTGTTTTTCCCTCAAAATAAGCGTTTATACTAATTCCTACAAAGTATAATAAAATTACATTTTCAATGCATTCAGTTATAATTCCAATTCCATTTAGAAAAAAGTAGCGGATCAAAATTAAATTGTCAAATGAAAATTAAATTGGTGGAGAAAGGAAAGAGGAAATGTTATAAAGATAGTATTAGAAACAAGAAAAAGGAAAATTATATTGGACAAATGGAAAAGTACACAGTGTTAAAAAGGTTGTTAAACAATAGTCACTTTATAATATCTCTCTTACTGGCATAAGTACTTTTTTGGAGACAAGCCTTGATCTGTCTTTTCAAGGTGGGTTAAGGTGTTTTTGTCATTATTTTTTAATCAATGAGTCTTATTGGATTCTAAAGATTTTTTGGGGTTTTGACCGTCTTCTATATGATTTTGTTGGTTCATATTCATTCATATTTTTATTCAACTACAAAGCATGAGATATTACAAATAAGCAATCACAATTTACAAAGCAGTCTGGACCCGCCTAACCAGGGTTGGTTGTTTTGAGTGGTTGGCCCGAAGTTAATTAACGATACTGAATATAATTGGTTACACATATCAAGATATGTTTTTGGATAGGTAAGGAGTTGATTGGAAGGAAGGAGATTGTCAGGTGATCTGTGGCAGGGTGAGATCAGAGGGATTTTTATGTAGAGATAAATTAAAATACAGGGTGTTAAAATACAGGTTGATTTGAGTTTTACCATCATGTGTTTTTTTAGTAGCAGCCTTTGATATCAAAAAGGTACAGGTTGAATAGTGTAGAATAAATTCGTTAATAACAAACAAAAAATGATTGACACTGAACAGCTGACGCATTGACGAGAGCCACGTTTAAAAATACTTCCTTCATAATACAACTCACCATCGTCATTCTTAAAATATGTATTCAAATCACCTCTCTTCTTCCTCGACCCTCCCTTAAAGGGACCGTTCACGTGTTTGGGTAATTTGAGGGTAAACTAAATAGTCTATTAGTTATTCCTTAGTCTTACTTTTCAAAGACTCCCGGAGCCTGAGAATAATTCGAATTATCATTCAGAATTCCAGCGCAAAGGTATAATACCTTTGCAATTTACACTATTTGATGCTTTTTGTATTAGTCATGGATTAAAAAAATTTCCAATATTAAATTAAATTGTAGTATAGTAATAGTTGATTGTATATTTCTTTAATGCAAAGACTTAATTCCTTTCTGAGTAGTACATCCTAAATCCTAGATATGAAATTCTGATTCATGAATCTGGAATTCTGAATCTTGAAATCCTGCAACAGGAATCTTATGAAATTTATATTGTTCATGAAATCCTTCTTGTTCATGAAATTCTTCTTGTTCATAAAATCTATATTGTTCATGAAATTTATATTGTTCATGAAATTTATATTGTTCATGAAATCTATTTAGTTCATAAAATTCTTCTTGTTGATAAAATTCTTCTTGTTCATGAAATCCTTCTTGTTTATGAAATCTATATTGTTCATGAAATCTATATTGTTCATGAAATCTATTTTGTTCATGAAATTCTTCTTTTTCATTAAATCCTTCTTGTTCATAAAATCCTTCTTGTTCATGAAATCCTTCTTGTTCATGAAATCCTTCTTTTTTCTTGAAATCGTTCTTTTTCAAGAAATACTTTTTGATTAAGAAATACTTTTCATTAAAGGGAGTGACTACCTTACATAGCCAGTCACTCCCTTTAATGAAATCTTTCTTGTTCAAGAAATGCTCTTGTTCATGAAATCCTTCTTCTTTATGATTTCGTTCTTATTTATGAAATCTATCTCCTTAATTGAATCCTACTTGTTCATGAAATCCTTCCTGTTTAAAAAATCCCTCTTGTTCATGAAATCCTTCTTGTTCATACCATTCTTCTTGTTCATAAAATCTTTTTTTAAGAAATTCTTTGTGTTCATACAATATAGGTTGACCTAATTTTAATACTTTGTAATTGTAATTGATTGATTGATTGATTGATTGTTTTCAGGAAGTGGAAATTTTCCTTGACAGAATATCTATTAATTGATGACTTAATTGATAGATTCATTGACTGATTGATTGATAGATTCATTGATAGATTCATTGACTGAGTCATTGATTGATTGATTGATTGATTGATTATGTTCAGGAAGTGGAAGGTCTCCGTGATATTGTAACAACTATTGACAGAATATCAAGTAATCCTGAACATCTCCCTTCACATACAGATCAGTATATTCAGGTGGTTTGTTTTTGGAAATAAAGATTTAAAGGCATTTATAGTTTTTGCCCCAAATCCCTTTTTCGTTGTATCCTGATGGCTTGATACTCACAGAATTTCAATTTTGGTCTCACATAATTCATAGTTTGAAATATCTAAGGTCTATGAAATTGGGTTGCAAAGATATAGGGATCGTTATTTACGACCAATCGTCGGGTAAGCGGCTGCAGTAACTATGAGTACCCTGGGCAACGCCGGGTACTCAAGCTATATAATTTATAAATGAGTGTCCTCAACATGCCTCTTATCTTGTTGAATAGTACTCTAAACGGACATAAGAAAACAACCCCAGGGTTAGCAAAACTAACTGTTTTTGAAGGACCAGGTTGCAGAAAAAGTGATTTGTCCTCATAATTTGAATATTTTATTTAAACAATTCTTCTAGTTATACAATATACATGGATACATTTTGTGTTCTATGATTACAACTGAATACAACTTGTTTCATAATTTCAAGTATTCCTCCAACACTATCGATTCACAAGAGTACCCTTTATACTGTCGTCTGAATACAACTTGTTTCATAATTTCAAGTATTCTTCCAACACTATCGATTCACAAGAGTACCCTTTATACTGTTCTATGATTACAACTGAATACAACTTGTTTCATAATTTCAAGTATTCTTCCAACACTATCGATTCACAAGAGTACCCTTTATACTGTCGTCTGAGCAAATATGATAGAACTATGCATGTTTTTGTAATTTTTAACCAGATTAAGCTTTAAAGGGTGCTGTTGTGAATCGGGCATGGCTCTGTTTAAATTATTAGCCTTTTAGGGCGCTTCGCTCCCATCTTCTATTTTGTTTGTGAACATGTTCTCTTTGTGTACATCGTAAAACAAAACAAAAAAGATTCGCGGATTTAAACAAAAAACTTCGTGGATTTTCAAAATGTTCAAAAATTTAATGAAAATCGAGTTTTGATGGAGACAAATATATTTGAAATTTTGATCATTCATAAACCCTCCCTGGGGTCACGCGAGTTCCACAAAAAAGTTGGGCCCGATCGGTTCAGCCGTTTTGACGTTTATTGGATACAAACAAACAGACACCCAATCAAAGTATATTATAGAATTGTCATTGTTGAACACATTTAATCTGATATCTAATAACACCTTACCTACTTAACTTTTGGCCATACCAGATAAAAACCTTACTACACCTAAAAACACCCAACATCATTTTATGACGTCATAGTTGCTATAAATCCTCTGCACCTAATTTCACCTGAGCCGGAAACTTTTGTGTAAGAAACTCATAATCCCGATCACTTGATATCGACATTAACTGCGGGCACCTTTAATT